TTGGATATCTCCCTGTACCAGTTAGCTCCTGATTGTTTCAATCCATATAAGGACTTTTTTAATCGCACGACCTTTTTCTTCAAATTCATATGCGGTGGAGCTCTTATATATAGTTCTTCTTCTAGGTCAGCATAAAGATATGCAGATGAAATATCTAATTGAGTGATGTATTTGTTTTTATTTAAAGCATTTGAAAGTACAGTCATTAGTGCATAGTGATGAACTGTATTGGATGTTGCTTCCTCATTATATGTTCCCTTCTTCTGTTGATCTCCCCTTGCTACTAATCTACATTTGTGTGTTCCATCTCTTTTTGTGTTGAATATGAACATTGTATTAATTATTTTCTTCTTATCAATATTCTTATCATCGATTAATTCTTCGTCCCACGTATTCATTTTTTTTAACTGTTCGATTTCTTTTTCATATGCCAATTTATACAAATATTTTGAGTCATTATTAGTATTTTTTATTATAGCATCTCTATAGTTTATTGAGTGGGAGGCACTATTTAATTCATTTGATCTCTGATTAGCACGAATATTGCTTATTTTGTATTCTTTTGAGAATTTCGTTAAATATTCTTCAGCTTTTTTTGCTAGTCTTGAAGCGTCTGTGTTTTTCTTACTAGATGGTTTCGTAATTTTAGCATCGGTATTTTTACCACCCAACACAGCGTCTTTTTGTGGATTAGCTAAAGAAGTGGAATCAGGAGATAGATTGGAGGAATTAGATAAATTTGTACCACCCAATGGGGTGTGCTCTATTGGCTGGGCTTGAATGGGCGAAGTGGATGATATAGCTTCGTTTTCATTATCACTTTCATTTTCTGATGTATAGTCATCAGATTCATAATTGGAGTTTGTATGTACGATGGAATCAATTAGATTGTCAACTTCTTTAAGGGTGTCATTGTTTTCAGAGGAGTGTTGAACTGATGGTAGTGCGGTAGTATGTGATGGTAATTGGTTCTCAGTAGGAATGTCAATTTTTTCTGGTTCAGATTCTGGTTCAATGTTCTCGGGGTAGTCGTGGATAGCAATTAGAGTGTCGAAGACTGTGGATTTTGGTGTGGTGCCTTTTGATGGTGAACTTTTAACGATTGAATAATTGGATGTGTCAACCACTTTTTTGGTGATGGTATTATATATTAAGTATCCATGAGATACTGTGGATGGGCATAATGCCAACCCGTCGTCACCACGAGGAGAAAGCTTGGATGTTGTTGATCCTTTGTGAATAATAACTTCTTGTCCAAAAGGAAGAATAGTACTCACATCCAGACCTGCAAGACCGGCTTTTGCTCTTGATGAAGTTTTAATAGATGAGTTAAAAAATGCATTACGCATGAGTGTGGCGAATTGAACAGCATAAAACCAAGTCGAATTTGGTAGGTTTGTAGCTTGTAAAAGTGTTCGACAATCGTTTAAAAAAGTTAGATTAAATCGTTCTGCAACACCATTTGCTCGTGAATCACCAGCAGTAGTATAAATTGGGTTAATCCCTTTATCTTCGAAGAGTTTGGTTATCTGATCGTTTGTAAATTCTGAACCACGATCCATTTGAAAAGATAGGATGTTGGTCTTGAACTGATTAGACACCATATTAATGAACTTTGAAAATATGCGAGTAACATTTTGTGAATCCTTTGAATATAATGGAAAAGCCCAGCGAAAACGAGTAGATTCATCGGTAAAGCTGATGAAATAGGAAGGTGTTCCGACTGGTAGATGTGACATGGGACCGAAAATATCGGTATGGATATATTCAAAGGGAGCATATTCTTTTTGATATTTTATACGAGAACCTATAATATGCTTGTGACGAGTTGATTTTCCTTTCATGCAGGATGTACATCGAAAGGAGTGAATACCAGACCAATCGACATCAGCTGATGTGATACCAGAAATCATCTTTCGATCAATTGTGGTTTTAATATCATGAACATTAATATGTCCAAATAAATTGTGTAGAAAAGGTACAGTTAATTTGATACCTAATTTGTTTATGCTGTATGAAGTAGATTGTTGATTAGATGGTTGTAAAATTGATCGAGGTATACACATGTACTTACCCACATTAATGATGGGAGACAGAATGTGTTCCGACTTGTCTAGTAATTGGCGATGACGAGTGTCAACTACAATACCGGCTTTTTCCAATTGGTATGTACTAATGAAATTGTTCGATATGTCAGGAGCATGAATAGCCCTTATAACGTAAGGTTTGGAATGGGTTTGAAATTTTAGTGATATTATACCACTAGCAGCAGCAGGAATTGGTTTGTCATTTGCGGCATATAGGACAACGTTAGCATCGGTAATATGGTTTAGAAATTCTATGTCATTAATAACAGAAATTTCTGCACCAGTGTCAAGGACTAGATAGTCTTTAAGATTTTCTGGGGAGTCATCCTGTGTGTTTTCTTCAATAGGGTGCTCACATTGAATGTTTGAAATTTTCTTTTTATTTTTTGGCTTTTTGAGTTGATTGGTTGGCTTGGTAGAAGATAATGTATTGGTGTGATGTTTGGTTGGATAGGGGTGTGGCTGACGACTATGGATGTTGATAATATCATTTAAAATGTCATTCAATGTAATGTTGTGAAAGTTACGATTGTAATTATCAACAATTATTTGATAAGGTCCGTGTAACGATTGTATGATCGTATCACATAAAATCCTATCTGGAATAGCGATATTGTAATCTTTTGCTTGTTGTATCATATTATTTATTCTTTTTTTAAACAACATAGGATCACACTTTGGGTCGTAACGGATGTGTTGTAGTTGCTGATATAATTTAGTAGGAGTATTCCTTTTATTGTATTTTATAATGGCACATTGAATTAAATCAAACAAAGAGACATAGTTATCCGATAGTTCGTTTTTGAACCACATAGGATATGCTTTAGGGTTAACATATAATCTAAAAATATGTGTTACATGTTGTTTTTCTTGATCGGTAATGGTAGATTGTGCTGTGTTTATACATATCTTGGATAAGTTTATATCATTTAAATATTTTTGAAAGTTTTGTAGAAAGTCTGGAAATTCTGATGGGTCAGAAACTTGGTGTAGAGTAACAGTTGATATAGGGTTACTCGAGTATGAAGAGACTGAATGTTCATCAGTGTCATGTAAGGTAGGGCCATTAGATTGTAATGGTGTACCATGTGATTGTACTGGTGTCGGTGGCGGTGGGAAGTATAGGTTAGGTGGTGGGGGATAATAATAGTATGGGTTGAATGCATGTGGATAACCCATAGGATAAGGTGGGTAGTGATACCCATGTGGATATGATGGAGTACCTGGGTATGGATATGGATATGGATATGTGGAGGGAACAAAAGAAGGAGCTTGTGTGTTTTCACTAGCTTTGTTTGTGTTCTGTTTAGTTTGTTCATATGATCCCTGAATGCCTTGGATCGGAGTGACTGGTTCACTCTTCGATTTGATCTCTGCAAACGAATTTTTACGAACGCTACCATCCTCTGGCTGAATAATATTAGTATACATGTTCTTAGCGTCGGTGATCATACTATATGTTATTATTGTGAATTATTATTATGTTGATATGTAGTGTAGTTTTCCCTCGATCTTTTGATTCGGAATTAATAATTATATAAATACAAAAGAAACATATGATAAAATGTATATAACTTATTCATCCAGATTGGAAAATTAATAAGTAAAGTCGTCTACTTATATATATCTGCCTTTTGGTAATTTTTCATAATATATTGATTTATTTTGATTCTGCTTGATCTTATCTCTGTAATATTGAATGTGCAAAACAAACATTTTTCCTCTTTAATATATTTTACATGTTACTCAAACCGGTAATATATCATTCCAGCAATTATTACTTATTTTATGCTATTTAACAAAATCTGTAGTTGTTTCCAATTAATATCTATAAGTATTATGTGGTTAATAGTGGGCAAAAAGTACATATATAGTAGAAATATGATCGAAGAAGATCTTTAGATTCATCATATCTATATGTGGATATTAAGTAAGTTTTTTCTGTAAAAAAAATTAATCAAATAATTCTAACAATATTTAGGAATATTCAAGCAATGATTACTTATTATTCCGCTATCCATCATTGAGTAAATCCTTATTCTTCTATTTGTTTCATTCTAGAACACCCTTTTTTAGCAAATTCACCAGAAAAAAAAAATCATTTCCCATCCGTAAGTTTGGTAATAAAGTGGTTTGGTAGTTAATTCCTGAAAATCAATTAAATAGTAACATATAGGTATATAATTTATAATTTTATCTTAAATATAATACTTGAGAGGGAAGGAAGTAATATACACCGAGTATTTACCTATTATTATTGGAAATTGTGACTAGATTCTACAACTAAGTCAAAACCCTATTTTCACATTTTTCTATGCTAAACAGGAACAAAAAAAATCATTGTGTGTTCATATTTCCAGATAAAGAAAAAGAAAAATTCAAAATCTGTACAATAAAAAACCCCACTTTAGTTTTTTCAAGAGGTGAGTGTTCAACAAAATTTCCATCTCAGGGGTTTGACGGACTTACAAATAGAAGGACAAACAATAGGATACACAATTCTTTTATATCACTCAAAACACTAATTCGGGATGATCAAAGTATAATACATACGTGCCTGCATGTATATATCTAAAATAGGAACTTGTATCTTATTGGTCGTTCTTGTTTTATTTTTTGATATTATTGTCTGTGATTTATGTATCATATAAACTTACAAAATAAACATATATAAGTGTCTGTCTTTATCTGAATTTGTACAGTCTGCAAATTGATCTTTGTTTCTTCTACCTCTTAATTCCTAACGCATTGCATAAATAGTTTTTTTATCCTTTCTGTTCCTGGGTTTTTTTCCCTCGAGACATCTACAATCAGAAATCATCCAAAAAAAAAAAAAATAAAAAAAAAAAAAAAGGAAAAGATAATTGGATAAGGTAAAGTGAAATTAGACATTATTCGTTTGATATTATTAAAATGCAGATATTAATTTTGTGGTCACTATTGGGATTGCTTGTGACCAAAGTCAGTGCTGCTACAACAACTATTTCGGCACCTACAACCTTGTCAGGTGATCAAACGTTTTCCGATGCTATCGTAATTGAATCAGGTGCTACTCTTGCATTAGTAGCTGGTTCTTCATATTCTTTCAATGGCAATATTGACGTTAAAGGTTCTTTAGACATCGTCGGTGATTCAACAAACGGGTTAACTAGTTTACAATTTGGTTCTACTACAACAATCACAAACAGTGGTAACATCAACATCGAAAATATTAAATCAGCAGGTTCTGCCAGTGATTTTGTTATTGCACCTGCAAGTATTGATAACTCTGGTACATTTACTGTCTCGCAATTAAATGCTGCTGCTACTGTGCCAGGTACTAACTTTACTCTAGCTCCAACTGGTTCCTTCATTAACACAGGCACTATTGACTATGATACAGCTGATAAAGGTGGTACAACAAATGGATTCCTTTACCTTGGTACTATAACTAATAATGGTGTCATTAAGTCTGGCGGGTTTTCTTCATTAACGGCCATAAATCAGACGCCTCTTAGCAGATACGCTATGAAAGGTATCATTTTTAATAATCCTATAGAGGGTCAAGGTAAAGTTACTGGTAATACGGGAGCTATGGTTATTCTTAACACATATACTTTAGGAGAACAAACTTTCGACATTAATAAAGGTCTGTATTTGATTAATCCAGAAGTTGTACCAAGTTCATTTAAGGTTGTGAATTTTGTTGGATCAGAGTTCGTTTTCTTAGGTATGAATTATACCAAATGGTCCAACGAGAATTACGGCAGTCTAGCAAATGTTGCAAACCTTAATGTTGCACTAGATGGTCGTCGTTACTGGTTTAATGTAAGTTGCCCAGATGGATCAACATGGATGAGTGAGTCGTTTTCTGTTGAACAATTAGATCCTTCTTACCAAATTCATGGTTCTTATATGTACATAGCACAAATGTATGATGGTATATGTCCATGGTTATCTGGGGCAATTACAAAGACAACAACAGTTACTACTGAGGATTTCATTACTGAAGCTACTACTATTGCCACTGTAACAACATCTACAACTAATCAGTACGCATATACTGTCACTGAAATTATTTATAATGTTGCTGTGCCTGCAGCATCTACCTTATCCACCACCACTACTGGTTCAGTCACTGTCCCAACCACATCGACCTTCACAACTGTAGTCACCAACAGCAACGGATCATCCTCTACTGAAGTTGTTGTTGTTGTGATCACCCCAGCTCCATCTACCTTGTCTACTACTACCACTGGCGATGTCACTGTCCCAACCACATCGACCTTCACAACTGTAGTCACCAACAGCAACGGATCATCCTCTACTGAAGTTGTTGTTGTTGTGATCACCCCAGCTCCATCTACCTTGTCTACTACTACCACTGGCGATGTCACTGTCCCAACCACATCGACCTTCACAACTGTAGTCACCAACAGCAACGGATCATCCTCTACTGAAGTTGTTGTTGTTGTGATCACCCCAGCTCCATCTACCTTGTCTACTACTACCACTGGCGATGTCACTGTCCCAACCACATCGACCTTCACAACTGTAGTCACCAACAGCAACGGATCATCCTCTACTGAAGTTGTTGTTGTTGTGATCACCCCAGCTCCATCTACCTTGTCTACTACTACCACTGGCGATGTCACTGTCCCAACCACATCGACCTTCACAACTGTAGTCACCAATAGCAACGGATCATCCTCTACTGAAGTTGTTGTTGTTGTGATCACCCCAGCCGCATCTGGTTCTGTTATTTCTACAACCGCTACTGGTGCTGTTACTGCCCCAACCACATCAACCTACACCACTGTAGTCACCAACAGCAACGGATCATCCTCTACTGAAGTTGTTGTTGTTGTGATCACCCCAGCCGCATCTGGTTCTGTTATTTCTACAACTGCTACTGGTGCTGTTACTGCCCCAACCACATCGACCTTCACAACTGTAGTCACCAACAGCAACGGATCATCCTCTACTGAAGTTGTTGTTGTTGTGATCACCCCAGCTCCATCTACCTTGTCTACTACTACCACTGGCGATGTCACTGTCCCAACCACATCGACCTTCACAACTGTAGTCACCAACAGCAACGGATCATCCTCTACTGAAGTTGTTGTTGTTGTGATCACCCCAGCCGCATCTGGTTCTGTTATTTCTACAACTGCTACTGGTGCTGTTACTGCCCCAACCACATCGACCTTCACAACTGTAGTCACCAACAGCAACGGATCATCCTCTACTGAAGTTGTTGTTGTTGTGATCACCCCAGCTCCATCTACCTTGTCTACTACTACCACTGGCGATGTCACTGTCCCAACCACATCGACCTTCACAACTGTAGTCACCAACAGCAACGGATCATCCTCTACTGAAGTTGTTGTTGTTGTGATCACCCCAGCCGCATCTGGTTCTGTTATTTCTACAACTGCTACTGGTGCTGTTACTGCCCCAACCACATCAACCTACACCACTGTAGTCACCAACAGCAACGGATCATCCTCTACTGAAGTTGTTGTTGTTGTGATCACCCCAGCCGCATCTGGTTCTGTTATTTCTACAACTGCTACTGGTGCTGTTACTGCCCCAACCACATCGACCTTCACAACTGTAGTCACCAACAGCAACGGATCATCCTCTACTGAAGTTGTTGTTGTTGTGATCACCCCAGCTCCATCTACCTTGTCTACTACTACCACTGGCGATGTCACTGTCCCAACCACATCGACCTTCACAACTGTAGTCACCAACAGCAACGGATCATCCTCTACTGAAGTTGTTGTTGTTGTGATCACCCCAGCCGCATCTGGTTCTGTTATTTCTACAACCGCTACTGGTGCTGTTACTGCCCCAACCACATCAACCTACACCACTGTAGTCACCAACAGCAACGGATCATCCTCTACTGAAGTTGTTGTTGTTGTGATCACCCCAGCCGCATCTGGTTCTGTTATTTCTACAACTGCTACTGGTGCTGTTACTGCCCCAACCACATCGACCTTCACAACTGTAGTCACCAATAGCAACGGATCATCCTCTACTGAAGTTGTTGTTGTTGTGATCACCCCAGCTCCATCTACCTTGTCTACTACTACCACTGGCGATGTCACTGTCCCAACCACATCGACCTTCACAACTGTAGTCACCAACAGCAACGGATCATCCTCTACTGAAGTTGTTGTTGTTGTGATCACCCCAGCCGCATCTGGTTCTGTTATTTCTACAACTGCTACTGGTGCTGTTACTGCCCCAACCACATCGACCTTCACAACTGTAGTCACCAACAGCAACGGATCATCCTCTACTGAAGTTGTTGTTGTGATCACCCCAGCTCCATCTACCTTGTCTACTACTACCACTGGCGATGTCACTGTCCCAACCACATCGACCTTCACAACTGTAGTCACCAATAGCAACGGATCATCCTCTACTGAAGTTGTTGTTGTTGTGATCACCCCAGCTCCATCTACCTTGTCTACTACTACCACTGGCGATGTCACTGTCCCAACCACATCGACCTTCACAACTGTAGTCACCAACAGCAACGGATCATCCTCTACTGAAGTTGTTGTTGTTGTGATCACCCCAGCCGCATCTGGTTCTGTTATTTCTACAACTGCTACTGGTGCTGTTACTGCCCCAACCACATCAACCTACACCACTGTTGTCACTAACAGCAACGGATCATCGTCTCTCATATACCAAAACTTCACTATCCCTAATGAAAGAATGGAATCTACTTTGAGTAACACTTTAGTTGTTTTAACTACGGTTGTTAATGGAGTTACTATGACAACAACTTATTGTCCAGAACCATCTGAAACTTCCGGAACAAGTATGACTGCTATCATTGGACATAGTTTTATTGAATCTGTTTATTCAAGGAACCAACAAGATGAGACTAACTCATTTTCTGCTGTGTCTAATGCCACTCCAGTTATTTCCATTGCACCCACCACAACTGGTCCAGTGTTTACCAACAATGAAAATCATCCAACATCTAGAAACTTTAAAGGATCTAGCACTGCAGTAGGTAATGGTGAATCTAGAAAACCAGGAACATCAGCATCTACAATGGCGCCACAAATCTCCCAATATGTTTCTGAGCAACCATCATCATCACCAAAAGCTATGACACTATCTCATGGAGGTACACCTTCTCTTGTATCATATGAAGGTAAGGGTAGTACCATATATATGAAGTGGAGTGTTGCTCATTTCATTGGGTTATTATTATTTATTATTATTTAATTTGTAGATATATGAATAATTTTAAAATAAAAATTTCTAAATCGATACATAACTAAATATTGTTATCTAAGCCTATATAAATACCTCAATATTGTACTTATTGTGCGTTTTTCTTATTTATTGGATTGTTTTCTAAATAACTTATATACCAAAGATAGATATGATTGTAACTAAGAAAGTAATAATGTCACTTTTTAAGTCCAAATAATTTAAATTATCAAACACAGTTATAAAATTTAATAATCCCTCACATGTTTTTTAACAAACTTTTTTTTGTTACATGTTTTAACTATACTGAAGCAGGAGATTATGATTAGGAAACTTACTGTCGTATAGTTTTGAATCTAACTGAACATGATTCAAAAGTTTAAAAAATTGTATAATTTTTCTAAATAAAAGAAACAGGAACTGTAAAGATTTGGATTTGATAAGATTCAAGGAGAAAGATAGAAGTTTTAATAAATAGTGTATACACCTTAACAATTTTTTTTTACCCTCAGTTGTTTTCAAGAAGTTAATTAGATCGGTGATCCAGGAATGAAAAACTAGAGTATTTGAAGCTATGGATTCTCTTTTCTTCAATGTAGATGTATAAGTAGGTATGATATAATGATCTATAAGATGATCGGAGATATAATTGATAATTTAAATTCATTGTGCTATCAAAGTAAAAAAAAATATAAAAGTTTCTATAAAATAGACTTAAATGAGAAGAAATTACAATATATATTATAATATCCTACAAGGTGATTAAGTAGAATAGGAAAAAATAAAGTAACAAAAGTTACGGGTTATAGGACCACTAATATTTTATTATATATTTACATTACTCAATAAGTTAATATAATCTTAAATTTTGTAAAAGTTTTGATATTCAAGTCTCTTTTTAATATAGTGTTTTTTCAAAAGTACCCTTGATTTGCCTTTTGTAAATTTTAACTATTTTTTTCATATATTTTATCTTACAACTTTATTTCTTTTGAAGAGTTATTGCATGTATTGCATCACAAAGCAGCAGTTGACGTTACAAACATATTTATAAGTTGTATATTTGTTGATCTTAAAATAATAAATTAATTGTATAAATTTTGTTCTTGTCTTGATGATAGTTTATTATTGTTGATTTTGCTATGATAGATTGTTCTAGAATGAAATAAACAGAGATATGAGATTTTAGCAAATATCAAACAATATACTACTGAATATTTGTTGTAATTATATGGTTAATTTTTGATTATTTTTAAAGAAAAATCACTTAATGTATTTATATATATAAAGTTAAAGTTTTTCTCATATTATAATTTTATTTTATTTAAAGTTTTTCTGTGTATTACTAAGTTTTTTCTTTGTATATGAAAAACAGAAAGAAAGGGATTCATTTCATTATTGACTATATTGAAGACAATATCTAACTTGAGTAGTACATACTTACCTTAATTTTTAACAAAATTGTAAACAAATGCTTCCAAAAATATAGTTAGTAATTTAAACAAAAATAATATATATAATTTTTGTTCACAAATTACTAGACTTTTAAATGTGTGACAGTAAGGTAATTGGTAAATTAAAATGATGTAGTATTAATCTAAAATAGGTGATGAAAAATAAATCTTTTTTTAAAATTAGTTTAAAAGGTGTCTTTTCATAAAATTCTCACATTTTTGTAAAATTTGTCAATTAAATGAATTATTAAAACTAAAAATAAACTCACCTTTACTAGATCCATATGAACAAAAAGGAAAATCGAAGATTGGTGGCTATAAAATGTCATCCTTTCTTTCTTCTTTTATTTTTCTAACAAATATTTTATTCAGTAAATGAATAGTCATGAAATAAAATTGCTCGAGAAGTTTTCTATGACTCAAAGAAATAATATGAGTTTTAAATTATAGTATATTTAAATAATAAATAAAAATAGGTTGTTCCAATTTATAGAGATTTTTTTAACTAGTTTTGAACTCGAATAAATTAATAAAGGATCCCGTATAGATCAACCAAAAAATAAAAAACAAAAAGAATCACATAAAACATTATAGATGAATAGATTAAATAAGCCCTCAATTAAAAAGACATTATCTGATCTGAATGAAAATATAGTAAAAGCAAAATATGCAATTAGAGGTCCATTATTGACTAAATTAGAAACATATGAACAACAGCTGATTGACAGACCCGAGTCTTTATCATTTAATCAAGTAACTAATGCATTAATTGGCAATCCGCAAGTATTAGATCAAAAACCGTTAACTTTCACTAGGTAAGTACTTTCTATTGTGCAAAATCCATCAATATTAGATCACAAAGATATTTTGTTTGAAAATAAGACATACAAAAAGGACGTGATTGAACGAGCAGAGGACTTAATATATAAAATTGGGAAATCTATGGGAGCTTACACGTTAACAAAGGGAATCCTTGGAATACGCCAAAATATCGCAAATTTTATTAAGGAGAGAGATGGTGAGAGCTGTGATCCAGAGGACATATATTTGACAAATGGCACTACATTTGCAATTATGAATATATTTAATCTATTTGCAAAAGATAAAAATACAGGTGTTTTATTACCAATACTACAATATCCTTTGTATACAGCATTACTGGCTATGTATAATTTAGAATTATTGCCATACTATTTGAATGAGGAAGAAGGATGGTCTATAGATTTAACTGAAATGGAAAATGTGATTAAGAAGTCAATGAGTAGAGGGATCACACCACAAGTGATGGTAATAATTAATCCAGGAAATCATACAGGGTCAATATTATCCTTTGATACATTGGCCAATATTCTGAAAATTGCTAATAAATATGGGATCATTGTCATCGCCGATGAAGTTTACCAACATAATATTATTAAAGCAGATGTACAATTCCACTCAATGAAAAAAGTGTTTAGGTACTTATAGAAATGAGCATTAAGTGTTGGAGAGTATGATAATCTGCAATTAATATCCTTACATTCCGCATCGAAAGGCGTGTCAGGAGAATGTGGTCAACGAGGTGGCTACATGGAAGTAATTGGCCTCAGGGAAGAAGTAAAACAAGAATTATTCAAACTATTTTCAATATCATTGTGTGCATGCACCTCCGGACAAGTCTTGGTAGATTTAATGGTGAGACGACCACGACCTGGTGAGGAGTCGTATGAATCCGATCTTGCAGAATGACAACTGATTCATGATAAAATGAAGTTAAGAGCAAAGAAGTTATATAGGATATTTAACAGTTTAAAAGGGTTTGAATGTGAAGAACCACAAGGTGGGATGTACTTATTTCCAAAACTAATATTACCTGAAAATGCTATTAGAGAGGCTAGACTGGCTGGGTATGAACCAGATGAATTTTATTGTCATAAACTTTCGGACTCCACTGGTATTTGTGTTGTTCCAGGGACAGGTTTTGGACAGAAACCTGGAACGTATCATATAAGAACCACCTTCTTACCTGCAGGCACCAACTGGATACAGGGATGGAAGGAGTTTCATTTACAGTTTCTCGAAAATTTTGCATCTTAAATAACATATGTCTATGTGTATATGTATATATATATATATATCTGTGTGTATATATATATACATTCTCAAATGTACTTAATATATTGCCATTTCCCTACTTTCTGGTTTTCGTGAGGTTAAAAATCTTCGATGACGTGTTTTTTGTCCAAAATTCTCATCTCGCAGAAAGAGAAAAACACAAAAAAAAAAAAGTCGAATCAGATCATCAATTTTGTTCTTCTCTTTTTTTTTTTTTATTTTCATGATGAGACAAACTTGGGGGACCCTCGAGGTTGGCAACAAGAATCTACTAAAAATAGAAGAGAGATAACAGAAGGAGACTGAGGGAGGGAATACAAATAAACACAAGTGTGTACACCCATGTATGCTATTCTATTAAGTACAGTGTTGTGGATCTGGTACATACATTTTTTTGCCATCAACGATTGTTTATTACCAATATCGATAAGGATAAAGAGAGGTCCTTTTTTTGTAAATATTTTATTTCACTATTGTTCTTTTAGTTACTCACATTTCCTTTCTTTTTAGTCTAAAGGGAAATTTTAGAAGTCATTAACGTTTGTTTGTTTGCTTAGGCCATAATTTCTCCATCGTGTTGCCTACGAGTCTATAACAACACTCATATTGTTAGGAATGTCGAATCAACAACATGTGGTGGCTCAAAGAATTATGCAAGAACATCAACAATTAATTAATACAGGACAACCAAATATTAATGATATGCGGAAAACCACAACTAGCGTATCTGTGAAGATTTGCACCAAATGTGGTAAACCAATTTATTCTGAAAATAATAAAAATAATGGAGCTTTAAAAGCATTGGGTAAATATTATCATGAAAGATGTTTTATTTGTTTTGATTGTCATAAGCCACTTAAACCTAAATTCTTTCCATTTCAAGAAAAACCAAAACAAGAACCTGTTTTGCTTTGTCAGTATCATTATTTTAAAAGACATAATCTGCTATGTAAAGTATGTGATAAGCCACTCCGAGGTTTATATTACACAGCTTTTGGAGGACGTTATGATGAAGAACATTTCTCGTGTACCATCTGTAAGGAACCATGTGGTGTCCAGAAATGTTTTATGTTTGATGATAAACTATATTGCAAATTCCATTTCCTAAAATTTTTCTCCAAACGTTGTAAAGGTTGCAATTATCCAATCTCAGATCAATATATTGAATTTCCAAAGGGGAATGAAATCCACTGTTGGCATCCGGAATGTTACGGAATTCACAAGTATTGGCGCGTCAATTTATCACCAGATAATTTAGGTTTACCAAATATTCCTTTGTTCAAATATGATCCAACTGTACCGTTAGACGATTCCAATTTTTCACCTCAAGATTTGGACGAACATATTCAAGCTTTTACTTTTATTCTAATAAAAACTTGGACTGTTCTATATAAATTTGAAGAAGCTACTGCCTCGTGTATCTCCGATATGTTCCAATATTTATCGAGTTCTGAACAGATGAAAGGTATTGAATCTACTGCTTTGTTCGTTTTAAAACTTGAATGTTTGTTTAAAGGTCTTAACAATTTTAGTGATTTTAATTGCTTTTTACCACAAAATACTAATTCTGTGACAGATAAATCTGATTCACCAACCACTCGGTCCGCAAAGACAGATGCATCGGTTTCAATAGACTCAAATAGTTTACCAACAAAATATAAGCTACTAACAAGGAATTTAACTACGAAGATAATGATATATTTACAATTGTTGAGGAAAATTAATACACGGACAGATTCTGTAGTAGCATCATTCATGTCAGTAATAACAGGGTTAGCCCATTTTTTGAAATTGATTTTAAGGTTTGGTTTTCATACAGCCTTGGAAACAAATAAGGCTACACATTCGTCAAAACCCTTAATTGAATTCCTAAATGCATTAGAGAAGAGTGAATTATTTGATAAATATCCATTTAATAACATTTCAATACCAATTGTGACAACAGATAACTGTAGTGGATGTCAAAAATATATTCAAGAAGAATGTATTCGGTTTGAAGATAAGAGATGGCATTTACAGTGTTTTACATGTTCACGATGTAATACATTGATAAATTTCTTGGATATAAATGATGCTACATATAGGGGGAATACAAATGAGAAATTGTGTTTTAACTGCTCATTGGGAGATCCTAGTTCGGTACCAGGCTTCAAACTTGTATCCAGATTGTCCCAATTAATATTTTTATTGAAAATTGCTCTAGTAAGATCTAAAGCTGTTCTAACTGCACAATTACGAGAGCCACAATTAAAGGAGAAAAGGAATAATCAAAGAGACTCGGTAGTTATACAGCAAACATATATTAGAACTTTAAACGATATTAAAAGACTGCGGTCTAAAAGGGAAAGTGTTCGGATATCATATGATAAACAAGAGGCCAGGAAATCAGTAGTTTTAAATACAGATGAAGAAGATATTAATTCAAAAAGAAATAAAGGAACTTCAACAGGTTTAATAATAGAAACTGAAAAACTTTTACCAATACCTGAAAAGGAGAAGGCTACAAATCCGGAAAAAGTTTTTAATAATTTAAGATCTTTAACTTTAGATGATATCTCAAGGATCGTGGCAGCAGAACAGGCCAGAGAATTGAGGCCAAATGCATTTACTCATTTTAAAAAGCTCAAGGATAGTGAAGAAAACTTAGGAGTTCACCAGACGGGAAGTGGTGTTTATTACTCAGAATTAGATGAAAAAGATTTGAAAGTAATTAAGATTATAAGCTCTGCAATTCTTTTAGAAGAGAAACAACTTACTGAGGAGGAATTTACTTATTATGTTTCTTACATTTGCAAAGAAAAGGCTTTACTATCACAAGAGTCAAATTTCTGGAATTCTATGAAAACTGTTATGGGTATGAAATCAAGGAAACCGACTCCTAAAAAGGTTTTTGGATCACCATTAGATATATTAACTGAGAAGTGGGGGATTCGTTCAGATCTTGGAGTAGGTCCTATCAAGATACAGATCCCTATTGTTTTAGAAGAGCTAATTTCATCACTTCGACAGATGGATATGTCTGTGGAAGGTATATTCCGTAAAAATGGTAATATTAGAAGATTGAGAGAATTAACTATTATGATAGATGAACATCCATTAGACATCCCTGATTTATCTAAAGAAAATGCGATTCAATTGTCGGCCTTATTGAAGAAATGGATAAGAGAACTACCAGATCCAATTTTAACAGTAGAATTATACCCTTTATGGATTAAAGCAGCCAAAATTGAATCAGATGTTCAGTTGGGGAAAGTGTTATCATTAATATATTCTTTGTTACCTGTAATTAATAGGAACACGTTAGAAGTGATTTTATCATTTTTATATTGGACGGCTTCATTTTCACATATTGAAAACGAAATGGGGTCAAAAATGGACATTCATAATATATCTACTGTAATTGCACCAAATATTTTATATCAGCCAAATAAATGTGAAATGGAATTGCAACCTATGGAATCATCAGCGAATGATTTTGCCGAGAATCAAGGTCAACATCACTTTTTGGCTATTGAAATAACAAATTATTTAATAAAACATAACGAGGAGATTGCAATTATCCCCAAGTTTTTATACGTGTTATTAAGTGATATTAAATCACAAGTAGGTACACAAACAATTAATGTTGAACGAATTAAAAATTATGTTATTTCAAAAGTTCGGGATAAAAGTATAGATTATGCAGAATTTGATAGAAAAAATTCTATGCGAGTGAAAAATTCCAATGTAATTGCATTCCAAAGTGAAAATATTAGTAATATTCGTTTGTGAAAGAACATATTCACATCTCATTTTGTTTCATTTCTGACTAATAATCTTTTAGTTTTTCCTTATGTGTATATAAGAAGGTATTTTAGGTATTACCTTTGTTTTCGGTTGGCATTATAGTATATAAGATAATTAAGTAAGAACTTTAAAAGTTGTAACATTAGTAGCAAAAAAAAAAAATAAAACAACAAAATTAATAAAGTAATACAATAAATAATAATAAGTGGTTTCTATTAGTACTCTCATATATATAATACGTAGACATTACAAGATAAAACATATGGATATTAGAATGTATAAAATTAGCTATTTGTAAAATGATATTTATTTTTTTTTGTATCTGTATTTTTAATTGGAATCAGGAGAAGTGACTGGCCAAGTGTAGCCAGATTTAGTAACTTCAAAATGGTTTTTCCTTAAATAATCACTTAAATCCTTTGGACCTCTAGAACCGTATGGATAGATTTCCGGTTGTGGTGCATCTGGACCTTCCAAATATTCCAATAATGGAGTGAAAAGAGCCCAAGAGACGTCTAATTCATCGTCTCTTACGAAGTTGGAGTGATCACCTAGCAAAGCGTCTCTAATCAAGGCTTCATAAGCCTCTGGGATCCAGAAATTCTTGAATCTTGTTGCATAAGTTAGGTCTAATTCGGTGACTTGAGTTTCATTGGATAAACCTGGGACCTTGGCGTTAAATTTAAAGTAGACAGCTTCGTTTGGTTGAACTCTAATGACTAGCTCATTATTTGGAATATTGTTGAATGCACCGGTGGCAACGCTCTTGTATTGGACTCTAATTTCGACTTTACCGTCATTCAAGGCTTTACCTGCCCTCATTATAATTGGGACGCCATCCCAGCGTTCATTTTGGATATTGAAAGTCAAAGCAGCGAAAGTTATGCATTTACTGTTTGGACTGACAGTTTCGTCATCTAAATAAGCTGGTTTTGTACCATCTTCGGATTTACCATATTGACCGATGATGATATTATTGACATCGATTGGGGCCATAGATTTTAAGACTTTCACTTTTTCATCACGTACAGCCTCTGCGTCGAAGGACACGGGTCTTTCCATAGTTAAGAGTGTCAGGATTTGTAAAAGATGGTTTTGCATGACGTCTCTGATGATACCTGTATTATCGAAGTAACCACCACGACCTTCGGTACCGAATGGTTCCTTAAAAGATATTTGGATGGATTGGATATTGTTTTTATTCCAAGAAGAGCCGATTGACAAGTTACCGAATCTAAAAGGCAAAAGATTCTTGACCATTTCTTTACCTAGATAGTGGTCAATTCTGAAGATTTCGTCTTCTGTGAATAGTGGGGACAGATCCTTTTGTAATTGTCTGGAGGACTTTAAGTCGTGGCCGAGTGGTTTTTCCACGATAACTCTAGTGATACCGTTGGTGGCGTAAACCAACTTTTTAATTTGTTTTGCGACAGATAAGAAGACGCTTGGTGGTAGAGCAAAATAGAAAAGACGGTGTGGTTCGTGGACACCAGCCTTGGTTTCGAAGGTCTCGATATGGGATTTTAGTTCCAGATAACCTTCATCGGTGTCATAAGGACCGGATATGTAAGATAGCATATTGAGGAAATCCTGAACTTTTGGGGTATCCTTATCTCCATTTGGTGTTTTTAAAAATGGTTTGATTCTATTTTTCAAATCATCACAAGTTAATTTAGATCTAGCATAACCTATGATTTTAGTAGATGGGTCTAGATAACCCTCTCTATAAAGACCAAACAAAGCAGGGAAAGTTTTCTTTTTAGCCAAATCACCAGAAGCCCCGAAGACGGTGATGACAGTGTTTTTATCGAATTTAACAGGATGAGCAGTCATTTTGTTGTCGTTATTATTATTGTTATTATTATTTAAAAGATCAGAACAAATAGAGGAGATTTCAGTTTAAGTAATTAATCGATTGATTGATTGATTTATATAATTATATATTTATTTAATTAATTATATTATTTTTGTTTTTGTTTTTTTTTAAAAAAAAAATTGATTTTATTCTATTAAATTGAATAGAGGAAGTGTATAAGGGCTTATAGAATTGATTATGAATAAGAAGTTGAATGTGTTTGTGTGATAAGTTTAATGTTTATAAATTTGTTTTTTTTGTGATGTTTTTTATTTATTTCTTTTTTTAATATTTTTTTTTGTGTTTACTTTATTGACTGCACTTCAAATGAATATATAATCGAAAACACGAAAGTGGCAAAGTTTGAGCCAATGTGGGTAGGTGTTGCAACAAGGATGAGAAGAAACGGGTAAAGTGCTAAATAGTTGATATATATATATATAATAGGTGATGTTTCATATATATAGTCTATTTAAAATAAAAAGAAAAATCAAGTAAGGGATGAGGCAAAGAGGGAAAATATGAGCATATTATAGAAAATAAGAGAAAGAAGGAAAAGAAAAACGAGAAAGGAAACAGAAACAGAATTGAAGACTGATAGTAGGAAATACGTGTAAGACTCAAATTGGGTCTCATGAGAAGAAAGTTGTGTTATTCGAGATGAGTATATAAGGGAAGAAGATGGAAAATAAAACAAAAAAGAACATTTATCTAACAAGGAGAGGGAACCAAGAGATTATGTAATAATATTTATGGTGTGCCCATTAGTTTGGAGATTATCATTGTAATGTGTTTCTCTCATTTTCTTTCTCTATGTGTGTGTGTGTGTGTGTGTGTGTATTTGGTGTCTGCGTTAAAGTAAGTTTAGTTGAAAATATTCAAAGTTGTTTTTGTGTTTGAAGGTCTTCTCTTTCTTTTCTTTTCTTTTCTTTTCTTTTTTTCGCCGTTGTGGTGGAAAATTGAAAATGCAAAATGAGGTGTCGTTTAAATTTGTGGTAAAAAAAAAAAAAAAGAAAGAAGAAAAAAAAAAAGGGGGAAAAAGGGGAGAAAAAGAGTGGAGGGTCGGAGATAGGAGATAGGAGAGAAGTGGATCACATGACTTGGAGAAATAGAGGAGAGAGACGTTTGTATTCGGTGCGATGTCTGGGTCTTGGTATAAGTGTAATAAGGTTCTTTCCACTTTTCTTTTCTTTTATTTTTTTTGTTTTTTTGTCTTTTTTTTTCCTTCGCATCTTCTTTTCTTCTTATTTTCTTACTAATATAATACACACAACTTTAGAGCAGAGAGGGAAAAAAGGACAAAAAAAATACAAAAAAAATCAGTGGATAGAGGAAAACAAGTTATTATTATTCAATTTACCCTGGTAAATCTGCGTTCACAACAAATACCTCTCATATATGAACTCCATGTAAATTGGACGGACTCAAGGTATCACGTTCTTCTCTACAAGCCCTAACTGCAAGCAAGTATGTATGTATGTGAGCAAATTAGAGGAAAATAGAGATGGAGAAGGAAGAAGGAGGAGGGAAAAAAAGAAAAATGGTCTATGATATTTTCTTCTATTTCTTATACACTTAATCTTCTTTTTTTTTTTTCCTTGTTCTTGTTTTTCCGGAAAATCGGGATTGGCGGCAAGTAAATCCCGCATGCTGGATCCCGTGTGTATGAAAGTGAAATATTCTTGGCTGAGATGAGGTCGGAAGAAGAAAGAAAATAGGACAATTTTTCGTGTAATTATTAATCTACTATCAGTCCTAATACTCTTTGTTCAGTTAGATATTGATAAGAACACACACACACACATATATATATGTGCAATTGTGTAATTGCATAACTGTGTAATGGTGTAATTATATATATAATATATAATATATGTGTACGCGTATGTATTTATACACTTGCTGGTGTTTAGTCGTTATTGATAAAATTTCATTATCACATTTCTCTTTATAAACTACACAAATGTTCCATGAGTGTCTTCTTCCCTTTTTTTGTTCTTTTTTCTTTTACTCTTCACTACGTAATGCTTTAATGACAGCTGGCCGTCTCATCATATGTTTTGTCCATTTATATACCTCTGGGAATTCTACTTTAATATTAATGCCAATCCTGTCTACAACATTATTCCATGGCACAAATGATAAGTCCGCTATCGTGATTCTATCGCATACCAGCCAAACAGGGTAATCAAAGAATCTACTTTGGCTTATCGGTGTAGTACCTGCAGAATAGGAGGCTGCATTCTCCGTATCCAATTCCATAATCAAAGCTTCCCTTCTCTCTGCTAATGCCATCTCAATAACACCGTAAACACGTCTTACCTCGTCCGTATAACGTTCCAACGCACTTGGTATCTTTTCGGAATGGAAGTATCTAAAATGTAAAGCTTGTCCAATCATTGGTGCGTGGCCAGTGGTTTGGAAAAATAACCATGCGTTGATCTGGGACTGTTCTGCTAAATTATCTGACCAAAGTTTCGGATCACCAGTCTCTTTCCAATATTTATTGACTAAATGTAATAAAATTGCACCAGATTCCCATATTGATAGTCCATTCATACCATGATCAATTAATGCAGGAACACGAGCGTTCGGGGTGATAGAGATGAACTCCGGTGCACGGTGCTCCCCACGATTAAAATCAAGGAAAAACGTGTTGAACTGTAAGCCTAATTCACAAAGAACTATGGCTACTTTAAACCCATTTGGTGCAGATCTATGTGAAAATAACGTGTAACCAGATATTGGTTGCATTTGGAAAAATCTCACTAATCTTGAATTGTCAATATGACTTAAATCATTAGATAATTGATGATGTTGTTGTGGAATAATATTACTATTTTGATTTATAGCAGTCTGTGCATGTCGAAGATGCATTTGCTGTTGTATGTCTATATTGGTAGTGTTGCTACTGTTATTATTATTACCATTATTGTTAGGATCAGTGTTACTACTAGTGTTGTTGTTATTGTTGTTATTATTGCTGTTGTTATTGTTATGATTATTATTGTCTACACTACTACTGTTATTTTGGATATTTATGTTATTTCTTGAAGAATCATTTTTATTGTTATTTACTATACTGTGATTACCATGATTACTGTTATTATCATCTTGTAAATTCACATTTCTTAAAGCATTAGATAAATTAGAAAGTTGGCTGGAATTTCCTGTAAAAGTATTATTCATTGTTCTGCTAAATTTAAGTGAAGCTATGAAAAATTCTTCTTCTTATTATTATTATTATTATACGTATGTATATCTGTATTTGTATGTAAGATAATTAGATTTATTCAGAACTAACTGAATTCTCAATAATGGTTTCGTATAGATATCTAATCTAGTAATTTTATTCTTCTAAATAACAATTGAATAACATTCATACGTGTTCTCCCGTTATCAAGCTAAAACACAACAATGAAAATAATGTAAATTAAATTAAAACGACAAATGAATAAAAAAATGAAGATGGTAATGACAAAGGACAAGTCTTGATGGAAGTCTTCCTATTGAAGTAGCAACATGTCTTTTTCGTCCTCTCTTCGTTGAATTTGTTATTTTTATCTAAGATTAAGATTGCTTTATTTGATAGGAGAAAAGAAAAAACAAAAAAAAAAGAAAGCAGAGGCAAAAAATTTCACAAAAAAAATCAAAACCTATGTTTTGGCTAGCAAAATTACATTGGTAACCGCGAGGTGATGAACTTATCTCTCTATGGCAACTGAGTATAACTCACAGCACTTTATATATTAATCTTGGTATAAATCAATAACAGGCACGCAAATAGATAAATTAATAATTTTATCTATGCTAAATAGCTTATATGTACGCAAATATATATTGTTTTATTTTGTAAAAAAATTTATTGGTGTGTCATAATTTCAGTAGCACTTCATCTAATAAAGTATCCAATTTTGTCTGCAATGGATGAACTATGTTATTTAATGAGGTGTCTTTTTGGAACTGTTGAAACGCTTCTTTTTGATATTTGTTGAAATTAATTTTTTGACCAGTCAATTGATAATTGATATTCCCGATAAAATATATGGATAAGTTTCTTTCGTATTTTAAGGATATACTAATTTTTATTAATTGTGTTCTAATTTTGTCTATTGGTATATCTAAGAATATTACCAATTGTTTTACTATGTTTTGTAATTCAACATGAGACATCATTTCAATTCTTTCTAAATCTTTTTTTGACTTATTTGAATCTCTGTTAATCCCCTTTAATTGTTTCCATCTCAATTTTTGGGCTAAATCACCTTGTAACTTATTATATTGATCACTCAAATTATTCAGAGTCACATTTTGTAGTTGCACATTTTCATTTAATTCATTATTCTTCGCTAATTCAATTTTCAATTGGGATTGTGTGTCCTTTAAAATATTTTGTACAGTTGTTAAATTATTCTTTAATTCATTGTTTAAATTAATTTGTCTAGAATAATCATTTGTTAAGAGGCTTAATGATTCAACTATATTTTTGTCTTCTGCTATACAATTTTGTTTATTATCCAAGTTTTGTACTTGTTCATATAATATTTTTATTCCATTTGTTAGACTATTTCCTTGTTGTTCGATTACCTTCGTTATTGAAGTTATAAAATGTCGTAATTCTGTATCCATATCATGAAAATTTTTAAGTGATTCAATCTTTTCAACAACCTCTCTTTGTAAACTTTGAAAACTTTCTTTCTGACTAATATTAGAAAACGACGTTATATTAGGGAAATTTTTTTTGAAATATACCTCAAATGATATATCATTTCTTGTATCCTTCATATATTCTAACAATATTTTACCAATTGGAATTGTAAACAAATCTATCTGCTTGAGTTTATCCTCCTTCTTTTGAAGATTAAATATTCTTTCATTGAGTTTTTGTAGCTGTATCTCCTTTTCTTGAAGTGCTTTATTAGCACTTTCAAGTTGTTTATTTTTTTGATGCAAAATCTCATTACATTTCGTTTCATAATTTTTGATGTGTTTATTAAAAATTGATATTTGTAACTCAATCCGTTTAGTATAGTTCTCCTTAATATTAAATATTTTTTTTTCTAGTATCTGAAAATCAGAAATAATTTGTTGAAATTTATCCTTTTGAATGTCAAATTTTGAGATATTATCCATCTTTAGTGATTTAATATTTTGAAGAAGAAAATCCAATTGCTTTTCTGGTGTTTGTGTAATAAATATAGGGTTCATATTCTTTTGTGTTAATGGTTCTTTATTTATGCGATTTTCTTTGGTTTCATTGTATATCATTTTTTTCTCTGGAGACTGTTTAGCAGACACAAAAAAATTTTCCTTATCATTGTCAAAGTCGTCTTTTGGTTTTTGTATTCTTAGGTCTTTTTTTGTTGAGATTGTATTGTGTTGATCCAACATTTCTTTATATTGTTTATATTTGAAATTTAAAATGTCACAAAATTTGATCAATGTTCCTTGAGAAACAATATTGGTTATTCCAACAAAATATCGTTTCTGATATATTTCACAAAGATATAAAGCGTCGTTCAATAGAGCCTGTTTTGAATGTTTATTGTTTTCACGGAACTGGTCGAAATACATGAAGTGTTTTTTGTAGTCTCGACAACCTTGTAATAACTACATTATAACTTTTTATTTTATTATTTTATGATGACATTTTTAACAAGGATTATTTTTTTGTACTTGAAAAGAAAATTCCAACAAAATATAAATATAACACGATGAAAAAAATACAAATTTTTAAAGTAATGTGAAAATCAAAAAATTTAGACATATAAACTCCTATTTACTCATCATAGATAAGATTTACTTCTAATACCACATTCTTGACCTCCTACCCATACTGCTTGTACATTTCTATCATCACCATTAAAAAACCACTTCTCTAATTTTTCAGTTTCTTTATCCCAGGGGAACAAATCTATCTTCGACCCCTCCACTGTTAGATTAATTAATTGACAATCAAATTGTTTATTGACTTCAAACGAACCAACTTGATCTTGTAGACCCATTACATATGCTCCACCTAAAGTAGCTAAATATAAACATTCTGTCACTGAAATTTTACAATCATCATTTCCCTCAACTGAGGCAAGCTGCCTTGATACCATATGTGCATGTCTAGCTACTTCTAAGATACTTGTAGTATACCCAGCTGATGTATCAGTGCCTAGGCCTACTTTAATTCCTTTATTCAAAAATTTTCTGACAGAACATAAACCAGAAGATAAACAAGAGTTTGAAATTGGGCAATGTGCAATTCCAGAGTTTTTACTTTTAATCGTATTTAATTCTAAGTCATTCAAATAAATACAATGTGCTAAGATAGTTTTTTCGTTTAATAGTCCGTTTTGATTATAAACCTCTGTGTAATTCGCATATTCTGGAAACAAATCGTGAACCCATTCCAATTCATTTAAATTTTCCGAAAGGTGTGTTTGTATAGGTAACTCATATTGTTTAGCTAATTTACCCAAATTACATAAGAGATCCTTATCACAAGATGGAGCAAATCTTGGTGTGATAATAGCGTTAATTTTTGGATTATTGATGCTATTGATATGTTCAATGAATTTCTTAGTTAAATTTATTGACGTATCCGTAGAAGGTTCAACGTAATAGGCGGGCGAATTTTGATTCATACATATTTTACCTATAAAACTTCGTTGATTATACTCAGAACATAAGTTGGCAAGTAATTTTGTAGATTCTAAGTGAATCGTTGCGTAGTAGGCTGCAGTGGTAGTCCCATGAGACAAAGTTCTTTCAATAACCTTAGAATAGACTATTTTAGCAATATTTAGATCTTTCAATTTATTCTCCAAGGGAAAAGTGTATTCATTAAGCCATTCCAGTAAACTCATTTTACCAAAGAGACCATTGTTCGGATATTGTGAAGCATGAATATGCGTATCCACAAACCCGGGAAAGAGAAATGCATAACTATTATTATTATTATTGTTATTGCAATCTACAATCTTAACCTCATCATGTTTCAAGTTTGGATCCCAATTTGATGCTAATTTAAGCAAATCGTCATGAAAGTTTTCTTGAATAAAAACAATTGAGCCACTCTCCGAATTAACACCAATAGCACAACTACTTCTAATCCTAAAACCGGCTTTTAAAGATGGTATGTCAATAAACTTTCCATAGAAAATAGTTAATTTGTATTGAGACTTCATCACGACAGCCGCTTTACATAAAAAAAGACAACGCCAAAAAAACGGAACCTACTTTAAACAAGAAAAAAAATGGAACAACGAGTAACAAGTTGATCAAAAATATCATCGTCGCATACGTTAAATAATCTAAGCATCCATTAATATTATATAACCTTATAATTCAACTTGTCTTACACTGGCCAATTAAAAAATAACAAAAAAATAGGACACCATTATCATCAAGGTTTACTCATGTAAAATGTGCAACAATAATAATGAAACTCGATATTTTTTATCACTCGAATTTTTTCCTATTGTCTGTCTGTATTTGTCTTTTATTCCTTTGCATCACCAGATCATTTCTCGAGGAATCTGATAGGAGAAAGGAAAGAAGTGGGATATAACCCTTGAGAGATTTCCGTTTTTAGATTTACTCTTCCTCTTCCTTTCTGAGGGCAGAGGCCGAACTCCATCAAAAAAAAATTCTTCAAGATACCCTAACCAATAAAGACAAAAAAACGTTAACACCCTTACAAACACATAGCCTAATAATGCAAGATGTGAGTACAATCACTTTTTTACCAATAAGAAAGAAAACAGAACCCTAACAACTATAACAAATTGGTTCCTCCCCTACAGATAAAATAGTATTGGTTTGCTTAATAGTACTGACTTGTCCCAAGATAATGTCAAAAATATTTTTTATCTCATTGTGTTATTAAATCACAACTATAAGTCAATTAACAAAAAAATTAAAAAAAACAATTTTTTATAGGGTATTTCCTAATCAGGATTATAGAAATAAAAATTCCCATTCAATCAATCTTTCTCTACTCTCTCGAAGCTCAAAAGGAGGAAATCATGTCACACGGCAACAAACAATCGGAATAAAGAGACTGAGTTACTTTTTTTTTTACCCAGTATGTCCTGTATTTTTATTACTCGTGTAACAAAAATAACGAATATAGAAGAATCTTTATATATTATTATTTTTTTACTCAGATAATTTTTTACTCGGAAAATTGATTCTGTCTGCTTCACAAAATGAGAAGTGGAATTAATAATTTATTAAAGTACGATTTATATTAGTTTTAATTTTTTTTTTTTTGAATATTTTTGTATAAGGTGTAAACACCTCTTTTATAGTGACCAAAATTCTAAGCTCGAGTACTACTTTTCTAGTCAACCCTACTTCTACTAGCAATTGCGTTTTCAAAGGAGAAAATGAATATATTAATTCTTTTCTTTAACGGAGAAATATATATATTGACAAAAATTATCAATAAAAATTGATGAAATGTACAACTACAACTGAATTTCGCTAGACTACTAAAACAGAATAAATACTTAATTTGTTTCTGTTTATAGAGTATTATTCTTTTTAAAGCGTGTCTAATTCTTTAAAGGTTGATAATACACACGCTCTTAAAAATTAAAAAGAAAATGAACTAGCCCTACGTAGGATACTTTGTACAGAGAAGTCGATTTGCCTCACTTTGAACGGAACTTACATTTAACTAGAAACTTGACCCTCTTCTATTGTTATTATTCCCCAGTTAGAAACCACCCTAACATTTTCTTTTTCTTTTTCTTTTCCTTTTTCTTTTTTTTTTTTTTTACTTTTTTATCAAAAATTTCCTAACTCCAAAAGAAAGAAAGAAAATAAGATAGACGTTCAATAAAAAAAAATGAAAAAAGAAAGAATATAATAAGATTGGACCAGAACGGGGTACTCATTTTTTTTTGTCAACATTATTAATTTATGTTATTATTACAATATTCGGTCTATTTAATTTTTACGCAATGAAAATTTTCCCTGCCCTACCTAAATGGAAAGATGGAAAACTGAAAACACGCGTTGTAAAATCGTCGGATGATAAGGGTTTTGTTTCTTTATTGAACAACTTGTACGACACTCCTCTGATTAAGTGCGGGGTGGTGACATAAAATTACTGTCCAGCCCTACATGCATTCTTGAAAAATGCATACTAAATGAAGAAAATGCATCAAAGACCTATATATCTGATGACAATAAAGTTTGACTCTTTTCATTTCTTTTTTTTTGTAATTGGTATCAGATTCTTTTGTTTCCAAAAGTTACTCGAGACAGTTAATAACCCAAAAAAATTACATGATCTTCTTTTTTAATTTGAGATTAAATTCAATAATAAATAGTACCATCATACGGTCTATAACATTGCATCCAAATAGGGTAATTGGAAACATGGATATAATTTGTTTACATATATGTAAATGACTAAGTAACTAAATATAAATATATATATATATATCAGTTCGATACCCATGTTTCTTTGAATTCGTAGACATCTCACATTTTCCACATGCCTTTTGTTGTGTTATAATTCTTGCTTTTTCTCTCTCCGAATCACAATAAATTTATAAAGCTAAACAACTTTTATTGTTGTAATGTCCTTCGCATATTGCAATTTTTTCTTCTATCTTCAAGTATCTACGCTTGAAAACATTATATCTTGAAAGTAAAGGATAAGGAAACACAGACACTTTATATAGTTCATTTGCGTACGTTCCCTACATCTTAGGCAATCATATCACAGCAGAGAACAGTTCTAACTAATACAAATCTACAAGGACAAACATAAAAAATGGTCAACGTGGTTTTAGGTTCCCAATGGGGAGATGAAGGTAAAGGTAAATTGGTGGATTTATTAGTCGGTCACTATGACATTGTGGCTCGTTGCGCTGGTGGTAACAACGCCGGTCATACTATTGTGGTAAATAATGTCAAGTATGATTTCCACATGTTGCCATCTGGTTTAGTAAATCCAAATTGTCAAAACTTGTTAGGTAACGGTGTGGTCATTCATGTTCCATCATTCTTTCAAGAATTGGAAAATTTGGAAGAGAAAGGTTTAAAAAATGCCCGTGAGAGATTGTTCATTTCTTCCCGTGCCCATTTAATCTTTGATTTCCACAGAAGAACCGATAAATTAAGAGAATTGGAATTAGCTGACCATTCTAAAGATGGAAAAAATATTGGTACCACCGGTAAAGGTATTGGTCCAACTTACTCTACCAAGGCTTCTCGTTCTGGTCTTAGAGTCCATCATTTGGTTAACGATAACCCTGGTGCTTGGGAATTTTTCGTATCCAAGTATATGAGATTATTAGAGACAAGAAAACAAAGATATGGTGATTTTGACTACGATTATGAAGAAGAATTAGCAAGATTCAAGCAGTACAAAGAACAGTTAAAACCATTTGTTGTTGACTCTGTGGTTTTCATGCACAATGCTATAAAAGCTAACAAGAAGATTCTTGTCGAAGGTGCTAATGCTTTAATGTTAGATATCGACTTTGGTACTTACCCGTATGTTACTTCCTCTTCCACTAGTATTGGTGGTGTCTGTACTGGTCTTGGTATTCCACCACATGTTATTAATGATGTTTATGGTGTTGTCAAGGCTTATACTACCCGTGTTGGTGAAGGTCCATTCCCAACCGAACAACTAAACGAATTTGGTGATAAATTGCAAACCATTGGAGCAGAATTCGGTGTTACTACTGGTCGTAAGCGTCGTTGTGGTTGGCTAGATTTAGTTGTTTTGAAATATTCAACTTTGATCAATGGTTACACTAGTCTAAACATCACTAAACTGGATGTCCTTGATACATTCGAGACCATTCCAGTTGGTGTATCGTATTCCGTCAATGGCAAAAAACTAGATTTGTTTCCTGAAGACTTAATGACTTTAGGCAAAGTCGACGTTGAATACGTTAACTTACCTGGTTGGAATCAAGATATTACCAAGATTACTAAATATGAAGATTTACCAGAAAATGCTAAAAAATATTTGAAATTCATTGAAGATTTTGTTGGCGTCCCAGTAGAATGGGTTGGTACTGGTCCAGGCAGAGAATCTATGCTTCACAAAGACATTAACTGAAAAAAATGGATGCAAGTTTTCATTTTCATTTTATTTATTCATTATTTTTTATTGGACTTTTTTACGTCCAGCGCCCAATGATAACTTCATGAAGAGATAAGAACCTTATAAATAAGAAATCAAAAAAAAAAAAACGAACATTTGATTAATAGAGCTTAGAATTATGTTATTATTTACGATTAAGTAATTTGTATGTATATGTATCTATATTATTGTGGTTAAAACAGAGAATTAAACTGGTAAAATAATATCTTTTATATGTTATCTAGTAACCGTTTTGCAATTGGAGGTAAGTACTATCCACAACTAAAACTAACGAGGTTATAAAACATCACCGGTTGCACGATCATTGTACCCATATTAACTAATTAATGGATACCAATAAATAATCTCACTATTGCCTTCAATTTATTTCCAACTGTTTTTTATATTTACCTTATTGCTTTTTTTTGAACCTTGACTCAACTTCCGTGTTACAATAAGAACAAAAGAAAAGTGAAAAAAGAAAAAAGAAAAGAAAAAAAGAAGGTAAATTTATTTCTCGATGCTCCAAAATTGATCTCTCAATATTTTTTTTAAATTTGATTATAGTCAAGCCATCTACGTTAATAAATATACACGATCAACATCTTGTAGAACAAACAGTGATCCTGCATAATTAAAATCACCTCAATATTCTTATCTTATCTAAACAGTTTACTGAACTATAAACAGGTCACAAAATACAATTACATAGGTAACTAGTTCACTAACTGTGTTGAACCAGCTTTGAGTATTTATCTTTAAATTCAATTTTTCTTCGACTTTTCAGACACAAGTTGCCACATGACTACCTCTACTGATCCAATTAAAATAGCCACAAAAAAGGAAGCTGAAGAATTTTTCAATAAATTTGATACATTCCTTTTCGATTGTGATGGTGTCTTATGGTTAGGTGATTATTTATTACCATACACAAAAGAATTTCTAGACAAGTTGAATAAAATGGGTAAAAAAGTTTACTTTGTCACAAATAATTCCACAAGGGCACGTGCCTCTTATCAAAAGAAATTCAAAGCTTATGGTATCGATGTTAAAATTGATCAAATTTACACATCTGCTTTTGCATCTGCTATTTACGTTCGTGATTTTTTGAAATTACAACCTGGTAAAGATAAAATTTGGGTTTTGGGTGAAAGTGGTATTATGGATGAGTTAGAAACTCTAGGTTATGAAGCTTTAGGTGGTACAGATCCCCGTTTAAATGAACCATTCGATGCTAAGACATCACCCTTTTTGAAGGATGGTTTAGACCCAAATGTTCGTGCTGTTATTGCAGGCTTAGACCGTGAAGTTAACTATCATCGGTTAGCAGTGACTTTGCAATATCTAAGAGAGGGTGAAGATAAAGTATCTTTCATTGGTACAAACATTGACTGTACTTTTCCACAAAAAGATTATATTGTGCCCGGTGCTGGCTCTATCATCGCCTGTGCAGCTTGTTCCTCTAGACGAGAACCAATCTATTGTGGTAAACCAAATATGAATATGTTAGACAGTATTATATCACATGCTAAATTGGAGAAGTCTAAAATGTGTATGGTTGGTGATAGATTGAATACTGATATCAAGTTTGGTTACGAAGGTAACTTGGGTGGTACACTTTTAGTTCTTTCTGGTATTGAAACAGAAGAAAGGGCATTACATGTTACTGAGGAATACCCAAGACCAAGCTACTATGTTGGTAAACTTGGCGATATTTACGAATTAATAAAATAAAAATAACATCAAGAAAAGTATAAGATATCAATATTGATTCATTCACTACCTTCTTTTTTTCTTTCTTTTTTCTTTCTCTTTTTTTATTTAATGATATATACTAACAAACAATATGATAAACTTAAGATAGAGATATATAGTTATGTTATACACAATATGAAAATAGTATAGTATATACAAAGTTCCTATAGAATGATTTTATGATAACTTTACTATCCTTTATTATTCAAATTATTTATTATATATATATATACGTATACACACACACTTTTATATATTATGGAAAGATATTAGGTAAGACAAAAGTGTGCTAATTCAAAAAACTTTAAATTAAGTACAAAATGGTAATAAAATAAATTAATTATTGACCTAAAGTTCAGTTTTATAATACGCTGATAACTCTTTTCTCGCCAGTTTAAACTCAATCCTAGCTTGAATTAAAGCCTGGCTGATTAGATTCAGATATAACTCATCCCCAGAAGTATCTGTTTCTTTGTTATCTGATTCAGAAGAATTATCCACACATTTATCTTTGTCCTCAACTGTAATTGTAGATGGTAATGTCTTCAAAAGTTCTGATTTTTTAGGAAATGAATCTTCTGCCTTTCTACCCAAATTTTGGATTCTTTCACACACCCAAGCAATTCTTTGCAAACCTAGAGCTGCAGAGGATCCTTTTAAAAAATGTCCTAAATTGTCCAACTCCTTCAAGTCCTTGTCCCCATTTAAATGATCATCCATCTGATGAAAAGTAGTGGTTGCTTGATCAATATATTGTGTAATTAAACTTTTAGAAAATTCTGGATCATCTTCATCCATTGATATTATTTCATTAAGAATGCTCCAATTAATAACTTTTGAAGGAATTGTGTCTATCATTTTGCTCAAAATGTGTAACCTGTCTGACTGCTTGCTACTTTATATATAATCGTGTAAATGTGTCTACATATGTAATATTGAGGCAACAATATGTCTATTCTCACAATAATCATTGAATCTTATTCGTTTAAAATAATTGTTTCCATGCAATTTCAATATTTAAATATAGCGCAGTGGATTTTCTAAAGATCAAAAAAAGAAAGAAAAAAAAATCAATAGCTTACAGCTGACAGAGAAATTATAAACAAAAATATGCAATATTGTATTAGTACAGTATTAATAAAAAAAAGTAGAAAAGACACTCAGAGGCACAAAACCAAGAGAAGAACCCGCTCCGAAAACAAAACTTGATCATATACTACTATGACAGAACCATCAATTTTTATTGGTAATGCCATACAAAAAAAAGCGAGATTTAAATAACCGGTACTATATATAGAGAGTATCATACATTGAAGTATAAGATAAATACAAATCATTAAAAAAATAATTGTGTAAACCTCAATTTTTAAATTCACCAGGACTGCATTATATTGACATCATGGATAAAATTCAGTTTTAATTATACTATCCTTAAAAAAATTTTTGTTGCAAAACTAAATATCAATAATCATCATTGAATAATTAACTATTACATTTATCATTTAACTGATTCATGAGTTCTTGGTGGCTCCCGTTGAATAATTAAAGTCTTTTTAAGTAACAATTGTAAGTATGGGCTGTTATTAGGTGAATATTTTTTTTCATTTTCTTGATCTACTGGATGTTCTTCACCATTTGAATCAACTTCGTGTAATTCTACACCACTAGTAGTTATTCCGTTATCATTTGTGATGCCTGTTATAATTTCTTCTTCATCTTCTTGATCTGTGCCAGATGGTATTTGCTGCTGTTGGTGATAATAATTTTGCTGAGTTCTTCTATCCATCACATTCATTAATTTCTGAAAACGTATAAATAATAATTCACTTCTCACCATTAAATCATTCCAATCCATAGTGTTATGTAAATCATTAAAAAATTTTATTACTTGATCGAATTGATTTAAATGTTGTGTAATTGGTTGACTATTCTTTTGTAAAATGGCTAACATGAAGAATATTTGAAATTGCGAAGTGTAATAGTCGGTCCAAAATATTTCCCATATTGAGCAAACATCATTAAATGAAAATTCTCGTTTGAACCATACCAACAACATACGAAAACAAAAAAATAAATTAGAAGAATCACACCTCTGTAAATGCTCACTTAATTGTGGTAGCATCATTGTGGTTAATTCAGATAATGTCAACATTTGATCTCTTATACCTGATTGATCTCTTAAGAAATTTCTCTCCATTCTATCCATAAATTTAACAAAACACCAAAACGCTAAGACTTCATCTTGAAATACATAATATATTGGAGACAACAAATCACACATCCCTTGAACATATCCAAGATTATTATTTAGCACATTATATGTCTTTAAAATATCTCTTAATCTCAGTAGATGTGGATTATTAATCGACCAATTATCAGGGTTTTCATTATCAGGGTTTGAATCATCCTCATTTCCATTCCCCTTTGGTTTATCTGGTTTACCGTCTACTGTATTAAAATGATACAAGGGTATATTTCTATCATTTCTTAACACATCCTTATCGATCCTAAATACTTGATCATTCCAATATTCTTCCTCCTTCACCATTTCTTCTGTATCATCAAAACTCGTCACTCTAAACATCCACTTATTTTTATATTCCTGGTATGTTTCCGTTAAAGTTGCTAATATTTGATCCCTTTCATCTTTGGAAGAATCCCAAGGATAAACATCCAAAAGGAATAACCAAACCTCTTTCCTTAACTCCATTGTATCAATTCCTCCATGGAAAATATAATCTTTTATTTCATTAATTGTAATGCAAAGCCTACCTTGGGAATCGAAAAATGAATCCCATTTAGTTTTGGTCAATGGGAAACTTCTCTCCAAAGCTTTATTGATCTCTAATGGGGTGAAAGTTGTATCACCAGTGATATCAAACCCTAAATCCTTTGTTAATAATTTCCGATATGTATCATTCAATCGGTTGTTTAACTGGTACCTATCAACTTCTTCTTTAACACCGAGAGCCCATTTGGCTAAATATATACTTGCTGAATCGAAATCATTTTGAACTTCTTGAACCCTAGGGTTTTCTAACATTTGTTTTATATATCGATTTCCACGATTTCGATCAATAAATTGTATTACAGGATGCCTTTTAACTAAATTAGATACCAATAAACCTGTTTTTGAAGTTGCATTAGCGATCTGCGACATAACAGACCATTTTGTATCTTCAAATTTTTTCCAAAATTGATCTGATATAGTAGAACCATTATTATTATTATTATTATTAGTACTAGTGCTATTCAAGTCTGTTTGGTTTAATTTATCTGATGAAAAATTTCTTAAATCATCTAAAGTAGCGTTAATCAACCATACAGACTTATCTAACTGAGTTCTCTTTAAATCCACCAATTCACTAATTTTATTTCTAAGATCGATACCACCCCAATATACGTTTCCAGTGTTAGCGAACGGATCAAAGGATTTTTTCAATAAACTCTGTCTTTTTATGGTAGAAGGACATAGATCATCATGGAAGAATAAGACAGGCAAGATAGAATCTTCTATTGGTGACAAAGAATGCAATAATATCGATCCGTACCACCACCCACTAGGACTTGGGTCTCTGAATTCTATTGAATAAAGAGAATGCAATGAAACAGAAAAGGAACCTATAGAGTTGGATTTTGCACAATTAAGAATTTGTGAGTTCATTTTAATCACTTTTTTTGAATGATATGAATTAGTTGCAACATTCTCAATCAATTTATCTTCCTGTTTCAATAACCAAGCTCGTTGTGAATTATTTAAAGAAGTTATAGAAATCCATGAGAGAAGAGAATCAGATCCTGAGGGACCTGCAGCACAGGCAACACCATTATTTCCATCTTCATAATTCTGTGTAATAATAATAAACCCATTTAAATTATCTCTAGCATCTTTACTTCTATGAATATAAACCTGCGATTTACAAAACAATAATCTTGCTGTCATTTATAAACTGTTCAAAATGGGATTTGTTTTGAAACACTTCAAAAGAAGAGTTATGGTTATAGAGATTAGTGAATAACAATATATATACATATATATATATTATCTACAGACATGAACACAACTGTCATCAAATCTAATAATATTCTTATACGTAACTAAATGTATAAATAGTAGTATTACTACTATTTCAATACTGATTTTAATACTAATAATAGGCTTTTGCATCTTTTCTGTAGAGATGGCTTATTATCTTAAAATCAAAAAAAAAAAAAAAAACAACCCCTTGAAATAAAACCCTAGCCCGAAACCCTAAAATACTTGAACCCTAATTTTTGTTTCTTTTTGTTTCTTTTCTTTTTTCTCATTGTGTTAAACAACCCTCAAGGTTTTTTTAAGAAGACGAAAATCGTTCAAATCAACGTTTTGGGAGGAAAAGGAAGAAAGATTTAGAAGAACCGTCAACAGAGTATAGACTGCAGATGAGAAAAAAGTATCCTCAGTCCCTTTACATTAAAGAGACTGTGTTGATACCACCAATTGATTTAGACTAACTTTACATCAAACGGACCAGATATATACCAACAATCATAATAACAATTATCCATCGATGCCAGTGGAAAATGCAAATAATGTTGAATTGTCTTATTACGATGAGGAATCGGAAGAAGAGTCAGTCTATGAAAAAGACGATGCATATGATTATATAGAGGAAGAAGAAGATGAAGAAGAGGACGACGACGACGAGGAGTATGAAGATGAAGAATATATAGAAAGTGTGACTAAAAAAAGTAAGTTGAATAATAGACAATCTAAAATAATTAACAGAAGTTCTACTAGAATATATTCAAAAAAGAACAATGATACAAAAAATGATGAACATATTGTTAATTCTTCAGTAAGAAAAGAGATTGTTCCCATAATTAAGGATGATGATGATGATGATGATGAAAAAGAGGAAGAAAAAGAAAAACAAAATGAAATAGAATTCGAGGACAATCGACAGATAGCTATTGAGGAAGAAGAAGAAGAAGAAGATATAGATACGGATGAAGATGAAATTGAAATACCTGAAGTTAGTGAAACCCCAATGCCCGATGTTGAGGATATAGAGGAAGAAGAACAGGGGGAGGAAGAAGAAAATACAAGTACTAATGATTATCCAATTAGTCTAGATATAAACAGTAAAGAATCTACTGCAGATATATCTAAAAGGATTGTACGTTCTAGAATGTTAAAAGATATCCTAGATTATTCGGACTCAAACAATAAACAAGAAGAAATGTTAACCGAAGAAGAGATCCAATTACGTAAAGCAGAAAATGCACGTAAACGTAAGAATTTAAAAGATAAGAAATTGGAAGAAGAGAAAAGAGATACAATCAACAAGCTACTGAAGAAACGTGCGGGAAAGACCCGTTCTAGACAACAAGGTAATGATGATGAGAATTCCAAAGCTTCTACAAACAAAGACAGATTCATTAATGGTGATGATAATAATAATGCTAATCAGATAACATCTATCTTTCGAAAACCGAGACGCCCTTATTTAACGGATGGAATGGTTCGTACAATAATTGCTGCTGAAAAGATTCTTTACTGTCCACGAGATTGAAAAAACAATCTAAGGAAAAATATTATTCGTGTGATGGTTAAAAAAGAAATCCATTCACATTTCACTTAGACTTTAGAGAAACACAATTGAGTACTCCAAACCATCTTAAAGCACGTCATAATGATTCAAAATATGACACACTTAGAGGCATTACTGGCGCTATCATATAGCACGACTCTTTAGTGTAACTCTCTAAGATTAACATATTGGCTGTGGTGTCTGGATGTTTTATTTCTCGAGAATTTGTTCTTTTTTTTTTTCTTTTTTCTTTTTCTCGAGAAAAAAAAAATAGACACAAAAAAATATTTTTTTTTCTTTGCAAAACTACTTGAAGTTTTTTAACAATGTTAAGAAATACAACTGACAGCGATGTATCTGACACATTTAATGACAACGATAAACATACAATTATAGTGGTATAAAGAAGGGGAAAAGAAGTGAAAGAAAGAAGAAACAAAAGAAGAAGATTGTGGCAAATTGATAAATTGAAATGAAATAGATAGAAAGGAATCGTTTCTTACGTTTTTTAATGATAATACAAAAAATAACAGTATCAACAAATATTACTATATATATATAGATAGATATCAAGAAGCGCCGTTTATTTTATAAGCATATTATAACTATTCAATTGATAGCATCCCTGATTTTTTGACGCAAGTTATTTAACTATTAATTACTAATATAACAAGAAAGAAACAAATAAATAAGCAAATAAAAAAACAGTCAAATATATAACATTCTAATAAACACCATCCAGGTTTAATTATTAAATATTATGAACCAAAATAATCAAATCAATAATAATGAAGTACCCCTAACCGCATCCTACAATAATTCTCAGGCTATTTATAATCAGAGTAGGTTTTCTTGGGAGAATAACGTTGATATGAGAGGTTTCCCACCAAACAATAACAGAAACAACAATTTTGGGAATACTTCTTATGAATATCTAAAAAATAGGAATAGTAACAACGAGACTAATAATAGTTATGATAATGACAATATTAACCGTAATTATAATGACGCTTCCAATGCAAATATATCGAATTATTCACGCCATCAACAACAACATTCCATCAATCCACAAACAGATACTAATATACAACCGCCACAAGGACAACAATCACTTCAAAAAGAAGCAGTAAGTAATCCAGGTGGTACCCCAGTTGTTTATCAAAGTCACATGTCGAAACCTGTAATTTCTGGTACATCCATCACATCTCCATACATAAATGTGAATGAACCAACACAGTATAAGTCACCAAATTCAACTTCCACCAACACCACTAATAATAACAATGGAGAAACAGTTTTTTCAGAAGGTATGCTCCAAGATGCTGAAAAACTAAGACCGCAACCACTACCACCTGCATTATTTTCATATCCTATAAGGAAATATATTTCAAATTTAGCAATATTAAAGTTTCACGATATGGTCAATACGATTAATAATGCAGGTAACAACATGAATAAATTAGAATATTGGAAACATTTTGTCAAAGAAATGTTTACACCATATGCAACAGTAAGATACAGTAAAACATCTAATATTGATTATAGAAAATTCAATTTCTTAGTATCTTTGATACCAGTAATCTTTGTAACTTTATGGAAGTTAGGTGTTGTTAGAATTGACATAGCCTTGCAACAAATTAAATGTGAAGTTTTAAGTAATAGTTGTATCTTCATAAGTTGTCCAAAGGCAACTTTGACATATCATTACGCTGATGCGAGCTACATCACCTATTATATACAATTCAAGGGGATATATTCATCTTCATTGAAATTGGAATTTGGTGATCTTTGTATGCATGGTTTTGTCCCTGGAATCGAATGGAGTGCATTAGAAAGGTTATTATCTAATCAACAAAGTTGCTATAGAATATTTCGAAAATTGAGCAACATTGATGATAGCAATGCAAAGAATAAATCCACAAATGGTTCAATTAGTGGTGAAAACTCAGAGTTAACAAGTAGATTGAATACTGCTGCTAACAATCATCCAAATAAATTAAATGATAACAGTTACAAAAAGGAAACATTTAAAAATATAAACGATAATTTAAACCACCGAAATACTAATGATTTAAAGGATAAGAAGATTCCACCGAATTTTGATGCTATGTCACAGTTACGTTCCTGTTTTGGTGTCTTTAGAAATGTTTCTGTATGTGGTTCCCAAGAAGGATTAATGAGGGTCATGCAAGTAAGTAATGTGATGTCTACTTTAAAAAATTTAAGGGCATATCAAAAGATTCATGGAATTGATAGTCCAGTAGAAGCCTTAGAAGCTTATGTTCAGAAAAATTATAACGATTCGAATTCAGAGATGCACGCTATGCATAATACCAATATTCAAAATAATAGTCGGCTAAGCCCTGAAGGTGATGATGTTACAAGCCCTAGATATTCAGTAAATCCCAATATAAACTAAACAATAGAGTTAAACACAAACAATCAACAAATGCACAGTAACTAACCATGTATAAAATTACCTCAGCTTCCTACAAATGAGCAAGATTCTATAGCAAGAGCTGGTAAAAAGTAAGATAATAGGATCTCTCAAAGTAGATATAAAAATAGTGTTGTCGTTTATCACAAAAATGAGAAATCTATTTGAAAGAGAAGAAGAGAAACTGATATTTGATCATATTTACTTAAAACTATTCTGATTCCCCATTATGAACACCACAAATAATAAGGATGGTTTTAACAATACTAATTATAATAATTATAATAACTATAATATGCATAAAAAGTCAAAGTATTAAGAATTACTCCCTTCTTTTGGTACATACATATCTAGATTAATTAGAAACTTTCATTGATTATAACCATAAATACAAATATATATATTCATTGTTCTATTATATCATTTATATATAAGATGGAAATTTATTCAATATCAACAAGTTTCTTCACCAAGAATATTTTTACAACAATCCACTAAATCATTAACTGCTTCTGAGACATCTGTAAATGCACTTGCAAATACCATACCATAAACTTCTGTCCAATGTAGTTTTTTGTAATCATCAACTGTTGATTTTTTGTCCGTGTTTACTTCATTATAAAATTCATTTCTATTTGCAAACAACCTTTTTTGTAGATTATCATATTTAACTTTTTCATTCATCTTCTCATCTTGTTCATCTAATTTAGTTAAACAATCAAACAATTTTTTCCTTACCATTATTGTGTTTGGCAAATATTTAGGTATTTTATTCTTTGAGCGAAAGCAATTAGACAATACATAAAATACAAAAATTACGGATGCAGCTGCATCTCTTCTCAATGATAACAAAGCTCTAGTTGCATCTTTATTTTTATCTTTTTCCCAAATTTGGAAATATAATCCTGATATTCTACACTCGATCAATTTTTCCATTAATAATTGACAGGAATCTATTAATTTTTCATATTTTGTATAGTCAAAATTTGAAACATAATTTGGTTCCAATATAGCTCTCTTTAATAAACCTCTTATAGCCTCAAGATTTTGTGTTAATCTAACTTCTCGTACACATCCAAAAGATAATGACAGTTCAGTAGGTTGATCGTCTAAGTCTCTGTATAAGTATCTATCAGTAATTGATTGATATGATTGACTCAAATATGATAAAAGTGAAGAAATAGCTAATCTCACTTCAGTTCTTGCCTTGTATGACCAAAATATCCAATTAATACAAACAGATACGGTGATACCAATTGTTAAACTTAAACTGGTAACCCATGTACTTTTCCAAATTCTTGCAGTACTTAAATCGTCCTTACCTATATTATATGATTGCAGGGAAATAACAGTGAAACTAATTAAACCAGCAAAAGAAGTTTTAGGGTTTCGATAGATTAATAAGTTAATAGCCATTGGAACAGCAAGAATTCCTGCAAAAGTACATATAACGTAAGGATTACAGAAATGCCTTGCTTGGCATGCAGCCCAGCCCCAAAACATGCAAAAAATGGATATGATTAATCTAATCAATAATCTTTGAAACCCACCCGTAGGTTTTCTATGAACCAACATATAAAATATAAGTGCTGCCCACCAACAATGAAATTCTTGGTACCACTTATAAGATCCAGGTAACCATGTAGGTAAGCACAAAAATATAATACAGAAAACTATTTTTAAAGACCATTTCATTTCGAAACCAGTAACCATGTTGGAAAATTTCCATATTTTGTAACGAAATTCATTATGAGTTGTGTGAAGATTAAATTCATCATGATCAATAGCTCTTAAAGATTTTTTTTTATCACCATTTTTAATATATGCATGTTTGGAAGTATATGTATTGTACACCCTTTCAAATATTTCTTCCACATCTTTTTTGGTATCATAATAATATAAGAAACTGTCTGTACCTTCATCAATTGTACATTGTTTAGGTAATCTATGTAAAGCTTTTTTCAATGGATAATGTGGTCGTTGTAGTCTCCAATGAATGCCTACTCCCATATCATAACAAGCATCTAGGACCGCCAATAACTGCTTTGAAGAATTTCTTAAGTATCTTAAAAACACAAACATGATAACACACTCCGAATTACTTAATAAATCGTTTGAAAAAATATTAGATTTTGTAAAATCTTTATAAGTCTTATCTAATTTATTAATCCGTTTTTTCAACTTGAATTTAGTATCTTCTATTTTCTTGGTGATTTCAGTTACTTGAGGTTGCTTTGTGCTATATTTTAAAAATACTGTTAGCGATTCATCCAATAATTCCAAAGCAATAATCATTTCCACAATCAATCCAACAATGCTTTTGCCAAATTGTTTTTGCATGATTGATATGTAAAAATTTTCATATGGAGAGACATTTGCACCTAATATTATTCCTTGCCTAGGAGTCACACTACCTAAATAAGTTCTAGGTGTTTCTGGCTCAGAATTAAATTCCGTAAAAGGAATAGTGGGGTATCCATTATTCATTTCAGCATCACCTGATTGTTTATTTAGAGTATCATATATTTTTATCAACATATTCTTATCCAGTAATTTGTTTTGAAGTGGGATGACACGTAATGGTCCATAAAATGTAGTCAAAGCATTTCGAAGTTCTCTCAGTTTATGTCTATCAAATCTTGCCACTGAAAATTGATTAAAAAAGTCCCCATAACTTTTTGATAGTTTGATGGTTAACGATTCAATCATTGCTTGTTTTAATTGAAATAATTGGTCAAAATTATCGACTGTATCTTTATCAATTAACCCAACCAGAAATTTCTTTGCAGATATCAAAGTATCTCTGAAATTATTAATTAATGTTTCATTACCACTGTGGGGAAAGATAAGGACACAAGTAAATAGTGATAACAAGATCCCAAATAGATAGGAAAGAGTTATGTCTCTAAAAAGTAACCAATGTAAATCTTGCTTGGAAAATACTAATGATACAGAGTGTGTAAAAATAATAATTATACCAAAGGATAAACTAAAATATAAGAATCTTTGATAATAGGTTTTAAACCATATGGCAAAGGTCAATGCCATAGCAAGACTCTGAAACAATATACCACCTTGATGACTGGCTGTAGGGCCCGTTGCGGTAGAAACATACCATGCTAAAGATGACCAACCTAAAGCAAATATCATTCCAATTATTGAAAATATTGTTATTTCCAATTGAACACCAATATTTCTTACTGGATGATGCAGTATAACACCGATAGGTAAAAAAATCGATTATCATGGCCTATCCAACTACCAGCAGGTCTGATCACACATAATACAAATGCAATGAAGAAAGGAATAAAAAATTTAATAATTATTCTCCATTTTTGAATCAGTTGAACCTTAAAATCTTCAAAGAAAAGTGTCAAATCAGAAGATTTTATATGGAAAGCACGAGAAAATTGATTTGGAAAATCTAGATAAGATATATCATCAATATTTAAATATTTTTTCTCAGATTTTGTAAAAATAGCATCAAAGAATCCATCTCTTAACTCTTCTAATTCGAAATCGTCTAATTCATCCCAATTATGACTATCAGTTAATTCTTTTAGTCGTAGTTGAGAAGAAGAAGTATAGGAGTTTGGAGATAAAGTATGTGGAACCTGAGTAGGTTTGATATGTCGTTTATGATCTTGATTCTTATTTCTTAAGTCTAGTAAGGATAGATACGATTGATGATTATATGAACCCTTAGAGATAGAAAATGTTTTGTCTTGATCATGATCCAACCGTACTCCGTTATTATTTATACGTTGGCTGAACATTATGTTTAATTTTGATTCAATAAATATTTTATAGATATGAGTTAATAGGTATCAATGTCTACAGTTTTCATGTGGGACAGAGTTTATTGATGTCCCCTGTCTTTGTCTCTCTTGCCTTTTTTTTGTTTACGGACCAGACAATTTCAATAGAATATCCTAATTTTAATTTTTTTTTGCGGAATATATATACTATTATTTAGAAGTCATGTTGTTGATAATTTTAACATCTTCTTTAACAAGAGCAAAAACTGTAGAAAACTTTAAGAAGCATTTCCGTCTCTCTACAATGCTTAAAATATCTAAGTTTTTAAGTAATGCTACCTATCGTTTGAAAAAAAAATTGTATCTAATGATTTCTATGATTTAAAATAACATACATGTTAAATTAACCAATAATTCATTCAAATAATGAAAAATTTCGTTTTATAATAACACAAAATATAATTGTTGGAACTTAATTTACATGTGGTAACAGATTAATTGGATTTTTAGATGCATGAGATATAGATTTATTTTAGACCATGTAATATAGAGTAGTTTGAAATAAAAAAAATTCAGATATTTCCAATACCCTATTTAGAGATACTTAACTTTATATAAGTTTTCCTTATAATCTAGAGCAAAGAAAATTTATATTCCTTGAATAAGTAATCTATTAGTTAAGTCCTACTTTAGATTGTTAAAACATAGCAAATTAAAAAAAATAAAAATTAACGTACATAAAACTGGATCATGTAATGTTGGTGCTAATCATGAATGGAAATTTGATTCAATCTTATATATCTAGAATTATCCTACTAACATTTTGAAAAATCTCAATAATATTAAGTCTATTTTGGACAATTATGATATTGAAATATACAAAAAAGTTTAATGAATGAGTTAAAAGTAAATCTTTCTAATGGAAAATACAAGGCAAGAGTTGATTTGATTTTATGATTTTGTTCTAGTGAGAAACAAAAATTTACCTCCTTTTTTTCTGAAGTGTAAGTATCTAATAGGACATTATTTTAATTCATTTGGTTCCAATAAATATCATTATGTAGCACTGTTAAATACTAAGGGAGTAATCTCTTTGAATAGTTGTGGTTAAAACAATTAATACTGTGTACATTACCATCATAAATACTCGGCTATTTCAAAATGATAAATGTATTAATAGCTCTGTTTCTATCTGACAATATAAATCACGAAGATAATGTGCAAATGAAAAAAAGAAAAAAAATACATTAATTTGTTTCTCCAATGAAGACCATGTGAATGATAATTTTTTTTTGACTTTGAAGACGGAATATATAATAAAATCAATAATAAAGAATTTATAAATTAGATTTGAAGTGTAGATGATGACCAAGAAGTTTTTAAAACTAATGTATTTGAATATGCATATTCAATACCTAATAGAAAAAGTTGCGAAAAAAATATTTTAGAAATTTAAACAAAAAAAAAATAAAAACCAAAAGAATGTATGAAAATAGTTAAATATCCTTGAAGGAGATACAAATAATTAAAAAGTTAGTTAAGAGAGAAGAAATGAAATTTTTATTGTATCAGCTTCTTATAGTTCTCAATATACAAAATGGTAAAGTTAGACGATTCTAAAACGAAAAAAAACCTCAGGTTTGGTGCCAAATGACACCTACTAATTACCAGAATAAGTAGAAACTATACTTATGGGACTTCTTATTTGATTTGTAGCACATTGTTGATTGTTTTACAGTCTTGTAGTTTATTAACAATTGTTGTTTTTATCAAATTGTTTTGTTTCACTTTTGATTATGTTTCTTTTTTTTTTTATTTTTAGAAAAAAAAAAAAAAACAAATCTCCGAAAATTGCCATTTTAGGAAAAACAGTCTTGAAATTTTCCGACTCCTTTATTTTCCTTTGAATCTTTTTTCGATTTCTTTTTTGTTTTTCATCATCAAAATTGAAAGGTTGCACAGCTTGTTAAATCGTCTAATGAGTCGTATGAAAAAAAATGGAGGTTAAGGATGAAAACTTGTTTCGAATTATTCGTTGTTACTAGTTTTTTTAAAGTTTGAGAGATACAAATATGGTCATAATTTAACTTAGTATTTGTTTTTTTATTTTTGTGAATATTTTTTTAAAAAAAATTTTTAGAATGATCCATTGAACTAGGTTATTCAATCAGATAGTAAGGTGGCTCCATTTGTTATATATATATATCTTTTTTGTTAATATCAATATTACCTATTTTTTAAACATGAGAAGAGATCCTTGGTATTTGAATCTAAACGATAAAGAGCTAAATCAGAAATTCAGTTGTATTCAACAAGAAGAGGATAAAAGACTTCGAGAGGTAGCAAGAGAACATGACCAGCAATCAAAATGGTCATTGGGAGCAAGCGTTAAAGAAATAAACGATTTTCGGAACAGATATATTAATATTATGCCATATGAAAAGAATAGAGTACATTTAAATGTGACAAAAGGTAATGATTATATCAATGCGTCCTATGTAAACGTTGATATATCACAACAATCCATCTCTAGTGGGCATTATATTGCAACACAAGGTCCAACCAGGAATACATGGGGTCAATTTTGGCAAATGTGTTATCATGAATGTCATAGCAACAATATAGTAATTGTTATGGTGACACCTTTGATAGAAAAAAGTAGGGAAAAATGTTTCCCTTATTGGCCAATGGGATTTGAATACCATGATACTAAAAGATATGTGTCTTATAAACAGTGTCCTTCTGGCTATGAAGAAGATCTGAGTATCTTTAAGCAATCCTTAGAAGTTAAATATGAAAGTGCAAAACGGTTTGACGATCAATACACCTTAACTATATTGAAATTGATACCTAAGAATGAAGACAACACACAGAAACATGAGTTACCTGTCAAAACAGTATATCATTTTTATTTTGATCAGTGGGAAGATATGAAAAAACCTCAGGAAATAATCCCAATTATGAAGCTTTCTCAGCATTCCCACAGATTTATCTCAGGCGAGGACCCAATAATTGTGCATTGTTCTGCTGGAGTTGGTAGGTCTGGAACTTTTATTGCACTAGACCATTTAATACATAATACAGTTGATTTTTCTGAGAAAACTAACAATGATCTACTGAAATCCACCAAATCCCAATACGATAAAGATTTAATTGAACAAATAGTCCTACAGTTAAGATCACAAAGAATGAAGATGGTTCAACTTAGTGATCAATATAGGTTTATCTACCATGCTGCTCGTTACTTGCATAATATGGAGAGTCACTGATCGGTAAAACCCATTTTTTTTTTTTTTTCAGAAAAAAATCAATCTTTTTTTTGTCATAGTTATATCTGGAAAGAATGCACGTAGAGAAAGTTTTAAGAAAGTACTCTCAAGTATAATACTACACGTTCTTCTACATAATATATGACTAAAAGAACGCTTATATAATTCATTCTTATACAAAGTTAATACAACGATAGGATTAATTATTTGTAAGAATACAAGTTCTATATAAAAAAATATAATAATAAAACTGATAACAGATGATAAAATATGGTCCTCGTAAAAACTGAGGAATAATATAAAATTGGAGACAATTAGATATGCTTCAGTCACGTTATAATATTTATTCAAATATCTATTTTCAACATACTACTATGAATAATACTTTTTGGATATTGTTACAAAGCCTATGATAAGTAAACTATCTAAAGAAGAAGGTTAGTAATGAAAAAGGTATCATGATTACATGGTAACATATAAAGATCATTTTAAAAGAAAAAAAATTGTGGGTTTTCCTCCTTTTTTTCCCTATTATTTCCCATTTCCAGTGTAATCTCCCTTAAGGGTTATTCTTCTATACTTTTATTCTTCTTTTGGATTAATTGAATGATAATTTATGTACATTACTCTTTTTAGATGATCATGAGATTTTATTTGGATTTTGCTCTTTTGAGGGACTTGGCAGTACACTCATTTTATTATCAATAGGTCCCCTAATTGGATCATAATAATAAGATCCCTGACATCTATCACACCTTAACGGCATATCGTTACGTTTCAATTTCTTAATACTTCTTTGGTCTGGAACATAATGACACTCAAGACATCTATAGCCTGATACAACGTATCGAGCTCTACATCTGCTGCATAAATTGTGCCTTCCAGTCCAATCTTTGTAGCAACATTTTGCATTTATTTTGGAACACGCTTTACAACGACGAAGATTTCTATCAGGAGAAAATTTCTTCTGTTCTGTGTGACAATGATGATTATTACAAGATGTCACAACAACATAGTTACTCAATAAAATCGTTTTGTCTTTGTCTGTTTGAAAGCCATATACCCAATTTAAACCTCTTTTCCTTTCTTCAAAATGAAATCTAATAGGTTCTCTAGAAATTTTGACCGGTTTGGGTCTTTTTTTGTGACCACTTTGACATTTCGATAACACATTTTGTAACGTAGATTCTCCAACAAGAGTACATTCATAAGTGAATTTGCATTGTACTACTCTATTTTCGATGATATTTTCTCTTTCTGGTTTAGTTGTAACAGAAGCCTTTATACCTAACGATCTAGCTACATTTATAATCCCATTCATAACTGAGGGATATATTGTTTGAATAGAAACGCCAAACACATCACCGTTCTTCTCACCATACGCAACATATCCATCAGCATCAATTAGTCCCGCCAGAAATGATTCTCTTACTTCAATATCATCATGCCACATAAATTCAGGTATTTTTTTCGTACCATCTTCTTTATTTTTAAAATCCAGTTTCACAAGGCACTTCCAGAATGGGTTATTTGTTCTGAACATTTGGTGTTTCCTTTTAGAATCTGCATTTCCATAATATAATTTTACATGTTTAGCTCTTAATGGAATACAAGCGTCCTTATAGGTTGGTACTAGACCCCAAGGTGAAACGTTCTTTAATAGACCTTGCCAAAGTGAAATGTCATGACTGTCCATGGAAATTTCAGGATGCCTAGTTGTTCCGTCACCAATCCATAAACCAAGCAACCATGCCATGCCTAATACTGCCGAAGTTATTAAATGTTTTTGACCTGTTAAGAATTCAGATAAAATACCGTTGCCATTTATTACTGGACTATACCTCATCAAAGTTGCTAATCTGATATGACTGTTTAAATAATCTATATCTCTTAGTTCAAGTCTAAAGTCAATGTATGTTGGCTGTTCCTTTTGGACTGTCTCCATATAATTTCTAGCTTGGTATTCACCTTCAGTTGTAAGAGGAAAACTTACGAATTTATCCTTTGGAATGACAATAATGCGACCATCACTGGTCTGGAAATCAACCAATTTTTTTATTTTCACAAGATATCTCTCATGTTTCAAAGATTTTTCCAACTTTGGTATACTAGGTACACTTAACTCTAATATATGTCCTAAGGAACAATTAAATTGGATTCTGTGAAAAATTGGTCGTTCTACATGGGTTTCATCCCTATGTTTAGTGACTTGGACTATTTCATAAGTGGTTTGTAAATCTCTAGTCATAGCCGTTACTTTTGCAATGTCTCCATCTTCACACATGACATAGGAGTTTGTTTTAATTTTGTTAATTGCTATAGTTTTACCATTTTTCATTATAAGCTTAATATTCTCTTCGAACATTTTGTTATGATATCTATTTCTTAAGAATATCTTGGAAAAGACTTGGTATTTTTTATCGGTTTTATATTAACTTCATTTTAAAACTATTCTGAAACATTTCTGTTACTGGCCTGAAACCTTCTGATTTTATATCATGTTTTTAAACTATTTGATTAATATTATCTTAAGAATAGCAGCATGGGATGAGTAAAAATTAGTGGTTAATTATCTTATTCAAGATTAATAAAGTAAGATATTTTTTTTCTAACATTTCGTGTCTCTATTATATATTAAAGAAACAATATTTTAATTTTAAGATAAGAATACGAGGAGTTTGGGGATTGAATTAAGACAAAGGTAATTTTGTTATAGAATGTTAAATAATTATAATGTAAAAAATATTTTAGTATCCAACTCAAGCTATTATTGATTGGGAAGACACGAAATGAATAATCTATGAGAAGAGCCAGTCAAAAATATTTTAAATGCTCAGTTAATTCCAAAAAGATGTCCAATAAATCCATAGAATAATTATTATCGGATATTTCTATGAAAGAAAAGTTTTTTTTGTCTTTTGTTGTATAATGTCATAGATATTATCATTCCAACATTTGTTAATTATCTGTCACCATATCATATACTCAACTTTTTTTTTAAAAGCCGTTATAAAATCAACTGAATATTTTTGCTATCCAAAAATGACCACCATTGATTTCTAAATAGGGTATAATTAACATGGTTGAGTAGAATCTATTATTCTGTGAAAGCCTATATCTCTGGGATAACATAGTATGAGAATGCTTTTTTAGTTCATTTTGATGCAATTTTTTACACGGTTTGCAAAAAAATATAAATTTGTTATTATTTTTATAGTATTATTTATTGTTATCCTAGGGATTTTTTTTCTCTATTATATACTAGTTAAAATCATTGTATTGGCTACAGTTTTGTTTAGAACTATTCAACAATTAGATAAATAACTAGAAGATTACATAGTAATCAGCATTGAGATGGTACGGTCCAAAACGTCAACAATATTCTAAAAGTTTATGATATATTGTTTTTTGTATAATAAAATATTAGAAACTATGAACAAACACTGAGGAGAATTAAGACATTTTTTAAGAAATAATAGCAAATATGAATAGAACCTAACAATACTTTTGTATACTATTTTCCTCTTTTTTGTTTTAGCATTAGTAGACTCTATTATCAAAAAAAATATAATCATATTATATTAGCTGCAATATTTTTTATTGTTATTAAAACAATACAGATCTCATCAAATATTTATATATTATGAGATGGTTACTTTCCAGGTAGATCACATAGTTATTGAATGAGTTTATTTGTTCACTAAGAATATAGTCTTTCTTTGAGGTAAAATAGATACTTTTTTTTTGTTTCATGTTATCTCGTTGTCCAAAAAAGTAAAATTCAAATTTTCTTCTTGGATGCACTTTCATCTCACGTACTACTGGTTATTATGTACTATTATATTTGATAATAAGAAGAAGTCAATTGATTACAATCTTTTTTGAGGTTTAATAAACTTTTTCTGATAGAAATCAAATAAGTTATCATAACTACAATTTTTATTTTTAGTTACTTGAAAACAAGGAAAAGAAGATACAATATGTGAAAATATGTGTAAATTTATCCAGATACAGAGCTAAGATTATTATAGAAAGTTTAATTAGTAATTTATTAGAATATATATACCAATTATTACACGTAGAGTGTTACTATATGCAAGTATCATAATTAAATGTTTGTGAAAAGTAATATGCTGTTTAAGATGCTGGAAAAATTTGTGAATGAAGGAAAATAGTAGAAAAGATATACCTTTCGCCCTCCAAACTGTACAGTGGAATATGTCTGTAACCTCTTTTCAAATAGTCCAACTTTATACAACATGTAGCAAGTGACGTATCGTTGGTCTTAACAACTAATCGAAGAAAAACAAAGTACAATTTCTTTAGCTGAATACTTAACTCCATGTCCCATACAGGATTAAAACCGTTACCCTCTTTTATCAAAGAATATGCACTTGTCTCAGATATCAATGTTCCATTTTTAATAATAGAAAGTGGTTTGATCAATGAGCTGTTAAGATCATCAGTAATAAATTCAACTGACACATATAGCCCAAAATTATTAGTGGTTTTAGAATCCTTTTTAAGCCTTGGTAGTAACTGTCCTGAAAGTATCTTTAGTTGGATATAATACCCATTCAAGTTCTTTTGATTAAATTGGTTATATATCTCAGGTATTTCTTTTATCTTAGAAACCGTTTGTAGTAATGGTTCTGGCTTTAATACGTAACCACTATGAATCAAAGTGTTCTTTTGATTGGTTGATTGAAACATTGCGAGATTGATTTGTTGCCCAACATCATTTGTTTGCCAATTAGTAGCCACCATTTGTACACCAGATTTCCAAAATTTAATTGGATTGAAGTTCGTTGAATTATATCTTAAAGAGTGTGGATAAATCCTCATCAAAAATCTTCTATTATGCTTGTCCATAGATAACACCTGGTTAGGATCTTTCTGTAGTGATTCAAACTTTTTTTCATTCAAGGAAAAGCAATGAGCGATTGTTTTAGATTCAGGTAAAGAAAAGTTTCTAAATTTAAGTCCATGGATATTTGAAATCTCAAATATTGAAGTAGAAATTTCTGCTTTTTTCTTCAAACCCATTCTTTTTATTCTTGATATACTAGTTGTGGTCACATTTGGAATTAATTTCAGTTGGGAAACATCATCGTTTCTTTTTTCTTTCATGAGCATATCTGTAATAGAATCAATTTCTGAATCATTTGAAGAACTAAATGAAAAGGAAGTATATTCATAGATTGATGAGGAAGAATAATTTTTCGAAGTACTATCTGTTAAATTATTAGGGTTCATGTTCTTTGTAAATAAATTTCTTGGTTTTTTAACTTTGATGATAATTCTGTGCTTTAAATCATTTGGTGAAGGTAAGCTTTTCATGGTATTTTTGTTAAATTCATTGTATATCATGTTATCTAAAGTCTCTTTAAGTATTTGTGATATACGTTGTTGATTTTCCTTATTACAATGAACCTCAAGGGAGAGAATTAATGGATAAGGCGATACAATAAATGCATATTTTTTTATAATTTTAACAACATTTAATAAGGGGATTGATGCAGTTAAAATACCATGGCATACCACAGGTCCTGTTTCTCCATCCCATATATCAATCTCTACACAACGACACCCTTGTTGTAAGGCTTGAACATAACCCTCTACTGAGGGAGTCTCAGCATACTGCTTGCCTAATAAATAAGTATTATGTGAGGATGCGATAAAGTAATGATTTAAAGGCTTTGAATAATCAGTAGACTGCACTATATCATGCAAGTATGGTTGATCGTTTAAAAATCTAGTAAAGGAATCTTGTGTTATCAAGCCATTTTCTGCATATTCATTAAAAACTTGTTGTAGTTGGTGATCTGTCATATCTTTTTCTCCTTGTACTGTACGCATAAAATCACTAAATTGTAGTAAATTAATAGTCTTTTTATTCCAAGATATAGTTTTCCAAATTTCTGTAAGTTCATGTCTCTCCTTTAACAATTTTACAAAGTGTTGAAATTCACTAAAATTTAATAAGTGATTATGATTGTTGTTTGCTTTATCAAAGATCGATTTTAGATGCGTCACAGAACAATAAATATGGAACTTATCACAAAGTGTTTTTACTTGTTCAAATGTTAAAGTATCTTTCAATTGATCATCTTTGCTAAATGAGACAATATTATGCCAATGGATTTGTGCAAACCTTTCATGATCAGGAAGTGACATACTTTCCATCAGATCTTTTCGTACTTTGACAATCCCACATATGCATCGATAAAAAACATGAAAATCCTCTTCTGTTTTAGCTATTGCATGGAACACCTTCAACTTTTTGTTTGTAATATATAATAAAGTAATCCATTTGGTATTAAAGGTCACTCCATATTCTTCCATATAATTACTTGCCATATGGCCAATTCTAATGTCTTTAATAGAGTCAAGGCATATATATTTTACATTGGATTTCCATAAAATTTTACTATTGTTTTGATTTAATTTAAAACAATATAACTTATGCTCTGATCTTGTGACTTTTGTTAAGTAGACACCATTAGTTTGTAATACTTTAGAAAATTTGAAGAGCTCATTTGTCAGCAGATTATGTTCAGGTTTAAGGACATTAAATATGTCACTAAAACTGTTTGTATGAGTAAGTGGGCCTAATGAAGTTCCAGTATTAAGGGAAGGTATATGTTGATTCTCACTTACAGTTACGTTTAATTTTGTGTCTACAGGAGAAACTAAAGATAAGGAATCTTTCGTCACATCATGTCTTTCAGTTTCTTCCACATATATTGTCTGAGGTTCTTTTATGAGTGACATAATAAGGTATTTTAATTAAATTTTGTGTTTAAAAGAAAAGAAGTAGAAGGATATGAGAAAACTTCCAGATAAAGTTTTGATAAGTAATGTTGCTGTTTTTTTTATTTGATATTTTTTTTATTGATTCAAATAATATTGCAATACAAACCACCAATTATTTATTGTTGTATTAATCTCAGCTTTTAAATTTTGTTGTTATTATTCCTTAGAAAAAGTGCCACAGGCTTTTATCAATTCACAATTGATTTAATCTTTATGGTTTTTCATTGATGATCTTGTTTTGCCTGTATTATTGACACATTTATAGATTTTTTTCTTTTTCGTGTCTTTTTTTTTTTTGATTCAAAAAATTTCAGATCTTCAAAAAAGAGCATTGAAACCCTAATTTCCATCTTCTAAACAAATTCGAAATGGCTATTGACATAGGCAAGACGATAAGGTCTATATAAAAACTACATTCTAGAAGCACAATGATACAGGATTGAAGCGGAATAAATGCGAGGTAATAATCAACACGTTATATATATATATTTATATTTATCAATGCCTACAGTTAAAATTTATAAGTGTGAATATGCAAAAAAAGAAAGTAGGATGTGGGAATTGAATTATAGAGAGAACAGTGAATGATTAAATGCTAAAATATGATATGTTCTGTGATACAATGAGTACATCTCTTTAATCTATGCATTAAATTATTCTATCCAAGGATTTTTTGTGAACTTTGTGTTAATAACTGAGATAAGGGTGTAGGTGTTGGAATTCTTTTAGATAGAAAAACCTTATGCCCTTTCCTTGGTAAACTTATAGGTTTAATACGTTCATTTGAGAAATACGTATTGTTGTTTTGAATATGTGGAATTAAAGAAGGTTTTTTTTGATTAATTTCAATTCTGCCACACAACAGTTGATTAAACGTTTCTGGTGAAATATGTGTAATTAACTCTTCTTGCTGGGGTAAAGTTACCCTTTTTGGAGTTGCTATTTCTGATGAATTATTACAAAAATCTAACATATCATTTTTGCTAATGGATGATGTAGAAGAAGATGATGTAAAAAAAGAATGTACCTTTGGATTCATGCTTTTTGTACCATTATTTACGTCAGTAGATGCTGCTGTCTGTGATAAGACTTGATCACAAATATCATGTCTTATTGGAGTGTTGGCAGTTATTTGGCTTTTAGTAAGATTATTGGACAAAATTTCTGAATGGTGTCCAATATCATTTGACTCTACAATTTCTACAGTAGTAGAATCCATAAAATCACTTTCATTATTATTAATAGTAGAATTTATATATGATGTCGACATCTCATCATTTATCGAGGTATTTTTCAAAGATAATGGTGAGGCTAATATTGTTAACGATGAAGAGACTGTACGATTCATTGATTCTTTTAATAGAGGTGGGAATTGATCCTTTGTAATATCCTTCTCATTGGTTTTATGGATAAGAGGTGGAAGAGTACTTAAAATGAGACTTCTAGTCTTTTTTTTTCTTTGTGTTTTTTTACTAGTATTAGATTGGTGTTCTGATTGGAACTTTGTTAATTCGAGACTTTGCGAGTCAAAAAATGGGTTATTTTCATTATCAATATCTTTGGATGCAGATTCTGCAATAGAGGTTGAGACAATAATCGGTTTTATATGCATTTTCTCCAACAATTTGGCTCCACTCTTTAGAGTGGTAATTTTTGTATCATCGTTTTGTAAAGAACCTGATTTCAAAATAGGTTTCTTTAGTATATTTGCATCCATTTGACTTCGCTTGGTAAATATATCTTCGTTTTCCTTATTGGCATTATTGTTGTTATGAAGATTTGTTGTAGTGGCTATAGAAAATTTTCGTAAATCATTCACAATAGTTTCAATAGTTCTATTTCCAACATCACTTTCACTATCCGATCCATGCGATAGGTATGAATTGTTACTTGACCGTCTCGATTTACTTGCAGTTGAAAGAAGCGGCGGGGGTGGTTCTAGAGTTTCGATATCAAGGAAACTTGAGTCACAATTCTTCGGTACTTTTGTCTTAGTTTCTGTTATTATATGCTGTTGTGATTTAAGTTTGTTTTTAACTATAAGTATTAATTGATCACTTTGGGGGCGTAGATTTACCCAGTTTCGCGCTAACTCGTTGGTTTTATTTGCAATCTTTTCATCTAAAAGAGAAAATTCTGCTGCTGCATATATAACATCAAAAGTTTTTGAAACAGTTGTTGTTACTTTTTCCATTTGAAGTGTTAATTGTTTCGATATTTTGTATGATGCCGAGGTTGACAATAACGACGATTCTATACCGCCGTCTGTATTTAAATTTGTTTCATTCAAAGAGTTGGATTGTGTGTTATCACTAGTTACATCAGTGTTGTTATGAAATCTTACTAATAACTGATAATTTCTTTCCATCTCGTTAATTAAAAATTCTAGTTCATGATTTAGATTTGTAAAAATAATATTCCAACGTTTATCTATTAAATCCTTTTTCAATGAATTAACTTTAGAATTTAAGAATTTAAAGTTTTGGAACAGTTCCTTATAGGAGCGTTTCAATTGTTGATTTAGTGTAAGAATATCAATGCCTTTGTTTGAATATTGATGTCTTTTTTCAAATTGCTGTAGCCTTTGTGGTAAGACTTCCAATAACGAAGTTTCAATGGGTTTTAAATCACTTTGGATTTTCATAAAGTTTTTTATTAATTTTTCTTCCATGGGTGAAAATTTAGGTAATTTTAATTGGGCGTTGATATTATCCTTGCTATTAGTACTAAGTGGAATTGTTGTTGGATAGTCTTTTGACAGAATCTTTATTAGTTGGTTCAACGTAAAAGATGGTACATGTCTCATAGGAGACGTATTTTTAATATCTTGTAAACTGAAAAGATTGTCAATATTTTTATTGATGATAATGTCTAATGTTTTCATATTATCATTTAAGATTTCGTGATATTCCAGTATAATATCTATGTATATTTTCAAATTGGTCAATAAGGATTGTAGTTTATTCTTTGCAAAATTGCAAGATTCGATTAAATCAATAATTATATCAAAATGATTTTCATATTCATTCAATTCCATTATATCCAAAAGATGGGAGAATGTGATATCATACTTATCAGAATCATCAATCAAATCTATAATAACCAAATTTTGTTGTAATATTGAATTATTAAATGGAATAGATAAATTCCCTGTTGCTATTCCTTGTTTACAATCTAAAAATAGCTTAGTCAGAATTTCATTAAGAAGTTCCAAGTCATCCTTTAAAGACTGTAACTGCTGTTCTAAGGCATAGTCATACTTTGTATATCCATCTAAGGTATTTAAAAGATTTTTAAGTCTATTGAAACATGGTTGTAAATCATTACGTGCAGACTGAACATCCATCTCCTGGAATATCTAAATATAAATTTCTTGCACACACAATATTGTAATATATGAAGAACTAAGAGACTGATAGCAGAAATGTAAAAAAAATAAAAATGAAAAAAGGAAAAGAACAGAATAGTATACACTAATGATAATATCAAATATGCGAATATATGTATATTTATTTATTTATTCTAGTCTCTTCTATATACTATTGGAATAAACCAAAAAATAACAATAAAAAAAAGCTTTTTAAAGTTGAAGTATTGTTCTTAAAAATAGAATGAAAAGAAGCGAATTGATTAATAAGTATTAGCATACAATGCCATGAAGAGATTATGAAAGGTGCCCTTCATCAATAAAAGGTATAATATCTATCTACAAAAGATTTCTCGATTATTCCTGTATTTGTTTACATTTTTGATATTTTGCCCAATTTTGGTTCTTCTTCCCCTTTTGTTGACCAAAAAGAGTTTTCGTTTTTTTTTTCCTCTTCGCGTTTTATGTTGAGACAAATAAAAAAGGTTCAATGTGTTTTCCAAATTCTCGAAACTGGACAGTTATTGTAGGAGTCAGTGGAACCATGAAGATGGGGTAATTTGTTTTGACTTATTTTATACCCATATCCCTTCTTGCGGTGTTTAGATAGGGTACATTTAGTAATTGATTATTCATTTGTTGTTAATTTGATAGGTGTTTCATTGGAGACATCTTTCAAAAGGTCTTTGATGGTTTCTTGTTCCAATTCTTCTAATCTGGCCAATTCAGAATCAACATCAGCATTTTCTGTCATATTCGATTCTTGTAATGTTGTGGTTCTTAAATTTTTATTTAATTTGTGATCAGATTGTTGTTGTCGGTCTTCTCCATTTAAAGTTTTTTGGTATTTCTTTTGATGCTGTTTAACTACAGTTGCATCATTTGTTTGAATTATATTGTCATTACCAGCTAGAGGATCATTATTATCAATATCATAGTTCAGATTATCATGGCTATGGTTGTTTGATTTAGTGCCTGTTGGTAGACTCTTTTCATTTAATAACTTGGATAGTTCACTGTTTGGGTCTTCATACAAGTCTTTAAATTTACCAATTTCCACCACATTCCCATCGTTTCCTAAAACAATTATATTTTCTGACCTACGAATAGTGCTTAATCTATGAGCAATACTGATGATGGTTATGGATTTGGATTTCATCAGTTGGCCAAACGTGTAATTAATAGCACCTTCACTTTCCACATCTAAAGCGGATGTGGCTTCATCCAATATTAGAATACTTGGTTTCTTAATCAATGCTCTTGCAATGGCGATCCTTTGCTTTTGTCCACCACTTAATAAAGTTCCTTGTGGACCTATCATTGTGTCATATGTGTTTGGTAATTTTCTGATGAAACCGTGACAGAAACATTGTTTGGCAACAGATCTAATTTCCTCCTTTGTTGGAGTATAGTCTAGTCCATATGTGATATTTTCCCTTATAGTTCCTGACATTAATATTGGTTCTTGTTGGACAATAGCAACTTTCCTACGTAAAGATTTGGCGTTTATCGAAGTGATATTTTGTTCATTAATTAAAATACGACCGGCCTGTACATCATAACAACGAATTAACAACCATGCTATTGTCGATTTACCCTTTCCTGAAGGTCCGACAATACAATAATTCGAGCCAGCTTCGATTTTAAAAGATAAATTTTTAAATATTGGCACAGTGGGTCTTGTAGGGTACGCAAAAGTAACATTTTGAAACTCAACAGATCCTGCTGTCATTGGGGTATTAGATTTAGGGTTCTTTGTTGAAGATAAAGGCAAAGAAATTTCTGTAGTGGAGGTGAAGGCGGCTGAGGAAGAAGAAGAAGAAGAAGACGGAAATATTGATGAACTTGCTTTTAAAGGTAACAATTTTGCTCCTCTTGTTGAATGTACTTGTGGTACAGAATCTGTCAATTCAAATAATCTCGTTGCTGCTCCTGCCCCCTGCATCAATTCTGAATAGAAATTTGACATATTGAAAATAGCATTTCCTGTATATTCGGTATATAGCATAAAAGCAGTCAAATCACCTACAGTAAGCAAACCATTTAATACTAGATATGAGCCATACGTTAACACAATTAAGAAACTGCAATCACTGATCAATGAAGCAGTTGTGAAAAACTTTGCATTGATAAAAGCGAATTTTTTACCAATTTGGAAGATATCTCTGATGGAATGATTAAATTTATGTAATTCGCTATTTTCTGCTACAAAACTTTGAATTGTTTTAATCCCATTAAATTGTTCCTCTGTCAATTTTGTTAAATTTGCTGTTGATTCTTGTAATTTTTTAGAATTCAATCTAATATGTCTACCCATGATCTTAGAACTTATTAATAGAGGTGGGCCCATCATAATTAGTAAAACAGAGGATAATTGCCATGATAAAGAGAACATCATTCCTATGCCTGCTGTGCCCATGACTAGAGCCTTAACACCATCTGAGACTCTCTGAGTAATTGATCTAGATACTAGGAATGCGTCATTATTTACACGAGACATCAAATCTCCAACTTTAAATTTATCAAAGAAGGTCGCATCCATGTGTAAGATACGTTTCATCAACTTAGCTCTTAATCTGACTACCAACCTTTCGCTTAGGAGCCGTAAAAGGATTACTCTTGCATAATTTGCTATACAACCGATACAAAGGGCAGCCAAAGTCAAACCAAAAAACATTGGAGCATGTATACCATTCCAAATGACCAAATCTTGTAAAGACTCTATTGTATCGGATGATCTAAGAGAGTCAAGAACCACACCGATAATTTTCGGTATGGCCATTCCAATGGCGCATGAGAATGTCAAAAGAGACAGAGCCACAGTCAACATTCTCCAATCATTTTTAATTAACTTGAGTAATCTCCATAAATCTTTGCTTTCATTATCTAATGTTGCGCGAAGTTTTTTATTTCTTGAAGTGGTGGTAGCGGTAGTATTGTTATTGTTATTTTGTATAGAAGTGTTCTTAGTGATTGTACTATTATCACGACTATTATTTATTGGTTGAAGAGAATGGGAAAACTGGGATTTGGAATATTTTTTTAACTGAACGATATTATTATTGTTGTCATTGTTATTGTTACTGTTGTTGTTGACATAATAGGAAAAATAGTTACGATTGTGATTATTTTTATTAATAGAAGTGAGTATGTTTTGTTTTAATACGGAGTTATTATCAGGAACATTCAGTTTCAAAGATTTGTTATTCAAAATGGAAAAGTTGTGAGATGGGATCCAAAATGAATCCAATTTAAGTTTGAATTTAACTTTAAAGTTAATTTTATGAATGGAATGGAAAGTAGAGGATATATGGTACCTAAGTAAAAAAACGGATGGTTGTACCATTATGGTCTAGAATATTATGATTTGATAGAGTAATTAGTTATTTTTTGGTTAATATGTTATGTTAGGGTAACTGTTCTACATTTATTCAGAAAACATGAATAAAGAGACATATGTATATATATATATATATGTATATATATATGTGTGTGTGTGTGTATGTATGTATATATGTATGTTTGTTTAAGTATAACTTAATTTTGTATTTATATGTATCAAAGTATGAATGTATTATTATATTGTATAGCTCTTCTCTATAAGGTATTGATATTTTTCATACATTTGCTTTTTTTTTTTCTTTCTATTTTGAAAGGGGTTGTGTTAAAAAAAAAGGAACAAAGGCAAGAGAAGGGATTTGGTGAAAAAGAATATAGTATAATATTAGATGAATTTATATGAAGTATTGTTATAGTTATATATATATATATATATATATGTATGTATGTATGTATGTAGAGACAGATAAGAATATAATATAATATAATATAATAATAATATAATAAAAATGATTTTATTTATGGACAGTAAAAATTAAATATGAATAAATCAAAAAAAAAAAGAAACGAAACGAAACGAAACGAAATGAAATGAAATGATTAATGGATCATGAATGTTCAAACCGTTTTGAATGTACGATAGTAGAGAGGGTTATTATTTTTTGAAGTAATTGTAATATGAATATAGATAGAATTAGAAACTTAGTGATGAGGTTGTAGAGGGGTTGGATCAGCCTTTGGGGTACCCTTTTCAGAATATTCAGTGAACATGGCTTCGGTATTGGAACGGGCTTTAACGGCAGCAGTCTGCAATTCTGGTTTCAAAGCTTTTCTTAAAAGACGAGAGGTTAATGCCAGATATGTAGAATAAGTCAAACCTGCAGATTTCCAAGCAGCAGTCATTTTATAAACTCTTGTTTTTTGTTTTTTGTTTCTTGTTTCTTGTTTCTTGTTTCTTTAAAACAGAAAATGAAAGAGAAGGGAAGGGAAAGGGAGAGAAGAACAGAGAGAATATGTGTTTATGTACTTGTGTATTGTCACAGTTATAATGAGAAGTAATTTAGTTCAGTAACAGGCTTGGAAAACAAAACTTACATAGGGAAGTCGATTTACTTGCTAGTCAGTTGTTATTGACTGGTTAAAATGAAAAGAAAAACGTCTTTGTCTTTGCTCATAGGAGAGGAAACTGGAAAAAGAAAAAGAAAAAAAAAAAATGCAGCAGCAACAACAGCAACGGTGGTGTGGTGTACGGATGTCCTCTTTCTCTTTCTCACAGCAAAAGAAAAAAAAATGAAAACATTTATTGGTTAAAGCGCACAGGAGAGAAATCCGTCGAAAATCCGTTGCAAATCCGTGAGCTTTTTTTTTCTTTTGTGTTTTTTTTATTTTATTTTATTTTTTCGAGCGTCGAAAATTTGGAAAATAACAAGATCTGAGATGCGATGCGATGAAATGCGATGAGGTTGGAAAAACAAGAAAAAAAAAAAGAGAATTTTTTTTTTCTTTAGTAGCCTATTCTTAAAATTATACAATTGCTGTTTTACTTACCATTTCGTTTTCTATTTCTACAGATGATGAATTAGAAGAGTTAGCGTACCATATTTAAACCTTTCTTATCTCCTGTTTTTTGTCTTTCTTCCTTTTCTTTTTTTTTTGTGATTGTTAATTCAATTGGTATAAATTAAAATTAAATAAAGGAAGAGAACCAGGTTAGGTGGATAAATAAATAAATAAATGGATAAATAGATAAAAGTAGTTACGTTACACACCATGGCTAAGAAGAATAAGAAAGATAAAGAAGCCAAGAAGGCCCGTGCTGAAGCCAAAAATAAAAGAAACCAAGAAAAGGCAGCGGCCAAGAACAAAAAACTGATGACCAAACTAAGTGCCCAGGACTCAGATAATGAAGACAACGTGGACTTAGATTCTATTCTAGCCCAATTCAAATTAGAACAGGAAAAATATGAAAAAATTAATGTGGAGACCGTGGACAAACCAAACAAGAGGATTAATGCCTGTATGGTGACTAATCCATTGCATTCCAAACGTGAAATCATATTGTTTGGAGGGGAATACACAGATAATGAAACCGGCAAGACTGTTTTCTATAACGATCTGTATACCTTTACTAAAAGTAATAACCAATGGAAAAGATACACCTCACAAAATTCCCCAATGCCACGGTCCTCTGCTGCAATGTCTTGCCATTCTTCCGGGATCGCATTATTACACGGTGGTGAGTTTTCTTCCCCAAAACAATCTACATTCTACCATTACAACGACACTTGGATCCTGGATACACAGACTAAAGAATGGACCAAGATCGAATCCAAGGTTGGTCCTTCTGCACGGTCAGGTCATCGTATCACCACTTGGAAAAACTATTTCATTCTCTATGGTGGGTTCCGTGATTTGGGCTCGCATACCACATATTTGGATGACACCTGGGTCTTCGACATCACAACACATAAATGGAGGCAATTGGAGTTCCCAAAGACGCTTTCCATCCCCGACGCTCGGTCTGGTCATTCTTTTATCCCGTTGGCTAATCCAAACGATGGGGTTCTGGTCTATGGTGGTTATTGTAAGATAAAAGCAAAGAAGAATCTGCAAAAGGGTAAAATTTTGACAGACTACTGGGTCTTGAAGCCTGCTAATGCGAATGACGTGGATTCTCTCCGTTGGGAGAGACGTAAAAGGACAGGTTTCCAACCATCCCCACGTGTTGGTTGTTCTATGGCATACCATAAGGGCCGTGGGATTATGTTTGGTGGTGTCTATGATTATGACGAAACAGAGGAATCAATGGAATCGGAATACTACAATGATCTTTTTAGTTATAACGTTGAGTCCAATAGATGGTATAATTTGAGCTTAAGAAAGAGCAAAAACAGCTGTGATAGAAATGCTAAAAGTAATTCAAATAATAATGTATCTAAAGAACAAGAAAGAGAATTGCAGGAACTGTTGAATAAGATTCTGGAACAGAATAATTTGTCTAATAGTAATGAGGATGATGCTGAAGTAGAGGAAGATATGATGAATGACAAAGAAGACAACAGTATTGATAGTTTTAGTTTCACTGTGTCTACTCAATTACCACACCCAAGATTCAACGCATCTCTTACAGTAATGAACGATTCTCTTTACATATATGGTGGTATTTGGGAATATGGTGACAAAGATTACATTGTGGATTCCTTTTATTCAATTGATTTAAATAGAGTAGATGGTGTTACAGTATATTGGGAAGATTTGAAAGAAATTGAAGCAGCAAAAAGAGAAGGTGAACCAAAATCCGATTATGAAGATGATGATGATGATAACGATGATGATGAGGATGACAGTGAAGAAGAGATCAGAGATGAGAAATTGGTGGCAGAAAATGAAGAGGATGAAGATGAAGACAATGAGGAAGATGAAGAATCGGAAATGGAGATTCCAGACGATAAACCGTGGTTACCACATCCAAAGCCCTTTGAGTCCTTGCGTGAGTTCTACATCCGTACAGGTCCTAAATTTTTGGAATGGGCTATTTCTAGCAATAGAGATGCTCGTGGGAAACACTTGAAGCACAAATCATTTGAATTATGTCAAGACCGTTGGTGGGAAAGACGTGATCAAGTAAGAATTGAAGAAGAGAAATTAGAAGAGATTGGGGTTACCGGGAACGTTATAGAAAGAGATAGTAGCAAACCACAATCTCGTAGACGTTGAATGCAAAGGATACTGAGACAACCAAATCATATATATGTGTATGTGTATATGTATATTGTACATAAAATATGTAATATTTGAATAATCATAAGCATAATTTTATTTTTTTTTTTACTAACAATGACTGCAGCTGCTATGTCATCGGCTTTGCTTCTAAGGTCTAGTAGGCAATGACCAAGTACGAATAGATGACGGTTTGTGAATTGGTATATTTCTATTGTTGGTAACACAACTTAAGGCTTGATTAAAAGGTGATAATTGTTTATTATGTTTGTTCGTGTTTGAGTGACAGTAGTTGTTGTCACAACAAGCCTGTAGAATAATGCACGTATCCTCATTGGTCCAATATACCATCATTTAACAAAGAAATTAAATCCAAAAAATAAAAAAAATAGTAGTAATAAGAATAACAAATCGCAAAAAGAGAAAGAAAAACAAAAAACTCCATCAATGAACTGCGAGATTTCCTTTTTCATTTCCGTATTCAGTTTTCCTCTTTTTAATGAACGTTTAGTATTATTATTATTGTTGTTGTTGTTGTTGTTATCATTATGACTATAGGAGGAGGGATAGAGAAAGAAAACAGTTAAAATAATATTATTGCTGGTAAAATGGTAATATCCATCCATCTACATTCCCTTTTCCATCCCTCTTTTTCATATACCGTCTTCTTCAAGAACTTGCCATAGATTGTGATGTGCGTTGGCATTTGTCCACTAACCGATGCTCAACTGCATGGAATAGAAATACAAGTATATATACAGGTGGTTTGGAAACCACATTTTACACGACGTGGTGGTCTATTTGTGATTACTGGTTCTTTCTTTGCTTCCTACTCCTGATTACTCACGATGTTGTTTTTGTATTCTCGTTTTGAATTATACGTTCCCTTTTCAACTTTTGTTTTAATCTAACTTCTCTTTTCCTTTTTCTTCTTCGCAGACAGGGAAAAGGTTGAAAATTAAATCGAGAATAAGTTAGAACTAATAAAAAAAAAAAAAAAAAAGATAGGAGCTTATAAATAATTATTCACTGTAGAAGCAATTCTTTACAAAACTAACCGTTTTCTATCCATTACATATTAATTAATATCCCTAGTATTTTAGACTGTGTATATTATTGTTTGTTTGTTTATATATTTTTCTCACTGTCACTTCCCCCTTTTAGTTTCCTTTTTTTTAACTTTATTTCTACTTATTTATTACTTTTGTTTTCTTTGTATTTTACAATAAAAAAAGATATGTTAAGAATCTCTAAAAACATCGCTACTTTATCAGTCCGTGGCAAACATCTATATCCGAACATCATTTCTACCTACCGAATGTCCTCTACCACTTCAAACAATTTCAGAATTGAAACTGACTCCTTCGGTGAAATTAAGGTCCCTGCTGATAAATATTGGGGGGCCCAGACCCAACGTTCCTTTCAAAATTTCAAGATTGGCGGTGTCCGTGAAGTTATGCCAGAACCTGTTATTAAGGCTTTTGGTATTTTAAAGAAATCATGTGCTATCGTTAACAAAAAATTGGGTACTTTGGATCCTGAAATCTCCGATAAGATTCAAATCGCTGCTGATGAAGTCGCCAAGGGTACCCTTTCCGACCACTTCCCATTAGTTGTTTTCCAAACTGGGTCAGGTACTCAATCTAATATGAATGCCAACGAAGTCATCTCTAACAGAGCTATTGAATTGCTTGGTGGTGAAATGGGTTCTAAATTGGTCCATCCAAATAATCATGTAAATCAATCGCAATCTTCTAATGACACTTTCCCAACTGTCATGCATATCGCTGCAATGACTGAAATCATCAACAAACTTTTACCTGAATTAAAACAATTACAAGAATCTTTGACTAAGAAAGTGGAAGAATTTAAACATATTGTTAAGATTGGTAGAACACATTTACAAGATGCTACTCCATTGACTTTAGGTCAAGAATTCAGTGGATATGCTCAACAAGTAGAAAACGGGATTTACCGTATTGAAGCAACATTGTATCATTTACATTTCTTAGCCCAAGGTGGTACTGCTGTCGGTACTGGTTTAAACACAAAAGTAGGTTTCGATAAAATGGTTGCTGAAGAAGTATCTCGTGAAACTGGTATCAAATTTGAGACTGCTCCAAACAAATTTGAAGCTCTTGCTGCACATGATGCTATTGTGGAGACTAGTGGTGCTTTGAACACTTTGGCTTGTTCTTTATTCAAGATTGCACAGGATATTAGATATTTGGGTTCTGGTCCACGTTGTGGCTACGGTGAATTATCCTTACCAGCTAATGAACCAGGTTCTTCTATCATGCCGGGCAAAGTTAATCCAACCCAAAATGAAGCTTTGACACAAGTTTGTTTGCAAGTTATGGGTAACAATTCTACTATAACTATGGCTGGCTCTCAAGGTCAATTTGAATTAAATGTTTACAAACCATTGATGATCTCCAACTTATTGAGTTCTATCAGATTATTGACGGATGCTTGTCATTCTTTTAGAATCCACTGTCTAGATGGATTGACTGCCAATAAAGATAAGATTGATGAAAATCTACATAACTCCTTGATGTTAGTCACTGCATTGAATCCTAAGATTGGTTACGATGCTGCTGCTAAAGTCGCTAAAAATGCACATGTTAAGAATATCACTTTGAAGGAATCTGCCTTGGAGTTGAAAGTATTAACTGCTGAAGAATTTGATGAATGGGTTGTTCCAGAAAATATGATTAGCCCAAAACCATAAGTTTTTTCATGTAGGTTTCATAATGGTCATTTCTGTGAATGATATATATATATATATATATATTTGGTGTGTAATTAGTCAATTAATTTCCTGTTGACTATATTTTGTCTTTCATGCATAATAATTCTTTATTTATCGAGGTTTTTTTTGGGATTATTTGTCTTGTATAATAAGGTTGATGTATATTTCTGTAAGGGTTCTCTTTTTAAATTAACTTTTACTAAGCTTTTTTTTTTCCTTTAGTCATAATTAGAGGGGACAAAAAGGGACACAACACAACAATTTAGGGAAAAATATCCATCAACAATGTAAACGAATATAAAATGTAATAATCACAGTTAATATATATATATATATATATATATATTTAAGTTGTTACTTGTAATGTTTTTTTATTTCCGGTTTCAAATGTAAATCTGGTTATTCTAAAATTAAAAGAAATATACTTAGTTATATAATTAAAAAAATAATATATATATTTATATATATATTTATTTCTTATCACCTAATCTACAGCATTATTTAGTTATTTTGACAAATTCTAAAATATAATACTCTAAATATTTAGATGTTAGTGTGTTCAGCGTTGGTTTAGGAAAACGAGACCTATCAATGTATTCTTGAATTCTCCTTATTGGAAAATGTTACATACAAATTTTGCTATTTGAAATTTAGAAAAGTTGGAAAGAAAAGATATAAACATATAGAAGCAGCAGCAATTAACATGACTAGAAGAGAACAACCAATAATAATCAAGAAGGTTGAGTTTATATATTACTTATTTAAAATTAGTGCTATGCTAGTAGTGTGTTTAAATTTGTGAGTAAAGTCTACACCTTCTATCTAGCTACGTGAATCAGGAATACTATTCTATGTGGATTGTGTTGTCAGAAGTTCATCATTATGGAGTAGATACAAATTCACACGGATGCGAATTTTTCAACAGTAAAAAGGCGTTAAGCTTGCACTCAGATTCGAACTAAGGACCAACAGATTTGCAATCTGCTGCGCTACCACTGCGCCATACAAGCTGAAAATTACCCTTTGGATTGTATAATATAGAGGTAACACCACCGAGATTACGTAAGATTCTATCTGAATCTAAAGTGATTTATTGTGTTTTGAGTACAACGTGTCCATTTGCCACCTAGTGTACAGTGTGTTTACATATCTTTGTTACTACACCACCATAGCATATTATGTTTATGTACACCGTGTTCATTATAGTTTCTACTACGCCACCATAACCTATTGTCCTATATGTTCTATGATCCTCGATTATATTATTGTAACTAATCATAAAGATATGGATTGCTAATTCATTAATATATCAAGTTGAATAGTTGATTGAGTTCCAGAAAACATATAAAAGGACAACGTTTTCTGAAGATAAAAGATCATTTTCCATAACCGTTTCTTATAAATAATTTATATATTATATATAAACAAAATAGAACAACAAACAAGTAACAAGAAGTAACTTCGAATGAATATATTACTCGATAAAAAGCTGCTCAATATATAAGACCGTTTTAGTAATTATATTATCGCCTATAGTTGATTATTGTCTCGATTATTTGAATAACTGTTAATATTATTTGTGCTTCCCCGAAATACACAAAAGAATCTGACCATTTCATATTACAACATTCCATTTTCTTAATACTGTTTTACTTCAGTAAAGTGATGGGTAATTTGTTTATCAATTAAAAAGGCAGTAGGATTTTAAAATTTTATAGATTTTATATTTATTAAGCAGATTTTGACTGTTATTGACGTTTAAATACATAATGTACTCTTTTGCATAGAGAATTAGCTTAACTAAACTAGCCCTTATTTCAACATAGTTCTTTTTTTTTTTTACTTTTCTTCCTTCTTGTTATATATATTGTATAAATTACATATGAAGAAAAATTATAGATGAAAGAACGTCTTTTCAAAAGTATAGTTTGGTTATTTTTAGTTCTGATCCTCAATCAACTCTCTAATTTGTTATATTGGTAGGTATATGATTTCACGGTATAATCACCAATTTTGTATGATGAGAAAAGAGAATTTGATCATCTTCATTTTCATAAAAATTATATTCACCTTAGTTGTTCTGTATATTTTGTGTTATACAAATGTTCCATATTATAAAGAGAATATCTTATATTTTGGCACTAAAAGTATAATCTAGAAATTTGAAGAAAACAGAAAATTATGAAGAAATAATATTAAATAAAATAAAACAGTGACTGTCTACACTGAATAGAATATATAATAATCAAATACATATATTCAATATGAGAATAAGAAATAACAGTAGTAATGTAATGATATCTGATATTACTAGGGATGTTGTGAGCTTCAACTTCCATTAGTAAATTTTTTTACCGAATATCTACTGCCATATAGTCTAAACTAATTATATTTTTAGTTTACAGTTGACCTATTCTTTTTACTATTTTGTGTAGATATATATATATATATGTATGCATAGCATACGAAAATAAATGTGTGCTTTTTTTTATGGTTTTTTTTTTTGGAAACTTTTTGTCTTCCTAAAGATTATTTGCCATAATAATTCTTCCTGTTAATAAAAAAAGTAAAAAACTTCTTTACAACTATTACAGTTACAATGAAACTTTCAACAGAATTAGATAATTATTAACTGATCGTTATTTAATTTGAGTTCTCAAGTGTGGATAACAGTCAATATATTAGTAGAAGAACTTTTGGATTTAAGTTTTTGCAAGAGACTTTCTCAAGTTATAGGTTAAAATATGAACACTAATTATATCTAAATAAATACAAATCTTACAGCTGTTAATTCTAAGCAACTCCATCAATTACATAATTCTTGTTTGGTTTTTATTATTATTAATGTCTATTAGATAGAAACTATCAGATATAATATGAATGTTAATGTTGATAAGTACTTCTGGTACTTTCTTTTAAAAAATAAAAAAATCTTAAATAAGTTTCTTGGTAATTTATGACCAAACACCAATCTGATGATCGTTTGTTTGAATACACTTATAGTCTTAGACTGGTGCTTTAGATGTTCTGAGTCTCTTGTTTCCATCCAGAGCATCTCTAAGGAACTACATATTTCGGGACCCCTATTTGAGATAAAACAGTATTAATACATTAAATGAATATCTTTAATATGGCGGTATTAAGGACCCACTGAGCCATGATGGCATGTTGTAATGTTATATAGTATATAATATCGTTGATTCTTTGTTAGATTTCCACTTTATAGTTTTCCTTTTGAGGAATTCCTCTAAAGTTTTGGTACCGGTTTTGAGATTCCGCACTGGCGAAATTTTCGAGTGTGACAAAGAAAATCCAGGCGGAAAAATCTGAGAGGCACCGGATTTTTTTTTGGTGCTTGTTTTTTTCTTCCCTTGGTATTTCTGTATATTTCCAACAATATGGCCAGCTCATTTTATAATAATATCCTTTAAACCTCTCTGTGTGCCCGTAAGGTTCTCTTCCTCATGGTTAAACATTGCAGACAACTTGCAATAGAAAGCAATGACTTGCCAAATTACTAGGGCTATGTTATAGAAATAAATATTACATTATATTAGTAGAAGGAAAAGAAAATAAAACAGAAAAAATAAGAGATAAAAGGAATATCGTATAAAAAGGAATAATAAGAATATTCAAACTATAAGGAAGTAATAAAATAAAATAGCATAAAATAAAATAAGATGGCGATATTAGAAACTCGTAGACAAAAACAAACTGTCATTGTCATTGGGGTTTATGGTTTAACCATATATACACTTTACAGCACTTTCAGGCAGTCACATTCTTTTGTGCAATGGACAATTAAATTAAATCAAGGTTTCAGTTTTATTATTCTATCTGCGTTTATGTTGCTAAATTTCCTATTAATTTGGCAAGGGTTGACTACACTGTTATTTGGTGAATTACGAATCATTGAGCAGGAACATATCTTTGAGAGATTACCATTAATTGTAATACCCATGATTATGATTGTATCGCAATTTAACAGTTCACAAATGTTTAATGTCCTGCTGTTCAGTGTCGGATTCTTGATTATGCAAGTGTTTACCTGGATATTAAAAGATAGATTAGAGGGACTTCTGCAAACAATTAATGAGCATACCACTCTCACCAAATTGGTGTTCTCTAATTTTATGAGAAATATGATCATTTTTGCAATTTTAAATTATTTCACTACAAAATATACATTCTTTGATAATTTGAAACCATTTTATAAAGATATTAATTCAGTCAATATTATATCGATTACGTTTGGTTACAACTTCGCTTCTATCCTTAATCAATATTTGAATCTTCTATTTCATACCATATTGAATTTTTATGCATTTTATTACACTAATTCATCTAGACATCATAATCAACATAATCACCATATTAACCTTAATTCAGATGAGATTGAAAGTTCTGATGATGATGACGACGATGATGATGAACGAGAATTTGAAGGAAAATTCATGTATGAGAAATATATCGATGTTATTACGAAACTTTTTGATGTTATATTGGATTTAACATTTGGTATCCCATTTAAATTCAGGACTTTTTATATTAAGGATTTAGTGATGGATACTGTAATCTTAGTGAAAAGAAGTGTAGATATATATAAGATGTGGAAAAACAATAAGAAACTGAGTGATAAACTGCCTGATATTATACCAGAAGATTTAATTGACCATGATAACATCTGTATTGTATGTATGGACAACTTATTAGAGCACACACATCAAAGGAAACATAAAATTGAAGTTCCTAATGAGGATCAAGAAATTTTATTCACACAAGAAGATATTAAATCGATGAATAAAAATAAGAGACCCAAAATCTTGCCCTGTGGCCATATGTTACATTTTTCATGTTTAAAACATTGGATGGAGAGATCACAAACCTGTCCAACTTGTAGATTACCTGTATTTGATGAAAAGGGGAATGTAAAACCTGTTCAACATCATAAACCATATCAAAGGAACTCGACAATAAATCCTCAGTCTCCAACACCGACCCCGACACAAGATACTCATACCTCTAATCGCTCGGTAGAATCTTCTATTTCTGATATCGATAATATGACTGGTTCCAATAAAACTACACATTCAGGATCACCCTCACCAACAATATCGACAGCCACAGAAGAAGCACAAAGAAAAGAAATATCTCCAATCTTAAATAGAAGGATGATGGAAACAAGACAAAAAAATAAATCATTAAAATATGGTGAATGGTCGGTATTTCAGGTAAAAGAAAAAAATGCAGATGGTTCAAACATTAAATTTGAAGTAAAAGATGATAGTTCAAATACAACACAGGTTGAATTAATCGTTACACCAAATGAAAATCTTCAAAATTCAATCATTACTATCCCAGACACATACCTGGAAGGTAGAAGACATATTTAGTCTAGCAAATTTTATATGAATGTGCATGTGCATGTATGTAAACAGGTAAATAGATCAAGTATCAGTTTTAAGTATCTTATGTTATCAACAATTTACTCTAACTAAGAATGGTTATTGTACATGGCACTTTTTAGCAGATTAGATGTTATCCAATAGATTTGTCTTTCGTACTGATACAGTCATTAATTGTCTTCTCCCTATCCTATGTAACTTACACAACACCAGCAATAAATACGTATGCAATTATATGTTTCTGTATCTATCCAATACCTCTATTAGTCACATGCGTATATGTATGTGTATTGTGTATAAACATATTTGAGTCAATTTTTGTTCAATATGACAAAAATTCAAAAAAAGCAAAAAAATACAACATTTAACACCAAAGTACAAAAAAAGAAGATAAACACATATTTATTGTGGCACAGTTAGGCAGCCAAACAGTAATATATACAGAATATTTACTGACATAAGCGACGTTAGTTTCCTTCCGACTACAAGTTGTTTTGTTTTGTATTGGAACTATTCTAACTATTAAAAATAAGAATCTGTTTAATTATATCAAGGTCTTATTAGCTTTGCAAGATTAACATTTATCGCTGTGTTTTATTTTTTATTTGAATTAAATTATTATTTACGTTATTATTTAATCAAATATTAGTCAATAATTTAATTTCGTTTTAACTAATCTGTCAAATTGAAGCAACTAATTAATAGTAAAGAATTGCTTAAGAAAAGCAATTTATTAAGGAGAAATAGAAGTTATCCAGAAGATGAGGATTACCCAGAAGATGAGGAATTTTTATCCGTTGATACTGACAAAGGGGGAAGCACTGTGGTTCTCTCTAAATTTAGCTCGCATAAGTCAAATAACGACTCTGTAGAAGTAGTGTCTTTGACAACCTTACAACAGGAATCAATAACATCTCATTCGATAAATGACAGTTATTCAACTCAACCTGACCCTTTATCTCTTTCATTATTAAATGTTTCTTCTTCTACTTCTCTTATATCGTCCATCTCAACTTCATCTACTTCATCCTCTAGCTCCATGTATACTGCAAATTCTGTTCCCATTAATGAAGATAAAGTTAAGAAACCAATTAAAACCTATAAGAGGAAATTAATGCAGAAGTTATTGAAAAGTAGTAAACCTCGTGCTTTGATATCCAAGAAATCATCTGATTTGAGGAACGAAGGACGAGATGAATCATTACTCAAAATTGATAGAAGAGTTGATCGTTTGGGAGTCACAAACAGAAGGACACAAAAACCAAAAAAACATAAGGATAATCATAAAAATAATCATGGAAGAGGGAAGCATGGTTCAGATGACGATGGTCCTATATCTTTGGCGATACTAACAGATGATGGAATACAGATAAAATCTAGAAAACCTAGATCTTATGAATATGAAGATTATGCTAACATTCTTTTACCTGAGGGACGGAAAAGCATATCTAGTAGTAGAACCAGTTTTTCAAATGGTTCAATGTCTGATACAGATTCATGTATGGAAACAAGATCTATGATTAGTTGTGTCACTTGTCTGAGTGATAGTGTGTCCCAATTGTCAGTTGATACTACAAATACAACTACTACAATGAATAATGATTCAAATGCCAACGGAAGAAACAAGAGAAAATATCATTATGGATCAGTTAATGGACAAATTCCTACGAATACTGTTATACTATATGAAATGATTTTAAATGCTAAATATGTTGATATTCAAAGTTTACAATTTCATAAAAATAACACACGTAGCAATAGTGTTAATAGTAATGATAGTCTTGAGCAAATTGAAAATGTAATAAAAAAGAATCCAAATCTTCATTTAGTCGAGATTTCTTTTGCAAAGCCAAGAAGACAAGATGTAGTACCTAAAAGATTGACTTTGTTGATTGATGATGGTGCTAATAACAGCAATGATGACAATGGAGGTGATGAAACTGATATTGTTGAAAAGATTTTACAAAGAAGTTATAAGAATAGTAAAAGGAAACGTAATATTCTTGTTCTTATTAATCCCTATGGTGGTAAAGGCAATGCTAAAAAAATATTTATGAGAAAGAGCAAAAAATTATTAATGGCAAGTGGATTTACATTTGACATTCAATATATTAAATATAAAGACCATGGGAGCGACATTGTACAGAATATAGACATAGATAAATATGATACGATAGCATGTGCATCAGGTGACGGTATACCGCATGAAGTAATAAACGGACTCTACAAAAGACCAGATAGGGTTCGGGCTTTTAATAAAATAGCAATCACACAGATACCTTGTGGATCAGGTAATGCAATGAGTGTATCATGTCATTGGACAAATAATCCATCGTATGCAACATTGTTTTTGATCAAATCCGTGGAGACTCGGTGTGATATTATGCGTATATCACGACCTTCTTGCAAGGCTGGACATTGCATACTATCATTTTTAAGTCAAGCATATGGGATCATTGCAGAATCAGATATTAACACAGAATTTATTAGATGGTTAGGTCCTGCAAGGTTTGAATTAGGTGTTGCATTCAATATTTTACAGAGAAAAAAATATCCATGTGATCTTTACGTAAAATATTTTACTAGAGGTAAAAATGATTTAAAGTCACATTATCTTAATGAAGTATCGGCAAGACGTAATTTAACATACAACAATATCAGTGATAATAGTAATTTAGATAATACTGGTTTACAATTGAATATGGATGTTGGTGATGATGGTAGCGATAGTAATGGTAATAGCAATAATTATGATATTGACAATTTTATCACTGAAGATATGTTTAAAATCAAATATCCATTAGATCAAAAAATACCTTCAGATTGGGAACGTGTAGATCCCAAGTTGACAAGCAATCTTGGTATTTTTTATACAGGAAAGATGCCATACGTGGCAGCAGATACGAAATTTTTCCCTGCTGCATTACCTAGCGATGGTGTTATGGATATGGTATTAACAGATGCACGTACTCCGTTCACTAGAATGGTGCCTATCCTGTTAGCCTTAGATAAGGGATCGCATGTTTTACAACCGGAAGTGATTCATTCCAAAATATATGCATATCGATTAGTACCACGACAAGAAGAAGAAGAAAGCAATAAAAGTAAAGGAAAGAATAAATATAAAGATAAGAATAAAGATAAAGACTTAGGTGAGTGCAGTTCAGATTCTAATGAAACTGAATATGATGATAATAGTATGAATAAAGACTCAGGTTTATTGTCTATTGATGGTGAAAAATTCCCCTTAGAGACTATACAAGTGGAAGTTATACCGAAGTTATGTAAATTTCTTTTAAGAAAAGGTCAATTTGTCGATACAGAATTTGATATAATGTGACCGAAGGAATAGCCATTATGTTCATTTCAAAGAACGTATATATGTATGTGTGTAAAACATATGGTAGTATATATATATATTATTGTGTATGTGTTTAATAATGATGATAGTTATGACGATTAACATTGACAGGAACCATTCTGGTCTATATTTTCATTTTGAGATGTAGATATATCAATAATTCCTGTACTTTTATCATGAGTATTGGATAATGATTCATCTAAAATAGCATCGTTGTTACTATCATTATTGTTGTTGCCGTTGTTATTGCTGTTATTGTTGTTATCATCTTGGAATTCTGGTAAGGATTTAGCGATTTTTTTGAATAGATTTTTGACGTTGTACCCGACTTTTGTTGATGTTTCCATGAAGATATTGGCGCCTAACAATTCTGCTTTCTTTTCACCTTCTTCAGTGGACACCTGCCTCTCATCACTTAAATCGCTTTTATTACCTACTACACAAAGAATGACATTATCTTCCCCACGTTCGTTTCTAACGTCTTCGATCCATTTATCAATGAATTCAAAAGATTTTTTTTTTGTAATATCATAGACCACAATGGCTACTCTCGAATCCCTTATATAGGAGGGAATCAAGGATCGAAACCGTTCCTGCCCTGCTGTATCCCATAGTTGCAACCTTATAGTCTTGTCGTCCAGGTACATAGTCTTCGATAGGAAATCTATCCCTATGGTGGCCTGGTAGTGATCGTCAAATGTGTCGTACATGAACCGTGTGATAAGGGAAGTCTTGCCTACACCTTGTTCACCCAGAAAGACAATTTTATATTTACTTAGCGACTTATTGTTTTTTCTTGTTTGAGATGTTGTGTTACTCATATTTCAATGTAACCAAAATATAGTCTTCAGATAGAAGCTGTTGAAATAAAAGGGAGGAAAAAGTGCACGTGGATAATATGTATCTGTTTGAAAAGAAAAAGATGGGACAGGGAGTATTGTAGTTTAGTTTATCTGTGTCACTTACAAGTTTGAAATATAGTGAAAGATGAAAGGACCACTATGTGTGAACTACAGAAAACGGGAAGAGAGAAGTGTGGAAGATGAGAGTAGATATCAGTTATAATGTTGTCTATCAATTAAATTATGTCATATATGAGAGATACATCCAATATAAATGTCTTTGACAAGAATATCTGAAAAACATTAAGGATGTAAACGATCTCACTCATGCAAGATTGTTTGATTATGAAGTGATGAAATATTGAAATTTTTTCATATGTTCCTTTTTTTTTTCCAGCTGTAGGAATAGGAAACTGCGAAAGACGACGTCGATAGATCGATATCTTCGAGAATTTTCTGCAGGAGAAAACAGCAAAAGCATGAAAGAAAGAAAGAGAGTAAAGAGGTAGGAGGGAATGTTTGTTATGCGAGGAGTATGGTTCTTAGTGTGCTATATATCTACAGATATACATATACATATACATATAAATTTTGGCTGCATATGGAGGCGAAAGTTATACGTATGCAAGTATATAAATGGATGAACAGTTGGTTGGTTATATAGTTGCACGATTAAAAGTGGAAGTGGAGGTGGACAATAAATAAATAATTAATTAAGTAACTGTATAAAGTAGGAAACCAGCTACAACTATTTCTTACCAGATTTCTTGATACCACCACCAACCAGAGGTTTACCAGCTTTGATGTTGGCCATCATGGCCTTCTTGGCTGCGGCGTCGGCTTTTTGTTTTTGTTTGAAGGCAATGTCTTCTGGATCTAAATCCTGGTTCTGTTTCTTCTTTTGTTTCAGAGGTTTTAGTTTACCACCTTGACGACCAGACATTTTTCTTTTTTTTTTTGTATATGCTAGTTGATTTGTTGTGTTGTATAAGATTACGTCTAGTACAGAAAGAAAGATAAGGAGGGGGAAAGGGTGGAGAAGAAGGAAATTGTCCTTAAGTCCAACATCGTACGTCTAACAATCAGAATTGTGATGCCTGTGGTTTAAGTGAGCAAATAATACAAACAAGAAAGATTTTATTTTTTTCTTTTTTCTTTTTCCTGTATATTTTTTTATTTGTTGTGTTCATCTCAAGAATGTTTTGGTCACGTGCTCACTTTCTTTATAGTGTCTTCTTACTCACTACTCACGATACACTCAAACATTATTAGAAAGTGAGATTAACGACAGGGAGAGAAAGATACACACACACACACACACACATATATATATAATAGAATGCTGTGTTATATAAACGGTAGTTTCTGTTTAGGTTAATCGTTGCATATTAGTAGCTTGGCCCAAAGGGAATTCCATCTTCCTTTAACTGTTTCTTAACCTCTTCCTGCAAACCACGTTTCCAAAGGTCATGGTTTTCTCCAATAACATAATTCAAAGTACGGCATTCAAACCCTTGAGGTCCCAAATAATTTAAACTTTCGATCGCATCCTCCAACAGTATCGCCTTACCAGCGGAGATACCGTTGCCCAACCCTTGATGTTTCACATTCACAATGTGGATGTGAAAATGATAATATGAAGGTTGGTAATGGATGAAAATCCTTAACTCATCAGGGTGGATCATATAATTGTAACATGATGGAACCACAGATTTAATTCTCTTCATTATGTCCTTCAACCAATCTTGGTGTTTTGGCTTCAAATCACGTAGGGATTTAATATCATCTCTATAAACAATAGCCACCAAATATAATGAGTCCATATTGACTCCATCCCATTTCATATCTGGTAATATGATAAACCCTTGATCTCGGTTGTCACAGTCATAATCCTTGTACACAACCCTCTCAGATTCTGCGCCTTCATACAAAATATTATGAACCCATTTTAGTCTACCGGGCTCGCACATCTCTTCAATGTAAGGCTTGACAATTCTGGAGTAGATCTCCGGTGTCTCTTTAATAAGATGAAAATTCTGTTGTTCATACTTCTTAATGTGTACCGGGGTAGCTGGCCAGATCAGATTCAGTTTGGCGGTTGGGTTGGTATCTAGATCTTGTCTCAACATAGTTAACCCCCAATAATATATATCGTTGCATGTGATCTCTTTCAAGTGTTCAATATCCTCAATACTTAACGAGCGGTCATCTACCATATCCGTTCCTGTGTTCAGAGCTTCATTGTCGCAATTTACTTCCCCAGATTCATTGACGGTAAAATGGGTTTTCTCCAATGTGATTATGGCATCTTGTGAGTCTATTGTACCTAAGAGGGAAAGGACCTTACTCTGTGGATTTGAATTTAACACTCTAATAAACCGGAATCTTTTAACTAATTGAGAAAATGTGGGTTTCTCCTGACCATTTGGTTGTTGTTGTTGTTGTTGTTCTAACATTTTTGTATGGAAAAATTGGCTAGCTCTTTTATAGACAGATAAATAGACAAATAGATGGGTAGATATCTGGTCGTGGTTGTGCAAAGTTTCAAATATTCAAGTATATAAGCATATATATGTATACTCCATTTTAGTATCGCGTGTCTCTAAGATAAGCAAAGCTCGAAATGAAGTTTTTTGTTTGCCTTTAAGTAGTGTTGCATCCTATAAAGAACAAACATGAGTCTGCAACAACACCCATACATACATACACATTTAATTCCCAAATATCAAGCAACCTTCCATAAACTGCTTGAACTCTCACTAAAGAGAAACAAGAAGAGAGATGTATTGGGTGGATTAAAAGGTGGTGATAGATTCATATAGTATACAATTATACATATATACATACATATATACATATACATATATATATATATATATAAACGCGTGTTGTGTGTTGGATTCAAACAATAAAAGGAAAGAGTGGAATTAAAGGATCATTTCAATTTGGTTCAAAACTATTATTATTATTATTATTATTGAATCGGTTTATGAGTATGTATATTGCTCTTCTATGCTGTATATATTCTTTTTCTTCTTTTTTTCTTCTTCTCTTTTCTCTTATTTTTGTTTATATTACCTATGGTTGCTGGATTTATCTCAAAAATACCCAATATACTAAGAACACGAAGAAAAAGGATAATAATGCAATAGGAGCATACTGTTTCAGTAACAATTCATAGTTAATTCTTTGAGCAGAACGTCTATATTTCTTGGACGATTCTTTTAAAGATGCACTCATATCACTCATTCTATCTAAGGAATCACCTCTATACAATAAATCTTCTATATTTTTAGACATAATCTGCTTCACACCCACCAACTCTTGGTTCAATTGATCTAGATTGTCCTGGACTTTCTTATTACTATAGGATTGTTTAGTTCGTTGTAAGAAAGTATCAAAGGATACAAACGCATATGGTCTTAGAGTAGGTTTGTTGTATTCATTACCGTATGAATGCTGAAACTCTTCCGCAATATCGTTTAAATATGAGAATGCCAAATTACGTGGATAACCAGACTCGCAAATTACAAAATAACAAACAACGTCTTTACGTATATAGCTAATCTCATAACTTCCATTACTTTCTAACGTAGCTTCATTGGCTGATTGAGGTGTCATCCGGGACACTATCAACTTTACATACTTTTTTTGTTCATTTAATGCTGGACTGTTGTCATCATCATCTACAGACATACATAGTGGTAGACCATCGTCCCTATAAAGTAATGTGGATTTGATCATTCTTATCTTTCTTGATACTGGGTTTATAAGTATATGGAAATTGTATATATATATATTTGTGTGTGTGTTTTCGTGTGTGTGTATTTGTATGTATTTTTTATAAAGATGAAGGGAGAAGATAGAGGGTATCTATTAGTCTCAATTATTATTTTCCTTTATTGCTGATTATCTACAAGTCTCTATAAACAACCCAAATGATATTTTTTAATCTTTACAATATGATTGAAGGTTACGTTATTTCAATGCATCAAACAGCGAACAGTTTGTTTGTTCTCATTTTGTTTCGGTTTTGGTTTTGGCTTTATTTTTTGTTATTAATTTTTTTTTTATACTTCTAATTTTTTACAATTTTTTATTTGGTTGATTTTTATTGTTTTCCACTCACTGTGGTGCATTATGAATATATAGAAGTGGCTCATATATTCATAATCAGTTAGATTATTTGATCCATCGATCAATGTAGGTGTTGTTTATGGATATATTAAAACTTCTGGTACGTATCAGTGACTTGTTTATGACCCTACGATGATTGGTCTGCATCAAAATGCAATAACTCTTCCGATGTCATTGACCAAATTGACTTTGAATGCGCAGCATATCCATCCCATACTTCATTGGTAAATGTGGTCAATAAGTCGCTAGTGATCTCATTCAAATCCAAACCCTGCTGTTGCCAGTGGGTTTCTGCTTGTTTTCTTGACATTAAGCCTTGATCTAATAACTGTCTTGCCATGCGTTCTAACACAAGCAGAGAATGTAGTGAGTATGAAGTCTTCATTAATTGGTAGAGTTGATCCCATTTAGGTAAAAACATCTGATCCAATATATTTCTAAATTGGTGCATCACACAAGTAAAACAATAGTATTTATCCATTGATATATGATTATCGTCAAGTGAAACAGTTGAAGAGTCGTCATGGTCACATTTGTTATCTAATATGACATACCCTTTTTCTTGTAAAGTTAGTCTTGCCATGAACACTGAGTAAAATTCCGACACAACTCTAATAAATGCCGAATTTATTAATGATAGAGAAAGATTTAGATATGGTGATAATCGAGTCCCTGCATCAATAATATCAGGGTACGCGACTTTATCTGCTTCAAACATGGACAATAAAGTATTGATACATAATGAAGTAGTCAATAAACCATATTTAACCATTCCATTCTTGGTACTAATTGAAATGTCTTTATAAAATGCCCTTTTAATGTTATGGAAGTTAAATAACATCGATAACGTATTAGAAAGAATAATGATTTCAAATGGATCCACCGAAAATATAATGCCCCAGGCTGTATACTTGGATAGGTCGGGGAAATTCGTAGTAAGAAAAGTCTGTAGTTCTAAAATATAAGTATCAATATCTTCTTCAGTATTATCGTTACTGCCATTGTAATTATTGCTGGATACAGAATTTAAGTTGTTAATATGTTTTCTAGCCAATTTAATGAAATCTATAAACAATCTATTTCTAGGCATCGCAAAAAATCCATCTCTATGGGATTTCAAATTTTGTTCAAATAGATTCATTGATAACATCTGATTTGAAATGAAAGTTGGTTTACCAACATCAAAAGATGTGAAAACATCAACAAAAAGTGTGCAAAGCATTGTATTCTCCAAATATTTTAAATCACCAACAATAGATTCTTTATTTCTATACCATTTTCTGACATTATCAAATCCTAAAGAAATACAGCATTGACAGGTCTCAGAAATCTTATGCAATATTTGTGAACCATCCCAACGGGAGTATTCGCCATGATGAATCTTAAAGAAACAACACATTAATAAGAACTGTGCATTTTCAGTAAAATTTATCTCCAAACATCTCATGGAATTAACTTGAATGAAATATCTTATAATTGACTCTGGTATGCATGAATTATTATCATATGTACAAAGTACAATAATAGACAATATGATTCCAATCTTACAGAAATTGATACCATCTGGTGGATACATATTAATGACTCTGTCCGAATTCTGATCAACTATAAAACACTCATATAGATCCTTCCATGTTTTCTTTGGATCCAAGATTTGTAACAATTCGTGTAAGGGACCATCGAAGAACGAATCTAGACATTTTTTGATTTCCGTAAAGTTAGGTAAATCATTACAGACTAACTGAGTTAGAGATATATCAGTGACAGTTCCATCTATCTTGTGCATAACATCTGTTTGTAATGGTGATAGAAAGAGATCCCGGCACTGGAAAGATTCTGATGTACATTTAGGTTTCAATTTATCCCAAAGATTAGTGAACTCAAGTTGGAATTTGGTACCATCTGCAGTCAGTATGGTTCTCCATGAGGTTGGGCCAAAAATTTGTAAATGATTGTCTCTCCAAAGAGAAGTTTTGAAAATTGTAAGTGGATTAATTGTCTTTGAATTTATAATATTAAAAGACGTATAGCTACTTTGAGTGTTGGTATTGTTATTATCATTTTGAGTATTATTATTATCACTATTGTCATTATCATTATTATTATTATTATTTGGACTATTCATACGACTATCTAATTGAGATTTTAAATCAATTATTTCATTTAAAAGCTTTACATTTGGATTTTGATCAAAAATTTCATCTACAGAGACAACATCAAAATTGAAATTAGATAGATAAACACAAGTTGGAAATTTACGAGCTGAACATTGTTGACACATTGGTTTGGCCTTATTACATTTCAATTTTCTTTTTCTACAAAACAAACATGATTTGACTAATTTCCTTCTTTTTTTTGTGCCTTCATCTTTTTTCTGTTTATTTGTATTGTCCATCTGTAATATCCACCTATCTTTGATAGTATATTATTAGCCTTGATCTGACTATTTAATTGATCTAATTAAAAGTATACAATAACAATAATAGAGACAAAAAAAAAAATATAAATGAGGAAGAGAACGTTAGAGGATGTAAGATAGAAAGAATAACAATAATAATGGTATCTTATCTATAAAAGAATTAAGCGAAGTTTTGTTTAATTTATTGTAATTGGAAACAGGATCATCAAAACAGTAATTTGATGATAAACGTTTAAAATAACATCTCCACCGATGCATATAGGTTAAAATATGTGATATCCACACACGTAATCTATTCATTTAATGCCTGATCACTTGCATGGATATGGATCTGTGTATTATTTGAGATAAAAGTTTATTCCATAAGTTTTAGATGCTCGATGGCGTTAGCAAATTGCTTGTATTGTTTTCTAGATGTTAAAAAAAAAATAAAGGAAAAAGAAAAACTCCACGGAACGGAATTCATTTCCGTCGAAGTCCATCACAAGTTCAAAACAAAATACAGTATTTTAACCCTAACTTTATATAGCTTGCTAAACAGAAATTATAGATTTATATACTCTTGACCCTACTTTTATAAACAAAAACTGAAGAAAATATTTTATATTCATTTTTTTTCTTTGAAATCTTGGAAACGAAGAAAAAGACATGGTGTCTGGATGTTGTGGTTTTACGCGTTTTTCTTTCTCTTTTTGATAATTTTTTGACACCATTTTTTTTTTTGTTTTTTGGAGTTGTGGAGAGGCACACGCGTAAATGTTTTATTGAAGAACAGAAGCTATCATCATCACCATAATAATGATATCACCAATATAGCTGATTTAGCTTTAGTTCAAAGCAGTAGATTACTTTTCATTAAACACAGTGTTATAAAGCACAAGTTCCTTTCTGAAGTTTTAATTCCACATATTTGGGTATGATCTGAAGTTGCATGATTACTTGTTGATAGGATTTCACATCACACAGGAAAAAATTATAAAAATAGAAATAGATAACAGGTAAGAGACTGGGAAGATTATTTTAATCTATCTATATAAAGATTATTTAAGAGATTTTGCGTCACAAATTATTGTTCTTTCCATTTTTTTTTTGTCCAAAAATGAGTAGAAATGATAGATTGGAGAAATTGAGACGTCTCCAAGCTGCAAAGAAGGATCATCGTCATTCAGGTAATGAAAATATTAATAATGACGGGGAGGAAGATGATGATAGAATATATGATGAAATAGATGAAGTAGAATATAAGAGAAGAAGACGTCAAGAATTGTTGCAGGATGATTTTGTGGTGGATGACGACGGTGTTGGATATGCTGACAGAGGTGTGGAAGATGATTGGCAAAATGAACATTATTATTCAAGTGAAGATTTCGAGGATTTTGATGATAATAGTGGTATGAAGGATGCAAGTATAAATAAACGCAAAGCGAAAAAAAGAGATAAAGACAATAAAGAAGGAAATGTGATAGGACAGATGTTACGTCTACAACAACAACAGAGGAAAAAAAAATATAGCATTGTCTTTGAATAATTCAACTAACAAAAAGGCTATGGCAATTGATGATTTTGACGATATTTTAGGGGAATTTGATAAGATGACACCGCAACCAATATCCACCATTAGGTCCTCTTCCGTAAATCGATTACCATCATCTCCAACTTTAAAAAGAAAATTGAACGATTCTAATATCCATAATCATAATGTTGATGAGGATGCGACTAAAATAAATTCAGGTATGTCCAATATTGTTACTAAGAAGCCTAAAATATACAATTCTAGTATGGTTACTGCACGAGAAGTTCAATTGGATTCATCGCCATTAAAAGGACGTAATATTGTTGATAAAATTGACACTTCCGATGCTAACATTGGTTTAGAATCTGATGCTGAAAATTTAAGTAATTTAATGAAAGATGTGGAAAATTCTCCAACAATGCCTAAGAATCTTCCACCAGCTAAATCAAAGCAGTCACATTTAGTCGTTAATAAGGAACTATCAAAAAATGTAGTTGATGTTGATAGTGATAGTGATGATGAATTGATATTTAAAAGAAGACCTATGAGGGGTGTAAATACTACAAGAAAGGTAGATTTCAATTCAAGAAGTAATCCAAATACATCGCCTTTTGTTACGGCACCAGGTACCCCAGCAAATTGTTCTATTAAAAACCCACTTTCAAAACCTACTAAAACACTTCATTATTCTACTAATGAGCCTCTAAATTTTTCAAACAAATATTCTAAGGAACAAGTGGTAAATCCAGAAACAAATTCATTTCAAATGTATTGGCTTGACTGTGTAGAAGTCAACAATTCATTAATACTTTTTGGTAAAGTAAAGACATTGGATAATAATTTAGTATCTGCAATGGTTCAAATTAATGGCCTTTGCAGAGAACTTTATTTCCTTCCAAGAGATGAGTATTCTGCGATGGATGTTTATGAAGAGATTACCCCTCTCATAATGGAGAAGTATGGGTTAACTAATATTCGTGCGAAACCACAAAAGATGAAATACGCCTTTGAATTACCAGATATTCCTAAAGAAACTGAATATTTGAAAGTCTTATTACCATATAATACACCAAAATCTAGTTACGATTTAATACCACCAGAACTTTCTAGTGACAAGTTTTGCCATGTATTTGGTGGTAATACCAATATATTTGAAAGTTTTGTGGTGCAAAACAAAATTATGGGCCCCTGTTGGTTAGAGATTAAAAATGGTAATTTTGACGCCTTGACCAACGCTTCACATTGTTCGATTGAAGTCGCAGTTGATTCACCTCGTGATGTGATTCCTCTTGACATTAAATCTGTCCCACCACTAAGTTGTATATCCTTAGCTATTCAAACAATGATGAATCCTAGAGAAAACAAGCAAGAGATTGTAGCTATAACATTGGCTAGATACGATAATGTGTCTTTAGATGCACCAATTCCAGAAGATTTAAAGCCAAGTAGTATTACTACATTAGTAAGGCCACCAAAGGGAACAAACTATCCGGTTGGATTAGCTACGTTGGCTAAACAAAAATTAACAGGTGAATTACGTTTATTTAACAATGAAAAAACACTTCTTTCATGTTTTTGTGCAATGCTTAGAGCATCTGATCCCGATATATTAATTGGTCATAGATTAGAAAAAGTTTATTTGGATATTCTAGTTCATAGATGCCACAACTTAAATATCCCAGCTTTTAGTTGTTTAGGAAGACGTGTACGGAAACAATGGCCAGAAAAATTTGGTAAAAATCATTTTACCATGAATCAATTTTTCATTCATGAATTAATTGCAGGTAGATTAGTATGTGATATTGCTAATGAAATGGGTCAATCTTTGACACCTAAATGTCAAAGTTGGGAGTTAAGTGAAATGTATAAAATAACCTGTGGTAAAGAACATAAGTCTTTGGATGTTAATTTTGCAAATGAGAGATATCAAGAGGATGCTGATACTATGAATTTAGCATTACAAGAAAATGTAACAAATGCAATGATTACTGCTGAAGTATCGTTTAGAATCCAAATGTTATCGTTAACTAAACAATTGACTAATTTAGCTGGTAATGCTTGGTCACAAACATTAGGTGGTACAAGAGCAGGTAGAAATGAATATATTTTGTTACATGAATTTGCCAGAAATAGTTATATTGTGCCGGATAAAGAAACTAGAAAGATGAAGGAACAAAGGAAACAAGAACAATTCCAAACATCTGATGATCTGGAATCTACTACTTTATCGTCATCAAAAAAGGCTAAGTACCAAGGTGGTTTAGTTTTTGAACCAGAAAAAGGTCTACATAAGAATTATGTGCTGGTTATGGACTTCAACTCATTATATCCTTCTATTATTCAAGAATTTAATATTTGTTTTACCACTGTGGATAGGAATCCTAACGATATAGATGAATTGCCAGAAATTCCATCGTCAGATAAGGCACAGGGTGTTTTGCCAAGATTATTAGCAACTTTGGTGGAGCGTCGTCGTGAAGTGAAAAAGATAATGAAGAATGAAAAGGATCCTCATAAGTATGCCCAATGTGACATTAGACAACAGGCTCTAAAATTGACTGCTAATTCTATGTATGGTTGTTTAGGTTACGTTAACAGTAGATTTTATGCTAAACCATTGGCAATGCTTGTCACTAATAAAGGTAGAGAAATTTTAATGAATACAAGACTATTAGCTGAAAGCATGAACTTGGTTGTTGTTTACGGTGATACAGATTCTGTTATGATTGATACAGGGTGTCAAAGTTATGAAGAGGCAATAAAAATAGGTCAGAACTTTAAAAAATTGGTTAATGAACGGTATAGGTTATTGGAAATTGATATTGATAATGTTTTCAAAAGATTATTACTGCATGCTAAGAAGAAGTATGCTGCTTTAAATGTGACTTTGGATAAAGACAGTAGTGAACATGTTGCCTTAGAAGTTAAAGGCCTAGATATGAAACGTCGTGAGTACTGTCCACTTTCAAAGGAAGTATCCAGTCATGTATTAAATACTATCCTTTCCGATAAAGATCCAGAAATATCATTACAAGAAATATATGATTATCTAGAGGATATCAGGTCTAAGATGATTAAGAATGAAATTAGGGTTGACAAATATAAGATAAATACAAAACTTTCAAAGGATCCTACGGCATATCCTGGTGGTAAAACTATGCCAGCTGTTCAAGTAGCATTAAGAATGAGAAAAGCTGGTAGATTGGTGAAAGCTGGTACGGTTATTACATATGTAATAACTAGAAACAAAAATGATTTGAAATCATCAACATCTTTACATCCAGCAGAAAGGGCATATGCTTTGAATGAAGTAATGGCAAAAGATAGTGGAGTAGTGCCAGATCCAGAGTTTTACTTGGAAAAGCAAATATTTGCCCCTGTCGAAAGATTACTTGAAAGAATTGAAGGTTTTAATGTTATCCGTTTGAGTGAAGCATTAGGTCTAGATAGTAGAAAATATTTGAGAAGATATGATGAAAATGGTGGGTCTGGAAATAATGTTTTACAGCCTTTGGAGACAACGATTTCTGATATGGAAAGATTTAAGGATTCTAGTAATCTGCAATTATCTTGTCCGAAATGCATGGCATCCTTTCCATTTGGTGGGATTGTTGCTTCAAATCATTACCAAGTGACTTATAATGGTGTTCAATGCAAGAAATGTGATCATTTGTTTCTTCCGTTGCAATTGAGTTGTCAATTAGAATCGACTATAAGAGCACATATATCATTATATTATGCTGGTTGGTTGGTCTGTGATGATGTCACGTGTGGTAATGTGACTAGACAGATATCTGTATTTGGCAAACGTTGCTTGCGTGAAGGTTGCACTGGTGTCATGAGTTATAGATACACAGATAAAAAGTTGTATAACCAACTGTTATATTTTGAATCGCTTTTTGATTGTGAGAAGAACAAGAAACAAGTGTTAAAGCCTTTGTACCATGAGGGTGAACCAGATTACCCAAGAGAAAAGTTATCAGAATCAACAATTTTGGCACTGGTGGAACAAAATAGAGAATTATTTAGCATCAATAGAGGTGTGGTGGAGAAGTACTTAGATAACTGTGGTCGTCGTTACGTTGATATGGGTAGTATATTTGACTTTATGATGGATAATTGATATATTTTTTGAATATAGGCATTTTCTTTATATAATTTCCGGCATATTCATATGTATATGGATAGACTCTGGGTTTATACACATGTACTGATATTTTGTATGTTATAATGATCTTTATCGTCTTTTTTCTCTATTATTTACTTGTTAATGGGGCATCTCTTCTTTTTTTCGGTTGTCAGTGTTTGTCTTTGCTTAGTTTCTCATATCAGCTCTCTATATAGAAAAGAGATAAGAAATGAGTTGTTTGATCTAGTCAAACACAATACATGAAGACTTCTACTTCATGTGTATGTTACTACATAGTTTTATAAAAAGAATATCATGGTTTATGAAGAAGCGATATGACTAAGGAGTGATTGTTGTTCGTAATCAATTTGCAAAAAGATTATATTGAGGCTTTGCTATTTTGCCATTCCGATGTTTCCAAAAAAACAAATGGTTTCATCAACTGACATGCATAGTGGAGATAAAGTTGTGAGAAGATTAGACGAGGATGTGGATTCTCTATTAATGAAAAGTCAGAATATCCAAGTTCCTCGATTTAAGGGTAACAAAAGTATGAATCATTTTATATCTCAATCGCTGGTCAGTAGAAGAGGTTCTGCTCAAAAAGGCTCAATGGATATGGGTTTAAATGGGGGTCCTTTATCTATAGGTCACAAATCGAAAAGAATGGATGCTACACTTTTCATTGATATCCATTCACCGAATTTTAAGACTAGTGATTCTGTTGAGGGAAAAGAAATATTGAATAGTGTGAAGGAAAATTATTTGTCAGATCATATGAAAAAGGTAAATATTAATAATGCGAATGGTTCTTCTTCTTCTTCTTCTTCTTTACAGCAAAAAGATACGGATACCTTTATTGGTGATAGAAATTTACAACGATCAGCTGGAGATATGACAAGAGATATATATAAGTTGGCGACACAATCTTGTTCTAGCAAAAAATATAAGACATTGGAAGATATACAATTAACATCAGAAAGAAATCGAAGGAAATCGACTGCTAGTGGTTTAAATGTGCCTGGTGGGTTCAGAAGGGAATATATTGTTAAAAAGATCAGAAATGAACAAGCATCAGCATCTACTAATTCAGACCTAAACTGTAAAAATGATGTTTTTTATGGATCAATACCGAAAATTACGAGAAGTATAGATCCATCATTTGAATCTGATTGCGAAGTTGTTAATGAATCTGGTAATGATTTGACAAATGTCCCCTTTTTTACAAGAAACTTCTTGGAATTTTTATATCTCTATGGTCATTTTGCTGGTGAATCTTTTGAAGATGATTTCTTACCTGAATCTATAGGCCAATCCATAGATGAAGAAACAGGAAGTGTGGTCCCAATAACAAACAAAACTATGAAAGAACAAATACATGCTGTTAGGGGAACTGCATCTGATAGAAAGGCGTTTTTGTTACTATTAAAAGCATTTATTGGAACAGGAGTCTTGTTCTTACCAAAGGCATTTTTCAATGGTGGTCTTTTATTCAGCACTGGGATGTTGATATTTTTTGGTGTTTACTCATACTGGTGTTATTATATTTTAGTTAAGGCTAAGGAAATAACAAAAGTGTCTTCTTTTGGAGATATTGGATTAAAGTTGTATGGGCATTGGTTAAAAATTTTGATTTTATTCGCTTTAGGTATCACTCAAATTGGGTTTGCTGGTGCATATATGATTTTTACAAGTAAAAATTTAGCTGCTTTCGTAGAAAATGTTTTTTATCGCAATATCAACTTAGCATATATAATGATTTTCCAGCTTATTATATTTATTCCAATATCATTTGTTAGAAATGTTTCAAAATTGTCACTTCCAGCTTTAATATCGAATTTTTGTATTATGTTTGGTTTAATAATTATTGTTATTTTTTTCCTGAATCATTGGATCTATGATTTATCTTTTAGACCTATGACTGACATAATATACGGTGTTAACACAGAAAGATGGTCCTTATTTATTGGAACAGCTATTTTTGCCTTTGAAGGTATCGGATTGATTATACAAATACAAGAGTCAATGAAACAGCCTGAACATTTTCCTAAGGTTTTAAGATCAGTTATAACAGTAGTAACAATATTGTTTGTTACAATGGGTTCTATAGGATATTTAATTTATGGATCAAACGTGGAGACAGTTATTTTATTGAACTTACCTCAACAAAATATATTTGTTAATATAATTCAGCTATTATATTCCTTGGCTATCATGTTATCTACACCATTGCAATTGTTTCCAGCAATCAAGATCATTGAAGATAAATTTTTCTCAAATTTTCTCAAGATATATAGTGGTAATAATAAAGGTCAAGAATCTTTAAATGTACCATATCAATTGTATTCTGGAAAATTGAATTGGAAGATTAAGTGGTGGAAAAATTTGATGAGGTCTATTATCGTATCGTCAGTGGCCACATATGCATATTTTGGAATCAATTCCTTAGATAAAGTAGTTGCTATTGTAGGATCATTTTGTTGCTTACCTTTAGTATATGTGGTTCCACCAATGGTACATCTACGCTGTTATACTAGAGGTTTAAAAAAACCAACCCACACTACTGCAAGGCAAATTAACATGATTATATGGTTTGATTGCTTCCTGATTCTTTTCGGTGTTGTTAGTATGTTGTACACATCTTATCAAAGTATAGTTGTTAGTTAAATAAAGAATTTATTGGTAGCCTCTTTTTAATTTGTGATTCAGTATTATGCTGTAAATAGAAATTTATATATATATATTCAAATAGAAAACGTGAATTATTGTAAGTTCAATGAATTAATATTACACTTCTAAGATCTATCTTAGGGTGAGCAACTATTCTTTAATTTCAATACTTGTGCAATACATGTGGGAGTGTTGAGAATGAGCATCTGTATTCATTGGATATATAGTAAACATTCTCAATTTATATTAAACAGATTTAGTATACAAAATTATAATAAAGTTCTTCACTTTCTTTCTCTATGTACAGCATAGAAATAATAATATACAAAGATTGTAAATAAGGTAAAAATAATGTATGATGAAATCCTTGGCTTTATATATGTTAACATTAAGCCATTTTCCTCTACGAACAGTAAGATATTTGATAAACAAACTCAACAACTTTTGGTGACCTCTCAACAATTATTACTCAACAATTTATCGTTTAGTGTCTGCTAAAATCTTATTGTTCTATCTATTTCATTATAGAACATTTTATTTCAACACTACTACTTTTTGAGAAATGAATAACATTAAATCTGTTATTCAAAAAGTAGATGTAGCTATTATGATAAAAAATGAGGTATAGAAATTCATTAAAAAAATACATTTACACAATCCATATTACGTATATAAAATTTGAGCAAGTCATGTATTTTTTGTCCCAAAAATATCCTACCTCTGAAATTATCGAGCACTAACGCTTGCATATATTGAGTAAGTTAGGCCTATTCTTAATCATATTTATTATATAATAAACAGTTTATACAATTGCAATAAAATTTACCTTCTTTTTCTTTATATACACTATAGAAAAAATATTGTTCAAAAAAGTGTATATGAAACAAAAATATGAAATGAGAAAATACTTGGCTTTATGTATATCTATCTTGAATATTTTTTCCTGAAGAACACCAAAATATTAATCAAATAGTTCCGATAACATTTCTTGAAATGTAAATGATAATCAATATTTCACTGTTTGCATTTATTAAAATATCATTTTTTTATTTATTTTATTTTAGAATATTCTATTTCAGTAAAACTATTTTACTCATTATTGGAATACTTTTCTTGACATTTCCATCCCTTCACTAATATTGTATTCAGAAAAAAAAAGATTATCCCAATGGTTTAAAAATCGAGTAATATAAAAACTCAACAGAACTTAGTTATTTCCTTTTCAATACTTCGATTATAATAGTTACATCCATTAAACATTTTTTAGATATATAATACTTTAATGCTCTGAAAGAAAATTCTGAAACAGATTTACAAATTTAATCGACAGAAGATATAGTAAAACAAACTAGTAACGTCCTTTCTTGAATTTTTTCTAAAGATACTTACCATATTTTTTTTTTCTGCTAAAACTATTGTAATTTATGTATATTGCATAATTTGCTATTCAAAATCATGATATGAACAAGTTTTTCAGTTCCAGGTAGAGTTTATTAAAAGGTGTATACCTTATTAATTTTCATGCTTTCTCCTAATGTGCTATATTGACTTCTAGACCATATAAATGTATCACGTATTTAATATTCTCAAATAATTATTGTAACTTTCTCATTATATACACATACAAAAGTGTCAAACTAGAGAAGTGAAGAATGAGTATGTCTTCTCATGTATTCCACTACCCTATTAGCTTTATATCCTAAATTGTCACAACCCTGCTATTATCTATACACCAAAAATACTTTATCATAATGGATCATGATATATTTTTAATACAGTATTATTTTTGATGAACTTAGATTTTCATCTATATTCTTGTTTTTATGTGAATCGTAAATGCATACAAGAACAACAAGAGAAAACAATTGATCAACATAAATTGATCAATAATAAACGTACAAACAAAAAGAATAAATAACAATAGATGAAAAAGAAGGGAGAAGGGAGGAGATTAAAAACTATGAAAGTCATAGAGCCGTTTGTAACCAAGCTGGAGCCTTCTCTTTATCAATTTCTACCAATTTTGTATCAAATGCTTCAATCAATAATTCTACCAAAATTCTACCACCTCTGCTACCAGTGAACCTTCTATATTCTTCAGATACACTAGCCAAATTCCAACCCATAATTCTTCTTAAACAACCAATAACAGTACCTGTCCTGTGTCTGCCCATCCCACAACAGACTAATAATGGGTAATTCTCTGAAGAAACTATAGTCCTTAGAGCATTAATAATGGAATGTTCAGTTAATCCATCCCATGGGTTGTCATCTTCACCGCCATCTGGGTTAATAGCTGCAAATTGTAATGTGATATTATTATTATCACAAAATTCAAGCAAGTTATCCTGTGGCTCTTCATTTGCTAGCCATATAATAGTCTTTAGATTTAGATTTAACAGAAATGGGAAATTTACAGGTGATGGCTGACCCGACCTATATAGATACCTTTCTACTGGACAAAAATTTAAAGGAGGTACAATCCGTTGAAGTGGAGGATGCGATATAACCACTTTTTCTCTACCTGTTTCCGTTTCTTCGTTAATATATAAATTATCTTCATCAAAATCATTAGAATCGGTGTATTCTAATTCGATATCTTCTGCTTTATCTTCTAATTCAGCCTCTCTCAGTTTTGTAGTAATATTATCCATTTAGATATTGTTTTGGTTCTAATATTTATTCAAGTGCTGCTATTCCAATACTTTCCCAGTCCAGCTGTTCACTAACTTGATTACTCCCATACCTATTGATTAAGAGTAGAGGGCATAAGTAAAGCCTATTCTTTCTAACGTTCTGCTTTCTTCTTGAATTTGTTTTCAATACTTGATCGAAAATTAAAGAGAACTGAAGTCTTTTCATTAAATTAACGATTGAAGGAAAAAAAAATCTTAGCCAAAAAGGAAACTAAAAAAGATAAATATAGTAGAAAGAAGAACCAAATTTAACAAGAACATTAAAGAAAGCTATAATGCAAACATAACTATGTTAGTTTCGAGAATCATCACAAGTCCCATTTTCATGTTAGTAGAGTGATCTAAACTAAAAACTACTCAAACTGACTAGTGCTTATAGAAAAAAGGAACTGCAATAGTTAAACAATTAAATTAACAACTTGATAAACAAACACATATTATTTCCATTAAACTATAAGTTATTAAAATAAAACAAAGCATGGCCGCTAATACTTCTTCAGCTAACTTTATCAAAACATCTACCAATGCAACTAACAAGAAATCCAATTCCATTTGGAATGATTTCCAAGATGTTTATAGAGTATCAATGAAATCGTATTGGGATGCACTTGATAAATATCCAAAATTGAAATTAATTGATATATTTTGTCTATTTTTGGTTATTATCGGTGTTATACAATTTGCCTTCCTATGTTTAATTCGTGATAACTTCCCATTCAACGCATTTCTGTCTGGGTTTATAATATGTGTTGGCCAATTTGCTTTGTTAATATCTTTCAGAATGCAATATTTGAATCCATTCCCAGGAATCTCTAAGAATAGAGCTTTTGGTGAATTCATAGTAGCTAGTTTAATACTTCATTTTATCTGTTTACATTTTATTAATTAGAAAATAATATATTACTAAGACCACTGCTACAACTACCATAAAAATATTTTTTTTATTCAATTTATTACAGTCTTAATTATATATGAATGTTATTAGAAAATATACAATATCTATTCAAAATAAATAGATAACTAGAAAAAATTAATACTATATAAATTATACCATAATTCAATAGCTATTACCAGCAGTTTGCTTATTTTCTTTTAACGTAACCTATTATTTACTTTTCAGACTTTTTGTGAAGTTCTTATGTGCCGTAGTATGCCTGCCTAATACTTTCCACTTGGTTGATCTTGTACTATTGTGATTAAGATTTAACCACATACCATTCTTTCCTTCTGATTCTTTTCAGTATTTTAAAGAGAGTTGGACACTATATTATCACTTTTAAGATTAATTGGTAGATTTACCTTAAAATTTTCATTATAAAATCTACTTTAAAGATAATTGAATAGATTGACATTCCTGCACCCATATTTATCTTGTTCATGTTGTTAAAGATCAATCATGTTTTTTTTATCTAATTCTCCTTTTAAATCACGGTTGCAATAAATTCTTTGTATTTTTTTGTAGAATCTTAGTTTCAATCAGTATAGGCATAAAATAATATATATTTTCTCCATCAACCTCATTCTTGGTAGATGTCTCAATAAGAAATGCATTAATTTCTTTAATAAGCATGACCAAATCAGCACGCAACTAATATGACCAATGGCACAATTGTCATAGATATACATTCTACATTTTTAAGTCTTCAAAAATAATGAGTATACAATGCTAATTCATGAAATGGACTTTTGCTAACTAATATGTTAGCCAACAGACACCGTCTTTACTGATCCTCTCATATGTTGTTCTCATTCCATAGAACGTTATGCCTAACAAACAGTATCAAAAATACGTATTACTATAGGTTTGAATGTCAATTGTTATTTGTTTTTTTCTATAAGAATCCTTTGGTAATTGCATCACATTTGCCTACCAACTTTATTTAAATTACCATATGCTACTTAACAGAAAATATTCAAAACCACTACTGCCGTCGCTAGCAATTATAATAGGATTACATTCTCAAAAATTAATACGTACAAAATAATATATAGATTGAGACATGAGCAATGTATGTACACGAGTATCAGATGAAAATGATAAAGATAATATTATAGGTATCTTCTAAACCGTTATATAATAATCATGAAACATATGTATATGAATATATGTACTAATATTTGTATTTACCTCAATGTGATTGGCGTACTTTGGCTTTACATGTATCACAATACCATTTACCCTTAGGCAATGTGGTCAAACCTATGCATGGTAAATGGAACCATTCCAACTCACAGTTTTCTCCATCACATCCAACCATTTCACCATATGCTACTTGATTACAGTAACAATAGACAGGTTCCCCATATTCATTGACCCTTAGTGTGGGCGTTGCTACATCGTTTGTTGATTTAGAATTATTCCTGGAATTGCCTTTTTGTTGTCTTGATGTGGAGGAATTAGCATTACTACTGCCATTACTGTGACTATTACTGTTACTATTATTTGATCTCCGTTTTGAAGATGTCGTGGCAGAGGCACTACCAGTGTTATGACTACTATTGTTGTTATTTGAAATATTGGAAGAAGAAGTATTTGTTGTACCTCTTTTATTATTATCTTGTGATGAAGATTGTTTTTCCTTTTTATTATTATTATTTGACTGTGTTTCTTTCTTAGCTTCACTTCTAGTATTCTGTGTAGATCTTGTATTTCTATGAGAATGAGATGGTTTATTCAAAGATTGAATCAATTCATGATGCAGATGCATAGCAGGATGGTTATCTAGACCCAATCTAACACTACTTGGAATCTCTTCATTTCTGATAGCAACCTCGTATGCCAATTCTAATCTCTTATCCAGTGTGTTTATTAGTTCACACATCAACGAAGAAACATGCATTTTTTCTTCCAATGAAGGCATGAGTTCTTCCAATAAAGTATTTATTTCCATTAATGTTGGTTTATCCTTATTATCATTATCTAGAAGTTTATCTATTGAACTAGACAAAGTGGGTAATACGTTCGTACATTTTGCATCAATTTCATGTAATAAGGTAAGATATTTAATTATTTCTATGGGGATTTCTTCAAAGATATCAGCTAAATCATTTAAACCAGGGTATAAGTTGGCTGGAGCTGACATGTTGCTCTATGATAACAAATCTGAACTCAAACAAAGCAACAACAACAGAAAGTTATAAACTAATATTTTACCAAAATATTTACATATACATGTACATGCGCATACACATATATATATATGGATTGAATAATAATATTAAAGTAACAACTTATTATACTATTCTATTTGGGTTTATTTCATTTTTTTTCTATCATTTATTCAAAGTTTTCTAATATGCAGGATAAAATATGTCATTTACCTCGTTGAATCTTTATTTTACTTGCCTGCATTTATTCATATTCTTGTTTTTATTCATATTCTGTCTTATTATTTTTTTCTTCTAATTAAGATTAAAAAAGTAAAAAAAAAAAAATCTAACAATTGTAGAATGTTATCATTATATACGGAAAAAGAGTTATGAATCCAAAATAATAAAATGAAAAAGAAAGAATTGAAATTTAGGTCTTTCCAAACAACACGTAGTCAAATTGAAAAAAAAAAGAAAAAACTTAGGGCACATTCTAGAGATGTTGTAAGTGTGTGGTGTATAGATGTTATTATTACTGTTCCGATCAGCTCCGACCAGTTCCGAAAATCACACACACACGTCTATTTATTCCGACCTAAAACAATGTAACCAGAGACCCACACACCCTTAAAGAACGGGCAAACGCGGGATCGCGAGATTTGCCGAGTTCCGACTTCCGACTGCCGCGACTTCACGAAAAAAAAAAAAAAAAAAATAAAAAACAAAAAAAATTGCGATGGTGAATTTGCCTGCAGGCAATGAATTTTTCGAGTTTGTGATGGGAAGAGACAGTTTCTTTTGTTTTATTATTGTTTTTGTTTTTGTTTCTATGAGGTAAAAAAAAAAAAAAATAAAATAAAATAAAAAAAGAAGGAAAGGGCTTCGAGGATTTTTGCTGCGTGGTAGAAGGCCAATTCAAAAAGGCAAGAAATAAAGAAAAGAAAAAGAAAAAGAAAAAGAAATTTTTTTATTGTGCATAAAAGGAATCATCTGTATTGCCTTCCCGATATACTGACTCATTAGGTGACACTTTTATCACTTTATCAATGTTTATTCCTTTTTGTTCTTATCTGATACCTCTTAGATGATGCATATACGTATATATATATATATATATATATGGTTAATTATATGAACTGTCTAATAGTGAACTTAATTTCATAGAATGCTTATCTTTACTTTTGTCGGCTTCCTCTCCTTGTTCTATCTCTTCTTTTTGCTTCCAGTTTTCCGAGGTTCTTGTTTGGATAAATTATTAAGTAAACCAAATTAATTGGAAAGTCACCATAAAGCAAAATATCATCTAATACAAATATATAAACACCTATAGGTGTACCCATACACATTTTTATAAATTATGCCAGTACACGATAATTACCAGATATCTGACTCAGAGTTATCTTCAATCTCAGATTCACCAAGTGAAGACCATGCTATCCATCCTCGCCAGTATCGTTCAAATTATGAAGATAATAGTAGCAATGAAAGAGATACACATATAAATAATAGCAATTTACATGCTACCATTTCAAATCGTAATAAAAATGCACAACTTTTGACCACAACATCATCATACCCAAGTAAAATCCATACTACTATGTCAAGGACTACAACAAGAGAATTATCAGATAATGACTCTCTTTCTTTCAATCAATACGCTGATGACAATGATGGTACTCCTGTAGAAGTTACTACTGCTCCATATACCCTACTGTCATACCCAATGAAATGGGCAATGGTGGCCATCTTAACCATGTGTGGGTTTTGGTCATCTTTAGGTTCTCCTATCTATTATCCTGCTCTAAGACAACTAGAGAAGCAATTCCATTTGGATGAAGATAAAGTTAATGTCACTGTCGTTGTATATCTGTTGTTTCAAGGTATTGCTCCAACTGTCTCTGGTGGGTTGGCCGATGTCTATGGTAGAAGACCTGTCATCTTATTAGGTATGCTAGTTTACGTAGTTGCCTCGATTGGGTTAGCCAGAGCACCATCATATGGTGTCATTGTCTTTCTAAGATGTATTCAATCCATCGGGATCTCACCTACTATCGCCATTTCGTCTGGTGTTGTAGGTGATTACACTTTAAAACACGAAAGAGGTACTTTTGTAGGAGCCACATCTGGGTTTGTCCTAATTGGTCAAGGTATTGGTCCTTTACTTGGTGCAGTTATTGCTGCTCGTTGGAATTGGAGAGCTATCTTTTGGTTTTTAACTATTGGTTGTGGTACTTCATTCGCCATAGCTTTTTTCCTTTTACCAGAGACTAAACGTACACTAGTAGGCAATCTATCAATCAAACCACCTCGTTTAATCAACAGAAATCCTCTATTCTTACTACCATCTGTACAGAAAAGATTCCACTATGATAATCCAGATTATGAGACCTTAGACCACAAAATTCCATCATTGGATTTGACTGGTGCAATGAAAATCACTTCAAGACCTGAAATCCTTTTATCTTTGTTTCCAGCTGGTTTACAATTTGCCATGTGGACTCTAATGTTATCTTCTATTGCTAATGAATTAGCTCTACCCCCCTATAAGTATCATTTAACCATTATTGGTGTCTGTTATTTACCTGCTGGTATTGGTGGTCTTTGTGGTTCCTTTTTTACAGGTCGAATCATCGACGTTTATTATAAACGTGCCTTAGCACGTTTTGAAAGAGACAAAGCTAACGGTACGATCCCAAAGGATACAGTATTCAACACTTTCCGAGTACGTCTAATGTGTGTCCTTCCTCAAAATTTTATTGCAGTGGCATCCTTCATTCTGTTTGGTTGGTCTGTTGACAAAGGTTGGCACATTGTGGTTCCTTTAATCACCTCTTGCATCTCTTCATATTGTGCAATGAGTACACTATCCACAATGACTACATTATTGGTAGATTTGTACCCAGGGAAATCTTCCACTGCGTCAAGTTGTTTCAACTTCGTTAGATGTTCTCTATCTACTATCTTCATGGGTTGTTTTGCTAAAATGAAGCAATCAATGACTGTTGGTGGTACTTTCTCATTTTTAACTGCATTATTATTATGTGCCAATTTCCTTACTTTTATTCCAATGATGTATGGGATGCAATGGAGAGCAAAGAGACAACGTCGTGAAGAATTGAAACAACAAGAAAAGGAGGAGCTTTCTGTTGAGGTAGTTTACGAAAAGAAATAAGTCCAACCCTTCTTCACATTCTTTTGTCTATTTGCCAACATTAATCTTCATGACTCTTTTCATTTGCATTTCTATTTTTTTTTTTTTTGGTGTCTATTCAACACCCATCTATCTTATTTATTTATGATCTATTTTTTATTTCATGCACTATTTTTACTTATTTGCATATGTACTATTACGTTTCATATAATAGACTTCAATCAATTCATTAATTAATTAATTATTAATAATAATATATACAAACTCATAAAGTTTGAGAATACCTCTCATGATTATTCAATTTTTTTTTTAGTTATAATTCAGTTTATCAAATTTTATAATATCTACTTAAATAAAAAAAATTTGGTTTAATATACACAGATACATTTTTTTTATTAATATATATATATATTTTCTTCCCTCCTCATATTTTTTCTTTTTTCTTTTAATACTTACTTATTGAGAAGCACATTGAACACCTTCACCTCCATGGGCATGGCCTTCGTCATCTGAATCATAGCTTTGACCTGCGCGGCCACTACCACGGCTTTCATATTTACTTGAATCATATTCAGATAGAACACATTCTTCAACATGTACGTCGGCTGGAACCTTTGGCAACTCGGGTCTCTTTGGCAAGATATCTTCTAATTTCTTTAATGTGTCCTCATCTGTGAAATGGTTACCTGGGAATTTAACGCTAAATTTGATGATTAAGTTACCGAAACCACCATATTTAGGTATTGGCATACCTTTACCATCGATGACTTTATGGGAGTCTGGTGCAATGACTTCACCAGCAACGATATCAACCTTTAACCAATCACCAGAGACATGAGGAATCATGAATGAGCCACCAGCAAGAGCAGTTAATAAATCGATCTCAGCGTGATAAATCAAGTTATCCCCAGATCTCTGGAATAATTTGTGAGGTAATTCATGAATAACAAAGACAACATCACCTGGGATAACATCTGGTGCTTGATCGGCTTCACCTTTAAAGACAACTTTTTCTCCATTTCTCATACCTGGATTAACGTGAACTTCCAAGATCTTTCTTTCGTGATCAACTTTCTTACCATTACATGTTTTACACTTATCCTTTTCATTGATGATGTCACCAGAACCATGACAAACATCACACTCGGTTTGGAATCTTTGAATCATTGGACCCATTTGTCTGGTGACGAACTTGATACCTTGACCATTACAAGAAGAACATTTCTTGACAGCACCTTTCTTACCTCCACGACCTTCACAGGTTTTACAAAGAATTTGCTTGTTCAATGCCAATTTGGATGTCTTACCCTTATACAACTCTTCTAAAGTAACTTTGATTTCATGCCTAATATCACGACCACGTTGTGGACCACGAGTTCTTTGAGCACCAGCACCACCAAAGAATTGAGAGAAAATATCTTCACCAAAGCCAAAACCACCACCCATACCACCGGCACCACCATTCAAACCTTGGGAACCAAATTGATCATATAGGTCTCTCTTTTCTGGATCAGATAACACTTCGTAGGCGGAGGAGGCTTCCTTGAATTTTTCAGCCGCTTCTTCTGATGGATTCTTATCTGGATGGTATTTCAAAGCTAATTTTCTGTATGCTTTTTTAATTTCACTGTCTGTGGCATTTGGAGAGACACCAAGAACATCGTATAATTTTGTTTCAGCAACCATTTTATATAGATATTTATAATTTTCTTTTTATTATTCTTTTTTTGGTTTATTTTATTTTATTTTTTTTCTATCCTAAACAAATATTCCTGATATTTTAGCTTTTTAATACAATTGCACAGATATGTTTTCTAAAAGGAACTGTATCAATCCTGAACTAACAAAAACAGCGCACCAATCTATCTATGTATATATATATGTGTGTGTGTATGTATGTATATATGTATGTTAGATTTCACACCTTAATAATTGCTTATTTTTTATTTTTTATTTTTTATATTTACTTATATTTCTAATTTCTTCAAACTCATCGAAACATAAAGAAAGTCAAAGAACAAAAAAAAATTTTTTTCTTTTTTTTTTTTTCCTCCCAAAAAATTTCTTTTTTTTTTCAAATTTACTTTGGAAGGTCACGTGATGCAAACTTCCTTGGCGCTATCACACTGCATTATTATTATTATTATTATTATTTTGTTTTTTTGTTTCTGGTAATTGACCAAAGAGACAAAAATTAAAAAATAAAGAAGAATATTTCACAGCAAAATTGAAAAGGTTGTTCCCCCCCTTCCTCCAGGAATTAAATGGAATTAGCCGCCCATTTCATATCGGTAACGATTCGTAGATTTTAATAATGATAAGTATGTTGGCAAAGGTCTATTAAATCTGTGATTAGACAATTTAGTAAGTGTGCTCAGTTGAATTCTATATATTTGTTTCCTTTTATTATTATTAGTATTATTAGTATTATTTATTATTAGTTTCTTCCTGATGCCTAGAGTACCAACCAAGAGTTTACTCAAGCAAATAGGAGAAAGGCTATATAAAGATACCAGTGTTAAGAGAGAGGTACAATGGTTATGGGAAAGTTGTCACAGTAGAAGGTCGAGGGTACAACAAAGTAAACTAGTCACCAGAGTATATCCTAATATTATCTCGCAGTTCATACGATTATATAAGTGGAAATGTAAAGGTGTACCACTACAATATTTAATTGGATGGCAGCCTTTTGGTCCTTTGAAAATCTTGTGTAGACCCCATGTTTTAATTCCACGTTGGGAAACAGAAGAATGGCTCTTTGAATTGGCTAAATGCATTTTGTCACAACCGCATTTGTCCAATTTGAAATTGGTAGATTTTTGCACAGGATCTGGTTGTATCCCACTTTTGTTGATGAAGATGGCTATTAATAAAAATACTTTCAGAAGTATAGATGCAATTGATGTATCTCCCTATGCTTTGAACTTGACAAAGCGTAATCTTAGACATAACAACTTACAAAATAGTTCAATTTTCCAAGTTTCTTATGGTGACATTCTCGAATCCAACACAGTTTCACAAATATTATCAAAGGGGGAGAAAATAGACATTTTGACTTGTAATCCACCATATGTATCTAAGGAATCATTCAGAAATGATGTAGATGACTCTGTGAAAAATTATGAACCCCATTTGGCATTAATTGGTGATTTAGAATTTTATCAAAATTTGATACTGCTATGGTTACCCCATATAAATTCCTTTGTATATGAATTGGGGTCTTATAAACAATATCTTTATGTTAAAGAAGAATTATCCAAATGGAATCAAAAGTCTTCAAATGAAAAATGGTCCTTAGGGATTAAGTTTGACTCTAACGGTAAGCTACGATGCGTTTATGGATATACTACCAAAATGAAACCTATATTTCAAGATTATGGACAACAAATAATTATACAATAAATATATTAATAAGCATGTTTATCTATTTCTTCATTTTCACTAGAGAATCATATTGTGGTAATGCATCTGCAGTATTCAATTGGATCTTTGTTTCTTCCTTTTCTCTAATAGATGACTTTCTTTTGCAAAAAAAAAAAAATAAATAAAGAAAATGTACAATTTTAGTATTCCTAATTAACTTTCCACATGTGTTAATATTTTAGCACCCTCAACCATGGATGGTGAAACAGGGATAACTTTGATACAGGTCATTATATAGCCACCACCACCTCTCATCGTCATCACTGGATGTAGTTTACCTCGTATTGTTTGATAAGGACGGCAACGAGTCTCAAGAATTGTTGGTGCTAAGAATCTTAAATCATTATACAAAGAATGAGATAATTCAAGTAAAACTTCTTTAAACTGACTATAACAGACAATAGGTCTAGATCCATGGATGTGATCTCCTAATCTTTTAACCAGATCAGGCAAATGTAATGTGGTACCAAGGATCATCCCGTCGTATTGAACATCATTAATATATTTTAATAGTTCTAATTGTGTCTTTTGCCATTTTAATTTTCGATAATATGAATTTTTCTTACTAGCCTTCAATTCGTATACCTCCTCCTTAGGTAACGGTGTAAAACGAGATTCAATCTCTTCTCTTGTTAAAGGTTCAAAAAAGTCCAATAGAGGTATTGTAATAACATGCTTACTAATGAAATCCTCTGAATAATTGGAAAATTTTAAAAGGTCAAGGTTAACATGTTCGTTTTCATGTAACACTACAATCTTACCCACACTTGGATCAACATTTTCAGCACCATTTCCAAACATCCTTTCCATTATAAAATAAACTAATAATCCACCAGTTTCATCCATACATAGATATGTTCCAGTGGATCTGATATTGGCTAAATTCAGGATCATACCCATTGATTCTTCTGAAATATCCATGATACGTTGAATATCATTTTTATCGATCAAGTATTGCAATAATGCAGAACCACTCAAGTAATTGACAGTAAAAATCTTATCAAATTTCCGTTGCTTACGTTGTAAGTACTTCTCCTGCGAAAAGACAGTCTTTTTATCAAAGGAACCATGGGATTTAATCATCTGACTAATAATTTCTTGGCTTGTAACACTTTTTTGTTTTAATTGTTCGATATCTTCTGCACTCAACTTTTGAACATCATGCCCTCTATCAATTAAATTTCTGTTAGATTCACTACTACCTGTAGTAAAAGCAGTGACATTTAAAGAATCACTATTTAGTCTGTTCTCTTCTACGCCCTCATTCAACTCAGAACAGTATTCAGCTGGATTATCCCTTCCTTGAGTTAACACCCTCACTTTTCCTACTGGTATACGATTTTTCTCCTTACCTCCATTTTTCTGTTTCTGCATTTCATTCCATTTATCTGTCTCTTCATCGTAAAATATCTCAAATTTAGTACCTAATGGAAAACCAACCACATCATTAACACGGAAAGCACCAAATTTGCCCAAGGATACAGTTCCATCTGGTCTTAACTCTGTAATCTTCGATTTCTCAGATGGTAAAGTTATCAGCACATGCTGATTCCAACATATATGCTTTTGAGGGTCCATCATAAAACAATTCTTCTTTTTGTTCTTGTTCTTCTAATTCTTATTTTATTTTATTTTATTTTTTGTGAAAACCTGTACCAACCACACGCTTTTTATGTAATGGTAGTATTGACCCTTAACCAACTCTAATTCAAAGGTAAAATTTGTGGAAGCTTTTTAGAGTCAATATGTGCAGATATTTCGAGGTTCGCTAACTCCTCTTCAATGGGCTTTAATGCCTATCAGTTTCTGTATACTAATTATTTGCTTTATCTTCCGTTTGCAATGATGGAAAAGTTTTTTCTTTTTTTCCTAAATTTTTCACTAAATTCAAAAAAACGAAAATTTTGAACTATTTCTCTTATCCTCATCTCATCTCAAATTAATAACTAATAATATTAAGGATGTTACCTTATCTATTGTTGAAAAAATAGTTTTATAACTTTTCCAACATATTACTGAGATATATCTGGATTTAACAAACTGGATAGCAACAAAAAACACAATTATCGAAATAAAATAAACAATGGGTTCCAGACGTCACAAAAATAAGCAGGTTGATCCACCATCCTTTGAAGAGTTTCAAGCTAAAAAGGAAAGAAAACTTAAAAGACAGGAAGAGAGAGAATTGCAAAAGCAAAAGAAGAAAAATAGTCGTCCAGCTCAAGATGATCTAGATAAAAGCAATAAAAAATCTGTTAAAAAACCTAAAAGAGAAGAAAAACCTGAAGATAAGGAAGATGATTTACCAGAAGTCGATTTAGAAGAATTATCTAATGCTAAAAAATCTTTATTTGATGATGATGAAAGTGTTGAAGATGAGGCTGATGAATTTCAAGATGAGGACTTACAAGCTGAATTTGACTTAGAACAAGAGTATGAAAATGACGAAGACGATGATGTGCATGTCAAACCAATGTTCTCCGATGATGAAGATCATGACGAGGATGAATTGGAAGAACTAAATGCAGCAAATATGGAATATCTTTCTAAAAAGTTGGATGAGGAAGAAGCAGAAGAGGCAGAAGAGGCAGCGGCTGAATTGTTAGAAGCTCAACAAATTCAACCAAGAGCTGATGTATTACCAACCGAAGAAGAAGAAGCAGCCTTAGCTGGTCAACCTCCAGACTTAACAGCTATAAGAACTCGTATTATTGAAATTGTTAAAGTGTTAGAAGATTTCAAACATTTAGCAGCAGAAGGCAGATCGAGGACTGAATATGTTGACAGATTATTGAAAGATATTTGCGAATATTTTGGTTATACACCAATGTTGGCTGAAAAATTATTCAATCTTTTCTCTCCTTCTGAAGCCTTAGAATTTTTTGAAGCTAATGAAGTGGCTAGACCAATTACTATTAGAACCAATACTTTGAAGACTAGAAGAAGAGATTTAGCACAAGCTTTGGTTAATAAAGGTGTTAATTTACAACCTATTGGTAATTGGACTAAAGTTGGTTTACAAATTTTTGATTCCCAAGTCCCAATTGGTGCTACACCTGAATATTTGGCAGGTCACTATATATTACAAGCTGCTTCCTCCTTTCTTCCCGTCATCGCATTAGATCCTCAAGAAAATGAACGTATTCTTGATATGGCAGCTGCACCAGGTGGTAAGACAACCTATATTTCTGCTTTAATGAAAAACACTGGTTGTGTGTTTGCTAATGATGCAAACAAAAATAGAACAAAATCTTTGATTGCTAATATTCATCGTCTTGGTTGTACAAATACTATTGTTTGTAACTATGACGCCCGTGAATTTCCAAAAGTTATTGGTGGATTTGACAGAATTTTGTTAGATGCACCATGTTCAGGTACTGGTGTTATTGGTAAGGATCAATCTGTTAAGGTGTCACGTACTGAAAAAGATTTCATTCAAATTCCACATTTACAAAAACAATTGCTTCTTTCTGCTATTGATTCTGTGGACTGTAATTCAAAGAAAGGTGGTGTGATTGTATATTCTACATGTTCTGTTGCTGTGGAAGAAGATGAAGCAGTTGTTGATTATGCATTAAGAAAGAGACCCAATGTCAAGTTAGTTGACACTGGTTTAGTCATTGGTAAAGAAGGGTTCACTAATTATAGAGGTAAAAAATTTCATCCAAGTGTTAAATTAACCAGAAGATATTATCCACATACATATAATGTTGATGGTTTCTTTGTTGCTAAATTTCAAAAGATTGGTCCATCTCCACATGACGATAACCAAGCTTCTCCAAGAGAAAAAGAAATGGCTGCTAGATTAGAAGCTGCTGAGGAAGGTATCATTCATTCTGATTTTGCCAAGTTCGATGATGAAGAAGATGCTAAATACATTGATAAATCTAAGAAAATAAACTTATTGAAAAAAGGTAAAAATCCAAATGCTAAGAAATAGGTAATTTATAAGTATGATAAAAATGGTCAGCTCACACATACACACATATATATATATAATTTTTATTATTCACTGTATATTAACTTAAAAATGTTTTTAAAATACATATAAAATTGAATGGGTACATCAGTTCACTTCTTAAATCACGCGATATATACCAAAAATATTTATGCATCTATAAATAAAGTCTACTCGAAGTACTTGCAATTACCTAGTTTATGTTCTTTGATATAATCAGGACCATATTCTTCGTATTCTTTTCTTGTGATCATTGCCTCATTCAAAAGCTTTTCGTCTTGAGCAAATTTTGACATACCTCTCCATGAATCTAATGACGGGTTTTTGCTTATATAAACACCGATTGGTGTACCTGAGGGTAGAAAACTTGTGAATTCATTTACAATTCTTTGTCTTAGATTTGGGATTTGGGAATTCCCACCTGTTAGCCAAACATTTTTACACATCTGTAAGGCAGTTTCACTTAACTGTGAAGGTTTTGAACCAAATTTCTTGGTAACCATAGTTTCACACAACTCTGCTATACCTGCTTGATCCTGTCCACCAATAGTAGGCTCAAATAAAATTTCTGGAACTCTAATACGTTCCACATTAAGATGCATTTGATGTTGCTGGTGTGGGTCCTCACTATCATGCGGTCTTGGACCTCTCAAAAATAAATGGTAAACTGAATTCCTCCAATCGTATTGGGCATCCAGTGTATCTTCTTCTGTAAAATTAGGATCGTATTCTAATAGCTTGCCTTCTAATTCAACTATCTCCTTATATTCTTCCTCTAATAACTCATCAAAAGCTTCAGGATTTTGTGTGATGTCATTATAAACATCCCAGTCTTCATCATTTGCACCAAAGGTATCATTTGGGTCATTATCAATTGATGCCTGATGTCTATTTCTTTTAGAACGAGGGCTATCCTCAGCTAAGTTTGCTAAATTTTGCATCCTCTTTTGTGCAACTTGTGATTTACGATCTTTCATTTCATCTCTTAATTTTAATTTATCTTTTCTTTTCTTAATAAGAGCATTTAGTTTATTTCTTTTATCTTTAATCCAGCTGTTTAGATTAGTCTCACGCCATTCTTGATCTTTAATCCTAGCCTCTTCCTCCAGTTTTGCTATTCGAGCTTTCTCCTCTTTAGCCTTCTGTCTTGCATCATAACTAGCTTTAAGAAATCTTTGTTTTCTTTTCTCTTTAATCTGATCTTCTGTTAATTCGCTATCGGGTATATCAATAAGATCAAATTTATTTTGATTATTATCGTCATCACCATCATTATTATTATCATCATGTTCATCAGCTTCTAATAACTGAGCTCTTTTCAATGATTTTTCCAGGTTATACATATATTTTTTGAAGTCAGCTTCATCATCAAACCCAGCATTTTGCAAAACGGAAAGAACAGTTTTCTTGGGTTGTCCAATTAATTGCTCTCTAACATGAGAAAAATATTCATATTCTTCAGTTTTTTGTACCAGTCTTTCCATCCTTCTTTGTTTAGCTTGCTCTTGTAATCTTTTACCAGTCTCTTTCCTCTTCTCAGCTTGTCGTTTAAGTTCTTCCTCAGACTTTTTTGGTTGTAAAATCTCAGTGAATGGTACTTCAATAACAATATTTTTATCTTCCAATACATCTAATGACAACAAATTTTCAAGCTCCTTTGAATAATTGCTTGAAGTGTAACAAAAATTATGATACATGTATTCATATTGAAACGAGGACAATTTTGATGGAAAGTATGGATATTTTAAAGTTAAAATATCACTTAAAAATTCCACAGAATGTCTACCACCCCAATTTATTCTTTTACATTCACCCAAAATTGGTTGACTTTCCACAATAGGTATAATGTCGGTTTCTTCATGACTGCAATTAATCACAACTCCATTTGATTTATTGCTAGCTTGTGTGTTATAGTAAAATGAAAATAAAGAGTCTATACCAAATGCAACTTTAGGTAAATTGAAAGTCTCAAAGAGAATCTGATACCAGTTCTGTCTTTGTGATTGTAAACATGCAAGTCTTTCATTTATAATCAAAGGGTTCTGTACTCCATTATTTGGTTTCACGCCAAGATGATGAAACGTATATTCCATTATATCTTCCACATAATCCCAGTTGGTGATAATACTACCATCAAAGGGCGTTTTTGATTGAGATCTTACAGTCTGATCTAATCGAGTATTATTACCAATAAAAGTGAATGTCTTTGCTACTTTCCTGTCACGATGTCTGGTTAATCTTGTAGGAAATACTAAGTTTGGATCAGATAGACCAGTATAACCGGCTTTAACATTGTATGAACCAAAATCTATAGCTATAGGTCTATTAATATCATATTCACCAACATCTATAAAAGGTTCAGGATCAGTGTTCAATGGGAGATCCTCCACAGTATATATTTTTAAAAGTGGCAATGAAGAATCTCTTGACATATTTCTTGTAGTAGAAAATGTTTGAAGAATGGTGGTTTTAATGTGTATTTCACCTTTTTGATATAACTTTACTTACAGGGCAGGTATTATTGGTTTATGGCAAAGTAGATATAAGTCGTCAAGATGGTTTTTCAAGGTATATATATCTCTTTCAATAAAGTACTTTTTATCTATCTTTATATTTATTATTGTTTTTTTTTTCTAGAATAAAAATAATTTATTTAAACTAGTAAATTATATACAATAATTTTAGAAGTATCTACAGTATGTGAGATAAAGGGCCCAGTAGAAAGGAACTATGACGGGTATTAGAGAATGAGGTGAGTTTAAGGCTTCATACTCCCCTTCCACTTGATAGTCGTATACATATATATATTCTGTTTAAATTATTTAAGAGGATATAGAATATATAGATAATATGTATGTGAAAGACAATAATTAGGAGTAAATTTGATTGTTAAAATAGTTGGTAACTATATACATATATATGTGTGTGTGCATTTGTTTGTTTATTTACTTATTGGAGTTTAATATATCTTCCAGATACATTGAAGCGGACTTATGATGTTGATTAGATAATTCAATCTGTGATTTGGATGGTGATGCCGATAATCTACCTAATGACGACTGATTCCGTCTGTGCTTATTTCTCATGTGTCTGTTCATTCTTTCTGGTGAAGCAGTCAAAGTAGGTTTATCTAATACGATCTCAGAATTGGCTTCTGTATTTTTTGTGGGTGTTTGATACATATCCTCTGTCCTTTGGGATAATTGTAATGTTGGTGATATAAATAGTGAATTTCTACAACTCATATCCGATTGAATCACACTAAATGGCTGCTGCTGTTGTTGAGGTTGATGATAATGGTGTTGATTTAAGGTATTTGTTGTAGTGTCTTGGTTTAGACCAAATTCTAAATCATTAAATCGATTCAGATATTTTTCTTCGAATTCATAATCTTCACAACTCATTTTGCCAAATGACGACGAATCAGATGGAATCCTATTAGCATTGATATCAACATTATTTTTTCTATTGTTTTTTCCATTAGTTAACGGTTGCTTTTCTATTGAATAGTAAAGAGCGTTATGGTTCAACAATTTGTTTGCTTCTTTAGTGTTTTTGTATGATATGTAGGTAGTTAAACACCACCATGCGAAGATGATGAAAAATATTGCACCTACAATACAACCCATTGCAATAAACACAGTGCCATCTGGCGTTGATCCTGTGTGATAAATAAATGGGTTGTTATCTGCAGCAGGTGGAGTTATAGCTGCTACATATATTGTTGATGTTGAGACAGGAGTATTCGAAGTTTTCATTGAATCATCAACAGAACTGTTTGTGATAATACTTGTCCTAGTAATGGTATTACTGCTACTGTCGCTATTTCTACTGTTACTACTATCGCTGCTACTGGTAGCAGTTGTTGTAGTTGATGTGGTTGCTGTTATTAAACTTGGCAAACTTCTTTTTAAAAAAGGTATTTCTTCCATTTGTAATAGGATTCACTTAATGTAATGATAAATAATCCTGCACTATATATTGTTATTTGAGTGTTCAGATGAAGAATGTCGAGAGGAGTCCTGTCTACTCGGATTTAAAGATAATTATGATAATTATTATAGCAATACCTTGGTATTTAATTAGCCATCCGTTTGACAATAGTTGTAGCACTGCTAAATAACAACCCACTTACCGTTAATATCACTTTATTAGTATTATTTCAATTCTCTTAATATTCAATATCCAAGGGGAAATTATTTTTTTTTCATTGTTATTATTCTTTTTTTTTTTTCTAATTTAATTTATTTCATTTTATTTTATTGACATACTTGCCTGATCGGGCAATGTTACCTAATCAGGAAAACATATTGCAGGATGAGAGGAACAAACTTTCCCAAAAAAGGCTCGAGCCTGGAAACTTCGACAAAAAAAAAATAAAAAAGAAATCAAGGAAAGTAATCATTATGGTAGTGGTGTACGTTTGATGGGAAGCGCAATGAGGTGGATAGCTGAAACAAACAACCCTAGTTTATTGCGTCCCATCTCTTTAACATAGTAGTACAGATATTAACAGTAAGATTTCATTAGACACTGAAATCCATACTAGAGATATAGAAAATTGCAAATATATCAAAAACAAAGGAACACGGACAAGGGCAAGGACAAGAAGAGCATTTTATTAGGAGAGATTGGATTTGTGATTATTATTTCAAGACAGCATTAAAACAAACCACCTATTTTCCAATCTGATTCTATTCTATTTCCAATAGTTTTATAGTCTATATTCTATTTTATATAACAACATGAACAATAAGCATTATATACCTCCATTAAATTTTTCACCGGTAATCTCAACAGATGTGTCGTTGTACAGATCAGGGTATCCAATGCCAATAAACTATTCTTTTATTAAGGATCGATTAAACTTACGGACAATAATATATATTGGTGATAAGGAAGACACATCTGCAGAATACTCCGAATTTTTAAAGGGCCAAGCAATAAATTTTATAAGTGTGCAGATGAAATCTTGCAAAGATGACGATGTACAAGAAAAGCTGGATACGATCCTAGAAATAATATTGAATGTTGAAAATTATCCGATCTTGATTCATTCTAATAAGGGGAAGCATCGTGTTGGAGTCGTAGTGGGGATAATAAGGAAGTTATTTCAAGGTTGGTCGATAGCCGGGATATATCAAGAATACGGTATATTTTCCGGTGGAATGAAGGAGGAAACAGATTTGGAGTTTATAACGATGTTTGAAACCAATCTGATTGTAAATAAAGACAGATTACCTGGGTTTATACGTATGTAGAGTGATACTCACAAGAATAGGAATAGATAAGTAAGTAAATAAATAAATAAAAATAAAAGATATACATTTTAGATACACATAAGCGTTAAAAGAACGGGGAAAAAAAAGAAAAAAGAAAAAAAGATGGATCGCATATATATAAATTCATAGGTTGAAAGATAACGACCAACCAACCTTGTGAACAGGTTCATTCAATTTCATAGCATCGAAGGAAGTACCAACACCTAAAGTGATACCTGGTCTTAACAATTGTTTGTAGCCAAGAGACAAGACACCTAAATCAGAGATCTTAGCTTTAATTTGAGTATCTTTATCTGGGACATATTGGGTGACGAATTCTAAATTAACTTTCTTGTCATTAATTTGGGGGTTCAAGATTGCACGAGAACCCAGGGATAATTGATTGCTAACTTGTTGACTGAAGGATACGGAAGCCACTCTTTGGTCATCGATTTGTAAGCCTAGAGAGTAGTCAGCTTGTTTATAAGCCATAGCCATGGCGTAGGTAGAGATAGAACCGTGAGAGATGTTGTAACCGATTTGAGTACCGATGATGAAATTTTCATAGGAAGTAGTGAAATCGCCTAAGAATTTAGGAACACCGCCGCGAACAAAATTGAATACACCACGGGCACTGAAATAAGGTTGGACAAACTTAACGTTTAAGTTGGCGACTTCGCCACCGACACAGCATTTCTTGACAGAGGTTTCATCTTCAGTGGAAGCAGTTTGGAAAATTTTGCTTGGGTTGAAAGTAGTGTTTAGTTCAGTGTTTAAACCTGGGGTGATTTGGTCTAATTGCAACTTAGTGTTTAATTTATTGTCACTAGTCCAGCCCTGGGTTAAGACCAAACCATTCTTCAAGTCACTGACCTTGGTCTCCAAATTGGTGGTTAATGCACCTTGTGGAGTAGCTTGTTTGGCTTTAACATTGAAAGTGACACCGTTTTTAGCTGCAGTTTGAACGTCTAAACACAATGGACTTAGATGATAGAAGTCCTTATTTAATAAATCATTAGTTTCCTTGAAAATATCAGAGAAGAAAGGTTGTGGAGCAGATTTCTTGGACATGTTGTTGTTATTTTTTAGTTTTTAATTTCAGTTTCGAATATTTATCTCGATGTGGTTTTTACGTTATGTTATATTAGGAATATATATATATATATACAGACAGATAGATGTGTTTGTCTATGAGTGTGCGAGTATATACGTAATGTATACAGAAGAAGATAGTTATGCACACTTTTGTGTATAAAAAGAGAAAATAGAGTACAGGTTGTTGATTATTTTGCAAGGGGAGGGAAAAAGGAGGTCTAACTGCAACAATGAAAACAAAGTGGAAAAGGACCGTTACGCAAAAACCGATAGAAAATTGGAAGAAAAAAATGGAGAGAGCTAGCAAAGGAGATCTGGTCTCTCGCGAAGTAACAAGGATAACAAGCAGGTAAAAGCAGGAGTGCCAAGTATTACGATCGAACTAACTCGCATATATATATACGTATACAAATATGCGTGTGTACATCCAATTTTATTCGAGAATGAATTGTCATCAAAACATTGGTTCTCCACCGCCCCTTGTTTCCATTAATCCAGGATGTCATGATTTAAGATTTCAAGATTCAAAATTCAAGATTCAAGATCTTCTGCCACAGAGCTAACTTGTATCCAACGACGACTGTTACATTATGCAGTTTACACCTAGATATGGAGATATGGTAGATAGAAAATAATCATGACAACTATTTGTCCGTTTCTCTTTTCCTTTTTCTTTCATTCGAGAAAAATAATGCATTTTCCCATAAAGAAAAGAATTGAATTGAATTGAACAATTTTTCATTGGTAGAAAGGGATAAAGATGGTGGGGAGAAGAGGAAGGAACCAATGTTAACAGACAAAATATCTTAAGATTCTCTGTAATCATACAGAAGACTCTAAATAAAGAGAGAAGCACATGAGGGACAAATGAAGGAAAAATAGAAAAGCCGGAAGGATATCAAAAAAAGGAACAAATCTTAATGAACTCCTCCCCCCCTTCCCATGTTTTTGTTGAATTTATTTATTGTTTCGTTTTGTTTGGTCTATGATTTTGTAAAAGGGAAAAAAAAAGAAGGCGGAATATATCGGAAGTTAAGGAAAATTGTGTGGACGAACCCTAAGGTGTGTCACTAATTATTGCGATATCTTGGACGAATGGTGTAGTTTACCCTAATCTTTATTTCTAGGGTTTAAGCTTTATTTTTACTTTGATCTAATTTATCTCTTTTTATTTTTTTTTTTGTTTTTTTTTTTTTTTTTGCTTGGCTTGTCTTTTCTTTTAAATAAACTGTTGATTGTTCATCTTTAGACTTTCTGATGTGATCAAAAAAAATAAAATAGAATGGAATACATTAAATAAGTGGGTAGGAGAAAATGTGAACAATATAGGCATGTATCTTTATGAAATTAAACTATCCTAATCTATAAAGTATCTATCTTTTATACGCAAAATAGCTGTAGTAATAGAATATTGAAATACTATTCAACATATAATTTATCCAAATTTGTATTATATTATAATAAATTTTTTGATCCCTCTATTTCTCTCTTTCTCTCTTTCTCTTTTGACATTGCATTCTATTTTATTTACTACATAATAATACAAAAAAGAGTGATGGGATTATCCATAAAACAACGAAATCATAATTCTTTAAATGAATCTTCAGACTCAAATAATATTAAAAGAGATACCAAATTAGATTCTAAGAAAAATAGTTTCATTGTAGAGGCAGAAACAGTTAATACAGAATCTACAAATATCATATCATCTACTTCTACTACAGATAATGTGTTAAATATTGTAATAAACGGAAATGAACAAATTGATCATGTAAATAATAATAATGACAGTAATGATGGTGGTGATGATGATGATGATGATGATGATAATAATAATAATAATAATAATAATAATAATAATAATAATAATAATAATAATAATAATAATAGTGATACTTCTTTGAAGAATGACTCTATTTTAATATCAAATCTAAATTATAATAATGGACCATCATTAATACCGAAGGATGAAAACGTTATTAATATATCAAAAGGACTGTCGTCGTCTCCTTTTTCTTCTTCTTCTTCTCCTCTTGCTTTTCCTCTTCCGTCTAATATAAGTTCTGATAACCATAATAATAATAATAGCATAGAAATTTATAATAATAACAATGATAATAACAATGATAATGATAATGATAATGATAATGATAATGATAATGATAATATTGTCGGTATACCGTCTATTACTACAACCATGATAGAAAATCTATCTATTTCTAATAATATTAATAACAATAATAATAATAATACTCCTGGAGAAGTGGGTATTTTACCTGAGAATATGATAAATACTACAAGTAAAATGTTAGATAATAATGGTTCAGATAATAGAGATAAACTTAACTTTGATAAATCAATTGATCCGAGACCTGTTAGCAAAATTATTGAAAGGCCTATAATGCCGACTGCAAATTCAAGAGATTTATTATTAACAGATAATAAAAAGATAAATGAAATCTTAGTTAATCCAAATGATACAGATCAAACTGATAAGAATATCAATAATAACAACGATAATAATAGTAATAATATTAATGATAATGACAATAATAAAGATATTGGAAGTGTTCTTAATGATCAAAACAACAGAACTGGAAATAACATTTATGATATTAATAATAATATTGTCACTACTGCTACCAATACTGATACTAATAATAATAATAACAATAGTAATAATAGTAATAACAATAGTAATAATAGTAATAATAATAGTAATAGTAAAAGTAGTGGAAGTAGTAGTAGCAATAGAAGAATCTCTATAGATAGGAATATTGTAAATGAACCAAGAATACCAAAAGATAGTAATATTAAACTAGGTGAAAATCAAGACTTTGATAAAAAAGTCAACGGTGATGATCTATCTATAATCAACACAGATGAGACAGATGACGATAATAATAATAATAATAATAATAATAATAATCAAAAACCAAATAAAACAGAATTCTTTGCAGCTAGGCTAGCTTCAGCTGTAGGTGAGAATGAAATTAGTGATTCTGAAGAGACATTCGTGTATGAATCAGCAGCAAACTCTGTAAAGAATTTAATTCATCCGAGTAACAGTAGTATGGGCCCTCTAAGTATGCAAATAAATGATCATAGATCAACATCTCATTCTTATGATGTTAAGGACGGTTCGATCAATAATAAAAATCGTGGAATATCAACTAAGATGAGTGTACCATTACTTAATACGAATAAAAAATTAATTAATAGGTTGAAAAATATTAGACATACGAGTACAAGTGGGATTCTAAATCATTCAACTGTGCATGATCCTATGGGGTCTTCATCAGGGATATCACATTTTGCACAAGGTTATAAATCAAGCAATATGCCAAATGTCACGTCTAGTCTTAACACAAATATCAATCCTGGTAACGTTACAACCTTTCATCCCAATAGTACAGTAGATTCAGCCATAAGTAATAAAAAGAAGAATCATGGTGATAATGATGATAGTAATATTTTCAATAAAGCTGGTACAAACAATAATCCTAAAGCAGATAACAACATTAATACTGCTAACAGTATTTATTCATTAAATCAAGGTTATATTACTACAAATGTGGATGATATCCCGAGTGTTCGGTCAGTTCATAATATGGATAAACATAACGATTGGCAGTCAATGAAATCTTTTGGTATTGAACAATTTCAAAGTAGATCTCCTGATAAAAGATTAAGCACAGTATCATTAACAAGGTTACCTCCGGGAAATATTTCAAATCTACCTAGTGGTTCTTTACAGAAACAATCAATGATTAAAAATAGTAATTCTATTAAGGCTGGGAATGATAGTAGCCACAATACCCTAATGAAAAATCATGAGAATAAAAGAGTGTTGAGAACTACAGTGTCTAAGATTTTTGATAGTACTGGGACTCCCTTAAGACGTTATTCTGGTGTACCTGATAATGTTAATTTAGAAGATTATATTGAACAGGAAGATGACTTGAATGGGGCTGACAGTATGAAGTATGATATGGGCATAAAACATCAAACTTTGAATAAATATAATAACGGCAAACATATGGAATATTATAATTCAAATAAGGAAGGGAGTAAGGAGAAAGTTAGTGATTCCAAGAGGTTGTCTTTAGAGAGCCATAACTCAATGAATTGGAATATATCGCCAGGGTTATATCACCATTCTACCAGTGCTATCAAAGAGGAAGATGAAAATGAGGGTTGTAGTAACTCTATTAATAATGCTAATAATAATAATGGCACTAGTGAATATGTCATAAAAAAGAATAGTATAATTAAGAATTCTGATTTTAATAATATCGGTAATAACTTAGGCATTGAAAATGCTAGTCAATTTTACAAGGATGGTATTCATGTGAATAACGTTGATGATGATGCACGTTCTACATTCTATTATAATCATAGATCCGATTTGGAAGCAAGACCAGAAATTTCAGACTATGAAGATGATGATATGGATCCAGCTGGTGACTATGGCTTATGTAGTGAACCAGAATATTATGAATTACATCCAAATGTTAATCAGGGTCAAATATTATACTATGGCAAAAATAGCAACAATAATAATAAAAAGATTAATCTTCAAGGTAATTGCATCAATAGAAATAACAGCCATTATGAATATGGCTATCCTAACGAATACACTCCATTAAGATATTCTGCAAGAAAAAAAATGTCAAGAAACCAATTAAATTTTTCGCCTCATGATTTCAATACAAAGAAATCCAGATTGACAAGGTTTAAAAATGGATTGTACTATATTGTATTGATGCTGTTGCTCTTGTTTATTGGATTTTTGTTTGGGTTTGTCCTGGCTACAAATAAAGATTTGCAAGATTTCGATATTGTCTTATTGGACAACGTCATATCTAGTGCTGAAGAACTAATATTTGATATCACAGTTTCTTCTTTCAATCCTGGGTTTTTCACAATAACTGTAAATTCCTTGGATGTTGATGTATTTGCTAAAAGTAAGCTTGTTTTGAAAACAGAGGCATTATTTTTGGGATCAATTGATGAAATGGAGATACCTTTAAGATTTGCTGGTGGTTTTTTCAATAGGCGGTATGCTGCATCTACAACGGCGCTAAAAGTTGTTTCACCCGGTAACTCATCCACTAGTGACAATATGAAATGGAGAAAAGTGATTAAAAATGATTATGAGTTGGTCCTTCGAGGTACAATGAAATATTCTATCCCATTTTTTGGGAATTCACGTTCAATCAATGTTCAACACTCTGCAACAGTATCAGGACATAAAAATGAGGTGGAAAATGAATACATTTCTACACTAATAACAAATATTTTATAAAATAATGTGTTTGTACTAGAAGTGTTAGTTATATACTCCAGAGTGTGCATAATAATATAGTTATATATTAATTTTTTTGTTAAAAAAGAAATATGTGGTGTTATTGAGAGGTAGGGATTCTAAGGGGAAGTTAACAGTATATTAGTTTGACCTACAATTCAAATACCAAATTAGTTTTAAACAGTGTCATCCAATTACTGCATATGTTATATATTCATCGTATGATACATTTGTGTATTTAGAAGCATTGTATTTAGATGGCTATTTTTAGTGTTAGATTGTTTATTGTTTTTTTTTTAGGATATTGCTATTGTATTCAAATATAGTAGTTTGTTTCCAAAAATGGATAGTTTTCTCCTAATTTGGATATTTGGTTTTGATAAAATTTAAAGTAATTAAACTTTTAATACATTAATCGATAAGTGATGAAGATGGCTGAAAGCAGTTTATAGTCAAGTTACTTCTAAAGGTTCAACATTGTCAAAACTGTTTGAATACTAGCGGTTAATTTTAAACTATATGTGGTTTGTTCAACCTGCAGTCACATCTATTAAAAAATTACGTGCTTTTCAGTTTTTGTTTTTAGAATATTCACTTTCAAGTAACTCACACATATTTTGCATTGATATTTTTCTAAAGTGTTTCGAATAAAGGGAAGTGAACATTCCTCTCTTATTTTTTTTTTTCATTTAAACATACAAGTAGCAATTAACTTTTTAACAGTGGTATTTGCTATTTTATTGCACATTAACTAATTTATAATTTCTTTACAAAAAAAAGATTGAATACTTTATTATTATTATGAATGATCATCCACAGCAAGTCTCATTACAAGCGAGTGTGGGAGAATCACACATCAGGTTATTACAAAGTAAGAATACAAAGAATCTATCAATATCTATAAAAACTAAGGATGATGACAATTTAATAGGGACAACAATAACAGGAAAGAATATTGTAACTACGAATGATAATTGTAAAAATATAGCGACCCCCATAAATTCTACTGGGGCACATATACAGATAGCAACAAGACCATCTTTACTAATAAGAAGAAGTGAGGCATCTTTATATTCTGCTTCATTAGCGAGATCGCTTAATGGTACATCTGGTATACAGAAATCAAGTATTAATCATTTCATTTCTCCAACTTCTAAAATGCATAACATTAACCCTATACACTTACCTAAATACAATTCTGCCACACTTTCAATAAATACACAATTTCTAAATACTTGTCCCAGAGGTAGGTCTCGGACTATTGATACTTCTACACCATTATCTAAAGATAACTTAAGTATTATTGAAACACAGTCACAGTCAAATCAACAAATCATACAATCAAACCAAAAGGCAAGAAATACTACATGGATGTTTCCAGATGCTACTAATAAAGCACCTTGTACTGTAACAGCAAATTCAGATTCAACTAGTAAGAGCCACAATAATGTAGATACACCAGTATACGAAAATGTTGATGTTAAAAATGCATATCCTAATGGACCACTCTTGGTTATTCCACCTAGTATATATTTATATTCTGAACCTAGTTTAAATGAAATTTTGAATTTTGATCTGATTATTAATGTTGCTGAAGAGGTCCCTAGTTTACAGTATAGGATCCCACCAGAGTTTTATGGGAAAATAGAGTATTACCACGTAGAGTGGTCTCATCATTCAAAAATAGTGAAGGATTTGAACAAATTAACAGATCTTATGCATAAGGCAGCACTTCAAAATAAAAAAATTTTAATACATTGCCAATGTGGCGTTTCTAGATCCGCTTCACTAATGGTTGCATATATCATGCGATATTGTAATATGAATCTCAATGATGCTTATAATAAATTGAAATCAATTGCTAAGGATATTAGTCCCAATATGGGGTTAATTTTTCAATTGATGGAATGGAGTGAAAAGTTGAGTATTATCAAGGATGATAATGATGATATGACCGTAACCCAGGAAAATGGGGAGAATAAAATCATTGGTAAAGATGTTAGTAACGATAGTTCTATTAATATGTCATTGGAGTTGACACCAAAGACGCCATTTGAACTCAATAGTGATCATAACCTTACTACATTGGATATTAAATGATATAAGTAATTATATATTTATATACTGTAGATGGAGGAACCAAAATTATTAACAAAGACACTTTTTTTATTTTTGAACTGATTTTATTAGTAGTTTATTTTGTGATTCAATAAACAGGGAAGGTATATTATAAAGTCTAAACATTCCATACATGTGATTAAACATTATGAAGATCACTATCATTCTCATTCTTCACGCTACCATTTTGTTTGAAATCATAAATGCTAAAAGTTTTCTTGCTATTTATTTCCTCTTCAACTTCATCAATAATATCCCATACAATATCATCAGCTACTTGTTCCATAAAAAGTGTATTTAGAGTCTTGATATCTTTAATATCTAAAGGTTCTGGAGGTGTAATAACATCAAAATATTTTAACTTTTCTCGTTCTGTTATTATATTAGCTTCTCCGCCATTAAAACAACTTACAGTAGGATAATATCCCAATCTATTATTATTGACATATTTGTTACGTAGTAGCAGTCCCTTTTTATGGCCATGCAAATTTGAATTTTTGTTTTTCGAGGATCGTTGGTACATATCTTCTGAATCTGTTTGATTTGAATTGTTATTATATTCTTCTATATATTCACCATTACGCCAATATCCTGAATAAAATTTTTCATTATACTGTAATTCACTGAATGGTGGTAAAAATGGGTCTAAATCTTGAAATGCTTTACCTAGATATTTTCCATTACAATAAACAGCCAAGAAAGATTCATCCAAACGGTAATAATCCAGTCTTTCTCTTTTATCTGATGAATAATATTCTGGTTTTGTAGTTTTAATATAATCTGTAGCTTCGAAAAATAATTGATTCTTATATCTAATAGCAATATGGTCTCTTATTATATCATTATATTTAATATCTTCTAATAGAGCTAAGTGGAAATCCGTGTTTTTATTTATTTTTTGTCTTTTCTTGGTAGCAGGTTCCTCACTATTGTTATGGCTATTCCATTGTTCTGTAGTCGATGTGCGATGTGTTTTCATTGATTTGGATGCATTTTTCAATGCATTGATTCTTTGAATGGTATATTCTTTAGCTTGATTTACTTGCACGTTTAATTGAGGAAGATATAATATAAAACTTAAAACATCACCTTGTTTCAACTGGTACTGATCCGAGTTTAAAACTTTCCGCAACTTTCCCTCATGGAAGGATTCTAAACCTTGGTCACGGATGCCATAGCCGTATACGTCAAATCCTACAGGTCCTTCCAAGCTAGCTTCCCTTCTACTGACACCAAATCTCAAGTGAGGACTGCAATCAATGGTGTCTTTTTTCAAAATGTTATTATCAGAAGGTACAGGCACTGTAGTACCACCTTTAACTACCTCTACTTCCCAATAAGCAGCACCTTCCTTAATACATACATCTGATCTACTGGTCCGCCAACCCATAGTGGGACCAACCGAAACGGTCTTATTTAATTTATCCTTAATAGAGATCCCAGCAGATCGATCCATCAAATTAAAACCTGATGATTCGAAGGGATACTCTGTAGTACAATATCCTAATTGAGGAAAAAGTGGATTTGGAGCACAGGGACAATATATGAAATTTCTCTTATTGATTGGGATATCCACAGGTTTATAAAAATTGTCAGAGGTTGAGATGAAATGAGGTAGTCTTGGTCTTGCAGAATTGTTTTCTATCCTAAAATCATCATCCTGGTAAGGGATGACCCCCGGTTTTAAAGGATTTTTTGGTATCATTAAGAACTGCAAATAAATCAATAGAGGTGATTTGGAACTTACACAGAAGTATGTACCTCTGTCCTAGATATCTTACTTAAAGTGTTATTATTATATACGTTTTTCCTTCGATGACCCTTTTGACATCGTGTTTTTGGTCTTAAATTATTTTATGCAGGTCTTTCTTTTTTTATTTTTTTTTGGCTTTTATTTTTTGAGAATAAGCAGGGTGTTTTGTTCACTTAAGTTCCATGGTAGCGGCAACAAAAGCAGCAGCATCTTATCACGAAGAAAAGAATTTGTTTATAAAAGATCTTTTATGGCTGTTGCTGAAGAGAAGGATGACTAGTGGCAAGTAGGTGGACGATTCTATTCTACCATACAGGGGATCAATTAAAAGTGAGGAGTGTCATTGCCATTATAGTGGTCTTGGATACAGAAGCTAGTTTTTTTCAGTAATTTATTATAAAAAAAGAAAGGTTAGCAAGTTAAATTGGTTTTACATGATAAGTCAAGTAAAAAAAAATGAAAGCAGAAAGCGGAAAGTTACTGATTCAACCACCAAGATTAAATCAGCATGCAAAAGATGTCGTTCAAAGAAGATCAAGTGTGATCAAGAGTTTCCCAGTTGCAGAAACTGTTCGAAAGCAAATGAACCATGTGTTTCCTTGGATCCTGTCACTGGCGAAGATGTGCCTCGTTCCTACCTGTTGTTTCTGGAAAGCCGTGTTGCTGTAATGGCAAAGAAGTTGAGAGAATGTGGTGTTGATATTTCATCTATACGGAATAATATTCCTTCTGTGGACACTGATAAACCATATGATCCTGATTATGATAAGGAAATGAATAGTGGGGATTACCCATTAAATATAATATTGGGAAATTATTTAATTCAAAGAGGTGAAATGTTGAAGGGTAAATCTACGGTATCTGATTTAAATTCAAAAATAAAACCAGTTCAAGAATTCAAAAGAAATATTTCTACTTCATATACTGCATCTAATGATAATGGTAGTAGTGGTGATGGTAATAAGACTGATGGAATAAATAATAATAATAATAATAATAATAATAATAATAATAATAATAATAATAATAATAATAATAATAATAATAATAATAATAATAATAATAATAATAATAATAATGATAATAATGATAATAATAGTGATAAGTTTCCTGACACAAGCCCCACGTCAGTATTAAATACAAATAGTCCACAATTTGATATTTTGCAACCAGGTAAGGATATGGGACAATTTCAAGATATTAATTCGAACTCTACAGGCTCTTTTTTAGGTGATTCTTCTGGTATTCCTTTTGCTAAATTGGTATTTGCAGCAGCCAGTTTTTCGCCTGAGATTATTAATGATGATTTAGATATCGATATTGAAAGAAGAGAGGCAGAATTGAAATATTATAGAATTGCAGATACAACTGATAATTTTGATCCGTTATGGTTGCCTTTAAAGAAGGAAGCAGAGGATTTGGTTGTTAAATTTTTTACAGATACAAATTCTCAATTACCTATATTTCATCGTGAATATTTTTTAAAAAAATATTTTGAACCTATTTATGGGTTATGGAATACTAATATCTCATTAATATCAGAGCACACTAGAATAAACACGGATTTTAAATTGCCTGCTGATATATATGTAGCACCGGATGAAAAAATGGATTATGATATTGATTTGACAATACCTTGGTTTGATACACTTGGGAGATTACAGCAAAATAATATGCGTAAGGACAATAATATATCCGTTCCTTCAAGATTCAAAATACCTTTATTTTTTTTAAATGCTGTGTTTTCTATTGGTCATGCCACTCGAGTCCTAGAATCAAATATCACGACCCTTGTTACTTTCAAGAGAAGGGCATTATACTTTAGATCAGCTCTTTTTAATAGTACTGATAAGTTAGAAACCTTGGCTGGGACGCTATTAATTGTGTTATATTCTTTAATGAGACCTAGTTCACCTGGAGTTTGGTACGTTATGGGATCTGTTCTAAGATTGACTGTGGATTTGGGGTTACATGATGAAAAACTGAATCAAAGTTATAATCCATTTCAAAGAGAAATACGAAGAAGGTTATTCTGGTGTGCTTATTCTTTAGATAGACAAATATGTTCATATTTTGGTAGACCCTTTGGAATTCCTGAGGAGAGTATTACCACACGTTTCCCAAGTCTTTTGGATGATTCTAACATTGTTCCAATATTAGATAATTCAATGGACTATTCTGATAATTTAAGTTCTACTGTGTCATCCAAGGTGATTGCTAATGCAATGTATAAAATAAGGAAGATACAGGGAAATATTGTGAAGATTTTATATGCGCCAAGGTCAGAATTACCTAGAAAATATTCTGATTTAGATAATTGGAAAGAATGTGTATTAGAGGAGTTGAATCATTGGTATAAGAGTGAAGTTCCAAAATCCTTTGACACAATGAATTGTAAGTTTAATACTTTTTTTTTTGATTTGAATTATTATTATTCTAAGACTATCTTATTTGGAATATCCCCAAAGACTCCCATTTTGAATGAAAGAGCATTTAAAATTGTAAAAGAGAGTACAAAGGGTACAATTGATGTTTTTGATGGGCTCTGTATGACCAAGAAGATGAGTTATACATGGGTGGCAACACATAATATATTCATGACTGGAATGACATATCTTTATGTCATTTATTATCATTTTGGCGAGAATGATTCAAAGGATGACGTTATTAATTATGTAGAGAAGGTATTAAATGTCCTGAAGAATTTGATTGGTACATGTGATGCAGCTAAAAACTGTTATAGAACTTATAAGATGTTATGTGCTGCAGTAATAAAATTGAAGTTTGGTAATGTTTATGGTTCAAGTGTGGCTAATAGAATTAAAAAGACGAAGTTTAGTAAGAAAAAGTTAAAAAGAAGTAGAAAAAGTGAAAAATCATCCATTATAGATTTAAAAGATCATGAGGCAGTGTATATAGATGAGAAGAATAATACTTGTATGTCCAAGGAAATATGTCCAAGTGTTTCGGCTCCTGTAGTAACCAGTGATGTTTTAAATACAACAGGATCTACATCAGCAAATTCAATATTTACAGATCCTTTGGATCAATTTTTTAATGATTTGAATAAATTAAATAAGTTTTTTAATACAGAGGAAAGTGTATCACACATACAACAACAAACCGCTATTCCAACACAAATACAAATTACAAGTTCAAAGAATCATGCTTTATTAAAGGAACCCCAAGGAGTTCATAAGGTTGAAATTGATCCTTTAACATACCAACATACTGCTTCAGATAATTCTGAGAAAGGATTAGAATTATCATCATTGGAAACAACCGCTAAATTTCACAGAAGACCTTCAAATATTATAGACAAGGATATTGGAGATTTACTGTATCAAGTGACTTCACAATCCATATGGGATGGGTTATTTGGGAACCAAGCGGATTCTGCTAATGAGATAAATAGGTCGTTAAATACAACAAACATTTCCCAAATACATGAATCTCTTAGCAATAATGGTGAATATAACATCCCTACTCCAGGCTTTGGTGATATGGAATTATTTTAGAAATTATCAGTTTGAAATATTCCAAGCCCTAGGTATTGTGCATAAAAATAAGCACTTGAGCTTTTGTCATCTGGATTAATTGATTTCCAGTTGAATAATCTCAGTGGTGCATGTACCGGATTGATGACTTGACAATGTCATCATGATACTATTCCGTAGTCTATGATTAGTTTAAATCTATGTTTATTACTCTCTATTCCTAAGCTAAAAGCTTAGTAATTTTATGGCGTAGGCATTTGTAAAAAAGGTCCCGCGGCCTTAAGAAAAATGGGAAAAAAAACTAAAATTGAAAAATTTGTGTGAAAAAGAAGATCCATCTTATTTCAAATTTATTATAGAGAGAGAGAAAGATTTAAGTTCTGATGACAGTAAGAATATAGATAAGAAAGACTGGGGCTGTTAGAAGAAAGTTACTAAATTTTGCACGCACAATTGTATTAAAGATCACTGATTTTATAGCATCTGCTGAGGTAGAACATTTTACTGTTCGTTAGGGCGTTTGTGACTTTTCTTTTTTTTTTTTTTTAGTTGAAACATATTTTTGAATGGGTATATCAAAGAATAATCATTTATATATATATATATATATATATTGTTTTTGATCCATTAGAAGTCCAATAAAGGTCCATATACTCATCGTTTGAGAGATTATTGGTTTATTTGATATATTAATACAATTTTTAACAGACCTTGATAGTTTAATTTTATTTTTTATTGTGGCAAAGCTAAAGAAAGACTATTATATCATATTGTTTTTTTATTCATTGATTAATTAAATGAAAAGGCATTCTTCCCCATTAATTAGTACCTCTTCATCAAAGGGAATTCCTCTTAATATGGGTACACCCAGGAAAATTTGGTGTCGAATAGATTATTCTTCAGATATAATCAACGAAACTATTCTAATTGAATATGATGAAATGGATACAATAGATGATTTTAAGACAAAAATACTTAACAAACTGAATAAAACCAGATGGGCATCTGAAAATGATAATGCTTCAATTGCCATTGGACTTTATCAAAAAAGGAAATATACTGCAGATAACACAGAGGCCTCAAATTCTAATTCGATGAAAAGTGATAATGGTCATATGAAAACAAAGCAACTCAGAAATATGGAAAAAAACATATGGAATAGAGATGATTGTCACGGAACATATAATAGAGAAAAATGCAATTATCAGGAATTGGACTCTCCTGTACCCATTAATCCACAAAGAGGGATTGATGATCAAATCGACAACAAGATTAAATATAAGCGTTTTAACATGGCACCTTTGTCAGATCAACTATCTACTCTGAACAAAATCGAGTCGTATTCGAATGATATTACGTTGGCAAATGGTTCGAAGATGTGTAATACTAAGGATACAACACCACAGAAAGAATCTACACCAAGTCCCCAAATAATCTTACCTAATCATATAAATATGCCCCCAATGTATGGATCACCCTTGCTTCCTAGTTCACATTGTAATAAAAAAAATTCATCAGTATTTTTACCTCCTTTGACTATTCCATATGATAATGCTAATATGTTTGATGGAATTAGTAGAAATTATATTTCAAACTATACTCATATGAGTGCACCTTCATCTCCATTATACAGAAATTATCCATCACCAAGGAAAAGATTGAAATATAACTTACAAAATGTAACCGATGATCTCAGCAGGATTATTTTTGAACCAGATCAATTAATGTCAGATATATATTCAGAACTGTTTAAAGTTCATGGTAGACAACAATCTGTATCAGAGCCATTGCTTATATTCTCTAATAAAGATTTATCATTAGGAACAAAACATCTCTCAAGTAAAAATTCCATTAGTGTGCTTACAACTATTGATACAGAGGACTTACACAACGAACCTTTCAAGAATAATTTACGAATGGATGTTCTTGATCAATCAATGCTTGACGATTCTTCAGATGAATTACTAACTAGCGATCTATTAAAGTCAATAGATACAGGTGATGTTAACAAAATAGAAATTGACACCATAAGTAAGGATTATGATAATAGTAGGTCAATCAAAGAAAACTATGTTATTGAAAATCCTGAGAGTAATCAAGAAACTATGTATTCAATAAATTCAGAAGAATATTTAAGACAAGGGGTTGTGCTATTGCCTAAAGATTATCATGATTCTAATCAAGCAAAACAACAGAAGAATTATCATGATGAAAATCAGTCTAAGGTTGGTATTAAGATAGATAATGAGGACTTTGTTGATGAACATAATGGCAATTTATCAACAACGTATAATGATAGTAGACCATTGTTTATGACAGATGTGATAGATCCTTCTTCCAGTAATGCTATTGGAACTAACAACAATAGAATTGATTTGATAAAGTCTGAGGAAAAAGATCTAAAAGCGAATAATTCAAAGAGGATCTTAAGTGAACAAGAAGTTGGACCATCACTAATAGAAGGTGGAGCAGGGAAATTACAGACAAAAGAAATATATCAACCACAATATACGTTATTAAATATATCTGGCGGTAATGCTGGTATTATTAATAGTCCTAATCATAATAGCGGAAACAGTTTAGGCATATACTATCCTATATCTACTGTCCCTACTCCATTATCTACTACATTTTCTGTGCCACTACAGATGATGAAAAATGAAAATATGAATGGTACTGATATTTCAGAGAAGGAGAATATCAACACCAGTGCAAAGGTTTTCCCAAAGATTAATGTATTAGTTGTTGAAGATAATGTTATTAACCAAGCCATTCTGGGATCATTCCTAAGAAAACATAAGATATCCTATAAAATTGCTAAGAATGGTAAAGAGGCTGTTGATATTTGGAAAGAAGGAGGTTTGCATTTAATTTTCATGGATTTACAACTACCTGTGTTATCAGGTATCGATGCTGCGAAACAAATTAGGGATCTTGAAAAGAAGAAATCAAGGAAACATAATGCACCAGTTATCATTGTGGCTTTGACTGCATCAAATTCAATAGAAGATAAAAGAAAGGCATTAGTGTCTGGTTGTAATGACTATTTGACTAAACCAGTAAATCTGCATTGGTTAAGTAAGAAGATTACTGAATGGGGGTGCATGCAAGCATTAATTGATTTTGACAGTTGGAAACAAGGACAAAGTAGAATGACAGAGAATGTCATAATGAAATCACCCCACAAAAAGTCGAAAGCTAATTGATTAAATCTGAACGATATTTTTAAAGATGTGGTGTGATAGAATCAAGAAGAATTGGATGGTTTTTTTCTTTAATATGTCCTCAAACCAGTACAAATTATACATATAAGAAGTGAAAGGAGGTTCGTCCTTTTGTTAAGTAGACATATACATATATATGTATATTTATAAATATTATATTAAGCTAATTTGATAGATTAATAAATTCCTCTCTTCATGAAGTTCTTTTTTTTATAGCTGAAGTTAAAGAGAATAAAAAATGTATGTATGTATATATGCCTGTTTATTTACCATTCCTTTTTCTTATTACATCTATACAGTTTGTTTATGGATGCTAGATGTTATTATATATTGTTAGATAGTGGGTTTTGATTCACATCCAGGACAGTTGTGAAGTATCTCATGTATGAACACATCACAATCTATGCAAAAGTCGATCTTACAATCAGGGCATCTATACCTTGAACTAGTTAATAATTCGTTGGTCTTATGGTCCATTAGAACCGGAAACTTTTTTTGACAAGAGAAACAATTTTCTGTGGGAAACTTTTCTTTGGAATCTACTTCTTCGAAAGTTTTCAATGGCATTAGATGATGATATGATCTAGCTAAATGAGTGGACAAAATTAGCATTAAATCGCAGCAAGGACAGACAGTAGGTAAAGAACAAACTTTACTATGACAATTTGGACAAAAATAACCACCGTAGACTAATTTTGAATGGCAGGAACAGAAAGTTGGTATATTTTCAAACACTCTCGTTGGAAATCCCATTTTAACTAGAGTAAAGCCTTTATTTACTTTATTGACGGGTAATGGGGTAACTGCTTCATCAAACAATTCTTTAAAATGGGTTTCATCTAGCACAATTTTATAAAACGAGTTATCACCAAAATTTGTTAATGAACAAAGTTCTTTGCATACGGCTACTTGAGCTGATAGTCCAATTACTTTTGCTCTAACTCTATCATGTACTAATGATGCAATAGTCTGGTGTATATCACCAGGATCAGTACTTGACAGACTACCAAATATAATTAATACTTCTCTTGTGCAATGTGGTGGAACGGGTGACAAAATACCCCTTGCCATTTCTAAAGCATTCTGTAAAGAGGGATTACCCTTTGGTTCTTGCTTTCTTAGTGATTTTAAAACGTCGATATGATCCTGTGGATTACCACTCACTTGACTAACCAAATGAGCTAGTCCGTTTTTCATTATGACTATACCGATCTGGGATATTGGATTTTGGTCAAAGAATTCATGAATAAAATCTATTGCATACTGGATCATCATGGCATGTCTATTTGGTCTCAAATCCTTTTCATTCATACTTTCACTACAATCAAGAGTTAAAATTAACGTTCTAATGATACCACGTTGAAATGGAGTGATATTTCTTTTTGCAGCACGTTTTTTTCTAGCTTCAATTATAGACGCCACTAGGGCAGTCATGTCACCTTCTTTATCCACAGTAACTAAATCCCAACTTCTTTTAATTTCATCTTCCCAGGCGTAACCACCATTGGCACCTTGTAGATTATTGTTTTCAACATTATCGCCACCACCTCCCTCTACCTCATTGCTATTGTTGTTGTTATTATTATTTGATGTCTTCTTTTTAGCTATATATCTAACCTTTCTATCTTTTTGATTTTGTTGATTAGAATCTGATGATTTAGAAGAAGATTTAATAGAATCATCATTCTCTGAATTATTTCTCGCACGTTTCAAAGGGTTCGAGTTAACTTTGGTGGGGTTGGCATTGAAATTTGGGTCTCTTCTATTTCTTCTTCCTGAGATGTTAATTTTTCCTTCATCTGAATCTGAATCCGAATCAATTAAAGGCATTTTTTAATATCTGATCAAAATAATTGTGCTTGTTGTATTTTCTTGAATGATAATGATACGAGTTTAAAAGTATAAAATTCTCTTACTAAAATGATTTATATATATATATATGCTCAAGTAGAAATTAATTAGTTATGTAAGATGAGCTATTTGTGGTATGTTATGATTGTACTAAGACTTTCTTTTGCTTTATACAAGGTGAAACTTTCGAAATTCAGTTTCTTTTCATTCACTCAATTAATGTCAATTTTTCACTTCTTGTCTTTTTTCATTTTTCAAAGATTCTAACGCTTAGAAGAAAAAGTTAAAGTTGAATTTATTTTGATCTGTAGATAGAAACATTGAGACATATACTGAAATACAAAAGCAACATACACACGCAGATATATATATGTATGTATGTATGTATGTATGTATGTATTTATTTATTTATTTATTTATTTATATGAAAGATTATGTATTATGATTATGCGCTTTACACCTATTCAAGGTTGATGTAACTTTGAAATGGGTATTTTAAGAGATTTGGAATGTCGGGAACCCCTTTTATTAGATCCAGTAACAAAGAATATAACTGAAGAGTAGGAGAGTCACAATATGTTAGATTTATGATCTATTGTAGATGTGGTCGGATCTTTTACACTTTATATGTAGATTGTATAATGTTTAGTATTTCACCTGGTTATTTATTTCTATCAACTTTTTAAGAACAGTGTGCCAAATAAAACCCAAATTCTAAAGATTGGAGACGTTTCGCACATTATTAAACTATAATAAGCACTGCACACCAGATCATATCTAAGGTGAAAGAGAAAAAAAAAAAAAAGAGAGAGAATATATAGTAACGTCCCAAACAAAAACATCCGTTAGCCCAAGGATTTCAACTTCTGTCTCCCGTGACAAAAACAGCCTAACTGTAATAATCCTGAAGTTATGTGTTTCTGATAACAGTTAATCTTGTTGAAATCTCAATAATATTTCACTTGAATAGATATAAGGTATAGACTCGTTCTATATCTCTAGATGTAATATTCCTATATATCTGTATATCTATATCCCTAATCTAAGATAACCTAATAGTATACACTTATATACTATATATCTAAATTTATGTAATCCTTGGTTCCTTCTTCTTTTCTTCTTATTCGTTGCTTGGTTGTTGTTCTTCTTGGTTGCACTCTTGTACTTATGTTGGTTACTCCTGTTTTTATGTATGTTTGTGAAATTTTGCAAAACGGAAAGTGTAGAAAAATATCGTCGACCCTCATTTTTTTAAACAAAACCCTAAACAGTAATATCAGGAATATTACATATTGATGCAAAAAACTCCGCGACGGGGAATTGAACCCCGATCTGACACGCGACAAGCGTCCATTCTGACCATTAAACTATCACGGATGGAAGGTAGGGAAGAGAGCACTCACGCTGGGGGTCGAACCCAGAATCTTCTGATTAGAAGTCAGACGCGCTGCCATTACGCCACGCGAGCTCAAATTCCTGGGTGCTGTTATAGTTTGGACTTAGGACCAATGTTTTTTTTAAACAGTACTATTGAACGAATAGTAAGGGCAATAACAAATATATAAGAACGTTATATATAGGAGAATTAAGGATTATTGCTTGTTTTTTATTTATCTTTATATACAATATATAGATTATTTACAAAAAACGGTTATGGAAGATGATCTTTTATCTCCAGAAAACGTTGTCCTTTTATATGTTTTCTGGAGCTCGATCAATTATTCAGATTGGTACATTAATGATCTGACTGATTCAAACCCTAAAATTTATTACATTAATTTAGGTGCACTAGTAGATTAGAACTGCACCCCAGTTCTCTAATCATGGTGATTAGTAATACACGTGGGACTTATTAAAACAATAGGTAAATTCTAGATTTGTCAAAATCTTATGTAATCTAATCTTTTTATTATGCAGCATCTAATTTTGTAGCACGTGTATGGCTTATTAAAACAATAAATAGTTCTGGATTCATTCAGGATCTTATGTAATTTTGATGGTAATAACTTCTCTATTCTACAACAGGTATCCGTTGTAGAACACAGTATTAACACAACCTAGATCACATAAGATTTTAGTCAAATCTAGAATTACTTGTTGTGTTTATGTACAGCGTGTTCACATATCTCTGCTACTGCACCACTATAACATGTTGTTCTAAAGATTCCATGAGGTTCGATTATATATGTTGGAAATTGAAAGTTTATTACTGTCATTTTCATAAGAATTATTTTTAATTAATTTTTCTGTGTATTATGTGGTGTATGGATGTACTCTAATATATGGGAAACCATTTTATTCTTCACAAAATATGTTTTTTAGAGATTTGAAAAGAAATGAAAAACTTTAAAAAAAAGAATCAAAATAAAGACAAGAATCTATACTTTATATACTATATAATACGTATATACATGTATTTATTACACAATAAAAACAAAGATAAGCTTCTATAACGTAATAATATCTGTCATTACCATGGATGCTGAATGCTCCAAGTTCCAATACAAGTTGAATAGTTGATAGAATTTTAAAAAACATAAAAAAGGATAACAACTTCTGAAGATAAACTATCTTCTGTAATTCCTCTCTTATATAAATAAATTATGTAATAATAGAAGAAGAACAACGAACAATTATTAATGATACTTTTTAAATTATAACATGATAAATTAGTGAATAATATTCGAATTTACTGGACATTTGTGACCTTAAATATTGAACCTATTGGCTTTATAGTTTATATGTGTCTTATTATCTTTCTAGTTTGTACATACAGTATAAGTGTATACATACATGGTGTATGTAATTAAATGAACATCTTCTGTTTTTTTCTTTTAAAAATTTTTGTTTTTTTTTTTAAGATCTCTTGTTAATAGTACATCCGAACATCAAATATGATCTTATAATAATAATAATAATAAGACCATTAACAAATAAAAAAAAACTTTAATATATAAATATTATGATAGTCATTCCAGAAAAAATAATATTAATTCACTAATTAGTTGTTTAAAAAGTAACTTTAAAACATTTTTTTCTCCTTTGGAGCTTCTTTTTCAGTTTGTTTTTTCTTTTTTTTGGAATAAACTTTAATTCTATCCTTACAAATGAGTTATCTTTACTAAGTTGTGTTATTAACTTGATTCTTTTTAAGAATTCAGTCTCCTGAAGCAAGTTTATTCTTGTACGATAAAAAAAAGATTAATATTTGTAGAAAATAATTAGTGAGAAAATTTTCAATGATAGATGTTATGGTAAAAAGAAATTCTCTACCAGCATATATACATGAAAAGTAGAAAAGAATAAAATTTTCTTTAAGCAGATGAAAGAAATAAGAGAGCACAAGTTACATTGATAATATATTAAATTCTTTTTTTTTTCTTTGCTTTTGTTTTTAATGCTTCTGTATCTTAATTCAATCTTTTATTTTCTCAAATGTACGTGACCGTGAATATAAATGTTAAAAGTTTCAGACCTGCCCATAAGAAAATAAATGATGAAAAAGATTGGTCTACTTAAAATTATTGACTGCTGATATTGCCATATACTCGTTCGTTGGAAGAAAGAGAGGGAGTAAGTACGTTAGTTTGAGATTACAGATGTCATTTGAGGTAGCCAAGGCTCTCTTTTTCTTTTTTTTTACTTAAAGAAAAAGCACGGCGCACATAATTTACACTATTACTTTTATTAAAGGGCGAGGAAGAAAAGATTTAAACATTCTATATCTAAAAAATATTTAGTATTCATGAGAGTTCGTTAATATATATTCTATAAATAACTTCAAAAACTCAACACTAGAACAGGCTAACATGGAGCATATAGCAGTATATACATATATATATTAAAAAATTCAGCTATTTGCAGTTCAACAACAAAAAAGAAAAATTAAGAATAAAAAATAAAGGAGGGGGGGGGTTAAAAAATATTCTTAGAGAAAAACAAACAAATAAAGTTGAATTAATTAATTAATTAATTTATTCTTGCTTAGCGTTGATAGAAGCAGTTAACTTAGCTTGAGCAATTAAGTTGGATGGTGCATCCATGACTGGTAACATAACTTCAATTAATCTGATTCTGGAGTTTTCGTTGAAAGCCTTGTCGGTGGTTAACTTGTCCCATTCACCGGTGGTAGCAACTCTGTGGTTTTCGTAGTCCTTAGCACCGAAGGTTTCTAAGATGTTTAAGTGCTTCCATGGTTGAATGTCGTTGTAACCAGCCTTTTCACCGTGGATTAATCTTTCAATGGTGTAACCGTCGTTGTTTAAGACGAATAAGTATGGCTTCAAGTTCCATCTGATTAAAGTGGAGATTTCTTGAACAGTTAATTGTAAGGAACCGTCACCAATGAATAAGACAACTCTCTTCTTTGGATCGATTTCTTCAGCAGCGAAAGCAGCACCTAAAACGGCACCACCAGTGTAACCAATGGAACCCCATAAGACTTGAGAGATACCGACAGTTTCGTTTGGGAAAGTACATTGGTTGATACCAAAACCAGAGGTACCGGTTTCAGTTAAGACAATATCACCTTCTTGTAAGAAGTTGGATAATTGTCTCCACATCCATTCTTGCTTCAATGGGGTAGATGGGTCGCAAGCTGGGTTAGCAGCTGGAGCAGCTGGAACTGGAACTGGCTTGTAGTGCTTAGCAGCGGCACCAATAACCTTTAATAATTTTTGTAAGACGAATTTCATTTGAACACCTGGGAAAGTAGCGCTCTTGATCTTGATGTAGTCAGAGTGGAATTCAACGATGTTCTTGGTCTTGTAAGAGTAAGAGAAGGAACCGGTGTTGAAGTCAGATAATAAGGCACCGACGGATAAGATTAAGTCAGCGGATTCAACAGCTTCCTTGACAGCTGGACTAGATAAGGTACCGACGTAGACACCACCGAATCTTGGGTTAGATTCGTTGATAGTACCCTTACCCATTGGGGTGACGAAGGCTGGGAACTTGGTGATGTCAATCAATTGGTTAGCTTCAGCCTTGACGTCATGTCTACCAGCACAAGCATCGGATAAGATGACTGGGTTCTTGGCGTTCTTGACTAATTCAAGGATGGTTTCAATAACTTCAGCTTCAGCTTCTGGTTCGTTTGGCTTCAAAGCTAAGTCAATTGGGGTGTCTAATAAGGAGGCTGGAACCTTTAAGTCAACAATGTTGGCTGGTAAACCTAAGTAGACTGGTCTTTGGGTGACGTAGGTAGTTCTAATACATCTGTCAATTTCAGCTGGAGCGGTAGCAATGTCAGTGATCATGGCAGTGGTTTCAGAGATGTTGGCGGACATTCTGTGGAAGACAGTGAAGTCACCGTTACCTAAGGTGTGGTGTAATAATAATTGCTTAGCTTGAGAAGAGATGGATGGGACACCGACGACGTGTAAGACACCAACATGTTCAGCATAAGAACCGGCAATACCGTTTAAAGCGGATAATTCACCGACACCGAAGGTGGTGATGATACAGGACATACCCTTGATTCTAGCGTAACCATCAGCAGCGTAAGAAGCGTTTAATTCGTTAGCGTTACCAGCCCATCTCATACCTGGGACTTCGTAGATCTTGTCCAATAAGGATAAGTTGAAGTCACCTGGTAAACCGAAGATGGTTTTAACATCAACTTGGTTTAATCTTTCGAATAAGTAACGACCTAAAGTAATTTGAGACATTTTGAATGGATATGTAGAGCTTCAATGGCCTGGTCTTTTTACTTTGAAATGTAACAGGAGAAAAAAGAAGAGAAGAGAGAGAGGAGGAAGGAAACTAGAAGAAGACATCGGACGTTCCAAGAGAGACAGATCAAAGGTTTATATATAAAAAAAAAAAAACTTAAGAAAACAAAATAAAATGGAAGTTCAAAGGTTTACCATACAAAAACATATATGTTAAATAGACATATACATACATATCTACAATTGGCATATACGTATCCATATATCATGATAATAGTAATAATAATAATAATAATAATAATAATAACAATAAGAATAATAAGATGTGGATACCTAATAGAAAATTAAAAATCAAAATAAATAAAAAAAAAAAATATTCACTCGCTCCATTTTACTATGATAAAAAAAAAAAGAAATGTTATATTCATTCCATTATTTCTTTTTTCGATATTTCGATGTTTTGATATTTCAATTTTTTTTTTTTGATTTTGATTTTGGGAGAGGGACAAATAATAATGAGAATAACAATAATAATAATAACAATAAATAAATTGGCAGTGGGTTGGTGGTGGCAACAAAAATAAATAAACAAAAGGTTCTCTATTGTTTTTACTTGGCTTATTGTTTTGTTTTCTATGTTCCCTTCTTTTTTCTTTTTTTCTTTTTTATTTGTATGGCAGGAATCTTGTTATGGAGTCCAGTTAAATGAATAAATTATGCAATTTTGTTTGTTTTTGAATAAATTATGCGATTAACTTAAAAATAAACACGAAGACAATAGCATCGCTCTCTTTTTTTGTGTTCCTTTCCTTCTTCTGCCTTTAGAAAATCCGTACACCCCATACGTCCATTTCCTAATTTAAACTATATGAAAATTACAACCCTTAATGCCTTTGCCTTTACCTTTACCTTTTTCTAAAATTTCACGTGCACCCGTTTCATTTCATTTCTCTCGCCACACAAACACATAAGAATAAGGGCAAAAAACAGAAAAACAAAAACAAAATCAAGTTCCGATCTGATCCGAATTTAGTCTTGTTCAGTTTTCTTGTTTGGGCAACGTGTCCCACACACACAGCAGACAGTTTCTCTTTTCTTTTCTTTTCTTTTCTTTTCTTTTCTTTTTTTTCTTTTTTTTTCGATTTTTTGTCTCCACTGATGGACTTTGGCAGTTTCGGAAGCCCGCCAGTACACCACGCTTTTTTCTTGATGTCTCTTCTACCTACTGGTTGCTTTCTTTTTAATCTTGATGTCTCAATATTGTAATGTGTCACTTAATGAATAATAAATAATTTTCATATTCTTTTTGTTGGTTTTTTTTATTTTTTTTTGTTTTGTTTTATATTATAACATCTAGTGACTTTAATATTCTTTCAATCAATTATATTTATGATTACAAAGAATGTAGTAATTGTCTTTTATTACCATCATCAAGTCTTTTGTTATCACCCGGTCTGCTTAAGTTTAATAGATTCTTGCCTTTCTTTTTTGTTTCAACTTTGATACATCTATTTTTTTTAAGCATTTAAACATATATATATTATATATTATATTTATCTATTCTTCTTCTTACAAAAAATAGAAATAATACTATAATCATTTACGATTCCTCATCCTATTGATTCGGTCTTTTAATTGTTGCGTCACTAACGCAGCTCTTTGCCATGATTCTTCAGTAGCTAATGTCGTATTAATAACATCTTGTGCATTCATATTTGATGTTTTCTTATTATTAAAATCAAAACTATGATTACGATTATCACTAGTTCCATTATTACTATTGTCATTATTGTTATTATTACTATTATTGGTGGTGGTAGTGACAGTAGTGGCACTGGTATATCTTTTCAACGGATCTATTTGTAATCTTCTTACCTTATTTGGTAAATCTATACTATTTATCGGTGAATTATTTATATCTCTATTTGAAGGAATATTTATATTTCCCTTATCAACTATTCTTGTTGTTATACTACGATTTTGTTGTTGTTGTTGTTGTTGTTGTTCTATGATGGCATCATATTGTCGTTTCAATTTTTGTATTTCTGTATCTTTAATCATTATTGTATTAATATGTTGATTTACTTTTCTTTCTAATTCATTAATCTTGTTCTTACATTGAATATTTTCACTTTCTAAACGTTTTATCTTATTCCTCAATCCACTAATTTCTTTATCTTTTTGATTATTCATAATACTAATATTATTACTATTCATATTCTCTTTATATGGAGTCGAAACTGATGAAAGGACGCTTGAAGATTGCACCAATTTAGAATTTCTTCTATTCATATTCACTGTGTTGATACTTCCTTTATTTCTTGAAGTATTCATGGGAGATGACTTATCATCAATGCTGGGCGATTTATAACTTGTATTTTCATAGTGACTTGGTTTAACTATTGGTGAGGTCGCTATTCTCTTATTTGGTATGATTTTGTTCAGTCTATTATTACTATTAGGATTAGAGTTAAAATTAGAATTAGAATTAGAATTAGAATTAGAATTAGAATCACTTATACCATTAGTAATACTATTGGTAATACCTTTAGTATTGCTATTTGGATCTGTCATTATATTGCCAGCAGTCTGAATATTTCTTACAGATGTAGTACTATTGTTGGCGTTAATCCTTGTCTTGTTATCCAGCTTTACTTTCCCCTCATCATTCTTCACCATCTCTTCAATCTTACGTCTTTTAATCTTATCAATACTATCTAAAAATTCATGGAAATACTCAATCCCCAACAAATTAATCAATTTAGCCACAATCATAAAACTCACATTTCTAATATTCATCTGTGTGTCATTGATCAATTTTTTAATCACTTCAAAGATCCTAGCCCCATCAACAAGGTTCAATACCATATATCTCTTATCCATTTTTTCTGTCTTACCTAACAATTCATTGAAGATTTTACTACATTCAAGCTTCACATTAGGAATACGATCATTCAATTTCATTAATAGTTCCCTTAAGATTAATGACTCGTTCTCAGGTATGAAGGGTTCATATATATCGCATACAGTATGGATGGTCCTGGTGATCATTTCGATGACACTAGGCTTTTTCTCTTTGGTTCTTTCTAGTAATGCAGGAAATACAATAGATATGTAATTTTCATGGATCGCGTTGTTGGACAGTTTCATTAAGATCATATTGATAGCCTCGGATGCTAGAGTGACACATTGAACGTTAACGTCCTTAGAGATGACATCTGATAAAGTTTTCAGTATCGTTGAATAATTTTTATTCATTTGTAATTTTTTAATTACATTCAAATGTGCTGTATTCAATTCCTCAAGTACTTCGACTCTATCTTTCCATTTAGGTGACTTCAATCTTGAATCAAATTCTTCTGGCAAATTCGACAACAAGTCTTCTTCAGGTAATAACTGGAATGGGTCAACTTTGGGGGCGGTATTGGCTTTTAAATTGGAGCCAATATTAATTTCCATATTTGTATCACCGTCTGCATCCAAACCATTTTGATTTAATTGGAATTCGCTTTCTCGTTTTGCCTTTTCATCTGCTCTCCGTTTCCATTCAAATAATATTATGTTATCATTATTCTCGCTATCTTTAAAAGGATCGCCCAATTTAATATCTGGCGAACTAAATTGTTTGTCTAATTCTCTTTGTTGAATAGGTTTCAGTTTATCCAACAGGGTTTCCTGTAACAAGGTCTTACCTTTGCCTAATAAACAAAACAGAGTTACGATCAGTGTCATTGTATTAGCTCTTACATTTTTATCTGCATGAGACGCCAGTTTAGGTAATGGGGCAAATATTTTATTTAATAGTTCAATCAAAGCAGAACCTTCAACATTAATCAATTCGAATGTTGTCAATATGATATTAATACATGATATTATAGATGCAATCAGTTTAGGTATCTTGACGGTAGGTAAAAGTTCGATAATCTGCGACACGATATTATAGACAGATTGGTCCAAGGAACAAAGTAACAGGATACAAGTAATAGTCAAATCTTTGCTCTTGTTTCTTGAAGAATTCAATGCTTTCGTAACTAATGGTGCCAACCATTCGTCTAGATAAACGTGTATGGGGAAATCGTTTAAATTCTGTATATCGGGAATCTGTTTGAAAAACATTGAGTGTAGAGCAAATAATGCATTTTCTTGAGCAACAACGTTAGGATCAAGAATATATTTATGGAATAGATTTGGATAAGACCAATATTTTTCATATTCACTTGGCAATGGGAATGGACTTTGGAATTGTTTTTGGAGTTGTTGATATCCATTCAGACGTGCCTTCCATGATTTATGTACTAGTCTTTCATCAAGAGGTAATTTAGAAAAATCTTCTTCTTCTTCAGTGGATAGACTCATTTATATAAAACTGATAATGAAACCAAAATCAAACAAATAACTAATCAGGATAAAAACTTTTTGTAAACAAAAATAAGGTTTCTTAATGAATGTGTGTTTTCAAATTTAATAAGCCTGGATATATATATATAGAATGTTTTCTTGCTTTTTGAGAGAATTGAAATATCTATCAAAACTAATAATAAACCATATATTATTACTTTAACTGGATCATTGGATATCACAGGAATGTAAATATATGTCTATATGATGTTTTAATCATTTTGTCTCTCTTTCAAAGTTGTGTAACACTACTTTTAATGAATTTCACAAGTAGTAAACAAAACAAAACAAAACAAAAAAACAGGAGGACAAGAAAAAAGAAAATAGAAAAAAAAAGAAAAGATCTAAAGATTTTAAGATTTTTCCTCTTTTGGAAAATAAGACTGATCTTGCTATCCTGAATAAGAAATATATCCCCAAATAGGAAAACAACTCTAATTCGAATAAAGCAAAAGTTAAAGAGTCTTTTTTTTTTTTGATGTATGATGGGAGACATACATATATACATGTATGTATGTGTATATATGATGGTTTGTTAGTTATCATTGAATGATTTTTATATTTAAATTTTATTTTGAAAAAACGTTTGCATGTTTTTTACATTATTCTTTAAGAAGTCTCATTTTATGTCTTGTTTGCTTATCTATTCTTACTGAAAAGTTAAATTTCATTGCAAAACGTAAAGCTGACATCAATAAAATAAACAAATAAAAAAAAAATACATAAATAATACACCAAGAGCAACGACAACAACAACAACAATAATAGAAGACATTATAATTGCTATGCCAAATTATTATGCTTTCCGATATTTTAAAGATCTGCCTCCTTCGTTTTATAGTTAAACACCATTTTTAAGTTACAATTCGGGTGCCACCTCATATTTCTTAACAAAAATCACATATACAAAAGTAAATATATAAATTATCAGTAGGAATAATATATATATACATACATATACTATTCCAGTAATGTTAAGTTCTCAAGTTTCTTTAACTAAATAATCCGCCTTCTTTTTTTTCATGAAAGGACTTTACCTGTCTTAGTACTCTTGAAAAAAATTCTGTATAAATATCTGCCTGTAGTCTTTTCACAAGTGCTACCAATTAGAATATTCCCCCCTCCCCCACACTCACTCTGTCTATGTCTGTTTTTCCAGCATCTAATCCTTAGAAGCCTTAGATCTCTCTTACACTGCAAAAACAAAACTTTCACATTTTAAAATGTTGACGCAAGGCTTCAGAATCAAAAATTCTAATCGAGTTCATTTTAAACTAATATAATAAGATAATGTAACTTACAATAGGATATTGGTGGTATTATAAGTTCTATTATTATTTATAGTAGGAAGTTAGTGGTACTATAAATTGTTATTTTATTGCTTGGTCCTTTTCTTTCTATATAAGTAATATACAAGATACAATATTATACAGTATACTCATTTTATCTTTGAATCTTCTTTACTATAAATTTTCATAACTTTTAATCACTTAGTACGATGAATTTAGATTATCAAACATAGCTCTAATAATTATATTTTAACATAAAAGATTGAGAAAACAAGGAAAAAAACAAAAACAAAAACAAAAGTAAGCTTAAAATATCGTTATTACTACATTTAACCACAATAAACGATAAACATCGACACATACACACATATATATCTTTGCTATGGTTTGATACAGGATGTTTTTTGTTTCTCTCCCCCCCCCCTTAAAACGTTACTGCTATCTAGTTCTTTTTTTACTTTTTCCCTTCTTTGAAAGAAAACATGGACTCAATTCATTCCTTTGATTCAAGACATCCAGCAAATTTGATATGCTCATTATCGAACCAATTCTTTCACAAAGAATGGTGTCTTGGTACTGGTGGTGCTATATCCATTAGAGACACAACTACTAATTACATTTATATCACTCCTTCTGGTGTTCAAAAGGAACTAATGCAGCCCAAGGATTTATATGTTTTAACTAAAAACGAGAATAAAAATAAAAACAGAAACCAACCATATCCATACGATATCATTTATTCTCCTCCTTTGAAAATCAGTGATTGCTCTCCATTATTCTTAGCATGTCATGAACATAAGGATGCAAATGCAGTGATCCATACTCATTCACAGAATAGTGTTCTTATAACACTACTATTTGATAAAGAATTTAATATCTCTAATATGGAACAGATAAAAGCTATGCCTAGTGGTAGAAAAGATCCAGAGACAGGAAAACAGATCAATCTTTCATTCAATGACAACTTATGTATCCCTATCATCGATAATAGGCCACATGAACATGATCTGTTGAATTCCTTAAAAGATGTTTTTGAAAAGTACCCTAATGCTTGTGCTGTATTAGTTAGAAGACATGGTTTATTTGTTTGGGGACCTACTATTGATAAAGCTAAAATTTATAACGAGTCTATAGACTATTTATTGGGTTTAGCTATTAAAATGCATCAATTGAATATTCATATATAGATACATGTAAAAAAGAAAAATATAGAAAATATATCAAAACTACCATAAGAAAACCAACAGAACTGAAAAATAAATACACATACATACACACATATATATTAGGTGTATTAAGTGTATCTATTCATATATCTCTATATCCATATCTGTATACATATTTAGTCTGCACACAACCTTAAGTAGTCTCTGTTGTATTACTGTTTTTCTTTTGCTGTCTTTGTAGCCAAACCTGTCTCCATGTAAGATGTTCGTCTTTTATTATATTTTTAGTAGTTTTAAGTATATCCCACTGTGTTATATTCTTTAAAGTATCTGTTCCTGCCTCCTTCTCGATTTTTTCTTCCCCACCTTCTTCTGATAAAATCCCACAAAATACTATTTCACTACCTCGACATACTTGTATTGAAATTATATTATTGCTTCTGTCACTAGTACCACCATCACTACTATTATTGACCAATTTTGATGGATTATAATTACTTTGAACATTTGATAATAGAATATTGATGCTCTTATCATAGCCTTCTAACACCCCAGTTATACTATGACCATCCGTGGTCACAACTACTACTTTCTTATGCAAATATTCTTTTAACAATGGTGACATTACTTCTAAAGTAACTTTCTATTCCTCGTTTCTTATCTCTTACAATTCGCCCTTAACTAAATGTTTAAACTATACTTGTATTTATCATGTGCTTATCATATAGCTTAATACGTTGTTATTATTATTATAAATTTTATAAATATTATTATTATTATTATTATTATTATTACAAGAATGTTTCTTAACAACACAAATAGACTATACCTACTGTTAGTTTCAGCAAGTTTCTTACTGTCATTTGTATCTGTCAATACATAGCCATTGGTTATCCAATCTTCATTTTTTTTTTTTCATATTATTAAAGGAATCTCACATATGAAAAAAATAAAATACCCTCAGTGAAAGATAAAATAAATCAGAACTGCAAAAGGAACACAGGGGTACTTCATGACACGAAGAAGAAAAAGACTTGACATCTATCCATTTAGCTGTAAAGCTATGTATATATATATATATATATATGTATGCATACACACGTCTGTATACCAGTAGATAACTAGCCATATATACATTTTTAGAAACAGTGATAAGGAATTGTGTATATCTTCTCATCCATTGATCTCTCACCGATCATTTTAAATCTTGATTTCCCTTTCTTTTCTTCTTTTCTCTAAATGAAACCCTTTTCATCTATTTACAACACCACCACCACTATGATGACGACCACCGCAGGCGCCACCCCTCCTCCTATTTCTACTACTACCATTACAGCCAACGATACTGTTCCAAACTTGGACGATCTTACTACAGACACCAGATCATCACCAAGTATATCCTCATCCGTCCCAATATGTTCATTCGATAATAAAACGTTAGATCAAGAAGCAGACAAGCAAATTCTTGAATGGGCGAGTAAATTAGAATTGGAGACTATCGAACTACGAGAAAAATCCACCATATTGATTGATATTTTCAATAAAAAGAAAGATGAATTAAACAATTGCGTCAAATTATTGCGAAACTTATTAAATGGAATCAATCTACAGTCTATTAGCAAGATATCTGATGAATTGGATGTATATAGAAATGAACAGAACGATCAATTTAATGTATTACAGCTTAAGATTATGAATATTGAGAAACAAATAATGCATTTCACTAAACTTTTTCAATCTCAACAATCTAATAAAAACAAAAACAAAAAGGCTGCTACTGAAGATCAAGTTAGTTTGTCAAGCAAAAAAATTGAATGGATATGTACAAATATTAACGATCAATTGTCTCAAATGACATGTTTCATGTCTTCAATATCGAGCGAACTGAACAATGTCGTTAAAAGACAGATAAAATTAGAAGAAAGGCTAGAGCGCACTAATATCGATATAATCACCTCTATAAACTCAGCAACCACAAGTAGTAGCAATTCGACAGCATATCTGGATGGTAGAGGAAAGAGACTGAGAATCGGTACAGAACAGCAGGTAAATGCAAAGACAAACGGTAAAATTAATGGCGTACAAACTCCTGTTCTTTCACAATCACAACAAACTTCAATTAATAAAGAGACTATTGCATCTAAATTTTTAATTCGCACTACCAATACAACATCTGGACCCATAACAAGGGCACGTTCCAAAAGGTTAAGGGAAGAGTTGGAGAACGGAACAATGACGACGATGACAACGACAACGACTATGACTACGGAGATAAACAAAAAACATCCCGTGAACAGCAACACAAATAACGAAACTAAAAGACATAGACATAACAGAACATTAATACCTTGGGAAGATATAAATAAAGAGTTAACAGTGCAGGATCAAAATAACAGATGGACACCAACAATCTAGTTACTGGGAAAAAAAAAAGAAGCAAATAAAGAACCAAACAATTAGTTCATATAGTTAACACTCAATACCGATTTCCGATTCTACCCCCACGAGCAACACTAACATCAAATATAACTTTCCCTATAGGCAACAGAGCCACTTTATGGTATATACAGCATCGAAAGATAATAACACAATCTTTCCCCAATAAACTGTTACGAAGTAAAAAAGAAAAGAAAAGAAAAGCAAAAAAAAAAAAAGAGAAATAAATTGGGGAAAAACCACAGAAGAATAAGAAGAAGAAAACAAAATACTTCGAGATAGAAATCGGATCGAGGACAGCAATATTGCATTCTTTATCTCCATTATCATTCGCTACTACAGCAAACTCATAACAGATTGAATATTGAAAGAATTTAGAAAATCAAGAAGAATCGAGATATCAAGGAACTTTTTTCGTTCAACAATGAATATCACTAAACTGAAAGACCTTTTGGAATTAGTAGCTTTATCAAGAACCAGTTTTATTACCAAAAATTATCCAGTAGCACCTGTGGGTGCCAAGGGTACATTTGGAGGCACTTTAGTGGCACAATCTTTATTATCCTCATTAAACACTGTACCTAAAGATTTTATTCCAATATCATTGCACTGTTATTTCATATATGGCGGGAATCCAAATGAAATGATTCAATATGATGTCAAAAGTTTGAGAAATGGAAGAAACTTCATTCATAAACAGGTTGATGCTTACCAATTTAACAAATTAATATTTTCGTCAATGATATTATTTTCTAGAGATAAAAATCCGAAAACGACCATTGAGCATCGTACTGATGGTGATAATGATAATGATGATGACAAAGTTAAATATCATAAAACAGTTAGTCATAGAGTAACAAATAAAAGACAATTTCAAAAAGCCAGTGAATTGTTTAAAAAAGATATTCTCAATAATGAAATCAATTTAAAAAAATTCCAAAGATTGAATCAAAGGTTCAATGACCCAACTTATTTGAAAAAAGTTCATGAATCATTTGAGATGCATCCATTAGAATATAAGTTCCCATTAGACATATTCAAACCTGATAGGAAAGAATATTCTAAATGCTTAGAATATTTTGTTAGAGTAAGAGAGGATTCTATAAAAATTCCACCATCTCCTAACCTACATGTACAAGACCATCCAGAAAATGAACTAATAACTCCCGAGAATGACCCAAGATACAATTATGTTGCATTTGCATACCTATCAGACTCATATTTGCTACTGACCTTACCGTATTTCCATGGATTACCAATGTATTCGCATACATTCAGTGTATCCTTAGATCACACAATATATTTCCATCATTTACCAAAAGTCAATGATTGGTTAAGATTGCAGTTACACAATATAAGATCGGTATCTGACCGCCATTTAATTCAATGTGAACATTATGATGCTCAAAGTGGCCAAATTGTGGCGTCTGTCTCACAAGAGGGACTTGTTATTTATCCACCAGTGTCACATATTAAAGCACGTTTATAAAACTCCTGCATGACCCACCTTTCCCCTCTTCAACTCCTTTCCCCTACATTTTCATATGACCACTCCACATATCTATATCCTTATCTACATCTATCTATCTATCCATCTATCCGTCTATCCATCCATCCATCTATCTATCTATCTATCTATCTATCTACTATTTAATATTCACTCTACCTTTATTAAATGATTCAAAAAAATTCAATAAACGACTGTTTTTCTTCTCTTTTTTCTTTTTTGCTCATAAAAGGAAAGAAAGTGAAAAAAAAAAAACAAAAAAAAATTCAGGAAAGGGAAAAGAAAACGAAGCCAAGAAAAGAAAAAGATCAATTGTACAACGTAGAGACAGAGGAATGCACACAAGAACACAAGAACTTATAGTTATTACATAACATCTTCACACATCCAACAAAGAGTATTGTTTAAACAGATATTGACTTTTAATCACTTCCATCGACTTTTATCCACTCACCTAAATATATCTATACTGAAATGACAGACACAGGACTCCCTGAACATTGGACTATCAGATACAGTAAATCCAAAAAAAGAGAATACTTTTTCAACAGTGAAACCAAGAAATCACAATGGGAAGCACCTGCCAATACAGACATCAATCAACTGAAAAAGTTCCTGACTACGAATCCAACTAAAGTCCATTGTCTTCATATCCTTATTAAGCACAAAGATTCTCGGAGACCTGCATCACATAGATCAACTAAGATAACTATATCCAAGGAGGATGCAATTAAAGAATTACAAGAGATTCAAGGAAGACTGAATTATGGTAATGAAGAAGAAACCTCGAAAAAGACAGAAGACAGTAGCGAGAAGGAGGATGTTAGTAGTGGTCGCAGTGCTGGTACTAAAGACAATGTGGATAAGACAGTTCATCATAAAGACAAAGATTCATTCGAGAATATTGCACGCGAAAGATCTGATTGCTCATCTTATAAAAGAGGTGGTGATCTTGGATGGTTTGGGCGCGGAGAAATGCAGCCAAGCTTCGAAAAAGTTGCATTCTCTTTGCCTATTGGTAAGATCAGTGACATTGTCGAGACTGACAGTGGTGTTCACTTAATTAAAAGAATTGGTTAAACTCCAAACAACCATTATATACATACATACATATATATATATGTATATGCATATAGATTTCCATATTATAAGCAAATAATAATATTACTGTAATGACAAGATACAAACGCACATAACTAACATCAAAGTAGATGTCACTGCAATGGTGGTTTCTCTCTCTGGTATCTCTCTCTATCTCTCTCTCTCTTGATAGTAACAACAAAATTTTCCTATGGAATTTACAATGAAGTTGAATTGCAAAGAACAAAAAAAAAAAATACAAAAAACAAGAGAGACCAACTTTCCATAAAGAAGATAATAATTTAAGCTAATAAACACAAAAAAGAAGAAGAAGAAGAAGAAGAATGTGAACAATTGATCAATCACTAAATACAAGGGTCTAGCCATATCAATATACATATAATCATAAAGGTATAAACCTACACAAAGACAGGTAGGAAGTGATTATTCTTCTACTACGTACATACATCTTCTTTTTCTGGATATTTTTTCTAGTCGTCTGTTTGGTTAACTAATAATTAGGGACAAAAAAAACAACACGCATCGTTATATGAATTTATAGTAAACTCCACGTCAGCATACAACTTCAATATGGAAAGAAAACTGAATAGAACAGCTGCTTTAAAGAAAAGATTATCCTCTTCTTCACTTTCTAAGCTTTTCAAAAAGCGTGCTAAGAAGAGATCTCATAATGACATCTCTGATGATTCGGAAGATAAGTATTCTGATTCAGATAGCTATTATGATAGCCATGACAATGAAAATGATATACAAGTCCAAGACACTAAACGTCGTCGTTTAGATGATAACAAAAAATCGACTGTTGATGATCAACATGAACAATTTTTGATTCATGAAAGAGAATATGATGAAGCTTTACCAAAAGAATTAAGAAAATACAGACCGAAGGGATTCCCGTTAAACTTACCCCCAAAGGATAGACCAATAAGAATATATGCAGATGGTGTCTTTGACCTTTTCCATCTTGGTCATATGAAACAACTGGAGCAATGCAAAAAATCTTTCCCCAATGTGGTTCTAATCTGTGGGATACCAAACGATAAAATTACCCACAAATTGAAAGGTTTAACAGTCTTGACTGATAAACAACGTTGCGAGACCCTAATGCATTGTAAATGGGTCGATGAAGTTATACCGGATGCTCCATGGTGTGTTACCCCTGAATTCTTACAAAAACATAAAATCGATTATGTAGCCCATGATGATATTCCTTACGTGAGTGGGGACAACGACGATATCTATAAACCTATTAAACAGATGGGTAAATTCTTAACAACTCAAAGAACCGATGGTATCTCTACAAGTGATATTATCACTAAAATTATTAGGGACTATGATAAATATTTAATGAGAAACTTCGCAAGAGGTGCAACAAGACAAGAGTTGAATGTGTCGTGGTTGAAAAAAAATGAATTGGAATTTAAGAAACATATCCAAGATTTCAGATCGTATTTCAAGAAAAACCAACAGTTGTTGAATAATTCGTCAAAGGATTTATATTTTGAAGTTAGAGAAATTTTATTAAGGAAAACATTAGGCAACAATTTGTATTCCAAATTGACTGGCGGAAACTCTGATGAATCTTTCAGTTTACGAAAGTTCATTAATGAGAAAAGAAGACAAAAAAACATCAAAAATAAAGACGAAGAGGAAGAAGATGAACTTATCATCCCCAAATCGCCAGCGACTGAATTTGCAGAAAAATTTACAGGAGAAGTACCATCTGTTATTCATTCTGAAAGAGAAAATGAGGAAGAAGAAAATACTGATGACCATGAAAGTCAATACCGTGACAGTAATAGTGAGAATGAGAATAAATCTGGAATTCAGGAAGAAAACAAAGTTGAAACTTCAGAAGAAACTAATGATGATGATCACTCTGACAACTAATAATATTTAGTTCACATTTACTAATGCGTTATACACATTCTCAAGTACAAATAAATGAGTCCACACACACATATATTTATGTCCTTTCATCAAAAACGAAATATGTATCATTATGATTGATGTAAATAATAGTAATAATAAAAATAAAACATTTTTTTTTTAAAAAAAAAAAACAAAGCACAGGTGTTAATTAAAGATCTCCACTATATAAGTAGATATATTGATTATCGGTATATTTAAAAAGGATTGTTAAATTTTTACAGAAATACAGACAGATCCTTATTCATTTACTTTCAGTGGAATTAGTAGTTGGCTTCTTTTTCTTCTTTGTATCAATGACCTCAACTTTTACATCTTGTAGACCTTTTTCAGCTAATAATTGCTGTATATAACTTTCTACACTTTCGATAACGTCACCTTGAATAACAATTTCTTCCTTCTTTTCAGCATTCTTAGATACAGAACAACCTGTAGCAAATTTAGATGCAAAAGTCTTTGCTAACTTCTTCATATCAATCTCAAAGACTTCAAGACCTTGAATAGCAACAATAAATTTCCTCTTAGTTCTTGCTTCTCTTTTAATAATGACTTTAGATGACAATTTCTTGGCCAATTCTCTTTGCTCTTTGTTTTCTTCTCTCTTTTGTAATTTTAGAAGATCTGCTTCCAACTTATTCTCTCTTTCCTCACCGATACTAGATTCTACTAGCTTCTTACCTAAATTAGTGACTTCATCATCGCCTGAATCACCATATAATTTAGCGTATAAATCTGGATGTGTTTCATTTAACCATTTCTTACAACGCTTCAATTTACCTGAGAATTCACAATAGTCTGGTGGGTAGGAACAAACTTCACAATAAATAACTTCTTTCAATCCAGACATAATAATAATGTTTTCGTTATTTCTGTTTGTCTTTTTTATTTATTTATTTTTTTTTTTTCACCTATATTGACAAATAATATACAAGATCGTAATTTTTATCCTTAAAACTTGTATATTTAATCAGTGATTCCTATAAACCTTTTACCAACAGCGAAAGTGGAGTGACAAAATATTTTAACAGCTCTTTCTTTATATCCAAAGCTTAATGATTTTTGAATAATTACAGCCTAAACTTTTTTCTTATTTCTCCTCTTAGATTTCATTTTATTTAATTTAATTTTTTTTTGCTTTTCGCACTCTTTCGATTTTCTCACTAAATAAAAAAGAGAGCCTCTTTGTGTGTTTAACGCAGCGTATAAATACAATCATCTATTCTTTTATACACACATTCGTCTATACAACTGTATATCCTTTTGTCTATATATATATATATATATATATATATATATGGTACAGTTCAGTCTAGTTAGAAGAAGCATGTTTAACTCTTTTCTTTGCATGTTTTCTTAATTCTTGATCCATTAAATCTCTGATCCTATGCGCACCTGCAATCCCAATAGCCAAAACACTCTCTAGTCTATCTAGTGGAATCTTATCTTCTACCAGTAACAATGACAGTTTCTCGCTTTTTCCCACGACACCTAAAGTCACTGAACTCATAGCATTTTCTTCTAATGAATTGACATCTAATAAAGGTGTAGTATCATAAAGCCCTACCGTTACACCACTTATATACTCCCACATGGCAATACCAGCATCCACTAACGCAAGAGTGATACCATTGATTAAGGATCCCATTATACCACCGTCTTGTTGTAGAACATGTACCTCGATATCTATCATGGTTCTAGGATATATGTGTAACATTATAGCCTTTTCAAAAGTTCTTACTAGAGAGGTTTGAATCTCAAGCACTCTTCTTTCATTTTTATGCGAGCTCTTGGACCTTTCAAATTTGGAGAATTGGGTAATGTTTGTGGTGACTCTTAAAGTTGCCTTATTTGGATCTAATTGGGATCTAGTGTTTGGTTCCTTTGGTCCCTTTACTAAGGTGATGATTTTATTATTGCCCTGTTCTAAGTATGAAGACCCATCTGATGCATGGGGGTGTGTATTGATTGAACTTTCAAAACGACGTAATTCATTCCAACGACGACCATCAAGACGTAATCCTTCTGGAGAGTATATTTCTAAACGTGACATAGCTAATTATTTCTTTTAGTTTCTCTTCTTTGATGTACTATGGTCTATTATATTTTATTATATTATGTGAACCAAGACCAGTTTTCTTCTTTTTTTTTTTTTTGTTTTTTTAAGATCTATCAGATTAATATTGGCTATTAAGATATTTGCTTATTGCTATTATTCCAATATAGGGGCGCTACATATATGAAACCATATACATATCTATATAGAGATACCCTCTGTATTTAGCATATGTTAAAATCAATACTTTAAACATTTGATTAAATGAAAAAAAAAAACTAACAAGAGAATAAGAAAAAAAATTGATGTAATCTGAAAAAAAAATTGTATGCTGAAGAGATCGAGCTGGGATAAGATGAGGTGTCTGAACACGTAAATACACACACACACACACACATACCTACATACATACATACATATATACTAGATGCTATTTGCACAGTATTAAAACACTAGTATGACTATACCATTAGATCTTGAATAAATTGTCCAATAATATATACATTAGTCAAGAAAAATCCAATGGATGCAAATAATAGATTTGGATAAAAGACATTTAACCCTAAAAATTCCAAATTATAACCTTGTTGTAACCAGACTGCTTGCGTGCTGACCCACAATATAATCATTGGGATGCCATCCCATTTCCAGTCCATTTTTTTGTTGTCAACTATTACAAATGGTAAGAAAATAATATACCAGATAAAATATTGTGATGTGCAGACTTTATTAAACGTTACAAATGAAAAAGTTTGTATGAATATAATCTTTAAAAGATTTAGGAATTGATCAGATTTAGTGATAACATCATTACTTTTATATTTATTTCTATCTTCAACTTTTTGATAAAGGATGTGATAAGGTAGCCATACCCCGCATATTATTATGGTGATGAAAAATTGTGGTAAGAATGCAAATGTAGCTAAGGAAAACCTTGTTGAATCCATTGTTGATGTATAATATAGCAAAACGTTCCAAACTGAAAAATTGTGTCTATGATCGATTCTTATAATGTGATACAGCCAAGCTTCCTGTAGATACGAATCTCCGTATAAGTAGTACATTCCACATGTAGTTAAAGTCAATGTAAATAATGAAATCATACCAAAATTAACAAAATTTAAAATGGCTTCAGTATTAATATTAATATTATTCTTATTCTTGTTAGTTTCTATACTTCTACTATGTGATGACGATACTAACAAATAGAAAGATATTGGGCCACAATATATTATGGGATAGATCTTGAAATGTATACTTAATCCATATAATATACCAGACAAAATGATATGTCCCTTATGCATGAGATAAAAAGTTGATATTATTAAGAAACATAATAAAGTTTCGCAGTTTCCTCTAGTACTGATAGTGATAACAAATGGATTCATTAACCAAATTGAAGAGACATAAAAATATATTTTATTAATGGAAAAATTCTGATTAGTTTTGGAATCCGATAAAGTAGATTTCAACAATTTGATCAATATCACTCCAGTTATGATATCAAATGCAATGAAGAGGATCTTTGCAACATGAAACCAATTGAACCAATGGTTAAGTAAAACGATCCAAGCTAAGAGTGGCGTGTACCTGTAAGTATCCCTATCGAACGGAGATCCATTTTTCATGAAAATATATTTTGAAGCATCGTTAAATACATGGTAATCAATATCTGTGTATTTCACTTTAAAATGGCTGTCTTGATATATCCCATATGCAAAAAATAAAAGACGTAAAACCATTGATAGTATAATTAATAGTTTAAAATAATCTGTTGATTTAGACACAACTGTTCGTTTATATTTTTCCATTTTTAAAGAAAAAAAAGTAGCAACAGTAACTCCTTATTTATTTATTTATTTATTTATCATTCTTTCTAATAATACATAGAACATACAATATATTTATAATTTGATTCTTCATACCCTCTCTTGAATTCTCTTTTCTTCCAAGTATTTTTCAATCATCTATCTATATTTAATTCTTTAAAATAACTAAATAGAAATATTAACAAACTAAATAAAATAGAATAAAATAAAAAAAAAAAAAACAAACAAACCAAAAAAGCAAAATAAAAGAGATAACGTATATCTCACACAAGAAACCTACAATCAACTATACAAATATAGTATATTACGGTTCACATCAATAAGATATAAAAAGAGACGAAGTGGCCGTATACAACGAAGTTAAATATGAGTGAAAATACTAACATTGATTCTCCTACTGCCACTATTACCAACACCACTGGTGTGACAAACAAGAAGAAAAACGAAAATGAAAATACAGAATTAAAGCAGTTGAGTTATGAAGAAGTTATTGAGTGCATTCAACAAAATAAAGAAGTGCCCAATCTGATCAATGTTCCAGATATTGTCCTTTCTAGTGATATGATAAGCAAATCCAGCTTACCTGTTAGACACAAACCATGGGAAATGAAAAAAAACAAGTTAACGATTACAACCGGTGCAGATATAAATACAGATACGTATAGTGACAACAGTAGTACCACTGCTACTAAATTAACTGACTAATCAATTATTGTGAGAGAGGGCGGAAAGGAGAGAATCAACTACCAATATGTTATATTATATTAACAGGAGTAGTAGCAAGGAACTCAATTTATTTACAAAGGGATAATGTATTCACCCGGACTGTACAATGTGATCACGTGACTAGATCGAAAACAGAAATTTCCACAGTTAAGAAAGAAACTGAAAGAGATAAAGACAATGACAAGAAATAACAAGCTAACGCAAAGTGCTAATAATAATAATAATAATAATAATAATAATAATAATAATAATAATAATAAGGACTTGTTAGGTAAGTTAGATGGAGAAGAGAAGAATTCTACAGAAGAACTAGCAAGAGAGAAAAAAAAATAAACTAAGCAAAATTAATTAGAGGGATGGATAATAAAATAAAATTATTAAGAAGCATAATTCCGTTGATACTGAATGTATCACATTATATGACAGATATAATATATTTACTATATTATTTTGAAAGAATAAACATCACGTCAATCAACAAAGATTATCGAATCCAATTAACTAAAAAAATAATAATATTGAGAGAACAGTTCCGTGAATTATTAAATAAAGGATCAACAATAGAAATTACAAATAGTGAGGAGATAAGCAATAATAATAACAACAGTAATAATAATAATAATACAAAGAAGGAGAAGGAGAAGGGGAAGGAGAAGGGGAAGGAGAAGGAGACTAATGAAAAGAGTTGGAAAGATGAGATGGATGAGATTATTAAGTTTCGGAGAATGTTAAATGATCAAGATTTGCTAAGTCTATTACATGACATAATCCGAGATGTAATGAATAAGTACATAACAAACAACGACAACGAAATCAAATTAAAGAACCAGATAAATAATTGTGAGATTGGATTGCACAATATAATAAATTTTCTGAATGGTGTAATCGATACGAGTAATAACGACATAATATATGACGATAATATAAACAGGATACTAAATGAAGAATTAATAAATTCCTGGAGGGTAGAATTGGATTTATTTAATTGTTTGATCTTTGATATTTTCACACATGAGCCAAAGATAATCAAATCGTTCAACGAAAGATATCAATGTAAGATAAGTGAAAGTGATTTATCCAAGGGTGATACCTTTATTAAATTTATAACATGGTTAAAGGATGAGGAAGTATTTGATGGTTCATTAAATCTGTGACAAGTAAATAAAAACGGAAAGGGAAACAAAAAAAAAAGAGAGAAATAATTGTGTTTACTATATATACATATACATATACATGTGTATCCTAAGATATGTGTGTGTATTTTTTTAGCAACATTAACATAGTATCTTATACGAGATATCTAATATACTACGGTTATAACATCATGGCTGTACAAACAGTAAAGTGAGGATTCTTCTTTAAAGAAAAGAACCAGAAGAAGAAAAATAAAAAAAAAAAAAGAAAAAGAGAGAGAGAGAAAAGGAAAAAAAACGAGAACAAACGAAGGGAAATGGAAAAAAACCAGAAAAAGAGATAAAGAGGAAAATAAAACCACGTAGTAAGAAGTATATAATATTGTATTACTTGTTAGAGAACATAGGTAGTTACCAACACTAGCGAGTAACATTATCTCCATTTCTGCTGGACTACACAACCACAACTTAACTATAGACAACTGTTTTTAACTTAAAAAAACAGCAAACATTTACTCCAGGGAAATATAATAGAAGATAAAGTATTCTTTATTATTATTATTATTATTATCATTATCGAAATTTGGGAGGTCAAAAATAGAAGACATAATAAAACAAAACAAAACAAAATAGAATAAAAAGTATAAAAGAAAAAGCAAAACTACAGGATGAACAACTTTATAACTGAGAAGTTCACATTACCAATAGATTATGAATCTCAAAGAGATACATACAAGAGACAAATACTACTAGTGCTTGTTGGATGTTTAACATCCTGTATAGTTGGATTCATTACTCAATCTATTCTACAACTACTAATATGCTACTTATGTTTTATATTCGTTACTTGTGTATTAATACTGCCACCATATCAGTCATACTGTAGAAGGAAATTACAATGGGTGGAACCTGTTGAAATAAAGATCAGCAATTGATAATAGCAGAAAGCAAAAATTGTAGATAGAAAACCATAGACAGAGAGACTGTAGAGTCCCGTAGAAGTCGTCCGCAATTATGTGTAATATGGTATATAAACACACACACATACACACACACACATATATATATATATATATATGTGTATATATTTATTATATATGTTTATTTTGAATATAATAGTAATATCAGTAATAATAATAATAATGATAATGATGATAATCTGATGTAATAAACACGTTATTTACTTAACTGAATTGTATTGAGTGGACACAATTAGAAATTTAAAGGGACGGGTTTCCGGGAGGAAAAAAAAAAAAAAACCAAAAAACTGGAAAAACTTTGTTCACGTGAGCAGCACGTGACAATACATCTGGACACCCACGGAATCCACTTGTCCTGTTAAAAAAAAACAAGGTGATTCCAACAAAGTGGAAGCTGTGGAGCAACACCCAAATGGGGAAAAAAAACCACTAAAAAAATGTATCAGGTATCTCTCCCTTTGCCTTCAAACTTTTTGTCTCCGCCTTGTCCCTCTCCCCATTTCATCTCAACACACACACACAAAAAAAAAAAAAGAAGTAAAGTTAAAATAAAGTGAAAATCTGACAGGAAACCGCTTGGGAATCCACTAATTCTCGCCCAAAACAAACACAAAAACAGAAACAGATCATCAAACAAATCAACATCATGTTTTCTCTCTTTTATTCTTTTTCCAAAATATCCAAATGTGATTTCAACAATCCTCTCAATTCAATTACACACGAGTGGTAAATTGAGTAGAAGTTTGGGCCTTCTGTTTTTATTCTCTCTTCAATAATAATAACAACACACACACATGCACTCATACAACACAAACACAAACACATACACATACCCTCTCTCTTTTTCTTTTAATATGGAAGAGAAGGAAGGAGGGGAAGGAGGAAGTAAAATAGAATGATCAGTAACGTCTGAGACGTATTACATCTGGTTTTTTATTAGGATTCTTTTCTTTTTCTTCTTGTTTTTCCTCAACTTTCTATCAAAACTTCTCTTAATCTCATTCCTCAATTTGTTGTTCGTAATAATGATGTTAACAATAATAATAATAATAATAATAATAGTGACAGTAACAGTCGTGATAAAATTAGGTTTAGGTTGGTATTGTTGTGTACTATTATTATTCTCTTTCTTATTATTCTCTTTTATTTTTAATTCTTTTTTATTCTTGCTCTTATTCACTCAGTGTTAGCTCCTTTCCCTTCTTCTTTCTTGTAATATTGTGTCCCTCTCTTTATGTATCATTCTATCTCTGTCTCTTCTCTTCCTTAATATTTTCTTTTCTCTTCTTTCAAAAATATATATAAATATGGATGTTTTCAGTTTTGAAACTTGTGGTTGTATTCCCTTCATCTAGTTTATCCCTAAATTCAGCTCCTTCTTCTGTATTCATTCACGGTAGAAAGAAAACCATCCCACAAATACACAAACACGCTTTATAAAATTCAAAAATGGTCAGAGTCGCTATTAACGGTTTCGGTAGAATCGGTAGATTAGTTTTAAGAGTTGCTTTATCTAGAAAGAACATTGAAGTTGTTGCCATCAATGACCCATTCATTGCCAACGACTACGCCGCTTACATGTTCAAGTACGACTCTACCCACGGTAGATACCCAGGTGAAGTCTCTCACGATGACAAGCACTTAATCGTTGACGGTCACAAGATTGCTGTTTACCAAGAAAGAGACCCAGCTAACTTACCATGGGGTGCTTCTAACATCGACATTGCTATCGACTCCACTGGTGTCTTCAAGGAATTAGACACTGCTCAAAAGCACATTGACGCTGGTGCCAAGAAGGTCGTCATCACTGCTCCATCTGGTACTGCCCCAATGTTCGTCGTTGGTGTCAACGAAGACAAATACGCTGGTCAAACCATCGTTTCCAACGCCTCCTGTACCACTAACTGTTTAGCTCCATTAGCTAAGGTCATCAACGATGCTTTCGGTATTGAAGAAGGTTTAATGACCACTGTCCACTCCTTAACTGCTACCCAAAAGACTGTTGATGGTCCATCCCACAAGGACTGGAGAGGTGGTAGAACCGCTTCTGGTAACATCATCCCATCCTCCACTGGTGCTGCCAAGGCTGTCGGTAAGGTCTTACCAGAATTACAAGGTAAGTTAACCGGTATGGCTTTCAGAGTCCCAACTGTCGATGTCTCCGTTGTCGACTTAACTGTCAAGTTAGCCAAGGAAACCACCTACGATGAAATCAAGGCTACCGTCAAGGCTGCTGCTGAAGGTAAGTTAAAGGGTGTCTTAGGTTACACTGAAGACGCTGTTGTCTCCTCTGACTTCTTAGGTGACTCTCACTCTTCTATCTTCGATGCTGCTGCTGGTATCCAATTATCTCCAAAGTTCGTCAAGTTAGTCTCCTGGTACGATAACGAATACGGTTACTCCACCAGAGTCGTCGACTTAGTCGAACACGTTGCTGCTAACTAAGCATATCCTTAAAGATAATATCTCTTTTCGTAAGTTTTTTTTCTTTTATGTTTATGTTTATGTTTTTTATGTTCAGTAACTGTTTTTTAACGTATATGATTTCTCATTAGTTATAAAGTGTTTTTTGTAATTGACGAGTTTTTTATGTTTTTTCTTTCTTATATAACGATAACGATATTACTTATATAATTATATAAAGATAAAGAAATATAATAAATAAACTTATTAAATAGAGTTGTGTCTTATCTTGCATAACTTTTACCTACTTGCGAGCATATACATTGCCATTATTATATATACATGTACACGTAATATAAAGAAGAATATTTGTTACTTTTGCATCTCATTTCGTTTTTTCATTTCATTTCATTTTTTTTTTTCACAGTAACCTTTTTGTCGAAGCGTTATGTGCCCTGAACTATAACTTACACTACTCTCTGCAACAGAATTGATTTGACTACTCTGTGAATATTTATCCCACTTCCAATCAAAACCTGCGCTATATTTAGATTTCATATAGTTCAATACATACAATAAACAGCGTAAAGGTTCTCTACCACAAATGGTGTTGCCAGTAATATCCAAATATTTGTTCCATAGTTCAGGATCTCCACATTCTAAGACTTTCATAGCATACCTATCCAGGATTTCAATACTTGACCAAATAGGGATCTGATGATGCGACAATTTGCTTCTTGACGTCAGCATCTCGATCTCTGTCTCGTCGTCCATGGCCAATTGTAAATCCTCGATAGATCCAACGTAACCCGTATAATCGAATCTTCTCCCCCAATGACAGAAATCACTAGATATAATAATGTAACTGCTTGGATCCTCTTGTAAAAAGTCCCCTAAAATCTTTGCCAATCCATTATACATTGATTCCGACCCATGTGACATTAAGATAGGAACCACCTTAACCCTGATTGCTTCTCCCTTGTTTGCCTTTTCCTCCTCTGCTTCCTCATTGTTACCAGTCTTTGGAATTACATTACGACTCAATAATGTATTATAGAGTATAGGAAACTGCATCTCCAAAGAATGTTCCTCTAAATCAACATCTGGATCCATATACTGGAAAAGTTTGGGATATAGGCCGACCCATTTTTCAATCAACTCTGTATCAACAGGTAAATTTCCAAACGGTGTTTCTAAACGATGAAATCTAGTCAGCAGAACTTTGTCTTTGAAATACACATGATGTGACGGTCCAATAACAAATACTCGTACATCACCACTATCACCACTATCACCACTATCGCCAGCTGTGTCCCTGGATGTGTCTGTTTGTGAACTTTTATCCATATGATCTTTCTGATTGGAAAAGTTTTGGAAAGTTAATGATTGGTATGCAGACAACATGGTCTTTGAACAGTACTTATAACCTGCATGAGGCGATATGATGATACGTGTGCCATTTTTAGATGAGGAAGATACAGTTGGTATATTAAGTTGATTCTCTAAAATCTTCTTCTTTGATGGGTACCATGTACCTGAATGAGTAGCTAACCGTTCCATAACCATCTGTATGTACTCAAACAGTTTGATGTGAATATGTATAAGTATAGATATAAATATATACACTTGTTAATATTAAGTAGAAAATATTAAATTTTTGTTATTTTTTTTTTTGTTTTTGTTTTTAGTAGTTCCAGGTGAAGGTTAAGTAAAAACTAAGAAAGAATACGACTGTATAGTAAGATTAGTTAAACACTGTTTTCAACAAGAAGCAATTATATATAATATAGTGAAGTTTAGAAGCGTTGGGGGGTGAAAGTGGGCGGCGAGGGGGGGGGTGGAGAACGGAAGAAAGGAAAGGAGACATTTAAGCAGAAATAAAGAAGGAAAGAGAAAAAGGGAGACGAAGGAACTTACTTTTAATCAATATTCTAAGTCATGTCCATGTCGACACAGATAAATAAATACACAAAATAAGCAAAGTATACAAACAAATACAGATAACGTCTTGTTCAGACATAAGGATTTATCCCTTACCCTGCCAGATAGTCATCTCTCCCGCATCAAACCAAACCGTCTTTCCTGAAAAATATTCAATTATCAGTTTCCCCTTGTTCCTTTCCCATTCTTCTTCCACAATATACCGTGACAATCGTCAAAAAGCACAACGCCGCTACCACAGACAGTGGCGACGCTGTCTGTCCACCAGAACTGCCTCCCCTTTTCCTTTTCCTTTTCCTTCCCTCGAGCAACGCGAAAAGCAGGGAATTATCACAAAACAATACGTGTCTTTTTGCAGCACGCGTTTCGCAGAGATTTAATTATATTTCCCAATTGGGGAAAGTTCTTCTGCTTTATTACAAGAAAAGAAAGAAAAAGAGAGAGATCGGTAAAAGAAAAAAACACCAATACGTCTTCAACTTTGTATAGACTTTCTATGCTCGAACAAGATCTTTAGAGGCTTGGAGCATATAAGTGAATGAATTAAATTGGATTGGATTTCGTTAGGATGGATTGGGTTAAGTGGGCTGGATAATCATAAATCTCGACTGAAGAAAGGGTCTTTTCTGTGTGTGCACAAAGGTGTCGATTTACTCTAAGCCCTGGAGACAAGATAGTATGTGCATTTGTTTTCTTTTATGCTTTTTTTTTAATTTATATTCTTTTTGGGAAAAAATTTCTCTATTTAGTAAATGTTTGCCTTTCTGTAGATACTCCATCTTTTTTTTTTTTTCCAGAATTTTTTTTTTCGTTGCTACTTTTTATTCTTTCTATTAATAGTAACTATTAATTATAATTAACAGATACATCTTGTCATTTCGTTACCTGCTGGGTTATATATCTATTTTTGTACCAAAAATCTATAACAAACTAATTATTACATAGATGACGTATAAGCATACAAATATACACAGACGAACATAAATATATATCTATATATATATATATATACATATTTAAACATTACAGAGACTACACCTGCTTACATGTATCAGTTTGAAAAATGCGGCTATACGCTTTGAGGTCTTTCAAGCGTAACTATCATCTTTCTTAACCATCAAGAATTCTCATTTGATATATATATATATATATACATACCAAAAAATAGTCCACCTCATAAGTATAATAATTAAAAACACATACACGTATATATATATCAATACACGAGGAAAGCAACAAACACCGGAAAAATGGTACTTTCTATTAAAAATAATATTTTGCTGTCATTTCTTCTCATATCTACTCTACTTCAGACTTTTGTCAAAGCAGCAACCTCCACATGCAATCCACTATTCACCACTAATTGTCCCCCCGATAAAGCATTAGCTACTGGTTTCATCGAAGATTTCACAAAACAATCTGATTCCAAGTGGTTCAGTAGAGTAAGTAGCAGCCAGGGAAAGGTAACTTTTGACTCCACTAATGGTCTAGGTCTAATCCTTGCCAAAAGAGGTGACAACCCATCCTACGATTCCAATTTCTATATCATGTACGGTAAAGTTCAGGTATTAATGCAGACTGCTCCAGGTGTTGGTATCGTGTCATCCTTTTTCTTACAGAGTGACGACGGGGATGAAATCGATCTTGAATGGTTAGGAGGTGACACCACTCAATTCCAATCAAACTATTTCTCGAAGGGAAATGTCACTACTTATGATAGAGGTGAATTTCACGGAGTGCAAACACCTGCTCAAATGTTCCATAACTATACCATTGACTGGTCAATGGAACAGACTACTTGGTCGCTTGATGGTACCGTGGTGAGAACTCTGCTTAATACCACATCTCAAGGGTACCCACAAACTCCAATGTCAATCAAATTCGGTATCTGGGCTGGTGGTGATCCATCTAATGCCCCAGGAACCATCGAATGGGCCGGTGGTATCACAGATTACTCTGCTGGTCCATTCACCATGTATGTTAAACAAATTATTGTCACTGATTATTCTACTGGTGAAAGTTATTCATACGATGGGACCTCTGGTTCATGGGAATCAATTGTTGCCAAAGATGGGAAGGTTAATGGTCGTTATTCTGAGGCTCAAACTGAATTTAATGAATTGGCTGCAGGTGTAAGTCTTTCATACAGTTCTTCTTCTTCTTCTTCTACTGCTTCTTCTTCTACTGCTTCTTCTTCTACTGCTTCTTCTTCTTCTTCTTCTTCCACCTCTTTATCATCCTCAACAGTTTCCCAAACACATATTTCCTCTTCTGTTTCTTCTTCTACATCTTCTTCTGCATCTTCTACATCTTCTTTGTCTCATACTTCTTCAACCGTTTCCCGAACACATGGTTCCTCTTCTATTTTATCATCATTATTAACATCTTCTTCTTCCAAGCCCTCTTCATCTACTACTAAATCCATAAATCCACCACATGAAACAATAGCTACCACTTTGTCTTCCTCTTCTCCCTCTTCAAAAGATACAACTCAAAAAACTTCACCCACCACTACCGCTAGCTCCAAATCTGTCTCTACATCAAAAGAACTTTCGTATACAGTAAGCACACATTCAGGTAATATTGGTTCCAATTTATCTAGTCCAATCTTTAATGTTTGTCTACTAATTCTATCTTTCTTCATGCATTAAAATATTCTTACTTTTATATTTTCCTTTTCTATCTTAACATTATAACGTTTTAAACTTATTTTCTTATTCGTTCATAATATAATTATTCAATTATATAGAAAAAAAAATAGACCTATATAATAATAATCAATAGTTTTTTCTCCATTACATATAACCACAGATAAGTACACACACACACATGTATATGTATATGGCTGCAATATTGATTGCAATAATCAATTATATGAGCATTTACTCCTTTCGGCTGAAGCATAATAATTCTATTCATCTCATCTCCAGCAATACTTAAGAAAACGGGAAAAAAAGACGAAAAAAAAAAATAAAAAAAGGCAAAAAACAAATGAATTAGGAGCAAATTTGAAGAAAACTTAAACTCACCGAATACACATAAAACAGGTACAGCATATGCTTCTTGTTGTTCTTTCTCTTTCGTAGAAGAACTAATCGGAGTGTAACAAGATCTGAAAATTCTAATTCCCATTAAATATTAGTAGCAATTGTTATATACACATATAAGAATAATTTTTATGAAAGACAGAAAGAGTGATGAGAGTAATTAAAGCTAGAGATGCATTTTTCAGTGATTATGAAGCATTACAGTTCTTATCGAAATTACAAAGAAAACACAGATGGGATGAAAATAGTTTGCAAGAAATGAAAAATTTTAATAAGAATAAAAAGGGGAGATTTCAGAAGAGACCATATAACCATCCTGTGTTACAAGGAATAGTTAATGATACATTGTCATATTTAACTATAAGTAAATCTATTGCTGCCACTCAAGATAATGAAGAAGAAAAAGAAGAAAATGAAGAGACCAAGAAAAAAGAGAATGAAAAACAAAGACAATCACCGCTTACTAAATTGAATGACAAAATGTTTACTCAATTAATGAACAAATTGAACAATTTTGAACTTTACAAGATTGAGAAGTTACAAATAGTGAATCAGTTACCTACCAATATGGTTCACTTATTTTCAATCGTAGAAGAATGTGACTCAAGGTTCACAGAAGATCAAATTAATGAAATGATTGAATTAGTTGCTTCGTATGTAAACATATAGAAACAAATAAAGATATATACATACACGCACATCCATAAACACAAACACATACGCATATGTACATAAACGTGAATAAAAATTTAAAACTATGACAACAGACTATGCAAAGTCACCTCTCTGTTTGAAAGAACTGGGCCCTACCTTTTTTTTTTTCCTTATCAATCCTTTAAATGGTCTGCAATCCCCCCCCCACATTTCTTTCTTTCCCTCTTTCTCCTTCTCATTTCATTTTACAAACAGTGATTTTGAAGGAGGAAAAAACAAAAAAAAAAAGATAGCACATTCAAACGTATAAAAATATATGGAGTGTATACTTGAGTGATTAAGGATAAGGTAGAAATACAATTAGACACACAACTAGAGTGTTGTATATTTATTATTTTACAGAGTTTCTAAAATAAAACCAAATTTGTTACTCTAAAAAAAGATTGTGCACACCACAACGAAGTATCTTTTAAACCTGATAAGCTCTTTTCTGTGTGCCTATTTATTTGATTGTTCGAGTTGACTTATTACAGATTCTACTTAGCCACGTTTAATACATGCTCAAAGTATGAAGTTTGGTGAACACTTAAGTAAATCTTTAATCAGACAATATAGTTACTACTATATTGCTTATGACGATCTAAAAAATGATCTAGAAGATAATTTGCATAAAAATAACGATCAGTGGAACCAAGATTTAGAGACTACCTTCCTAGAAAATTTAGAGATCGAATTAGATAAAGTTTACTCCTTTTGTAAAGTTAAAAACAGTGAAGTCACACGTCGTGTGAAAGACGTCCAACAAGAGGTACAACGTACTGTATCTCGACTAGATTCAAATAATCCACCGACTGAACTCGATTTTGAAATTTTGGAAGAAGAGTTAAGTGACATTATTGCTGATGTCCATGATTTAGCTAAGTTTTCCAGACTAAACTATACTGGGTTCCAAAAGATTATCAAAAAGCATGACAAAAAAACAGGGTTTATCTTAAAACCTATCTTTCAAGTTAGATTAGATTCAAAACCCTTCTTTAAAGAAAACTATGACGAATTAGTAGTCAAGATTTCACAGTTATATGATATTGTTAGAACTAGTGGCCGCCCAGTTAAAGGTGATTCTGCAGCAGGCGGGAAACAGCAAAATTTCGTTAGGCAGACTACCAAATATTGGGTTCATCCAGACAACATAACTGAATTGAAATTAATTATTTTGAAACATTTACCTGTCTTAGTGTTCAATACAAACAAAGAATTCGAAAAAGAAGATTCTGCAATCTCATCCATTTACTATGATAATGAAGATTTGGACCTTTATTATGGTCGGATAAGAAAGGATGAAGGCGCTGAAGCTCATAGATTAAGATGGTATGGTGGTATGGAGACTGACACAATCTTTGTTGAAAGAAAGACTCATAGAGAAGATTGGACAGGTGAAAAATCCGTTAAAGCTAGATTTCCATTAAAGGAACGCTATGTAAACGATTTCTTGAAAGGGAAATATACTGTTGAACAAGTTTTTAGTAAAATGCGTAAAGAGGGTAAAAAATCCATTCAAGAGATTGAAAGTTTAGAAGCCTTAGCAACTGAAGTTCAATATGTTATGTTGAAGAAAAAATTACGGCCTGTGGTTAGATCCTTTTACAATAGAACAGCCTTCCAATTGCCTGGTGATGCAAGAGTACGTATATCATTAGACACTGAATTAACTCTGATCAGGGAAGATAATTTTGATGGTATAGATAGAACACATGGTAATTGGAGAAGAACAGATATTGGAATTGACTGGCCATTTAAACAGCTACCAGCTAAAGATATTTGTAGATTTCCATATGCTGTCTTAGAAGTCAAATTACAAACGCAATTAGGTCAAGAGCCACCAGAATGGGTAAGAGAATTAGTAGGATCTCATTTAGTAGAACCAGTTCCAAAATTCTCCAAATTTATTCATGGTGTCGCTACTCTGTTGTATGATAAGGTGGATTCTATCCCATTTTGGCTACCACAGATGGATGTAGACATCAGAAAACCCCCTATTCAAACTCAGATTGACATCACTAGACCTGTAAGAGAAGAGGATAACGAAGATGAAGCAGAAGACGAAGAACAAGAAGATGGAAGTGATATTAACGATGATGAATCCGATGATGCGTTAATCGCTGCAATGATGGATGCTCCGGGAAATTCACTAGATATAGAAGAAGGTGGATATGGATCCATAACTAGAGATGAGACTTCACAATTAGATCCAAATTCAAGAAGTGTTAACGCCGCATATTACGAGAGAAAGATACGGAGTGCATCTAATACATTAAGTAAGAAATATTATCAGATTATGAGATCTATAGATCATTATTTCAATGGGGATCAAGTTTTCAAAGTACCCAAAGGTACTGTTTTCGATACTGAGGTGAAAGCTCCTGATGGAAAGACTATCTGTGTTCCAGTCCGTGTGGAACCAAAAGTATATTTCGCTACAGAAAGAACTTTCTTATCTTGGATGTCTATTGCTATTTTACTTGGTAGTGTATCAACCACCTTAGTTACATATGGATCTCCAACAACAATGATTGCCTCAATTGGATTCTTTATTACTGCTCTAGTAGTCATTATTCGTTCTACTATTGTATATGCCTCCAGAGTAGTCAATATTAGACAGAAGAAGGCTATCGATTATGAAGATAAGCTAGGACCCCAATTAGTGTCAATCTGCTTAATATTATCTATTCTTTTTAGTTATTTCTGTAATTATTAGTTGATATGGTAATTTCCTTTGTTATATATATACAATATAGTGAATTAAACAAAGATTATTCTTTTTTACCATTTTTTGACTCCATATACAGAATTCTGATTCTTCTTTACTTAACTAGTTTGGTTATGATACGACTTTGAATCAAATAATAAGCGGAGGGCATCGAATTTTCGCGATTTTTGTTTGTTTCTTTATTTACATTTTATTTTTATTTTTGCAAAAGAAAAGTAACATGTGCTTTTTACGTGACTGGAAATATGACAGACCAGAGCAGATCAAACAAGTATATATATCCCCAAACCATTAGTTACTTTCTTTATTAACTACCATATGTATGTAACTGGGATAGCGTGTCTATATTTATAACAGCATTGAAACAGTTTTGATCAATGAATAGAAGTAAAGTGGGTCAATACACAAAGAATTCGGGGAAACCTGTCTTAAAACAAAGATCTATTGCATCATTTTTCTCCCAGACCAAGAGAAGTCATAGTATTACAAAAACCCATAATACAATTACAAATCAATCTGTACAGAAGAAATCAAATAGTGTATCTACCAATTCATTCTTTAATTCAAAAAAATCCCTTTCGAATTTGACTGAAGGATCATGCCAATCTCAACCCATCATAATTGAAGGTTCGAGACCTCAATTATCTAGAACTTCGACTACTTCATTGTTTCAAAGCCAGGGCTCCTTTGATGAGTATGACCCCAACGAGGAGTTAAGAAAATTGATGAATGGTCCTAAATTAAAGAATTTCAAAAGTCCAAATATAACATCATTTTCAAGGGTCCCAAATTTCCAAAGAAGTAATTCCTCGGTATCTGATCTTGGATCTGCTTCACCAACTAAAATAGAACATGTAATTACTGAGATTTCAAGTGAAACCTTTAGAGAAACAACAAGTAATGCTACACCCTCTCACAAGTTAATATTCACAAGCAGCACCCAACTTGAATCTCCTACTAAAAGTGATTATTTCTCGCTGTCCCAGGCACCCGAACTATCATCTGAATTTTCTACTTTATCTTCTTCTTCTTCCTCCTCTTTTCCCACCTTTGGGTCATCACACCATCCTAATCAATTGAATAGTTCGAAGAGAACTCGTTCATTACAAGGCCTCAATTTAAACACTGTTAAAAGATTAAAACCATTGTCTAACAGCAACCCCCGTGCTATACAAAGTAATAATAAACAACAATCAAATAAAAATAATTCAATAATTTTGAAATTGACTAAAGAACAACAATATGTGATAGATTTAGTGGTACAAAAACGCCAAAATATATTTTATACAGGATCTGCAGGTACTGGTAAATCAATTATTTTAAATAATATTATACACAATCTGCAACGAATCTATGGGAAAGAAGCTGTGGCAATCACGGCGTCTACTGGACTTGCTGCCGCAACTATCGGTGGTATTACATTACACAAGTGGTCGCACACTGGTATTGGGAATAGATCAGCAGAGGTACTTGCTAGAGCTATAAGTAAAAGAAGAGACGCTACAATGACATGGAGAAATACAAAAGTATTAATAATTGATGAAATCTCTATGATTGATGGAAAATTTTTAAGTAAATTGGAATATATTGCTCGTGTAGTAAGAAAGAATGATAAACCATTCGGTGGAATTCAACTAGTATTTACAGGTGATTTTTTTCAATTACCACCTGTGTCTAAATCAATAACTTCCAGTGATTCAACAAAGGGAAATTCAAATGGAGAAGCTGAAGCTTTATTTTGTTTTGAGAGTGAAGCATGGAAAAAATGTATACAAAAGACAATATTATTGACAAAAGTGTTTAGACAACAAGATAATGAATTGATCGATATATTAAATTGCATACGTTTTGGAGAGATTGAACAAAAAATGATTGCTAGTATTAAAAAATTAGAAAGAGAGGTAAAATATGAAGATGGGATTTTACCCACTGAAATCTATGCAACAAGAAGAGAAGTTGATTTATCTAATAAACGTCAATTGGAAAATTTACCTGGTGATCCACATACTTTCCATGCTGAAGATCTTGCACCAAGAATGAAATTAGAGTTATTAGATTCTGCTGTGATGGCAGAAAAGACTTTGGTGTTAAAAGAAGATGCTCAAGTAATGATGTTAAAGAACAAACCTGACGTTGAGGTATTCAATGGTACTTTAGGAAAAGTTTTATTTTTCACTACACAAAGATTAGCCACGAAATTTTTAGAGATGTTCCATACTATTGATCGTACTACAATTGAAGATATGAGGCTTGTAAGTAAGGCTATTCACAATAAAAGATTCAAGGAAGTACCTGAATTCATGGCAGAATTGAAAGCCCGTGACTTTTATCACCATGGAAAATTGGAAGAAATGGTAAATTACGCTATGAATGAGTCTGCTAAAGAACCAGCATACCCATTTGTTAGATGGTCTATAGGCAAGGGGAAATTTTATCATGAATTGGTACTTCCAGAGCCTTTTCCGGTAGATTTGCCAGGTGAAGCTACTGCATTACAGAGAACACAGTTACCTATCATGTTGTGTTGGGCATTATCGATTCATAAAGCACAAGGCCAAACTATTCCGAGGTTAAAAGTTGATTTAAAAAACATTTTTGAAGCTGGTCAAGTGTATGTTGCATTATCTAGAGCAGTGTCAAAGGAATGCTTACAAGTTAAAAATTTCAATCCACGTAAAATTCGATCGAATGATAAAGTCAAAAAATTTTATAAGGGCTTAGAAACTGTAACACAGTTCTAAAAAAATCAAGAGCACACACACACACACACACACACACACACATATATATATATATATATATTTAAAAATTGATATATTTTTATCGTAAGTAATATCAAATAATATGCATTTGATATTTCTATGTACCCTTTTGGGTACATAATTCGATGTAAAAGGGACAATATTCAACAAAATATTTGGAAATACACTCTACTCAACTAATATCTAGTTATATTTTTTCAAGCATAGCCAACAGATAAGGTAAGAAAGAGACCAAAGTGAGTTTGTTATCAAATGTAACCCAAACAAGATTCTCTTCTATCTCTCTCTTCTAACAGGCCAACAAATCCCAAAAAGAAATCAACAACCCTAACGAAAACCCTAACAAAGGATTGCAAAAAAAGAACGGACACGCAGACAAAAAATAAATAAATAAAAAAAATAAATAAAAAAGAAAGCGGACAAAAGATGAACGTACAAAAGAAAAAAAGGAATAAAAAGTGGTAACATTTTCCAAAAGAGCTGATTTCTATTTATAGAAACACTTTAATATGGTATTTGTGTAGTTCCCATCTGTTTTAATAGTTGATCTCAGGGCATCAACGTTAGCGTAGTGTTGTCCAGCTCTCTTTCCTCTCTCTTTCCTCTCTTATCTGATACAAGATATTTGAATCCATCTCTTATGGTTATTCACCAACATAACCACTGCAAGTACAAGTGTATCCATTATTTAAAGGTGAGAAGGAGCCTTCTATAGTTTTAAGCATAACCTGATAAGATTAACTGGGCAATCTCTGTTCCCTATTCAATCTTCTTCTCCTTCTTCTTTCTCTTTTTTTTTTTCGAAAGAAACTCAGTGTAAGTTGATATATATTAATATATTATACTGAGGGAAATCTGCACTTTAATAGTACATTAAACAGTCATAGAATACAAATAACATTATATACATCTTCATTCACAACTGTCCAGTAGTAAGCTAGAAAGTATGGAAGAACAAGTGGAGAGACACACTTTTAAAGTATTTAACCAAGACTTTACAGTAGATAGAAGATTTCAGTTGATTAAAGAAATCGGTCATGGTGCCTATGGGATAGTCTGTTCTGCTAGGTTTACAGAAGCAGTCGAAGACACTACTGTGGCTATTAAAAAAGTTACAAATGTGTTTTCTAAAACACTACTCTGCAAAAGATCCTTACGTGAATTGAAATTATTAAGACATTTTAGAGGTCATAAGAATATTACCTGTCTATATGACACAGACATAGTTTTTTACCGTGATGGTACATTTAATGGACTTTATCTATACGAAGAATTAATGGAGTGTGATATGCATCAAATCATTAAGTCAAACCAACCTCTAACTGATGCCCATTATCAAAGCTTTACCTACCAAATTCTGTGTGGGTTGAAATATATACATTCGGCAGATGTTTTGCATCGTGATCTAAAGCCTGGTAATCTATTAGTTAATGCAGATTGCCAGCTGAAAATCTGTGATTTTGGTTTAGCCAGAGGATATTCAGAGAATCCAATGGAAAACAACCAATTTCTAACCGAATATGTAGCCACAAGATGGTACCGTGCCCCAGAAATCATGCTAAGTTATCAAGGTTACACAAAAGCCATTGATGTATGGTCTACTGGTTGCATTCTTGCCGAATTTTTAGGTGGCAAACCAATATTTAAGGGAAAAGACTATGTAGATCAATTAAATCGAATACTACAGGTCCTAGGCACGCCACCAGATGAAACGTTAAGGAGCATCGGGTCTAAAAATGTACAAAACTATATTCATCAATTAGGTTTTATTCCTAAGGTTCCATTTATCGACCTATATCCAAATGCAAATCCACAAGCTTTGGACTTATTGGAAAAAATGTTGGCTTTTGATCCAAGAGAAAGAATAACTGTGGATGAAGCGTTAGCCCATCCTTATTTAGCTATATGGCATGATCCTGCTGACGAACCCGTTTGTAGTGGAAAGTTCGAATTCAGTTTTGAGGCTGTTAATGATATGGACCATTTGAGACAGATGGTTATAGATGAAGTACATGATTTTAGAAGATTTGTAAGACAGCCACTTTTAGAAGAAGAACAGTTACAACAGGAACAACAACAGATACAGGTACAGGAACAACAGTATAGAGAAGAAGAGGAACCTTTGATAGAAAACGAGGAAAACAAAAGGAGGCAATCGATAAACGAATCTTTACAAGCATTTGGTATAGATCCCGAAAACTTACCTACAATGAACAGAACAGACTATCCACCAAGACCTCAAGAAAACCCATTGGCTTCTCCTATGGCCATGGAACCTCGTAGTGACATGAATAATAATACAAATGTTGCTACTGATGAACTGTTTGATTTAGAGAAAGAATTGGAATTTGGCCTGGATAGACATTACTTATAATCACACCAGATTAGTACATAAATATTATTATTATTAAAACATACTGTATTATCTTCACATAGTATTATAATACAAAATATGTAAGTATTTTTTTTATTTTATGCATCCTAATTAGAGACCGAGTTGATACTTCTCCATCTTCTCTGTTCTCTATTTTACAATTTGAAACTTTCATCTCTTGTTGAATGAGTCATCATGCTAAAATGCATTAGGAACCTATTATATATACATACATTATTTTTTCTCCCATGTTGTCCAAGTTGATTTGATTTTCCAGATTTTACTGACAATTTGAGATACAGTTCGCAAAAAAGAGTTTTAATAAAGAAACAAACTCACTTATACATACCTAAAAAAGACTATTTACTTCTCCTTGCTACTGCCTTTCAAATCAATTAGTACATAATCAGCTATAATTTGGATATTAACATCATTAAGCAAAAACTAGAACATAAGGCAGACTGCACCATCATAATGACATTACAATTACCATTCAAACAAGTTGACGTATTTACCAGTCAAGGCTTTAAGGGGAACCCAGTGGCAGTAATCAATTGCTTAAATATCGAAGAATCACAAGTGACCAAAGAACAGTTACAATCAGTGGCCAATTGGACCAATTTATCAGAAACTACATTTATATTCAAACCTTCAAGTGACAAATACGATTATAAATTGAGAATTTTCACTCCAAAGAACGAATTACCATTTGCCGGACATCCAACCGTTGGATCATGTAAAGCATTTTTAGAGTTCACTAACAATATAGGCAAAAAAAATGTTGTTTATCAAGAGTGTGGTGTAGGAGTCGTAACTTTGTCTATTGAAGACGGATTGATCTCCTTTGAAGCTGCAAAGACTTCAGTGGAAAGTATTGATACATCAATTGCCAATGATTATTGCCAGGCTTTGGGTGTTACTGCTATTCAATCACCAAAATTGTTGGATGTTGGTCCACACTGGGTAGTAATTTTAGTGGATAATGCTCAAACATGTTATAACGCTAACCCTGACTATGCTAAAATTAGCCAGATATCTAAAATTAATAACCATGTTGGTATTATCCTTGGTGGTAAAAGAGCTGGAACAATTAATGAATATGAAATGAGAGCATTTGCACCAGTTATCAATGTCGACGAAGATCCAGTCTGTGGTAGTGGTGCATTATCATTTATTAGATATTTGAAAGATATAGAAGATATTAAAAAGACTACTAATATCAAGATCACCCAAGGTGGTAGATTAGAGAGAAATGGCACAATTTATGGAACTATACAAGTTCATGACAATTCCTCTGTCTCTTATCATATTGGTGGAGATTCGGTAACCGTCATTGAAGGTCAAATTCAGTTATAGAACGAAATGTAAAAATACATAATATATAAATTTTAATACATACATACATATATATATCAAATCCCTTGCCAACTAATTGCAACCACAAATATCTACCTATATGAAGGGATTAATCATATTCTAATTAACGCACAAACATAATATATCAAGCAATTTTTAATGTTGTTATCAAACGTCAATACCAATAAAGAAGGAAAAATACAAAAAAGACCCACCCTTCCTTGAATTCACTGATAGGAGACATGTGGACCGTCTTTTCCTAAATGATATGATTCTAAAGAGAGAGGCTATTTGATGGATTTGACTCAGACCACTATACTAAAAACCACCTCAGAAGCAACTTAGACTAAATAAGAATTCATTGTTACTGAAAAAAATAATGGAACCTACAGAGGTTGATAGATTAATTACACCAGAAGCAAACACTGGAAGAGACCCTCTTACTGAAAGACCTATAATGTCAACTACAACTGAGGAAAATGATGAAGACATTGAACGCATACCAGAGAGGCACCTCAAGACATACAGAATACACTTACTTGATAGACTTATTAAATTGGGGGTTTTGGGTTTATTAATTGTTTGGGGATTTGTTGTTTTAATTAAATTGGTTCCAGCAAAACTTACTACCCCTAAGGACACTGACGTATACCACTCCAATGATACTTTTAGATTACCTGACCCATATATGACTGAAGAGGGATTATTAAAAGTTTCATTTAATTATACTAGAAACGAAAGTTTTGTACCTCAAATTCACACTTTACAGTGGTTAAGGAACAATGCTTTGGAAGATACAAATAATGATAAAGGATTATACTTTACATCTATAAATAATACATATCAAATAAGATCGGTTATTGATGCCAGTTATTCCAGGATTCTTTTTGAGGGTCAAAATATAACATATGGAAACCGTAATTTTACTGTAGAGACAATAACAGCTTCCCCAGACTTAAGTAAACTGTTAATTAAAACAAATTGTATTCAGAATTGGAGACATTCGAGCTTTTCAACATATTTTGTTTTCATTGAAGAAGATTTTTCAATCCAACATATTGGAGATTCAATTGCATTGACTCAATGGTCACCAAATTCTATTGAGTTGGCTTACGTACAAGACAACAATATCTATTTGTATTCCACTAAAACGAAACAAACCATTACTCAGATTACAAATGATGGAAATCACCAGATATTTAATGGTAGGCCAGACTGGGTTTATGAAGAAGAGATCTTCGAAACTGACAGAACACTATGGTGGTCACCAAACGGTAAATATCTTGCCTTTTTAAAAATTGATGAAACAGAGGTAGAAGAATATATTATACCATATTTTGTTCACAACAAGGTAGGTCAATACCCAGAGATGAAAAGTATTAGATATCCAAAGAGCGGTACCCCAAATCCAAAAGTAGAATTACTGGTTTATGATACTGAGAATGATTCTATATATAGAAGTTTCGTTAATCATGGCAAGTTTCATGATTCTATCCTAATCACAGAAGTAAAGTGGATGGGTAATAATAACTTGATTGCAAAAGTTACTGACCGTTCTTCTAATGATTTGAATGTTGTTTTTATTGATTTGAGGACTCAAGAAACCAAAGTAGTGAGATCAGAATCTTCTAATGAAAGTTGGTGGGAAATCACTCGTAAAACTATGCACATCCCAAAAGATCTAAAAAAGGGGAGAACGCATAATGGTTATGTAGATTTAATGCCTGTCAATGGTTATAATCATTTAGTATATTTTTCATCTCTTATAGCAACAACTCCTATTATTTTGACAAGCGGTCATTGGGAGGTTATCTCTGGTCCCATAGCTTTTGATAATAGATTAGAAAGAATATATTTCCAAGCCACCAAAAAATCATCCACAGAAAGACATATATACTATGTTTCTTTAAAAAAACCAAATCAAATCTATGAAGTAACAGATACATCTAAACCTGGAGTTTACGATATTACATTTTCGTCGAACTGTGAGTATGCACTTTTAACATATGAAGGTCCGGAGATCCCATTCCAAAAAATTATCAGAGTGAATGTTGATAAATCTGATGATAAAGTGATAGGAAATAAAATTGGTAAGACAGTCTATTATTTGGAGAAAAATGAAATATTAAAGAATAGACTAAAATCTTTCAGTATACCGAAGAAAACTTACAAGGAGCTAAATCTGGGTAAAGATAACAAAGGCAATGATATCTTAGTCAATGCTATTGAAGTCCTCCCTGATGGATTCAACAAAACCTTAAAAAACTATTACCCTGTATTCTTCTATCCATATGGTGGTCCCAATTCCCAACAAGTCATTCAAAAATTTTCTATTGGCTTTAGTGAAGTTATTTCATCTCAGTTGAATGCTATTGTAGTCATTGTAGATGGTCGTGGAACTGGTTGTAAAGGTATTCAGTTCAGATCATTAGTACGTGGAAATTTAGGTGAATACGAAGCCATTGATCAAATAAATGCAGCCACTCTTTATTCCAAGAGGGAGTATGTAAACTCTGATAAGATAGCAATATTTGGCTGGTCATATGGTGGATACCTGACATTGAAGACTCTAGAGAAGGATGCAGGGAAAACATTTAAATATGGACTCTCTGTTGCCCCTGTCACAGATTGGAGATTTTACGATTCTGTATACACAGAACGTTACATGTATACCCCACAGGAGAATCTTGATGGGTACAAAAAGTCTCGCGTGTTTAATGTAACTTCTATCGGACAAGCTAAACGGTTCTTATTAATGCATGGAACTGGAGATGATAATGTTCATTTCCAACACTCTTTAGTATTTTTAGACCAACTAAATCAAGCTAACATAGAAAACTATGATGTACACATATTTCCTGATTCTGATCATGCAATCAAATACCATAATGCAAATGTCATTGTCTATGACAAATTATTAGACTGGACTAGGAATGCTTTTACAGAAAGATTTTAAACCCCAAATAAACCTTCAGTTAGTAAAATTCAACTACACGTGATCCCTATATACACACATCTATATAAGTAACGTAACACACTCTCTGTATTTAGTTGTGTAAACATTACTATTTAGCACCGTATCTCTAACATTTCTCTGCGTTGTATACTATACTTCCTTTTGCATTAGTGTCATTGTTATTTCTTCTAGTTCATTTGAACTTGTGTGTATAACTATATATATATTTTTTTAATTTTCTTTCATCTTTGAGAAACTTCGAATCTTTCTGATCTAAAAATGAAAAACGTTAAAAAGATATAGAAGCAAAAAGTTAAAGAGTTTGGTAAGCTAGAGAGAGGAGATTTGTCTAGATAACTACATCCAAAACAGAATACCAATCTCTCAGCAAAGCATCTACTAAATTATTTAAAAACTATTAAGAAGATAATGTTTGAGCAGTTAGCCATCTTCACTCCCCAAGGTCAAGTAGTATACGAATTCAACTGTTCTGGTAAAAAGTTTGCTGCAACACAAATTAATGCCTTCTTAAATGCATTAATTATCTCTCCGGTAACAAACAAAGATACCATAAATGGGAAATATAGTGTTTTAAATGTTGTTGTAGAAAATCCTAATACTACTAAGAATTCCAGTTATGGTAATAAATCCAATAGTCGATCATTTTGTACTATGTTCTATGTTAGCAAACAACCTGATCTGTATTTTGTTATAACATATGCTGAACAAAGTTTACATTTAAATCAAGAAGCTGAAGATACTTTAAATTTAGCCTTGGCATTATGGGAATCTTTAGATATTCCATATCATATCTTTGAAAATATTAAAAATCAAAGAGATATTCTATACGATATAGAGGATGTGATTGACAAATTTGATAAATATTTAAGGACTAAATATGAAGAATCTGTTAAATATATTGTAAACAGTTCAACTTTCAATGATGCTAACAAATCTAATAATGCCCATAATAATACCACAAAGAATAAAAAACAACAACAGCAGACACCAACATCTGGAGGTAGAAAATGGGGTCGAGATGGTGTGATTGAAGACACTTCTGTTTATGATCCTAGTGCATTAGATTTTTCTGAAACCAATAAATCTAGTAATGTTACTGTACAAAATGACGAAGCTCAACAAAAAGAAATAATAGATATTGATAAGGATACATTTGGTAATAGAACAGCAAACGGTGAGTTTTTAATTAAAGAAATAGATGATTTATTATCTTCACAGAAGGAAACACATTCTAATAATGCCAATAAACCGGGAAATAAATACACAGAAAAAGCTTTTGGATTTTTACAAAGAAAATTTTTGGGTAATAAAACAATCACTAAAGAGGATTTACTATCTGTTCTGGATAAATTAAGGCAAAAATTAGTCTCAAAGAATGTGGCACCTGAAGTAGCTGACTATCTGACAGAGCAAGTAAGTAGAGACTTAATCGGATCCAAAACAGCAAATTGGACCTCTGTTGAAAATACTGCTAGAGACTCATTGTCAAGAACATTAACAAAGATTCTAACTCCTGGTGTATCTGTTGATTTACTACATGATATACAAAAGAAACTGAGCAAAACTGATAGCGATGGTAAAAAACAACCATACGTATTTTCTATTGTTGGTGTCAATGGTGTTGGGAAATCTACAAACTTGTCCAAATTAGCCTTTTGGTTGTTACAAAACAATCTTCGTGTGTTAATTGTAGCATGTGATACTTTTAGATCAGGTGCTGTTGAGCAATTAAGAGTACATGTGGAAAACTTGGCTCAACTAATAAATGATTCACATGTAAGAGGCTCCAAGAATAGAAGGGGCAAATCAGGTAATGATTATGTAGAATTATTTGAAGCTGGGTATGGTGGTACAGATTTAGTTACAAAGATTGCTAAACAAGCTATAAAATATGCACGCGATCAAGATTTTGATATAGTCTTAATGGATACTGCTGGTAGAAGACATAATGATGCAACTTTGATGTCTCCATTAAAGGCGTTTGCAGAACAAGCCAAACCAGACAAAATAATTATGGTAGGTGAAGCATTAGTTGGTACAGATTCAGTACAGCAAGCTAAAAATTTCAATGCTGCGTTTGGCAAAGCCAGAAATTTGGATTTCTTTATTATTTCAAAATGTGATACGGTTGGGGAGATGTTAGGTACGATAGTTAATATGGTATATGCAACAGGAATCCCAATTCTTTTTGTAGGAGTTGGCCAAACATACACAGATTTAAGAGCATTAAGTGTCAGCTGGGCAGTAAACACTCTAATGTCTTGATAGAGTAATGATGAAGTTTAATTCTTCTCTTTATTACCACAAATATAATATATATATATATGATAAATGATATTTATATCTATACAATATAAAACCCTAACCAAAACATATTATTCTATAAATAAATTTATTTACTAATCTTCTTCAATACCAATAATTTTAAATGATGGCGAGAATTTGACATGATCACGTACTGGCTCTATAGTTTCTACTTTAATCTCAGGCATATTAGGTTCCGGACCATTTTTAATTTTATCAAGAAAATCTTCCTCTTTATGACCTAAAATTGAATGGAGGAGAATCAAAGAACCTGGTTTAGACAGGACAAGACAATTTTCAGTACAATATGTACCTGCAACACAATCAGGACAGCCATCTGAACATGGACATTCCTCTATCCTCCTTAGAGTTGCCTCCAAAATTTCATTAATGTTTTCGAACACTTTAATAGATAGTCCTGATCCATACTCTCCACCTTTTGAATCATAAAATATGATTCTACCTGGCCGTATTCTACGCGTTTGTCTTTGTGCAAACTCTTTTTCAGGAGCTTTACATTCAGTTACAATTTCATCTACACCTGCCACTATAAACCGAGGAAATATCCCCATAATACCATGTTGTACAGCATGAATTGCACCTGCCAAATTTAATTCCTTATTTTTACAAAGTTCTAAAGCTCTGGTAGGTATATCTATCCACAATCCTTTTGAATAAAAAATAATTGGATCATTATATGTTTCTATTGCGTCAATAATCCTTTTATATTTATCTACTTTAAAAAACCCAAATACAGTAATTGTCGTTTTTATTTTACCAAAATAAACCGGAGTATCACTATTTCTCAAAGGCCTTATTACTTCTACTAATTGTGGATCAACATCAGTAAAATCTCTCTGTTGAGTAATCCAATCAACATTAACCCTTTGAACTTTCGCATATTTTTCGTCAGGATTAAGTTCTTTTACTAAATATGGATAACCTTGATGAATAAAAATACCACCATCATATAGTGTGAAACTTGTTCTTTTTGTTTCAACCTCTTCTATTACAATATTTCTGTTATTAGTTATATCTATAACAGCAAACATATCTTCATTTCCACCTCTTAAGGAAATATTCTTTGAAGGCCATGGAAGGAAGCTATTACTAGCATGATATCCTTCATCATTTTTAAATAACTTCTCATTGCAAATTTTTGTTAATGACTCTTCATCAAAGTACTTTCTATCCCTTTCTATAATAATAGGCAATTCGAAAGCTGCACATTGAAGATGTCCTTCAAGGACTAAAGGATTGCTAAAATCAAGAACAAGGTCTTGATAAGAATCACTGTTATCAAAATCTAATAAAACTTCAGGATGTGCCACATAATGTTGATCAACCGGCGAATCACTTGCTACTACTAACGTCAAAGAATCGTTATTTCTTCTTCCAGCTCTCCCACTTTGTTGATAAAAATTTGCTAGTGATATTGGGAATCCACACATTAATACAGCATCCAGTCCACCAATATCAATACCCAATTCTAATGCGTTTGTAGAAATAACTGCTTTTAAATTTCCATGAAACATTTCTCTTTCGATTTTACGTCTATCACTTGGAGAATATCCACCTCTATATGCCATAACATCTGTAATTAAGTCACTTCTATTTAACTCTTCTAACCTGGTTCTTACTTCTTTCATCAATAATTCACAAACTCGACGAACAGAACAAAATGCAATAGTTCTAACATTTTGAGTTATCAATTGAACTAAAATTATTGCACTTTCTTTGATGAAATTTTCTCTCTTCCTGAGATGTTGAGTTAAGATAGGTGGGTTCCATATAACAAGATTCTTAGGACCTCTTGGTGACCCATCTTCGTGGATCAGTTTCACTTGTGCAATTCCAAAGATATCTTGCATATGTTTGATGGGATCTTTTAATGTTGCAGAACATGAAATAAACCTTAAATCTTTATTGTGATAATAAAGCTCACAGATTCTTAATAATCGTCTCATAACCAATGCTACGTTCGATCCAAATAAGCCACGATAAATATGTAGTTCATCTATTACCACAATCTTCAAATTATATAAGAAATGTTTCCAATTGATATGGTTTGGTAAAATACTAGTATGAATCATATCTGGATTCGTGAAAATCACCCTTGCTTTTTGTCTAATCTCTCTTCTCATATTTTGTTCTGTATCACCATCATATGTGTCAATTTGAGTGTCAGCCAATTGTGGTATTTTAGATATAATTGCCTCAAAAGATCTTTTTTGATCTTGTGCCAATGCCTTTGTGGGAAAAATATACATAAACGTGGATTCTGGATCTTTCAGTAAAAAATCTATGGCAGATAATTGATAGATTAATGATTTCCCCGATGAAGTTGATGTTGTGATTATAACATTTTCTCCCCTATGAATTGAATTTAATGCATCAGCTTGATGAGAATAGAATTTGTCATATGGTAAAGCCTGGAAGATTTCTGATGCTAATTGAAATGATAATTCTCCAAATTCTGCATTTTTGGAGGATATAACAAAATGTTTCTTTATTTGATTGTTATAAGTGTCCATATTCTTTAAACTACTTATTACATTTTTTATTAAAGGTCTTCTTAGTCCTGATATTTCATCAACTAAAACACTATTATCATCTTTTATTTTATCTTTGGAGTCCTTTGAATTAATCATAGCTTCAATTGGATCAACATACTTTGGTTCTTTTGGTAAATATTTTTCAGCCAATTTATTTAATTCAGATTCTGGATTTAAATGTAATTTCTTCTGTTTATCAATAAATTTTTGTAAAGAATCGTTGAATTTTGCCGACCTCTTTCGAATCATCTTTCGCATTTCGTCTAATGTATAGGTGGGTAAATGAATCTGGTTCTCTTTGCTAAAAGCTAAATTGATACTATTATCTCTATTCAAGTTATTATTTATATCAGATGACCAGGAACGTTTCATGTTCCCATCAATAAATTCAAAAATTAATAACTGAGTAGCTTTAACTGAATCTGTTCCATTTGAACAGTCTTTTAATTGAAATATATCACTTTCATTTTGTTGATAACCACCACGTTTAAAATCAAACATCTTTGTATCGGTTTGAATTTGGTTTTCGTCAATATATTTAAATTCACAATCTCTAGGAAGAATAGCTACAATCTTAGCTAGATCTAACTTTGAAACTTCTCTTTTTAAAGCATTTTGTACAGGTCTTACTATAGTATCAAACGTAGGTATAACATGTTTGCGACACATTAAAAATGTGTAAATAGTGTTGACTCTAAAGAAAAGTTCTCTTAATTTAGAAACTTCATCAAAAGTCTCACACGAATCACTATCCAATTTTATTCTTTTCTTACGGTAGATATTATTATTACAATTATTATGACTTGGCATATCCATTTATATATCGTTTTTCAACAAAACAGATCACATATTTCATTTTTCTACTCTATCAAGCAAGATACGTTCAAATTAATGCCAAACAATAACAAAAAGAGATACAACGAATAGATCCATGAGATTATAACATACTGGTAATAGACATTGTAGAGCCTACAATTTCCCCTTTACCCACTCATTATAACCGACTTCAACAACAACCTCTAAATTGCTTTGCCCACATTTCCTCTTCCTCTTTCTCAATTTGAGAAAACAAAAAGAACTGAAAACCAAAATTTCAAAAAATCTGTTTAAGAACAATTAATTGAATAGATAAACAAACAAACAAGTAAATAAATAAAGAAGATTGAAGGGATGAACTAACTAAGTCGGATTGACGTACGTGTGCTAAGGAAAAAAATATAGTCTATCTTTGGCATCGTTATTAAAGAAGACTGCTAAACAAACAGGAATAAACAGCATTTATATAAACTATTACGCATAACAATGTCCTTTTCATCTGACCAATTTATTTCAAAACTAAAACAACTACAGGATACACAAGAATCTATATCTTCCTCATCTAAATGGCTATTATCACAATATAGAGATTCAGATTCTATTGCAACCACATGGCAAAGATATATAACTCAAAGAGATCTATCTGATAGAAACCGTCTCTTAGCTGTTTATTTAGTTAATCATGTGGTGCAACAGGGAAAAAGTCAAGGGATCAAACAATTCCAAGAGTCTTTTTCTAAGATCTTGTTACAGACCTTACCTATAGTTTATTCACAATTTCCAAGTGACTTGCAAGGGAAGTTGAAAAGAGTCATCAATATTTGGAAACAAAGAAAAGTGTTTGATAAATCATATTTAGGGCAAATAGAAAGTAAATTGAAAGATATTGTACCCAAAAATTCCGACACAATCTCCATAAACAGTGGTAAAAATCTATCTATCCCACCTAATGTACAACCCATAATTGAATTATATCAAAAATTAAAGAAAAATAAACATAATATACCTGCTTTAAAATCCAGGTTCGATAATGCAATTAACGATTTAGATCCAAATAGTATTGTGTATGAAGGGAATTTCAATACTGTGACAAAGATTGCTAAAGTTACTCAGGATACGATAAAGGAATCAATGGGGAATAGAGAAGAATTAATCAAATACTTACATTCTTTATTAAGTGAAGAAGAAAAAAAATTGGAACAAAATCGCGTATTATTAAATGAGATCGAATTTGCATTAGAATCAAAGGATCCAAAAAGAATAAAAAATAATGATGGTTCTTTAGAGAATGGCAATAATGATGTCCTTCCAACTTACGGTAAAAATGATAGTGATAGTGATAGTGATAGTGATAATAATAGCGACAATGATAATAATAGCGATAGAAATAATGGTACTTATAAGAAGAAACAAAATGAAGAATTCAATGTAATTAATAATAATGATACACAAATCGATATTACAATTGAGGGAAGCAAGCGGGTTTTAGAGGAAGGTTCAAGTATTAGTGATTCAGATGAACCATCAAAAAAGAAAAATAAAGCTTCTGACGAAGATAATGAAAAAGAATACATAATTGAAGAAGTTCAAGAGGATGATCAAGAGACAACTGAGAATACTATAACAAGTAATATTCAAGACTTATTAAGTAGGTTAGCAAATTGAAAAAAATAAAAAAGTTCTTGTTTATCATAGTTATGGATATATATATAATCTTGTAGACATGACAATGTCTATAAAGGATGTTATAATTGATTAATCTTTATTAATTTACACAGAACTTTTCAAAAATTAAATAGATATGTAATGTGTTTTGTAGGTGTAGTTTTAAGTTCTATTTTCTGAGGGTAATAGCAACTTAAAACATATGAAGTTAAAGTAGAATGAAACTTAGAAAATGGTAAAAACAAAATACCAGTTGAGAGATGTAACGGTTACAGATTCTGTTTTTTGAGGAATAAGTTATTTTTCATTTTTCATTTAGATTTTTTTTTCGAATATCCATGAAAGTTCAAAGTTCAATATAATATATAAGAATGTGTTCCAATATTGTTAAATAACTGTTCTGAGACTTTTAGTAATCCATATAAAAAAATACGTCATTCTGTCTTTTATTTGTATTTACACAAAGATGATCAACATCCACCCTCTAGTTTCTTTTACATGTTCTTTTTCGTATATTTCGTAGTGTCTTACTACATGATGCATTAACACCCAAAAAGGCAGACTTTAAAATATTACCTTATGTTTAATAACAGTTTGTAATATGCGGTTACAAGTCTTGATGTCAGTATAGGATTACTATTTTTTTCAAAAGTATGCACCTCCCTTATTAACAGACAATAACATCTCAGAAAAAGCGTCACTGAATTAAACCTACTACAAATTCATAACCTTACCAATATTTACTTTTATGAATCATCTTTTGTACTATTCATTAATTCTGGTTCACGACATAACCAATTTCTAAAATATAGACAAAGAGATAATTTCTAAAGACAAATTAAGGTTCATGTCTGACCTTCTCGATATATTATCTAATTTTTCATCATTTATATGATTGTAAAATTACTTCCTACTTAAAATACTGTTTATTACGTAATAAGAATTATTTCTATCCTAACAATTTGTATTTTTAGTATCAAATAATGTATGATACTAGTTTGAAAACACTATAATGTCTTGTACCCATTCAGAGAACTTACTTAATTTTGATAGTTATACATCTTGTTTTAAGGTACATATTGTTGTATAATAGAGGAGTCATCACCAACAAGATTACATAAGATTCTGAATGAATCTAGAACTATTTATTGTTTTAATAAGCCATACACGTGCTACAACATTAGATGCTGCATAATAAAGAGATTGGATTACATAAGATTTTGGCAAATCTAGAATTTACCTATTGTTTTAATAAGTCCCACGTGTATTACTAATCACCATGATTAGAGAATTGGGGTGCAGTTCTAATCCACTAGTGCACCTAAATTAATGTAATAAATTTTAGGGTGAATCAGTCAAGTCATTAATGTCCTAATCTGAATAATCGATCGAGCTCCAGAAAACATATAAAAGGATAACGTTTTCTGGAGATAAAAGATCATTTTCCATAACCGTTTCTTGTAAATAATTTATATATTATAGATGAACAAAAATAGAACAACAAGCAAGTAACAAGTTAAGTAACTTTGAATAAATATATTAGCTCGATATAAGCTGCTCAATATATAAGACCGTTTTAGTAATTATATTATCGCCTATAATTGATTACTGTCTCGATTACTTGAATGACTATTAATATTATTTGCGCTTCCCTGGAATACACAAAGAATTTCACCACCCCATAATACAACACATATTTATAGGTTGAGTTCTAATAGTGTAGTGGCTATCACGTTGCCTTCACACGGCAAAGGTCCTGAGTTCGAACCTCAGTTAGAACAAGGTTCTTTTTTACACTTGTTCTGATGGATGAAAACACAAGGGGTAGACTCTTCTTGGAATGCTGAGAGGGATAAATGTTCCCTAGTTTTTTATCAATATATGTGATAGCCTATGGCGATGTGTCTCTGACAATAGTTAATCTTGTTGAAACCTCAATAATCTTTCGCTTGGATAGATATAAGATATAGACTCTTTCTATATCTCTAGATATAAGATTCCTATATATCTATATATCTATATCCCTAATCTAAGATAAATTAATAGTACAGGCTTATATACTATATATCTAAACCTAGGTAATCCTTGGTTCCTTCGTTCTTCTTCTTCTTAGTTGCTCTCTTGTACTTATGTTAGTTACTCCTGTTTTTATGTATGTTTGTAAAATTTTACAAAAAGGAAAGTTTAGAAAAATATCGTCAACCCTCATTTTTCTAAACAAAACCCTAAAACAGTAATACTAGAGATATTACAATATGGCCATGAGACTTTAGCAGTTGACAGATAACAATATATTTATGTTAAATGAAGGCTTATTACAAGAAACACACTCTTCTAGAATACAAGACATGATAGGTAATTCATGGTTATTTTCCTATCTGTAGAATATATAGATCATATTGTATACGAGAGATAAAATAAAATACGCTGATATTACAAATATATAAACGTTTATGAACAAGAAAAACAAAAATATCAATATTGACTGTGCAAGATCACCTATAGTGACAACAGGATAGCATCTATCACAACATTAATGCTCATCCATTTAGATAAGTATGAAAAACAGACCTAGTCTATATCTTTAAGCTTAATATTAAAAAGTAATTAAACTAATAGAATTGATCTTAGGTAAGCAATATATATATCCTATATTCAACTCTCTTAGTTATTTTTCTTGTCCATTACTCATGTTTCATATATTTTTATTCATTTCTCATAAATTTCTTCATGTTAGAACTATTAAGGTTTGTTTATAAGATCTTTTGAAATAGAGAGTTCAGAAAAACAGTAATAACCATAATTTCCTTAAACTAATGGTTAGAACCTCAACACATCGTCACTTGAGACCTTATCGATAGTATAATAACCATGGTTTTAAGTACAATTGTAAAGGCTGAAGAGTTCTAAAAAAAAAAAAATAGAAAAATTGAGCTATAAGATTTAAAAAACACAAAAACAGCAATGGCTGGAATAAATAGTCAGTATATGAAAAGACAGGTGCATATTTTATTTCTTGCTCATCTATCTACAACACTTTCTAGTCCATCTAACGGTAGTTTTTCAATATACTACTATATCTCACAGATTCATAACGTCATATACAAATTCTCCTTAGACAACAATACGTTGCAAAAAAAAAAAAAACTTAATAAAGTAAATTGGAAAAATTCACTAAACTCATATTTCGTATCACAGGATATTGCAGTTACAATATAGTTAATTTCCACGAGAAGTCACACACAAACATCTTTAAAATTATAATTGTAAAAGTGGGTTAGAACTACTGCACAACTATTAGAAACGTCTGAAAAAGGTTTACTTTGAAGATAGCTATTATACTAGCCATACGTACAGCTTCAGTTTAATTGCTGTTTGTGTTTGTTATATTTTTAATTTTTCTTTTACTTTTCTTGCTTTTTCTTCAAGTAAAGGAGATTCAGTGATAAGCCTGCGATCACATTTGAGATTAAGTATACGCATACTTAATATTTATATTCACATATATGTTGTCTACCCAGTTATATACTTCTTTTTCAACTTCTCTATATTTAATCCATTTACTATCATCCCCATATGGCAAACAAGACAAGACCAAAGAAAGTGAAAGCTCCTTATAGGAAATATGTAGCAGGTGAAGGATTTTATAAAGTATCTCTATCACAGGAATCCTCTTTTTCTGTTGTTTCATCTATCCGCAAATTAAATTTAAATGACACACCCAACTCTCTAGATTTTCCAAAGACTGCATTAGTCACTAATTACTACCATGATGGTCAAGACATGAAACTGCCTTGGGAATTACAAAAACTTATTATTGAATATGCATCCTCTCTTCCAAATACAGAGGAATATTCATCAACAGAATCGAATTCTAACAGAAAAAATACAAGAGGTGTTGTACCGAAGGAATTTTGCCTTGTATGTCATCAGTGGTATAATTATTCTTTGCCTCTTCTCTATTTTTCTCCTAAGCTAACATCATACAATTTCCATAAATTCGTTGATTGCTTGATAGTTGACAAGAAAAGGAAAAACGGTGATTTAGTCTTTGAATTGGATCTATCTACTATCTTACAAAGTGGTAAAAATTCATATGTGTCTAAATTATTACGACGATGTTCCAAAAATTTAGTTAAATTTACAGCACCACAAACAAGTTTTGGCTATTCACCATTGATATCATTAAAATCGTGCCATAATCTAAAATATTTAGATTTAGGTTTAGTCTCAGAGACAGTTAAACTAAAGGAGCTATTTGCTGCAATTAAGAATTTTAAATCATTAACCCATTTATCATTCCCTAGAAGTTCTATAGATTGCGATGGATGTGAAGAAGGATTTCAGTGGCCCATGAATTTACAATATTTAAAATTAAGTGGTGGATTGACTAATGAGTTTGTTAGAACTACTAGTTGGCCTACTACCATTATAACTTTAGAATTCTCTGATTGTCCCAAATTAGACGAACAATCGGTGTATGTTATCCTTGATAAGATTGGAAATAACTTAAAACGGTTATTATTCTATTACCCCATGCCCTCGTTGCGGGACAATTCATTGGATTTTATCTTTCGATATTGCCCAAATTTGATCACCATTCAATTAATGGTTGACTATTGTACCAGATGGACCTTTTCTGAATACATGTTAATTAAATTAGAAAATTTTCAACGACCATTAAGGACGTTGATCCTACAATCAAGTGGAAGATTGGGAATGGCTTCCAAAATTCACCCTGATGACTTCACTATTGCAATTTTAGAAGATAGGTTACCAAATTTAAGATCTCTATCCATTTCAGAAAAATTAGGATGGGATATGAAAAGTGATGATGTTGAAGATTTAATCACCGCTATTGAAGATCAAGGTGGAAGTCTATATTCGATATACTAGTCCTACATATCATTGTGTAGTTGTTATTCATACATATTTATAATATTACCATGGTATCTTATATTTTTTTAGATTAAACTAGTTTATTATAAATATATCACTTGCGATACTCGTAATTATTCGAATAGAGAGAAGCAAAAGAGATGACAGGAGTAATAGCATTAGATTAAAAATATCAAACTCGAACAAGTGGTAGGTAACATTGCTAAAGATTATTTCTGAAGGAAAAAAAAAAAGAAAGAAAGAAAAAATACACAACATATAGGGAGGTGGAAGACGGGAGACATCGAGATTGAGAACTTTGGTGTTACGACTACTAAAAAGTAAAAAAAACATTTAAATACTTTATGAACTTGGATGGTAAAGTTGTTTGTTTAAATTGGAAAGTTACGAAGAATTATCTGGGTTTCACTCTCGTGATTAAGATGTATTAATATAAATTATACATTTTTTATTAAAGACGATGGCAAGCCAAATATATTTCAGTAAATTTTTAGTCACTGAACAAGTGTTTTACAAAACTGCATATTGTTACGCTTTGGTTAATTTAAAACCTATTATCCCAGGTCATGTTTTAGTAGTTCCGTTACGTACTGATATTAGAGAATTATCGCAACTGACTCCAATAGAAACCCACGATTATTTTAACACAGTACAATTGATTCAACAGTTTATTCGATGGTACTACAATGCTGATTCAATAAATATTGCTATTCAGGATGGCCCAGAAGCAGGACAAAGTGTTCCTCATTTACACACTCACATTATTCCTCGTTTTCAATTAAATAATATTGGAGATAAAGTATATGAACATATGGATATTTGGACATGGGAGCAAAGACGTGATAATTATAGAACTGCTGGAGGAAGAATTAAAAGAAAGGAATTAGAAAGACAAAATACTATGAATAATGCAAAAATGTCTGTTGAAGAAGAAAAGGAGATTGTTAATGAAGGTAAAATGTTAAAACCTGATGAACAAAGAGTAGAAAGAACTTCTGAACAAATGAAGGAGGAAGCAATAACTTTAGCGGAAAAATTGAAAGAATTTTTATCACAGAAACCAGAAATGAAAAAATGGATACCTCAATAATTCATACCACGGAGGCATATTTTATAGTAGAAATTTATGCCAATTGAAAACTCTATTTTTAATATACATATATACTTTAGTGAAGTTACTTATAAAAAAATATGAGAGACAAAAATTAAATAAGCTGATATAATGAAACTACTTAGGGGAAAACATTATTGATTAAATGATGTTTAAACACATACACACATAAATATCATATACTTACATAAGATATTAAGGAAGTAAGGATATGAATGAATATACAGTTATCACTAAATTCATTCTTTTCTTTTTTTTTTTTTGTAAAGCAGTTACAAATAAGCAATGATAAAACTTTTTGTTTTATCTAAAATACAACTTTCTACGTGTTTTCCCACTTTCCTCTGACAATGTACTATAATAAAAAAAGTAAACATCAGCAGCCACCTTACATACTACACAATTTAAATAAGAGAATATTGATAAAAACTGAATAATCAAATGATTTTGTAAAAAAAATTATTAAAAGGAATTCCTTATTTGATTATCTAATGCTTAATTGTGACTTGTTTTTATCTTTTTTCTTTAGATGTTTTAATTTATTTTTCAAATGATCTCTTTTCCTAATTTTAATTATAGAATTGTTGGAACATGTCTCATATGAAGATAGAGTAACTGTGGCAGAAGAATCATATTCCGAACATGGTGCAGGAAAATATGGTTTTTTTTCTTTTTTAAATAGTCTTCTAAACTTTTCATTCAATTTATGTCTCATATTAAAATTTGGAAAGTTGCTTTTGTTATTAATAATCTATTTGAAAAAAGAAAATGACAATACTCAGACAAACCTTTTACTTTAGTATAATTATAAAAGAAAGGTTATCACATTTGAATATGATTTAAAGGAAAAAAAGTAAAGAATTTAATATTTAATAAACAAAATAAAATATTTATACTCTATATTCTTTCAAAATAATTTAGTAGATGATTTTGTGACACCTAAATAATAAAAAAAATCACCAGTATTTTTTCTTGAATATAAAAGGAAAAAAAGCAATAATAATATAAGGTGATGATACTAAAAACAAAATATATCTATATACACACATATACATATATATGTGTATGTGCCGACCATTCATGTCGAATAATTTCAATATAGCAAATATTGAAGGTTGATTTTAGTTAGTAATCACAATGTTCTTTGCTATCACTACCAAGAAAAAATAACATAATTTATAATATAATAAACGTTTAAATATTTCTTTTTTGAATATGTAAAAGATACAAAGAAGATATCAGTAATTACAAGGATTTAAAAATCACTAGTGGGGTCTAAAAATATTAAACCATTATTATTAAATCTGTAAATTACCTTTTGGTGTTGTTTCTTGTATGTATGCGGTGGTGTGCGGATTTAATTCGAGAAAAATCTCTCCACTTCGTTTCTTTGTGTGGGGAAACTTGGGACAAGCGTTATTCAAAAAAGAGTGAGAAGATATAAAATATCACTCTCTTGTCCTGAACACATTAAAACCTAAGGACAGTAGCAAGTTACTTCTCTCACCCTATATTCCTGCTTAATTAATCATAATTTTTGTTAACAGTCATTCAGTAGCCAAAGAGTTATACGTACACATACTTTGTAATCTCTTACTATGTTGTTTTTGAAAGATTTCTTAAGTTATATTACAATTGCAATTTTCTTTTTAACCCAGTTAGCCTCTGCTGCTAAGGGATCCAACACTAAAAACAATGCAAATGCTGCTAACCAACCAGCTATTACCCATAAGGTCTATTTTGATATCACTCATGATGGTAAGCCAATTGGACGTATCACATTTGGATTATTCGGTGACATTGTACCAAAGACTGTAGAAAACTTTTATCAATTGACTATTTCCCAAGATCCAAAATTCGGTTACTTGGACTCCACCTTCCACCGTGTCATTCCAAATTTCATGATTCAAGGTGGTGATTTTACTCATCATTCTGGTATTGGTGGTAAATCCATCTATGGTGCAAGATTCCCTGATGAAAATTTCGATTTGAAACATGAAAAGCCAGGTCTTTTATCTATGGCAAACGCAGGTCCAGATACCAATGGCTCTCAATTCTTTATTACTACTGTTCCATGTCCATGGTTAGATGGTAAACATGTTGTCTTTGGTGAAGTTATTGATGGCATGGATGTAGTCAAATACATTGAGTCTGTCAATACTGATAGAAGAGATAAGCCATTAAAGCCAGTCAAGATTAGCGCTACTGGGGAAATCGTAAATGGCAAGAGTGGTAAGACCTCTAAACCAAACAAAGGCTCCAAATATGATGAATTGTAAGAATATGGACTTGGTCCGATTTGATATAATTCCTATTTATTTCTTTCTTCAGTTGTGAAAATTTGGTTTGATTAAATAAGTTATACAAAATTCAATCTTTACTATATAAATATGTATATATCCATATGTACTTATTCCATTATGATGAGGTCTGGGTATTTCTTTAAATTTTGTTTTATCCTCTTCTAATGATTGCTTTATTTACCCTGAACATTGAATTTTTTGTCGCAGTTTTTTTTTTTTCAATATTTGTTTATTTATTCTTATTGCAAATAGTGAATTTTTATTCAGCATCAACGATGAAAAAAAAACAGTAGAGATAATTATTAGGTAGAAATAAAGTAACATGTATAAACAAAGGAAAAAAAGAAAATAAAACACTACATTCACATGCACCTAGTGTTGTAACATTATCTTTATTTATCTATTTTTATTCATTTGTTTATTTTATATCAAATAGAACAATTGGTGTTATACTAATTAGTGCTTCTTTATTTTCAATAGTTGCTATTTATTGTCGGATAAACAACGAATTATTTTTTTTCATTTTAAATATATCGCCTGTAAAATAATAAGAACCATTTTATTTGAATATACCAGAAGGAAACAAAAATCTAGTGGTCGAAATATGAGTTATAAAGTACCAAAACAAAAAAAAACACCAGCTTGTAGACAATGTCGCCAAAGAAAAATTGGTTGTGATAGAGTAAAACCAAGATGTGGGAATTGTGTCAAGAGAAATAGACAAGACTGTATATATCCAGAAAAGAAGTATGGAACTGTAGAGACATACAACAATATGTATAACACGCATAATACTATTAACCATAATGTTAATTATCACAATCATACACTTATTGCTACCCCAATGATCTCTAACAGAAATACCGTGAATAATCAGATAGGTGTAAATGTGATGAATAACAGCTCTTTGAATCCTGTTACATTAGAAAATTTTGGCTCCTTGCCAGACAATTTCAACAATTATAACAATAACAGCAATATAGGTATTAATATTCCAATTCAAAAATATTATGGCCCACTACTAAATAGTACAACTGGAACAAATATTCCTTTACAAACGAGTAATTATAACCAAGAACCTTCTGTACCGTCAAAATATGGTACCCAATTATCTACTGATCAATTTAATACCATGCCTATCAAAGATACTTATAAACAGCAAAGGAAGAGTGAACAAATTGATGGAGTTGAATTAAATGAAAATTTACTAGATGTCTTGGAAACTATCCCGCATAAAAGGACTATAAGAAACAACACAATACTTGGCGGAAATGTAAATCAAGAAATTGATAATAGAGTACAGCTGTTGAATGCAAACTTAGATTCTTTACCATCATTATTTAATCCAACTAATGTATCTAACATATATGATGCAAAATATATTTCAACTACCTATTCCAGTAAGAACAAAAAGAATCAACAAAATAGTAAAAAAAGTAACGAATTAGAAAATTCTTCTATATCGAATCAATCTGTACCGGTATTTTATGACTTGATGACTTCGATTTATTCACAAGAAGAAATTCTTTTAAAAGAAATGGACTTCTTAAGAGATAGATACATTCAATTATTATACTATAAATCAAAATATTCTGATAATAATACTGCAGCATCTACTACTGTTCATAAAACCATGGATTCTAAACCAAATTCAAATAATATTGAAGATGAACAAGAAAATTTGAAAAGAAGAAAAATTGAAAAGGTCGATTCTGGTTCTATGCCTTCCACTAAGATTAACACCAGTGAAGATGTGGTTAATAACAATAAAATACCATTAACGCTTTTAGGTCCATATGAAACTTTAAGTATATCTAAGGATAACGCTCAAAACACCAAATTTCCACCAACAATAGATAATTATTTAAATATAACAACATTAGATTTAAATTTGATCAATTTAAAATCGAAGGGCCAAGACTCTAAGCTGAATAGAAATTTCATTATACTTCGTGACCATTATTTAACGAAGTTTTATGAAGACATGACTAAAATTATGAAAATAGATTTTATACCTAATTTGAATGAATATTACCGAAGTAAATTTAAGGTAAGAAATGTTTGCAATACAATATTAAATTGTCAATATCATGATAATTATACATTCGATTACTTAAAACTACTGAAAGTTAATTTAATATTAGAGATATTAGAAATAAGTTGTAAAACTATGCCAAATGCAAATAAAATTTTTTATCCAATATTAGATTTCAGTGTTAGTAATTGGATGGTTAAGGTTATTAAATTATTGAACGATTCTATTGAAATTTCAGGAGATTTGATTCAAATTCCTATGAAACCTATGACTACTAAAGATCTCTCTTTCATTGGTATTGTTATAATAATTGTATTATTTTTTTATTATAGTAATAAATTCAGTATAAACAAAGAAAATAGTAAGCCAAGCTATTCAAAGTTGATGACATCAATTGAACAAAACAGATATTTGTTGTTTTATTCATTGTTTCTAATAAAAAAAAGATTACTTAATGAAATTATGAACAACTTTAATGAAAATACAATCAAAGGCATTTTAAAGTTTATGACATTATATGAATTATTAGATCAAATCAAATATGATAATCCAATGTCTATAGATAATGTAGACTATAATGAGGATATAATGGTAGCATTACATTTTTCAATTAATAATATTAAAAGTGCTGGGGGGAAATTTTTGAAATCCTATTGGAAAGTGATATCGAATAATTATTTAAAACATCAAATCTTTGAGGGTAAAATACCTATTCTATTTGTGAAGAATTTAGCATCAATGAATTATTATGAAGATAAGAAAAGTAGTCAATACATTGGTTATTCTAATGATGATGTCAGTGATATTGATACCTACAATTTCTATGTCTCACAATTAAAAATCATTAATTATTTGTATATGGATGACAGCGAAACTATTGCTGATAGGACAATTGATAAATTAAGTGAATTAATAAAAGATATGGATAATAAATATTATAAATTTATGAATCTGCCAAGGGCTGATGAAAATTTTGATTTGTTAGATGAAAGATGTAACAATTACGAATTTAGAGGGTCACAAAGAATCGATAATTCGTTACAATATTATAAGATAAAACTTCACCTTGAATATTTGATTTTCTTACAATTAGAAATGGTGAAAGAGGACAGACATATTATTAGACAGTTTGATAGATTATTTGAAACAGTTATTGTCCCAATAATATTATTAATATTTCCTTCTGTACACAAGGATAATATGACTGAAGAAACAGTAGAGGCAAAGATAGAAATCTCCAATAATAAAGAAGACACGAGTACTGTCAAGGCAAATGAGATATTGGATTCAAAGAATGAGGATGTTGAAGAGTATTCTGAATATGAGTTCAGATTTATTAGAAGAAAGATGTATTTATTAGAAGATTTATTAGATATTTTATATTCCATATATGAAAGATTCCAAAATTTTGAAAATTATCAAAGATATAAGATAAACGGGGGTGTGGCTGATACGGAAAAAGATACTGATAAAAGTAAAGTTTTAAATACACTAAATCAAAACTTCAAACATCTATTTATTATATTATACATAATATTAACGAGTTCTCCAATAAGTAATAAATTCAATCACATTGAGAATTTCAGACCCGTAACCAAAATATTTATTATATTGAGTAGAATAGGGTACAAAGAAAATATTAAGAGCCACTTGTTATCGAATGAATCCTTGGTGAAGGATAAAGTTACAGGGTTGTTATCCTATGAAAATCGCCAACTAGAAAGCAAATATATGAAGATTACACAGCAAGAATATTTGATCCAAATTCAAAATAGTAACAATGGTCTTAGATCTATTACAGATTTAAATAGTTTAGGTCGTTATAGTAAATATTTGAAGATTTTGAATCATAGATTAATCGATGCATGCCAATTGAACCATATGACCGATTTAGATTCATGGTTTAACACAAACATTATGTCAGAGAATAAAGAAATCGATTTGAGTGGTTTTAGTATATCACCTCAGAATGTAACAAAAGTATTTGATGTCTTCTTTTCTTCCATCTGATTACAGCATGTAACCATTAATTAACTTTAGACATCCTTCATTTATCCATTATAATATGGTTTATTAATGATTGAAAGCTATAAATGGAAAACAAGAAAAGTATCTTTCTTTAGTTTCTTTATTTTAGAGTTAGCAATATTTTTATTGTTGTTGCAACATTCTCATGCAATAACATTGCCAATAATAGATAATAACAATACTGGTGTTAATACTAATACTAACAAGAATAAGAATGAGAATAAGAGCAACAGTGCTATATATTAATGTTATGGTTGTAATGTTTTATCCCTTCGAAGCTTGACGCAATTATTTTCTTTTGGTCATCCCAATTTTAATCACTTTGTGTACAAACGTTGCCGTAACTTGGTGATAAAAGGGAAACAAACCCTGTTGTCACTATAAAAATAAGGACAGACCCCGGATTTTAAGTCTGGCCCTAACCGTAATTCTATTTCTAGCCCTAACCTTAATACCTGTCTTTTTTTTTTTGTTTCATTCACTCGAAAGAAACTGTATGTTGGTATTGTTCCAATGACGTATTTGCCTTGAAAAAAGGGGTTCTCCTGTTATTTTCTGCCGTTTTTCTGTTGTTGTTTTGTTTTTTTATTTTTGACTCTTTTACGAAATCAAATGGCAGTAGAAGAAGAAACAACGACGTCAGAAAGAAAATAAGGGGGGCAGTGGAATCGAAATGTAAAATTAGCAGTAGAAAAAAAAGCAATTTGTATGTTCATGTTGCTATTTCCCCTTTAGGCATTATGACGTATTTGATGCAATAAAGAACTTCAAATTATGTGAACAAGCATGGGTTAAGTGCAAGGTAGTAATAGAAGGTACTAGAGGGTGACAAATAGATATATTTATATATATAAAGATATAAGATTGGGTTAATTGAGACAGTAAGCTTAATATTAGGAGATTGCTTCCCCCTCTCAAGCTTTGTAAATTTCAGAAATTGCACATGAAACATGATATAAACACTAATAGCAGTTGTTGTTTTTTTGTTTAATTTTATAAACTGGTATATCCTTTATACATCAATATAGACAGTATATTGATTTTTGTTGGTTACTATTTTAAATATATACATGGTTAAAAAGAGGGTAGTAAGAATAAATACGAAAGACTAAAAATTATCACAAGAACAGTATGGAAAAAAATATACTATTGTATTAAAATTGGGGTCTTCCTCTCTAATTGATCCAGATACCAAAGATTTGAAATTAGCTAGTATGACAAAAACAGTGGAAGCCGTCACTAATTTGAAAAAGAAAGGTCACAGGATCGTAATTGTGTCCAGTGGTGGTATTGCTATGGGACTTAACGTTATGAATTTAGATAAAAGACCACAATCTGTCTCTGAAGTGCAAGCTATTGCAGCAATTGGCCAAAGCAAACTAATCGGTAGATGGGACCTTCTATTTCAAGAATATAACCAAGAAATTGCACAGATTCTTCTGACCAGAAATGATATTTTGGATTGGAAGCAGTTTAAAAATGCAAGAAACACCATTATTGAATTGTTGGATATGGGCATAACACCAATAGTTAATGAAAATGATACCTTATCTATAAGCGAAATTGAATTTGGTGATAATGACACTTTAAGTGGTGTCACAGCAGCTTTAATTCAAGCAGATTTCTTATTTCTTTTAACTGATGTGGACTGTCTGTATTCAAATGATCCAAGGATTGATCCCTTGGCGAAACCTATTTTAACTATACGTAATTTACATTTAAACAATGGTGAAAATGAAAATCCTTTAAATGGTATTAATATCTCAAATGGATCTGGTACCAATATTGGTACAGGTGGGATGAAGACAAAAATTGTTGCTGCAGATCTAGCTACAAATTCAGGTGTACACACAATTATCCTAAATAGTGAATCACCTGAAAAGATTAATAATATTCTTTCATATATGTTAAATACTGATTTTTCTATCAATATTGATAATGAAGTGGAACTGGAAAGAATGAATGAATTAAATATTCCATTACACACTAAGTTTTTGGCCAATGACCCTGATAAAAGATTGGAGTCCAGACAATTTTGGATCTTACATGGTCTTGTTACTAAGGGATCTATTATTATTGATGAAAAGACATATAGACAATTAAACATGGTTGCTCAAAACCGTTATAAACAGCAACAGAATAACAATCATAACTATAATAACACCCATGATCACCCCTGTAATAAAAATGAAGGAATGATCCAGATTAGTAACCCCTTGCTCGATGGAGAAGAGGGGAATAGAAATGATGGTAAATATACACACAACAATGATGAAAAGAAGAATAGTTATGGGAGAATTTCTGAAGATACTAGCAGTAAAGATATTAATGTTGTTTCTGGTGGGTTAGATGTTCATGGTATAATTGGTGTAGAAGACAGATTCCATGAAATGGAATGTGTTAATGTCAAGATTGGTAAAACGTTAGCCAATGGTGAACTAGATCCGAATTATCCTTTGAAAACTGTAGGGAGAGCTATGGTAAATTATACAAGTGATGAAATAAAAAAGATTAAAGGATTAACAGAAGATAAAGAAATCGAGAATATACTTTGTGGCAGTAATAACATCAGTTCATCTTTAACGAAAAAGCTTAAGCATAATTATAACAATTATAGTCGTGATCATGGAAATGATTATGGAGACAATTATATAACGTTTAGTCAAAATAATAGTATTCCATCCACCAATTCAAATCCAAGTGTTCGTAGTAATACATCTGCGATTTCAGTTGTAGCAAGTAGAGAAAACTTGGCATTAACACCATTTTAGACAGGTATGCCTCTCAAAAGAAAAAAAAAAATGTCTTAGCTTTCTGTTCTATATTTTTATACTGTTCTTTATCTACACATATGATAAATATTAGGTATCTCATTAACATCTTTATATAAAGATAATCAATTTTGATTTATCTTTGAGGAAAAATAATTTACTTTTTTCAACATAAGTGGTCATTGATTCATATAAATTAGGTAAAGGGATAATGATTTCATTTGGTTTGAGGTCTGATGTTTCGTCGTTATATATTTTTAAATTGTTACCGGTTGGATCGTATTGACTATGGAACAAAGACACATCTATTAGATTTATTGAATTGTTGTTCTCATTTAATATATCAATCTCAATTCTTAGTTTCCATGTCTCAGTGTTAAACGTCTTTCTCATTGACACAGAATATGTCAATTTTAATTTTTTCTTAGGTGAAATCTTTATTGGTGATCGGGACTGGTTTCGTTTTAAAGCTATTTCTTCAGAAGTTGAAATTTCTTGTATTAATGGATTTGAAGGAATTATATTAGTTTTCTCTTGTTGAGGAAACAAAGTTTTCAATGAGTTTCTTTCATCTTCTAATTCTTGTTGAAATAAAAGGTCATTCTTCCACTGTGTAAAAGTGTTATCTAAAGGCTCAACATTTGTTGAATCATAAGTATTATCAGTTAAAGAGGTTTTGAACTCCAATGGAACAGGACCATCTGGTCCTTTATATTTTAATTTAGGAAATTTGAGTTGCTCTCTATTTATTATTAAATTGTCAGATAATTCACAACTTTCAATACACCATTCAATCAAGATTTGTTTTAATGCATCGACATTGTTTAAATCATCACAGCATTTAGAGTTTATTATACAATCGTAAACAAGACATTTTTGTCCCTTCTTATCATGATCCCATCTCTGTGGAGATGTAATTATTGGGATCTCCCACTCATTATTCATAATTTGTGTGAATGTGGTTAATGGATTAAACGGGGTTTTAGGTTCAGGGGTTTTATCTGAATGGCATAGATTGATAAATATTTTCACATTTTGCAATATAGATGGTGATACAATCAAAGATTTGATCACAAGGAATGGAATTGGAATGATTTCCACAGTTTTTATCTGATCTAAAGGAGTTAAATACATCTATAAAATTGACCAATAAATAAAAAAAAAAAGAAGACCACCTTGTTTAATAATAATTTTCTGAATATATATGTATATATGAAGATTAGTGATATGGTTGTTCTAGAGTAACTGGTGTGTGTCAAAACAAGTAAAAAAGTCGTTTACAGTGTTGAAATAGTTCAATTTTTCACTGTAGTATATTTTTTCTTGAAATATTTTATTTATTGCAAATTTTTTAAATTAAAGTCCTTCGGATAGTTCTAGATCTTTGAGAAAATGCCTAATTCGCCAAATGAAATTATTATCAAAGCATAAAAGATAGAGACGGTAACAATAAGAAAAATGTCCATGAGTTATAATATCATGATAAAATACAACATTTTAATATATAAATAAATAGATAAATAAATAAATAAGTAAGCAAGTAAATAAGTAACTAGATAAATAGTATCGTCTATATATAATTCTAAAAGATAAAGATCAGCATTCCAAAAAAATAATACAAAAATAGAAAACAAAGAAAAAAAGAAAAATCAAAGTGATTGTGAAGGTCATTGAAAAAAAAAAAAAAAAAAAAGAGATTCATTAGTTGTCCTTGGCCAAGGTTTCTTTTAATTTAGCTAACTTTTCAGCTCTTTCCTTGCCTCTGTTTTGCAAGAAAGCTTTGTATTGTTCAATAGAAACACTCTTGCCGTTTTTGTTTTTCAATTCAGTTTCCATAGCTGGGAATCTAGTACCAAACAAAGTGTCCCAGAAAGTGAAGAATGGTTGAGCATAATTGAACTTAAGACCCCATTCTTGGTGGTGAATGTCATGGTAAATGGCATTATTTGGGAAAATCAATTGGAATGGATCAATTGGTAATAGGAAGCCACAATGATCATCAACAGTCTTCAAAGTAGCTAAAGTGAATAAGACAATTTGTTCTCTTTGAGTCAATCTAGTTAAAAGCATAGCAATACCAGTACCACAGGTGTCTAATAGGAAACCTTCGAATGGGTTATTGAAAAGAGCACCGTATGCGTATGGAACATATAATTGGTGATGTCTTGAGTGGAATCTTTTATATAATGCGGAATAGTAATGCATAGCATAGTGTAAAGTGAATTGCCAAGTGTCAATGAAAGCAAAGGCAGCGAAAATCTTAATGCAAGAGAAACCATAAGTGTAGAAATAGTAAATATAGTTGTCTGGGATATAAGTGTTGACTAATTGTGGACCCATGATACGGTATAACCATTGCTTTAGATGCCACATAGAATTCAATTCGTAACCGGTAACTTCTGGACCATCAAACACGTAAGCGGCATAGCCCACAATGGATTGTATGATGTGTTGTAAGATAACTTCTCTTAAGACTTCCAATCTACCAGCTTTATTTCTTTTCAACATTTCTTCAGATGGATGGATTCTATACTTTTCAGCTAGTTTGAAGACGTCTAGGATGTAGAAGAAGAGAGAGAAGGTCCAGTAAGCAACGACTGGGGCAATCAAAGCAAGGATGCCATCTGGGATACCTTCAATTAAAGTTGGTCTTTCAGTTAATTGAATGACTGGTTCAGTAGAAGACCATAAGGTTTCGTGGAGTTTGATTGTACTGTTGAAAGTAGCGTTATTCATCTTTTTTCGTTAATTTTTTTTTGTTTCGTGTTTCTCTCTTTTTCTTCAAAAGGGAAGCTTATTCACAATTGATATTCTTTGGCGACTTAATGAGATACTGTCGAAGTGTGATCAGATGCGATGAAGACAAGCTACTGAAAAAGAAAAAAAGAAGAAGAAGAAAGAAAAAACATATGTGTTCCTGTATGTGAAGTGTGTGTATGTGTATCGATCAAATATATCACATACTTATATAAGGTTAAAAAAAAATCAAATGGTAGACTTGCTGAGTAATTAGATTTAATATATCAGTTTTTTTACAAGCATTTTTGCTAATTAATAATCTTTTTACTTATCTATGCGGAAAGCAGAAAAATTAGGAAAAAAAAAACAAACAAAAAAGAAACTTTTCTTGTTATTTTTGTAACTCTTAGTCTTATTCTTCTCTCAAGGAACAGGTGAACAGAAAAAAAAAAAAAAAAAAAAAAAATACAAAATACAAAAAAAGAAAACAACTGACGAAACACTCGAAGAAAGAACAATAGCAAAATATTGGTCCCTCGCTGGTAGGCGTGATTGTAACAATAGGACAATAGGGATAAACTTAAATGATTTGCAGAAAAACTATTGTTTTGTGGTGCCTAAGGTTTCGAGGTGTGGAAAAAACAATTCTTAGAATCACGTGTGAACGTGAGAAGTCTCTATTAAACGATTGTCGTTTAACAAAGTTTGTTGTCGTTTAAAAAAACATCAACAACAATTTTTTTCCGTATACTTTGTGTTGCTTGTTTTGTCTTGTTTTGTTTCTCTTGTTGTTGTGGAACGGTGGTTGAATTGGTGAACAGAAAAACAAAACAACACAAAACAAAAAATGAAATGAAATATAATAGAATAATATAAAAAAAATAATATCAAACTATTTTTCTGTCTTTGTTTGTTTATCTAGGAATTTTTTATTTTTTCTCTTTTTTCCTCTTCGTCTTGTTGTAGAACTTTGTTCCGCAGAGCAGTTTTCGTTTTCTTTCTCTTTTTCTTTCTCTCTTTTGCTCTTTTTTTTTTTGGAAGAAAAGAAAAGCGTCCCTGAAGGTTCGAAGAGAAGCACAAAAAAAATTGTTCTTCTTTTATTTTTTTTTTAATATTTCATTTTGAATTAGGATAGAATAAAAGAATAAAAGAAAAAAAAAAATAGGTGGGATGAGCTTTGTGAAAGATCAAGAAAAAAAAAATATCAAAGAATAAGCACAAACATATTTTTACTAAGTGTGATGGTATACTTAATGTAAAGAAACCGTTTTTCAACATAACCTGTACCTGTTTATTTCCATTATCATACACAATATTGCTACTAATAAAAAAAATATGGATCAATTCGGACTTTTATCTCTTGAAGATAACGATCATGAAGATATCAAGTTGAATTCAAAAATTTTAAATCTTTCGTTAACAGATACAAATACAATTCCAGATTATGATCATTCTCGAAATAATGAAATACTTTTGGATAATGACGTTATTGTAGGTCTAAAAGAAATGACTAGAAATTTCCATTTAGATAATAATAATAATAATAACGATATTATGCCAGAACCAATGGAGATAGATATGAATATTGATTTAGAGGACCTACAAACTGTGGCTCAGGAAACCCAATCAAATTCTACTAATAAAGATAAGCATATAGGTTTAATAAAAGATGATAATTTTAATCTTGCTGTTGATATTGAATCTAAAGAAAAGGTAAGTGAGGGAAATCCACGAGAAAAGAGTATTGTCGATGACTATTTATCAGAAGTTGAGTCTGTTTATTCTAAAGATACCGACACAAATATTCAAAATAGCCAAGCTCTCACAACAGTATCTAAATTATTATCACCCACTCAATTAGGTGCTTCATTAGTTACAAATCATAATAATAATAATAATAATAGAGGTAACAATAATTTTGAATTATCATTAGATAATATGAACTCTGTCAATAATAATGTAGTAAAGAAAGATAGTAGGATGAGTAAAATTAAGGATAATATCAATAGTAAAGATAATTATGATATGATACGATCTAATAATGAGATATGGAAACAGTTATTAACCGATAAACAATTAATTAATGTTAATATAAATAATCATAATTATTTCCATCCTGGAAATCATCCTGGTATGGGACTTGTTAATAATAATAATAATGATGATGATGATGATAATAGTGATAGAAATAATAATAGTAATAGTAATAGTAATAATTTATTACCTTCACCTTGGTCACCAAACTCAACACCATATTTTAAGAAATGGTACGATACGATATCATATGTACAATGGATATTAAATTTTGGTTCGATAGTGTTTGTAATATATTTAATAATATCTTCGATGACAAAAGATTTAAAAGCGATATGGTATCAAAATAAGTTATTGTTGATCAATGAATCGCAAAATTGTCAACTACAATATAATTTAAACAATTGCGATATAAATTTTAAATTACCTGAAATGTCAGAGATATGTCAAGACTGGTGGATTTGTTGGCATAGAGATAATAGCAAGTTGATTAAGAATAGAACTAATTTATTGATTAAGTTTTTGAGTTCGTTGATTAATGAATTTTTTACTGAATTAAACATAAAAACGCTTATTGTGGCGGTGATTTTGATATTTGGTTGGTTTTTCATATCAAATTTTACAATGGGTTTTATTAGAGCCAAAAGTTATTATGGTAATGGATATAAGAAACAGTAAAATAGAATAGAATAGAATAAATGTATATATATATATATATATATGTGTGTGTGTGTACGTATATATATGTATGAATATATTATTATGAGGAAGAAGAGAGAGGACTCGACCCGAAGGTATTATTATAGAGGAACCTTTATTATATTAATTTAAATATTTTCTTTTTAACTGATTGTTTGATAATATTTAGTTTTAAAAGAATATGGACATAGATGGGGATCGAGATGTAAATAGGTATATACATCACCGTTGTCATGGTCACCAATATTTTGTTTTTGCTTTTTTGGTTTGTTTTATTTTTTCATTTCATTTTATTTTATTTCAAAATTCACGGTGTGTCTGGGTGTAAGGTTTTTTATGTTTGGTTGGCTTCAAAATTTTTTTTCTTTCTTTTTCTTATATTCGGAAACCGACTTCCGGGCATATATATATAATATAGCATAACATAATTTAACATAACATAACATAATGAATTACCAGTGTTAAGAGGCAAGATAAAATAAAAACCAAACAAACAAAAAAGATAAGACAGAAATTGATTGGCATTGATTCAATAAGCCATTTACAGATGCATATATCCAACGTTGTATACCGTACTATATTTTCAATGGATTATCTTATCAATTATACCTTGTCAGAAAATAAATGGACTAATAGATTAATTAGATGCTTTAATTCATTGATCAGTCAGTCAGTCAATTATTTAAAAAAATAAAAAAAATAAACAATCTGTTGACTTATCGATTGTAATCTAATTAAACATTGGTTTCTTGTATATATATATATATATATATATATATATATATATGAAAGGTTTTGGTTTCTAAACATACATTCTTTCCTCCTTTTAATAATAATTTTTCAACTTCGATTTTTCTTGTTTTTTTTTGTCCTTCGTAGACATTATTTACTTTTCCTCCCCTAATTTCTTTGTCATATATATATATATATATACGTTTATATGTAAACAAATATCTAAATCAGAAAATAAGTACATAGAGGTAGAAGTTAAAATATTCAATTAGGCTAAACAAAGATAAAGGGAAAAAGTATAAAGGACAACTTTGTTTCATATCTCAGCATATACACACACATACGTATCATTATAAAAGCATAGTTATATACATTCTCAGACATATATATATATATATATATATAAAACTACTTTCACAATGTTCAAAGCTACTAAACAAATACTACAATTAAATGCTTTAAAAGTCCCACATAATTTAATAAAAAATGAACCCATTAAATCCTTTGCAAGTGATCATGTTAAAGATTGGGATCTTCTACGTGCCTCTTTAATTAAATTTAACAATAGTGAAAATTCCGATAACGTATTGAAAATTCCTTTGGTTGTTAATGGTGAAAGAATATTCCATTCAGATAACACCTTAGACCAAACTAACCCTGCTAACCATAATCAAGTCTTGGCAAAAGTTACACAGGCTAAATCAATTGATATTGAAAATGCTATTGAAGCTTCTAAAGAAGCAAAAGAAAAATGGTTTAGGTTACCCTTTTACCATAGAGCTTCGATTTTTTTAAAGGCTGCAGATCTATTGTCTACAAAGTATAGATATGACATGTTGGCTTCATGTATCTTAGGTCAAGGGAAAAACGTTTATCAAGCAGAGATAGATTGTATCACTGAACTGTCAGATTTTTTCAGATTTAATGTCAAATATGCCAGTGAACTTTACGAAAAACAACCAACTACAGATATTAAGGGTACTTGGAACACTGCTGAATACAGACCTTTAGAAGGGTTTGTTTATGCTATCTCCCCATTCAACTTTACCGCTATCGCTGGTAATCTTGTTGGAGCTCCAGCTTTAATGGGTAATACTGTTATTTGGAAACCTTCTCCATCTGCCGTCTTATCAAATTACTTGTTATATACGGTTTTGGAAGAGGCTGGCTTACCACCTGGTGTCATCAATTTTATTCCAGGTGATGCGGAAACTATTTCAGAGAGATTGATTAATGACGAAGATTTCGCCGCTTTGCATTTCACAGGTTCAACAAACGTTTTCAAAAAACTGTCTGGTAAAATTAATAGTAATATGATTGAAAATAAATATAAGAATTATCCAAGAATTGTAGGAGAAACTGGTGGTAAAAATTTCCACCTGGTTCATTCCAGTGCAAATATGGCTAATGCCTTATTTAACACAATAAGAGGCGCATTCGAATATCAAGGTCAAAAATGTTCTGCAACTTCCAGACTATATCTGCCACAATCCATCTCTGATGAATTCTTAGGCGATATGCTCGGTGTCTTATCTGAAAAGGATTCTAAGTGTGTTCCACTCAATACTTCCGCAAGCCCACTCAGTGGAGGTGACCTACATGGATTTTTGGGTCCAGTCATCCATGAGCAAAGTTTCAATAAATTAGCTAATGCAATTGAAGAAGCTAAAAAGGATCCAAATTTGGAGATAATCTACGGTGGGCAATACGATAAAAGTAATGGATGGTTTGTCTCGCCAACTATAATAAAATGCAAAGACCCTACCCATAAGTTTATGAAAGAGGAATTTTTCGGTCCAATATTGACTGTGTATGAGTATCCGGATGCTGAATTCGAAAAAATTTGTGATATTATTGATCAAACTTCGACTTATGGGCTAACGGGCTCAATCTTTGCTCGCGACCGTAAAATTATTGAACTGGCTACAGATAAGTTGAGGTTTGCTGCTGGCAATTTCTATATTAATGATAAATGTACTGGTGCAGTCGTGGCTCAGCAATGGTTTGGTGGCTCCAGAATGAGTGGTACCAATGATAAATCTGGTAGTGGAAACATATTGAATAGATTTGTTTCTATTAGAAACATTAAAGAGAATTTTTATGATATAACTAGTCATAAATACCCATCCAATTATGAATAAATATCAGACAAAGATATATAAAAAGATAAAAAAAAGGGGGGCAAATAAATAAGTCTCGATTAATCCATTGTAGTAACTAATAAACAAATGTGTAGGTTGATTTGGTTTACTCACAACGAGAGTTTTCTTACCTTAGAAATAAAACAAAAAAAGAATAATATTCCAAAAAAATAAACTTATTAAAATATTCAATACACACACTTTTTCTCTATGTAGATCTATTTGTATGTATATACATATATTATATAGTTAACTAATGCCAATATTAGTATTTATTTTGAAATATCACTCTTTTTGTCTGATTATTTTGGTTAGTTGTGAAAATATAGGAACGTTATTAAGAGAGTGAAAAAAAAAATAATAAAAAGTCGTCATAAAACAAAGGGGAAGAAAAGATTTAAAAAATAATTACATCATCCTTTGACAACAAGACAATTCCTCCACAGAACCATAAGCTGTCTCAAAATCAAGTCTGAACTTTGAGATTGAAATATATCGTGTTTGTATAACTATCTAAGATTATCGTAGAAAATTAATTTGGTAAGAGGAAAGAAGATCAAATAATCGATTTTGAAATTTTGAAAATACTAAAATATGATGTTAAGAAGAGTCTTACTTTTACCAACAAGTGACTTTATAGTCTTTTCAAAGCAAAGACATATCCACACAACTTTGTTTCTTAATGCAAAGAATAAGAATAAGCATGACAAAGGTAAGAAGTCATATAATAAAGTAGAGAAAGATGAGTCCATAGACATCGTGGATATTCAACATTATATCGATCAAGCTAAAAGTAAATTCGATAAGACTCTTAATTTACATGAGATCAAATTGAATGAATGTAAACAGGGTATATCAAATGTTCATATCTTCGATACTTTAAAACTAGCAAACGGTACGAAATTTACTGAAGTGGCCACAACCACTCAAAAGGGTAAGAATATGTTATTGGTGAGTGTCTTTAATCCAAATGATGTGAAGAAAGTTGTTAGTTGCATTTTGGCTTCAGGATTGAATTTAACACCAGAAAAGATGTCCAATGACCCAAATGAGCAAATGTTGAAGGTAACTTTACCACCAAAGACAAAAGAATCCAGATTGCAACAAGTTAAAGAACTGAAACAAATTTTTGAAAATTTTAAGAATTCTAATTTGAATTATTCTTTAGGTGTCATTAGAAGAGATTATATGAACAAACTTAAAAAAGTTCAACAAAATGACGATGTTAAAAAATGTATGAAAGAATTGGAAGCTTTACACAAGGATTATGTTAATAAATTACAAGAACAATTTAAACATGTGGAGAAGAATATTTTAAATTCATAAAAAATCTTAACTATATCCTTTTAATAATATTCTCTATTTTTTTTTACATGTAAATAATAATGAATGTAAACTATTACAAAAGAGGGAGATTTCAAAAAAAAAAAAAAAAAAAAAGAAAAAAGAAAAAAATAAGAGGAACACTAGACATGACGAATAGTTGCTTAAGAATGCAGAATCATATATATCTTCATATATAATCATGTCTATGTCATTATTTAATTAAAAAAAAATAACATTAATAAAGGAAGAAAAAAACAAAAAAGAATTAAAGATAATAGTAATTTTTCATCTTATTACAGTCTGCTTATATACTCTTCTTCATTTACTTTCTTGAGCAAGGGTCCATATAGATTTAATTCTTTCAAATAGGGATGTTGTATAAGATGCAGTAATGAAACTTTTCACAAAGCTCCATGCTTTGGAATTGTTTAATGGGTAATCTAGAGGTTTAGGGATTTGAGTGGAAACAAATGGTAACTTATCATAACAGACACTCTTTGCGTTGCATAATCCTAATAAACCTTCTTCACCGCCGAATTTACCGTACCCAGAACCATTTATACCACCAAAAGGTAATTGGCACACATAGAAAGTAGCAAAATCATTGATTGCCACATTACTAGTAAGTAAATTGTCAGCCACATAATTGCACTCTTTCAAATCATTACCAAAGACAGAACCACCAAGACCAAATGGTGCAGAATTGGCCAGTCTGATGCAATCATCGGTGGAGTCACCTTTCATCATAACTAAGATTGGGCCAAAGACTTCATTTTGAGCAATCGTCATATCCGGAGTAACATCGACCAAAAGAGTAGGTTGGAAATAGTTCCCACTTGGATATTTTGGATGTTGATAGCGAGATCCACCAAGTAATAATCTGGCACCTTTACTTACAGCATCTTTAACAAGTTCTTCTAATTGGGAAAATCTGTTATCAGAGATCATGGCACCCATATCGACACTGTTCTCTACTTTGTTACCTTCATTATCTATGTCGGATCCTAATTTGAATGGATTTTTTAACAATCTTTCATGTAAAATTTCAACTAGTCGATCATAGTTTTTAGAAGATACAATTACTCTTTCAATACCGATACAATTTTGACCAGCCGATTGGAAAGTACCCCTTAAAATGATAGAAGCAATAGTTGGTAAATCGGTGTAACTGTCCAGGACAATAAATGCATCTTTACCACCTAATTCGACTACTACTGGAGTTAAGGATTTGGCTGCACACTTTAAAATTTGATGGGCAATGGGCTGACTTCCAATAAACGTTATATGTTTTAAACCAGGATGGGAGGTAAAATAGTTGGCAGGTTCCAACATTAAAGAATCATCCTTGTTATTTTGTGGTGGTAAACAATAAAATAGTTGAACCAAATCAGGATCTACATCACAGGCGGTAAGACAATTTCTAACCAATTCAATGAAATAGTTTGAGGACCAAACGACTTGTTCAGAACATTTAACGATAATTGCATTACCAGTAATGATAGAGGCAATAATTGGACCCATTAAATTGTGGAATGGATAATTCCATGAAACGATAGACGCAATGACACCTAAGGGTTCGTACCTGATTTCAGCTCCCTTATACCATTTCATAAATAAGTTAGTTGGACCAGATCTCTTTGAAACCGATAATGCTTTATGACCATGTTTGATACACCAATTTAGTTTTTCTAAAGTGACTAAAATTTCACCCATTGATGCGTCGACTCGGGTCTTACCTGAATCACGACATGCAATTCTGGCAATTAAATCTTGGTTTTTGATAATGAAGTCTCTTAATGAGATCAATATAGATAACTTTTGTTCCCATAAGCGTTTTTGATCCTCTTTATTCTTGTTGAAATTAGCTTGAGCAATGGCAGCTTTTTCAATCAAATTATCGATATTATTATTATCCATGGACTTAAAGTTACCCAAAAATTGGCCGGTAGCTGGACATCTAGCTTCGATGTAGCCTTCTGGTACATTAGTTGAGATTTCTTTAGATGGAACCCAATTACTTTCAATTTCTTTTGGAACTTCTGGTATTTTAAATTGTACGGGCCGACCCTTAAGAGTTGAGCAAGTAAATATCCATTTATATATAAAGTAAGCCACAGCGAATGTGGATAAGTATGCCACTGTGTTATTCATGAATAGACAATGATATTAACAACTAGACTTAAAGCATAAAATTGATGACAATATATATGTATGTATGTATGTATAGGGGAATAATATATTGTCATTGATTGTACCAGTCTCCTTTAAAACAAAAATAAAATGCCAAATACAGAGATGTTGGAATAATATTTGTTAATCCAATTGTATCAAGATATATTAGCATCCTAAACAGGTTGGTGTGCATATGCATATATATGTATGTATATATATATATATATATATTTGTATATTTATACAAATATTCTTGTTTAGTGAATAATATCCATACAGTTTTATCTGAAGACTGTTTATCGCTTTTTGAGAGAAATTGTAGCAAGAAGTAACAAAACAATGGCAGGGGAAAATGAGAACAATGGAACATCGTTTAATCAGGTAGATTACCCAAAGCGGTAACAAAACGACGAAATTCGCAGCTCGAGCTTCAGTCAGTCACGTGACTCTATGACTTCAGAGAGGAGGAAAAAAAAAAGACTGAAATGTTATATAGACAACACTATTCAAGTTAAGTGTGTGTGAATAAGTTATGAGCTATAGATTAATGGATATATGAGATATGATATATGTGATATATGAAATGTAGTGGTATAAGTGTATATATGTATATGTATAGTTGATCAGTCTAAGAAAGGAAAAAAATGTGAAAAAGAGCCGTTAAGAAGCATTGACGTGCATCCCACCGACTGGGTTAATTACAGCATTGATTAAAAGATTAACAACCTGCTGTTTTTTATTTTCTGTAATTTGGTCGATTTCTTCTAGTTGTGCTTGGATAGATGATTCAGCTTGTGCTTTTAAATCGTCAAGACCACCTTCATTCTGTTCAGAATGGGTTTTCAATTCTTTGTCCTTTTGTGCTTTATATTGTGCTATTTCATTGGACGCATCCTTTTTAGCTTCCTTTAATTTCTCTTGTCTATATTTTCTTGCTTCACTAACAATTTTTTGTGCTTCTTTTTCTGCTTTAAGTAAAGTGGCAATACCGTTGCTTTGAGCTGACTATAAAAATTTAATGATAATAATAATAATAAATAATAATAACATGTTAAAAATGCTAACATATATGCAATAGTTAATGACGAGTTAGTAAATTAGATTAGATATGATAATAAAGGATAACGAACATTAATAAACGATATACATAAGCACATCCATTATATATATATATATATATATATATATATATGTATGCGTGTGTGTGTTCATATGTATTACATTACTATGGAATAGAAAAAATTGGTGAAAGGTAGGAATGAGGAATTATTTGTAGGTCTACATACCATTTTTATAATGGGTACTCAGTAGTTTTATTACAATATTCTAAGTTGTTTATTTTTTAAGTTAGTATTTCTTAGTTGCGCTTCTCAAACATATATCGTAGGTATAAGTGTGTGTATACATCATACACCTCTACATTGGATTTATTTGGTCTTTTGTATCCTTCTATTAGCATCCTTTTTCTTATTTATTTTTTTTCTTTTTTGCAAAAGTTTCTTTTTTTTTCTCCGGCAAGAAAAGAAATTAAAAAGAATAAAAAAAAATTATAAGCCAGGCATAGTTACAATAATATAGAAAGATACGCAGATAGTATCATATGTAATGGATATACATTCATATATATATATAGTGTCTATATTAATCAAGAACATTAACATATTGATATGCAAGATTACATAGTTCAATATTTTCATCTATATTAGAGCCTGTGGGTGACATTGCATCCTCATTTAATGTATCATTTGACATTTTGTAAGTCTTTATACCAATTGTTTTTAATATATCTAAAATTGTTTTAACACAGATTGTAAAATGTGAATTGTCATCGATAGTGGCTGTATGAGCGTTGTTTGCGGGTGGTGCTTCTTTTAATTCAATAAGTAAACCTTTAAATCCGAAGGACGAAAAAAGGTTACAACATTTAATTAATAATCCATCTTGTGTAATAAATGATTCACCTGCATCACCTTTTATTAACTGTCTCTGAATCCACATGTTCGACAGCTTGTTACTGATTATGTTATCAATTGTTTCCGGGTACCACGCACTACTACATGAATCGATTAGTCTTCTTACACTGTTGGTATTTGGATTAGTATTTTCATTGTCTACATCTAAACTTGTCGTTGTAACAATCGCAATCTTATTCTTTATTAATACATTCTTCTTCCTTTGTGGGAATGCTAGACTATATAATACATTGTTTCTATCACTTTCATTCTGTTCTTCCTCTTTATTAGTACTACTATTATTATTATTATTTACTTTTTTTTTCACTTGACTTCTGTATGTACGAAACTCTAAAGCCCAATTGGACTCAATTGATATAATAGAACTAGATACAGCATCTTTGAACTCTGTCAATGTTGCTGGCGTAGCTTTATCCATAAAGATTACACTTAATAAAAAATAAGATCATCATAATATTGAGATGATATGAATAGCCAGACAAAAAAAAATAAAGACGGGAAGTAAAAAAAAGAAATAAAAAGTCTTTACAAACAATGAATGTGCATCCATATCATCCTAATTCTTTCCTCATTTATTTTTTTTTTTGTTTTTTATTAATGCTATGTTAGTATAACGAAACGGCATGTGATTCTTTCAAACCAAGTGTATAGATATGTACACATACGTTGTATTTGTCATATTATAGATCTGTTAAAGTGCTATCTATTCTTTTCGACTAGTGAAGAAAATGCGGTGTTTGGTACAAACTGGAAGATGCACGCTTTCTGTTTTGTTTCTTTCTCTTGGAATAACAAAAGTAACGTGACAGTTTTATGATGGCAGTTCTGCAAATACCTTGTCAACAAAAATGGATCTGATTGAATGTCATTACTCATTATCACAACATATGTTATTTGCAATTACTTAATTTATTCATATAAAAGAGATGGAGAAATAAACAAGATAAAATTATTTTTTGCCCTAACTGGATTTTTTCATTAACCCTAAACAACCCGTTTGATCGAGGGAAAAAGGGGTCAAAATAAAATAAGAAGCAAATTTATTTTTCTTTCTTTTTTTTGTTGATTCTTTGCAAAAATTCATTTTATTAGCACTTTGGGTTGTTTGTTTGCTCGATGTGCAAACTATTTGTTCCTGTGAAATACATTTGTGCCTTTGTACATAGCTTGTTCAGTGAATTGTTTCAGTTAACTTGGTTGTGCTCGATTAATTGCAATTTTATACTTGTAGCGGTGAAAAGAAAAGCCAGTCGATAAGGAGAAAATGGCAGACAAATTTGATATCATAATCCTGACTCTATTTGCAGTTTTAGTTGCAATTTATTATAATAGAGACTTTTTGAAGGATTTAGTTTTGAATTCCTCTGACGAAGTTTTTAAATTGGAGAATGGGTCAGGTTCAAGAGATATAGTTACCGTTTTAAAAGAAAATAATAAAAATTTTCTTGTTGTCTATGGCTCACAGACTGGTACTGCTGAAGACTATGCCAAAAAATTTGCAAAAGAATTAATGGCTAAATTCAAATTAAATGTCATGTGTGTTGATTTGGAAGACTATGATTTTGATAATTTAACTGCTCTACCTTCAAATATTATGATTTCTATCTTTTTGTCCACTTACGGTGAAGGTGATTATCCAGATAATGCATTGTTATTTGAAACTTGGTTAAAAAGTTTAGATCAAATTGATTCATCTTTGAAAAATATTAATTTTACAATGTTTGGTCTAGGTAATTCTACTTACGAACATTTCAATGGTGCTGCCAAATCAGCATTGAAATTACTAAAGGAGAATGGTGCTAACTTGATTGGTGATTTAGGTCTTGCTGATGATGGTGCTGGAACAACAGATGAAGATTATTTATCCTGGAATGAAAAAATAGTCGAAAAGATTAAAGTTTTCTTGAAGCTTGATGAACAAGATTTAGTATTTCAATCGTCCTTTGAAATAAATTATTTGGATAATTTAAATGATAAGGTTTTCCTTGGTGAACCTTCGTCACAATATTTACCATCTTTCACTGGTGGAGTACCATTTAATAAAGAGAAAAATTTGCAAACAGGTCCTTTTAATATCAATTATCCCTATGTGGCTCCAATTGTGAAAAGTATTGAGTTATTTGATCCCTTAAGTGGTAGAAATTGTATTCATACAGAATTTGATGTCTCAGGTTCTGATATGAAATATTCCACTGGTGATCATTTAGCCGTTTGGCCATCGAATTCTGATGAGGTTGTGGCCACTTTCCTTAAAGCGTTTAATTTGAAAGGAGATAAAATATTTGATCTAACTTCAAAGGATCCAACTATGAAATTGCCATTTCCAACACCGACCACTATTGAATCCACTGTACGTTATTATTTAGAGATTACAGGTCCAGTTTCAAGACAATTTATTCGTAGTCTGGTTCAATTTGCACCAGATGATATAATTAAATCAAAATTACTCGAATTGTCAAACGACAAAGATCAATTTGTTAAAGAAATTATATCAAATTACTTTAATGTTGCTGATGCACTGTTATATATTTCAGATGGTGAGCCATGGACCACAGTTTCATGGGACTTTATTATTGAATCCATTCCACGTTTATTGCCACGTTATTATTCGATTTCATCCTCAGCCTTAAATGAAAAACAAACTATTCATATTACTTCAATTGTGGAAAATAATAGAAATGACAAAGTTAGATTACCTCCAGTGGTTGGAGTCACTACAAATCTTTTAAGAAATATTCAATTAAATAGGTCAAATGTCCCTGAGGATGCAGTTTCTAAAAGTGAATTTATTAATCCATTGCCTGTTCATTACAATCTGGATGGCCCACGTAATTTGTTCCATGGTTATAAATTACCTATCCATGTTAGAAAATCTACATTTAGGTTACCCACAAACCCACAAACTCCAGTGATTATGATTGGTCCAGGTACAGGTGTAGCTCCCTTCCGTGGTTTTATTAGAGAGCGTGTCAGATTCCAAGAATTGAATCCTAACGTTAAATTGGGTAAGCATTTATTATTCTATGGATCAAGAGATTTAAACGACTTTTTATATCGTGATGAATGGGAACAGTATAAACAGAAGTTGAATGGATCGTTTGAAATGGTAGTAGCTCACTCAAGATTGCCTAATCAACCAAAAGTTTATGTCCAAGATAAAGTCAAAGAAAGAGAAGATGAAATTTTGAAATTGTTACAAGATGGTGCTTTTGTTTATATTTGTGGTGATGCAAAAGGGATGGCTAAAGATACTCATTCCACATTTGTCGGTATCTACAGCCGTGGTTTGAATATTAGTGAAACCGAGGCACATGAAATAATTAAGATGTTAAAGAGTCAAGGTAAATATCAAGAAGACGTTTGGTGATTAACCGTGTATGTAACTGAACTTTGAATCTATATTCTTTAATTTCAAAATATTATAGTAATTTAAATAATAAAAAGAATTGAATGGATATGTGTATTTATTCTTCTTAATTCAATATATATATCTTTATATCACAATTTGAAAAATGATATTAGAACATAGAATATGTGAAGTTATTACTATTATCTAGATAATGGATTAGTAATTCTTAAAGTTATTCTACCAGTTTCACTGTTTTTTATAACGCAAACGTGAGTCAAATCTTCTACCACATAGTCAGCACCTGCATCAAATAAGACTTCTTTTGGGTTTGATGAAGTTATTCCGATGGTAGTTGCACCCATAGCTTTACCAGCCTTGATACCCACTGGTGCATCTTCAAAGACCACACTGGAGACGTTAGAGGTTCCATTCAAGTCTAACCCCCATAAATTGGCCAATTTATTTTTAGCCAATTGGTACCCCATTGGATCTGGTTTCCCTTTGCAGACATCGAACCCAGTAATAAAAACATCTGGTTTACCAATATCCTTCAAAATATTTTTAAACCATGAGAATGCTAGATAGGGGGTACCGGAAGTTACTATAGCCCATTTTCTTTCATGTAATCTACTACCGGTTATACTATCTTTATCCAAAGATAATAACAAATCATGGACACCTGGGACCAATTTTACAGTAGATATATAATTATCTGCCATTTGTCTCTCCAATGCCACAGTGATTTGGTTCTGTGAATTATCTAATTGAGGGAAGAATCTAGTTAATATTTCTGCAGAACGTGCCCCATGTGAATGTTTGAATAATTCTTCTGGCTCAACATCATATTTCTTACATAGATTTAACCACGTCAATTCGGCAGCTTCAATGGTAGATATGATAGTACCATCTAAGTCGAATAAACAAACATCAGTTTCAATATCGTAGTGAGGCATTTTGAATAGTAGGGAATTTTTGGTTTTTCTTCAATTTTGTTGTTGCTGTTGTTGTTGTTGTTTTGCAAGGAGTTCTATTTAACTTCTTTCTTTTGACCACTTTTTAACAATACGGCTGTATTATATATTTTCTTCATATGTACATGGATATCACTGATAAAGTGTGGATAGTAGCAGTGAGTCCAAATTCGAGGTCGAGAATATTTTGTATACACGCTGTCCACAGATCTCTTTGCATATATTGATAATTATTGTCAAGCGTGAGGACACAATAATAAATAGCACAGTGAATGAAAAAGATAAGGTAATTTCTCGAACTAAAATAAAAAAAAGGGGGGTTAGAGGAGTAAATGACTAAGAAAAGAGTAACGAATATATAGACAAGAGTTTAAATTAGTGTACTAGATAATTCAGAAATGTCTGACTTGTCAAATAGTAAGATGTTATTTAGTATAATTGTAATGATAATTGTTGAAAGAGTAAAAGGAATTATCGATGTTTTTTTTAGTGGAATTGCTATCTCTTCTAGCCCAATACCTCAGGCTCTTTCTGGCTCTTTCTGTGTCTATCCACTTAAGAATACTTAGAATATCATTTATATCAGGTGTATTCTACTTATTTTTGTTTTATTTACTTATTTAGTTGTTCTTATATTGTGGTATAAACTATTTGTTACGTAGATTTCTCATTGTATTTTTTTTTTGTTTGCTTCTTTCCTTCAATGGACAGACTGAACAACCAGAAAGGAAAAAACTGACTGCTTAGTATTAGTTTGCTAATGGGTTCGTAATTTCCAATACAATTTGGTCAGTGTCACTATTTTGAGAAACAGTCACATGTGTCAAATCTTCGACTACATAATCGGCCCCAGCTTTGAATAAGATCTCTTTTGAATACGAGGTAGTAATCCCAATTGTGTAACAACCCATAGTTTTACCTGCTTGGATTCCTAATGGCGAATCTTCGAAGATAACTGTTTTCCCCTTTTCTAATGAAACCCCCCATTCTTGACACAATCTACTAAATGCGTCTTGAAACCCTTGTGGGTCAGGTTTTCCCTTCGTAACGTCATCGCCTGTAATAAATACTTTTGGTTTCCCAACATCTTTCAAAATTGTAGTAAACCATTTGAATGCAATATATGGTGTTGCAGAGGTAACAATGGCCCATTTTCTACCTTTAGTCAATGTCTCACCTGTGTTGGTATTAGTATCTAAAGATACCAACAAATCATGAGCACCAGGAATCAATTTCACAGTATCAGTATAGTCGTCAGCCATGCGTCTTTCTAACATAGCGGCAGCTTTGTTTTCTCTATTATCTATCTCAGGAAAAAATTTAGCTAGAACTTCTCCAGTACGGCAACCATGGGAATGTTTAAACAATTCATTTGGATCTACGTTATGTTCTTTGCAAAGATCCCTCCAGACACTTTCGGCAGCAACATTGGTCCATACAATGGTCCCATCTAAATCAAATAGACAATTATCAACAGTAATTGAAGGCATCTTTTTTTTTTTTCTTGTTAGTATTGTGTGTTGTATTCGTTATTGGAATAGGATATTTTTCCAATAGCTTCTATAAAGGTTGTTATCATATCTTTGATGAAAATACATAACTTTTTTAATTGAGATCATGACACTAATTTATATATCAAAGGAACGTTCCAACATTTTTATATGTTGAAGCAGAACTAAAGAGGGATTAGGAATAGAGAATATAAACTGCTAAGCAAGAGTTATTATTATCTCTTTTTTTTTCTCTTAATAGTAGAGAGTTGAGAGTAGGCTTAGCAAGAAAAAAAAAATAAGGAAACTAAATGACACGTATTACATAAAGAAAGATTTAAAGCATTCTATACAATTGAAACTAATAAAATTACAAGTATATTCATTTACAGCAAATACATAGAGTACAACAATTTGTTTATGTGTATCTGTCATTTTCTGAACTTAATATAGAGGCATATTTATTTCTTGTTTTATAATCTTCTTTGATGGCATTAATAATTTGATCCGTTATCCTTTCGGTGATACCATACGCTTTATGACAACAATCCATTAAAGTTATTGCATCCATTGGTAAGCCACCAGCTTTTGAAACTTGAACAACCTCTCTATTTTTATTTAGTGTGACAGTCAAAACACCATCTCTCATTAGTTCTTCCTTTAAAGTGGCATCAATTATAACGATCTCTGAATTGTTTTCGCCTTTAATATTTGCTTCAGTGTCTTGTGGATTGTAAAATGAAAACGTGACACAGATTGGAACATGTAATATGCCCAATGGCACGGGTTCTCTTTCTTCAACTGGATGTACAATAATGTTATTTCCATCTATTGTAATATCGGGTTTTTTAAAATGCATTAGGCCAGCCATGACGGCAATACATGAAGCATCAATGAATCCACCATCCCCGTTCAAGAAATGTACATTTGCTCTTACAGCCCAGCATTTTGAACCGGCAATAATACATAAGCCTTCAATGTCTAATGCACTGGATCTCCTGACTGCCTTTTCAATGATACGTGATATTAACACTTCATCCTCACCAACATTATTCCCATTTTCAAATTGTGCACCAGCCATTGGCGTTGATTCAGTGGATATGAGAAAAAGCCCTTCAAATGGTCTATCTTCATATGGTTGTGTAATCTCACAACTTATACGACAGTGAACTTTAGTGTCACCTAAAGTGACCATTACATCACCGTACTCTTTACCAAAGGTAATAGTCACATCTCTAAAATCGGTAAATTTACGTCCATCTAGTCTTTGATTTATTTTTAATGTCTCTAGTATAAATTTTGCTTCTGAATTAGATACTATAATATCTTTTGCCATATTATTTCTTCTCTTTCAGGATGAGTTTTGGAAATTGTATGTATATAAATAATCTTGAGAATAAAAATTTCCAATAACTGTATGTTTCTTAGTTATATGGGAAGATCACTTGCCTCTCTATCTGTTAAAGCATATATGAAATATATATATATATATGTATACCAAGTCTAGAAAGTCATCACGTTTCGTCTTTTTTCTTCAATGGATCTTTTTAATTAAAAAAAAAAATAGATATACATACATATATTTTTGAAAGAAATAATATAAAATTTTTCATAAAAAAGAAAGAAAGAAAGAGAGAGATATATAGTTCTATAAACTTGGATATGCAACTAAACAGGGCTGTATGGCCAAGACATTGAATTTTATATCAAAAGAATAACTTGATTATTGGAATATTGTGACTGTTTTTTTGGTGTAAGCTATCAATTAAGTAACAGCTAGATTACAAAGATGAAAATACAGGCTAGAGAAGAAAACAAATGACGTCATTAGAGCCTTAGAAGTGGATATTGTTATAAAATCAAATTCTCCTACTTTTCTTTTTTTTTTCAAAATATAGGAGAATGCAGTGATAAGCAATGTTCTTGTAAAGAACATGCAAGGTAGAAATTGAAGATTTCAAGTTTTTTTTTTTTCTTTTTTGTTTTTACTTCGTGATTTAAATCTATATAATAAATAAATAACCTTGTGGATTTGTTTACTAGACATCAAATATGTTATAAATGTTTAAAAACGAGGATGTTTAAGTTATAGTATAAATGGATATTAAGAATTCCATTTAATTTCTGGATCTATGAAATATGTTAAATCACCACTTGAGGGTACCTTTTAGTATCAAAATCTCTTTCCAAAAAGTGAGTGTCACATATTCCTATGCATAACAATGGTAAATACTTGTATAGCCCTATTATTGATAGTTGATTATTTTTTTTTTTGTTTTTTGTTTAACGAAAATTATCATATATACTGATTTCCTTACTAGAAGAACTTTTTTGTATATATCAGATATGTTCCAGTTTAATAAAAAAGAAGAAGTAAATATTGTCAGTATTAGATGAACTCCTTGGACAACTATATTTCCCTGATATTCAATATATACAAGGGTCACCTGATTGATAGGATTTGTTAAGGTTTGAGAAAGAAAAATAAAATAAAGTTATTTTTTTAGAGAAGATAGTAACAACCCGTTATGGTTTAATGATAATCACGTTCATAGACATCAGTGGTAGTCGCGTGTGATGATCTATGTATGGATATAAGGTACACTAATAGTAATAAGATGTTGCCTTTCTTTTTGTTTCCTCACAGAAACTTTATGGCTTCCCCATATAAAAAAAATAAAAAAAAAACGTCAAAACCCGAAAAATTTCTGAAAACTGAAAAACAAAAAAAAAAAAAAAAGAAAAGAGAAGCAATACCGAAAAAAATAAAGCAAAGGATATTTTCTTTTCTAAACGAAGATGATAGTATTATTATCGTTATACTCTGATGCAGTATAATGCTAGTAGTATAGCAAACATCGTTGTTCCTGTTATTGCCATTATTTGTTACATGACAAGCAAGTCCAAGATCTGATTCTTCGAGAAATTCCCTTGTTTAGTAAGCGAAGCCCTTTTTTTTTTTACTATAAGAGGATTAATATATATATGTATGTATGTATGTATGTATGTATGTATGTATGTGCATGTTTTTACTGAGACGTTTTAGGTTTTGCACGATTAGAAGCTACTCTTGGACATATGAATAATTCTCTTTCTATCTTTAAGTAAGAAAGAAACAAGATCAAATAAAAAAAAATAAATAAATAAAGTATCATTATCCATTGACTGTTTTAAGGAAAATTGAAAAGTACAAGGTTGACATTATTATTCAGTTGTCTTAAATCATGATTACCTTATGGACTATACTGTTATTGATAGTTTTAACATTGTTTTGGTTTAAAGATCCAATTCTTGATTCTCAAAGAGACTTGAGTAGAGTTGCTTTGTCACAGCAAGCTAACGTCACGGTGGTTAGAAAGTCCAATGAAACTGCTTTATATAGAAATTTTATGATTCCTTTACAATTTGCTTTAAATACTGGGTTAGCTTTGTCTATTGGTTATAAAATTAGAAATGGTAATTTCGGTGATATTTGGAATGCCATTATGGACATAACTAAAAGTAAAAAATCATTTATATCATTTAATAATAAACAATATTCTTTACCAGATATTAATGGCATGTGTTTTCAATTTATAAAACATCTGGACCTGATCTGTAATAATATTAACATCAATACAAATAATGACAAAAGCATAAAACAGGAAAATAATGCAGAAGAGAAACCACAAAAATCAACTATTGTTGTGGGTATTACTGTTCCAGCGACATCTTTACCTGGGTTTATTATCTCCGTGTCATGTATGATAAAAAGTATTTTATGTAAAAAGGATGATGTTATGATTATACCTCAATTAGTCACAATGGTTCCAAGATCAAAACAATTCAATAATATTGATATTCTAGTAATTAATTCAGAAAAAGATTTACAAATGCTAAACGATTCAAAAGATTGGTATTCAAAGATTATCGTTTGTGATGATACAATAGTATTAAATAAGGATGCTATCAATGATTCGAATGTTGCCCTTTGGAAGGATATGATTCGTAATTATTCTCCGGTAGAGGCCTTTGAATATACACCTCCATTGGATAATTCAGATGAATTGAAACCATTTATTAATATCTCTTCCAAATATTCAAATGGTATTACCTGTTTTAACCAATTGAATCTGGTTAGTAGTCTTTCCACTTTTATTAAGTCATTCCCTTTGAATCATGAATTGAATTCAGATGATGTTTTAACTATAATTAACAATCCGAATGATTTAGAGTTTCAATTGCAAATGTGGACTAAAGTTTTTGCTGTATTGATCCATGGGGGTTCAATAATAATGGAAAATTTAGATTCTTCTCTTTCGTCTTCGTCTTCTTCTTCTTCTTCTTCCTCGTTTACTATGAATAGCATCGATCAAAGATCAACTTTGCTGTTTATCGATGCTAATAAGTTTAAAGAAATGTATGAAAAAGATGTGTTCTTTTCAAAAAGATTAGACTGGCTTCAATCAATTAAATTTACTCTGGCAAAGCTATTATTAAAATCAGGGATTTTACCAAACATGTTTAAATCAAACATTAAATCTCTAAGATGTGTTTATTTACACTATTCAATGAAAAAACAAGACCAGATATCTAAATTTGATTTTAATGCTATACCTCAAAAATATAAGAGTGGTCAATTCGATGATCCATTGACAATCGAAGATATTAATAAGTGTCGTATCTTATTAGGTTCACGTATAAGTGTAGAGTTATATTGTGACACTTTGGTAATGGGGCCTATTTCACAGACAAATTTTTATGATTACAGATCATTACCAAAATCTACTGAAAGACAAGTTACATGTTTTGGTGCTATATCTTTGAGTCTGGAAGGAAAATTTATCGAAACTGAATCAAACCCACAATTTGATATTACTAAAAGACAAGGGATGTTATGTGTACGCGGGTTCACAATTGGAAAACCTTTAGAGATGGAGAGAATCGAATCTGCTACAAAATTGAGTGAAAATATGGCACATGGTGAAGGTTGGATGCCACTAATTGGAGTTTACGGGTTATGGGGACATGATGGCTGTCTTTATTTATTTAAATGAGAGAGCACAAGTTATTTGTTAATTTATTTTCTATTTATTCATTTATTTATTTATGTATTCATTCATTTATTTATTTATGTATTCATTCATTTATTTATTTATGTATTCATTCATTTATTTATTTATGTATTCATTCATTTATTTATTGATTTTCTTATCAGCGGCATATGATCTATAAAATTCTATAAAATTGTTTCATATATATAGGTGAGGATATACATATATATGGATATCCACATACTTGAGATAACTTAATAATAAAAAATGTATAAAATTATCATCAAAATGTATTAGTTTATGTCGATCCAAAGGGAACGTGCATAGGCAAATATCGTAAAATAGTTATCTTTTTTTAATCATAGTTTAGAGTGCCCTTAACACAACCCCAAAACTTTTCTATGTATTCGATTTGTTCACCAACATTTGAACAACCTCTTACTGCTAAATATGATCTGTTGTCAACACCAATTTCCCATTCACCTGGGTTGGCCCCTACAACTATCCCACCAGTCTCTTTCAAAATACACCACCCAGCACAGACATCCCATGAATAACAACCACCGTCCCAATACCCATCCAAATAACCTATTGCTGTGTAAACAAGAGACATTGCAGAGGATCCCAGATTTCTAAAGCCATGAACAAACCCCCCATCAACAGCTAATAAATTTTCAGAAGTTGCCATCTTAGTCTGAAAATTTGCACCTTCTCTTTGTGAACCTGGTTGTAATGCAATAACAGATTTATTTAAAGTCAAAGAACCCATACTAGTAATTTTGGTCGAATAATCAAACGATTCCCCATTGATTCTGACACCGTTACCTTTAGACGCAGATACCAGTAGATCTAGGTGAGGGTTGTAGACAACACCTACAACAGGTTCTTTGTCGATGGTTAATCCCATGGAGGTACAACTGAAGGGGAAATCATGAACAAAATTGGTAGTACCATCAATAGGATCTACGATAAATGTCGGATCATTAGTTATTTTGGTAACACCTTTCACATAACTTTCTTCGCCAATAAATTTGAAATTTGGATACTTACTTTTCAAAGAATCCCAAATCAATTTTTCTACTTGTTTATCAATCTCGGTTACAATGTCCACTCTTCTGGAACCTGTCTTCATATCATAGGTCTTTTGAGTGCCAGATTTGTTTTTAATGATGGGACCTATCTTGTTAATAGCTAGTTCACAAAGAAAATTTTCAACAGATAATAAATCAACTGTCATAACGAATAGTTGTTGTTTTTTTATTATGGTAGTATACTATATTTTACACTTGTTCAATAGATGGTTGACATTTCTTCTTTTTCTTCTTTTTTTAACTATCAGTATATATATTGTCTTAGTGATTTAACTTTTATAGATAGAATATGTTTAAAAATGGTTTTGATTGTTAAAAAAGGAAATGAAAAAAAAAATTTTTAGATTATCTGTATGACTTAGATCTTGCATTATACATTTTCATAGTAACTTTTGATAAGTATAAAATGATGTTGAAGCATTCCGGAACAGATTTCAATCCAAAAACCAACGTGGTAAAGCATTATTAAAAAGATCAATATATAAATCGAGGGATTTTATATACATGTATATATGTATGTCTGAGTATTGTCTATCAAAGAGAATCTGTAAGTTAAAAAGCACAAATTAGAATAATCATAATCATAACAACGTCATGGTTTCACTTTAGTTTGATAGCATCCAACATTGAATCTACTACAACATCTGGTATACCGGGACCTTTAGAAAAAGCCATCCCACCAAAGGATACATTACCATTGTATTGTTTAATCACTTGGTTTTCAATCTCATCAGCTAGCTCATTGAATCCAACGTTAAATCTTGGTAAACAGTCATTGGCCGCAGTGTAGACCCAAAGACCATCATTTAAGTCCTTGTCAGAAACATGTAGATGTTTTTTTAATGCATTTTTTACTTGATCAATTACTGTATTTTTGTCAGGTACTATTGGATTTCCTTGTAAGTCATTTAATAAATGACCACCTACCATAGCTGTAAGTTTTGTGTAATTTTTGTTTTCATTTGAATGGTTACCGTTGGTAGATGTTGGAAATAATGGTTTTCTATTCTTTTCAATGACAGAGTCAAATATCACACCTAATAAATGTTCAGGGTTTGAGTTAGACTTTGGAACAAGATAACCAAAGCTGTCATATTTTGTAGTAATAATATCTTTAGTTGGATGGTAAAAATTAACTAACAATACAGTATTATATTTAATCTTTTGTAATTTTCTAATCAACTCTCTATTGTTCTCTTCACTAAAAATGTTTTGAATATAATTTGGTACCAAGGAGAATCTTACATGATCAAACTTTTCTGAACCGATATCAGAATTGTTGTTCGAAAAAGCAAGTTGTAATTCTTTGTCTTTAGAAATTAATTGAGTAACTCTTTTATTTAAAATAGAGACATTAGGCATATCTTTGATCGCACTGGTGATAGAATTAGGTACTACACTTAATCCACCTTCAAAACTTAACATTGGATAGTTCTTTAATTTTTTTGAAAGTTGAAATATTTCATGAGCATTACCATGGAAGTTAGATTGATATGCTTGAAGAACTGGGCTTAGCTCTTCAGAATTAAATTTTTGCGACCCTCTTTGATGCAATAATTTCATTAAAGCGGCTTTTAAAGTAGAACCATACTTCTGTTCATCACAGAATAAATTAGCTGCAACTCTTTTTGCACTTAAAGTTGATATATCATCTGCATATATTCCATGGTATATGGCACTCATGATATTTTGACCCAGTAAATTGCTTCCAAATCTTCTCTTTATTAATTGTTCGACTGACTCATCTTTATAATCCTTCTTTTTCGGCCTGGCCCATTCAAATAAAACAGATTTAGTAAGACCCTTAGCAAGAGGACTTGCATAAAACTTACAAAAGGTAACCCAAGAGTCTGGTACTTGAACTAACGCATTGTTTGGTCCTAATAAAAATTTCCTGTTAGCTGGAGACTGTTCTTCAATACAACTTACTTTATCAGAGTGACCAAGTTTTTTTATTGCATCGATCATTAGTACTGTTCCATCAGAAATACCTCTTAGGGTTCTTGGACCACGTTCTAACATGACATCTTTACCTTGTTTATCTTGTGTGTTCCAAGAATAAATCCAACCACCAAGTCTTCCCTGATTCTGGTCAATTAAAGTTATGTTAACATCAGGTCTCAATTTACTTAGATAATAAGTAAAAAAGAGACCTGAGATACCACCACCCACAACACCAACTTTTGCATTGGGTGGTAATTTTGTTAATTGTTTGAATTTCATTTTGAAACAAAATTAATTCTTTTTAGCCTTAATTAGCTTTGGGGATTATTATTCTCTTTTATTGTTATTATTATATTTTGAGAAGGTTCAGTTATGGATATATATATATATATGTTTAACATAGGGTAATGAATGTAGTTGGTAATTGACTTTTTAAAACAAAGCAGCTTCTTGTAATGTTTGTTCATTTGTTCATTTATTGCTCGTATTAACCTCTTCTTTGTTTGTTGGAATCTCTTTGAAACCATTGTTCTTTGATTTTTGGAAAACTAATCTTTCCTTGAAATTCTTAAACGAAAGGAACGACCAATTATAGAAAATAATAATAATTGGATAAAAACAATATTCTCATATGGCACAGAAAAGAACACGAAATACGTTAAAGAAAGAGGTTTTGCTGTATTTCTATTTGTTGCTCTACTGGGTTTGGAAAAGATGTCAGCGCTTGTAGCAAACAGAGTGTTAGCTTAAGAAAAATCTATTTATTAATTATTTAAGTGCTGAATCAACTATTAAAAAAATAAATTATGTATCAAGCAGATGTTGTTGCCTTGATTATTAATCTTTTAACTAAATTTCTGCATCGAAATAAGAAATATAAAAAAAAGAAAATAGATTGGACAATGTCATGTTATCTTTTAATACCCAATGCCTTTTCTCTTGATTGTCTAATGGAACTTAATCTCCATGAATTTTGATCTTTGGAGAATCTATTGTGTAATGGCATAATCCTTGCCTTCTTTCTTGATCTGCTGTTGGCATCTGTAACTTTATAGAAATGCGGAGCACATTCGACAAGCCATTCTGGGTTGATACAAGTCACATGAGACATGTATTCACGACTTGTTAAAATTAAACTATGGTACATAACATAGTCATAATCTCTTCCACATAAGGCACTTGAGGGATGAATACCTACAATGGTATTACCCAATATAGTTTTATATCCCACAGTAGAATCCCTTTTAGCAGCATTCATAAAAAAGCCTGTCAATAATGTTTTTCTTATTAAATCAGGGTCACCATAACATTTTGTTATTGGTATATTATTCTTTCTAAATATATCGGTTATTTGGATCTTGATATCTCTTGCTCTTTTTAAATGCCTGGCATGAAGAAAGTTTATCTCACAAAATTGATCTGAACGACCAGCTAAATCCCACTGGGTATAGACATTTAATAAAGTTAAGTGATCTCCATAGGGATGATGGAATCTTGCTTTCCTACTATCTGCTATTTGTTGTTTATTTTTTGGTCTAAAAAATACATTCTGAATTGACAACATAGAAATAATAGTTATTATCTCCTCCGAGCATCCATTAGTTACGGATGCTAATAGAGATCTTGATAATGTGGGGTCCATTGGAAACTGAGACATCCGTTGCCCTAGCTTAGTTATGTATCCATCAGTATCTAGTGCGTCAAGATTGAATAATTCGTTCAGAGCATATACCATTAAACTTCTTGGAGGAGGGTCCATAAAATCAAAATTCAATAAATCATTAATTCCCATAGCTTTTAGCATTAAAATTGTGTTAGACAAGTTCTGTCTTTGTATTTCAGGGACACTGTTTGGTAGCATTTCATTATAAAAAGCTGATTCAGTATAAAGTCTATAACATTTACCTGGTCCTGTTCTACCGGCCCTTCCTTTTCTTTGATTTGCTTGTGCTTGAGAAATCGGGCATATAATCAATTGTTCCATACCTGTTTTAGGATTATATGTATTGATCTTGGCAAACCCTGGATCTACAACGTAATAAATACCATCAATAGTAATTGATGTTTCTGCAATATTCGTAGCAAATATTACTTTACGACTTCCTTCTGGAGTCGGTTCAAATATTTTAGATTGTATTTCACTAGGCAAAGCAGAATATACAGGTAAAATTAATAATTCGTCCATAGCATCACCCAAAGTTTTGACTCTTTCATAAAGTATTTCACAACAAGAGTCGATTTCCTCTTGACCTGTCAAAAATACAAGAATATCACCTGGTCCCTCATTTATATGAATATTTAATACACATTCCAATGCTGCTTCAATATAATCCATCTGTGGACTCTGTGAATAAAGGACCTCGACTGGGAATGTCTTACCAGGGATATTAATAATTGGACAATCGTTGAAATACTTAGAGAATTTGGAAGAATTTAATGTTGCAGAAGTGATAATAACTTTTAATTCGGGTCTTTTCATTGCAGCCTTTTTGAGAAGGGCAAATAGAATATCAGTAGCGACAGTTCTTTCGTGTGCTTCATCTAACATTATAACGGAATATTTTGACATTAATGGATCCAATAATGCCTCTCTTTGTAGCATACCATCTGTCATATATTTTATTCTCGTTCTGTGTGAGGTTCGTTCTTCGAAACGAATTGAATAACCAACTTCTTCGCCAAGTTTACAATTCATTTCTTCAGCAACTCTTTTAGCAACGGAGATAGCAGCAACTCTACGCGGCTGTGTACATCCGATCATTCCGCTGTTACTGAACCTTTCTTCATCCAAGTATTGTGTTATTTGCGTGGTTTTACCAGAACCTGTCTCACCCACGATCACCAAGAATTGATTATCTTTGATAGCTTTAATCAACTCATTTCTCATAGTAAACACTGGAAGATTCTTTCTTTGATCACTGATTGGGAGTGAGGTGGGTTTGCCGAAACGTACTTTTTCTTTTTGTCTCTTTTTTTCCCATGAAGTAACAACCAATTGTTTCTTAAGGTCTTCTATTTCTTGTTTAATCTGTTGAGGATTCTTTGTGGGATCATTTAAATTTCTTTTTTCCCTTATTAACTGTTCAATATTCTTTCTTTTTTGAATTTTTTCTTCTCTGTGCTCCTTCATTGTCTTCGAACCATTCATTGCTGCTCTATTCATTGAACTCTTTGGTACTTTGACAATTTTGGACATGTCAAATTTTTTCATACTTAATGACTTTTCATGTTTCAAAAATGCAGGTTTGTCGTTCAAATTGAGTTCAACATCTAAATATTTATCATTAGCATCTGTATCAGAAGTATTATTAACAGTATCACCATCTTTAGCAGTTGTATTAAGTTCAGGATATTCTTCACTAGACACAGTACCACTGGCAATTAATTGGCGAATTTCCCACCTTTCTGGGGATGTTAGTTTCCTCTTAGTAATAGCAAATTTCTTTTCCGAATTTGTATTATTTTCTCTTTCTCGTTTTCTTCCTCTCTCTTCTTCCAGAATATTGGTACATGGAGAAATAATCTTACCGGTAGTCTGATCTAGATTTTTCATTGAGAGAGATATTTTGCCATTAGGATGGATTTTCACTACTTGTACATAGATTTGTTGGTTCTTATGAAACCGATTAATTGGATTGTTTGCCCTCTCTGTGTGAGGTATTTCAGAAACATGAACTAACCCTTCACAATGATGTTTCTTGACATTTAAGATACGAACAAAACAACCAAATTTTGTTACTTTTGTGATAATTCCTACATATATATGGTATAAAGTGGCTTGATCGTCTATACTTATCTCATTTGCTTTAGAACTATTACCTCCAAACAGATCACTCACATCTGAAAGATCCTCCCATTGAACTGGTTCATTTGGTAAGTCCAAACTGGTACTTTTCTCTTCTTCTAACTTGATTTTATCAGTAGAAGCTAGTTGTGTGACTTTGTTATCATTAGAAATAGCAGGTAAGTTCTTTCCTTTCAAATACAACGAATAAATGCTTGATAATGTAGAATCTGCTAGCCCACTTTCCATTCTAATCATTTCATTCTTAAAATGTGCTTCATCATTAGTTTTGTTCAAAATGTCTATAATAAAATCTGTTACATTAACTATGTCTTCGTTATCCTGTAATTTTAATTCTCTCTTTACAATACCTTGAATTTTTTTCTGCCAAGATATATCACTAGTTTCATATATCTCGTTTTTTACTAGCAGAGAAATTAGAATAAATAGTTTATTTATTTTATCTGGTGCTATTGATAGTTGAGAAATGTTGATTTTTTTTCTAAATTGTTGAAAGGAGGAACATTCTTTTCGGATATCTATAACATTATTTAAATCTATATCTTCATCGGTTCCTAATAGTTCCTTAATATTTTTTATAATATCATTCATGTAATAATACGATGTTTGACTAAGGGAAGGTTTTCTCTGTTGTGTTATTAAGACACAGTGTATTCTTTGGAACGTAGTAGACTGTTATTAACTGTTTATATCCTGCTTGGCAAACTTGAATAAAGAAAAGTTCGAAATAGGTTATTCTTTTTTTTTTTTTTTCTTTTTTTTTAAAAAAATGTGTTAGAGTTGCTTTTTAAAAAGAGACAGTAATTTAATATTGTAATAATGTGGAAGAGCCAAACATTGTAAGTATTTACTAAGACAGACACAGGTATTTCTATGGATGGGAAGGTAGATATATACGTGTGTTCAGCTTGGTAATAACTATAGGATGGTGGTAGATAGTGCACACATCACTAAATTACGTTGAGAATGTTTAATTTACTTTATTTATATGAAAGTTTCGTGATATTTACATCATTCCACTTTTCATATAACTGATAACCATGGACAGATGTATCATTTAGTCTAATAATAGAACGTAAAAAAAAAAAAAAAAAAAGAATTTAAAATGATATATTAAGTATTTCTTAGTCCGACTCTATTTTTTTTTTACAAAGTATGACAATTAATCATGCAAAATGTTTAAGTGGATGGTTATACAAAAATGTAATGAAATGTATATGATTTTTTCTTTGCTTTTATCCCTTTTTCGTGTTATGATGAATTCTGTTTTTTTCATTTTGTCATTGTTTAAGAACCACATTACTTATTGTGACTGTTTAATGTTTAATAGTATATTATTAACATAATTCATAATGGTCCATAATAAGTGATACAGATTTATTTTTTTTTTGTTGTTGTTATTGGCACAAAATCTGGTGGTTATAATAAATGAGAGAAAATAGTTTATAATATTGTCAATCTTTTTTTTTCGTTTTTAGCTATTTTCATTGTCTTCAATTTGATATTTATTCCATGTTGCATAAATAGATTCTTCAAGGACTAAGGAGTCAATACTTAATTATTTCTGTTAGTAGAAATAATTGATTATAAAGCAAGAAAACTCGACCCTCAGTAGTATGACATGGATACATTTCTTATATGGTCTTATCTGGTAAAAGAAGAATTATTGAATTGTTAAGATTTTTAAAAATGGATTATAACGCTTGAAGAATGATTATTCGTAGTCATCACATTAATCAGAGGAAGAAAAAACATATTTTGCAATGGACTCTTGAGTGTAGACTATACATTTTAATTTCTAACCGTTTAGAGCTTATTTTAAATACAACAGTTAACCTTACTCTAGAACACATAGCTTTTATAATAAAAGCAAGAACAGGTTTGTTTTTTTTTTTGTCAAGTATGAGAGATTTTTTCAAAATAACAATTTCGAGGGTCATTATGATACATGAGAATCGCCTACAAGAGGAACTACTCTCTATGGATATAAAATAAGATGAATTGTTTTTGGTTCGGTTGGATATACAAAGTGTATAAATCACATATCGTATATTGAGGTGAGCGTCAAAATGGTGGCCAACCATATAACATGAATAAGAGCATCATATGTGGAGGATAACAACCAAGAATAAATCGCCATGGTCTTACGTTCTAGAATAAGAGACCTCTTTCTTTTATATAGTGGTTTGCTGTTCAAATATTCCAAAGACAAGGAAATCATCACTTTCGTATGCTGCGATATCAAAATATTGAAAAAACAAAAAATCCAAAGAACAAACGACCCCAGTGAGGATTGAACTCACGATCTTGCGATTAACAGTCGCACGCCTTAACCAGCTTGGCCATGGAGTCTTGCACTGTCTGCTTGCTGGTGTAATATGAGATGGCCAGATTCTTTGTGTATTTCAGGGAAGTGTAAATAATATTAACAGTTATTCAAATAATCGAGACAGTAATCAACTATAGGCGATAATATAATTACTAAAACAGTCTTATATATCGAGCGGCTTATATCGAGCTAATATATTTATTTGAAGTTACTTATTGTACTTGCTTGTTGTTCTATTTATGTTTATATATAATATATAATTTATTTACAAGAAACGGTTGTGGAAGATGATCTTTTATCTCCGGAAAACGTTGTCCTTTTATATGGTTTCTGTGAAATTTTTGTTTTTCAACTGTTGTTAAATATTTTTACAAAATGTCAATTATTCTTCAATGACAAACTACTATTTGAAAAATAAACAAAAACACAATTTTATTCTCAAAATCTCTATCATCAACAAATAACATACTACTAAAGATATGTTGAAATATGATTAGAGTTATGTTTGATAATCTAAATTCATCGTACTAAGTGATTAAAAGTTATGAAAATTTATATTAAAGAAGATTCGAAGATAAAATGAGTATACTGTATAATATCGTATCTTGTATATTACTTATGTAGAAAGAAAAGGATCAAACAATACAATAACAATTTATAGTACCACTAATTTCCTACTATAAATAATAATAAAACTTATAATACCACCAATATCCTATTGTAAGTTACATTATCTTATTATATTAGTTTAAAATGAATTCTACTAGAATTTTTGATTCCGAAGCCTTGCGTCAACAAGATAAAACCAAAAACACTTACATTATCACATACTAATCAGTTACCTAAGATCATATTATAAAATATCATATAAGGATTATAGCTCATGACGTCGTCCCAAAAATATGCAGTTCATGAAAAAGAGCGAATAAAAAAAAGTTCTTGACCACCATGCTGAAAATACAATCCTGAAAAGTTTTCATATATTGTATTGAAATAAAGTGTTCAAAGAATTATTCAAATATGCAAGTAATAATTTCCTATAAAATAATGCATTTAAAGTATTGATGGAATTACAAGCCATAACTATGATTTCAAAATATAATCATATGTAGAGTATAAATTGATGGAAATCTCCGAACTTTTTTCCTTTTTTCTAAGACACAAAAGGAATTTCATAAAGGAATATATAAGACATAAGTAAATAATACAATTAAAAATTATCTATGAAAAAAAAGCTAGGAAATGTGTATTCTCTTTTCTTTCACTAACCCTTCTTTCAAAGTTATATTATGAAACGAATGTTTTACCATTTGTCATGTATTTACTTACACATAATTTTTATATGTTCATATTCAACTATTTTTATCTAATGATAGTTTCTGTTGAATAGTTCTCAATTATTATCTCACTAAATTTACCATCAACATATTAAAATACCTCTAACTGTTCAATTATGTTCACTAGCTGTTTTCTTTATAATATTAAATGAAAAAAATTTTAATCAGATGGATTTATCTTAAATATTTTTCTATATTGTTGAAACTATTTCCCTCTTCATGTCTTTAGTGTTAAACAACGACATCTTTTCAAAAAAAAACTTTTTCAATAGTTTCAGAATTTCAACTTAATCAAAATAAGATACTTCTTATTTAACATATTTTACACCCATTAGAGTGAAAAAAATTTCACCTTAATGGGGGTATTTTGAACTATTACCATTTTTATTAGCAAACTGTTAAACTATAATGTTTAGTATGCCACACAAAAAAAATAATCACATTTTGGTTTGCCGACCATCCATATCTATTCCTCATTTCGTTAGAAAATCATTACAATATTCTAAACTTTAATATAGTTAATAAGAAAATACAAAGAATTATTTAAAACGTATTTTCTTGAAAACATAATCCTTGATAAAACAACTATTTATATCTTTATCACTTATGTGAAACATACCACTGTATACTATTTATATCTATATATTACTTTTATGGTAACACGTTAATCCAAACTATAAAAATTTCAGTTGTAACTTGAGTACTAGTCTTAAATTGTATTTTATTTGTACCTTCAACTAAACTTAGACTATATCTTTCTGATTTATCTTCATCATTATCTTTTGAGTTTTGATTTAAAGTTTGAGCATTATCAATAGATTGGGCTTGAGGTTGTTGCTGTTGCTGTGATGGTGATGATGTTGCAGGTTTAATAGATGGAACTTCTGTATTATTTACTATTAAGGAATTATTCAAATTCGAAATATTCAAAGAGACATCCATAAGTAAAGATGTTTGATTTGGTTGAACAGATAATGTATACATATTTTCATGTTTATTTAATTTTTTCATATCAAACGTGTAATCTAACCAATTTTGTGCATATGGTGGTCTTGAATTTGGTGCAGGATAGACTGCTTGTTGATATGCATCCATTGAAGAAGAAATAGAAATTTGTTTGATTAATTCAAAGGGTTCCTTCAAAATTTCATGATCTTTAGAGACAAAAGTCTTTTGCAAAGATTTCAAAATATTAAATTTTAATACCTCTGGTTTTTCCTCACTCATATCAAGTTTCTGTCTTTTATTTGATTCCATTTTATTATTGTCTCTACTATTGATTCTAAAATTAGGACCCAACAGATAATCTCCATTCGCAGATAACAAAGTTTTTGTGTAACCATTACCAAGTCCTTCTAAATGATTGAGATCATAATCATCAGCCTCATTAGAGAATGGTAATCCCAAAAAATGTGCCAAGCCACCAGAGGTATCTGTATCTTTATTAATTAGGCCACCATTTATTAAATTTATATTACCACCAAACCCAGTAACAATATTAGAGTGGATGTTATTGATATTATTACTACTATTACTATTGCCTGATGCAATATAATTTATTTTATTATATTCAAGAGTAATTTCGCCACGTTCTTTAGAATCTTGTAATTCAGGGAAAAAAATATGATTTAAAAGGTAATCAAAATACTTCAATAATAATTTTGAACTCTCATAGATAGGTGAATCCGCATCATTAAAGACTTGTGCATTATCAAATATCAACAAAACGTCAATGATACAATCATATATGGTGGTATATTTATCGGATTCCAGATTTCTGACGACTTCATTTAGGGCCATTGGTCTATGAACAACCTCATAATATTCTGCCAATTCTTCTCTATCAACATACTCTAAGAATGGTTCACTTGGTTTAAAATTTCTGCCAGACCTATCCCCATGGTTCATGTCCTTAATTATTTCTCTCTCAGTAGAATCAATTAGTTTATTAATTTGTTTCAATAGTCGTTGTTTAACATCTTTATTTATTAAGTAATTTCTTTTAAAGTTTTTCCCCTTTATGACTTCATATTTGACATAATTAACCACTTGATAACTATTCTTGACTATTAAACTGTCTTCCTCGTTGAAGGAGTTACAGTTTTTTGCTAACAATTCAAGGTCCAATAAAAAATCCCTACAACCTCCATTATACTCATAATTCCTTGATTTTATCTCTTTCAAAGACATAGGTTGATCCACTTTGTAATAGTATTGCGGATGAAATTTTCTACTAGGTAATTTAATGAAATCTTTAAAGATAGGTCTATATAAGTCAATTAGATTGTCTATAGTAAAAGATATAAACCGATTAAATTCTGGTATGTTCCAATTGAGATCTCTATATAATTCTGAATCTGGTTTTAAGGGTTTGTCATAGATAACAGGAACAAAATCTTGACGTCTAGGATTCTTACCTGCTACATATTTGGGTGTCTCACGACGACCTGATTCTTCATTAGAATCTGCTGTACCATTAGCATTGTTAGTGTTACGCGATTTCTTTGGAGGCATATTAGCGTTATAAGTATCAAAAAGGTCTTTATTTTATATCCCTCTTTCTTTTCTGCAATATAATATTACCGTTTATGAATACTTTCAAATAGAATAGAACAGTGCACATATATCGCATCCCTACCTTAATAACCTCTTCAGAGTTTATCAATCTTTCTTTCTGTCCTCATTTTTCACTCTTCCCATTTCACTTTACCACTGCATCTTCCAAAACCAAAAGAAAAAGAAAAGGATAAAGAAAAAAAAATCAGTCCACCCACACACCACCACATGAACTCGTCTCTAATGACCAACAGCAAGCCAACAATATGCCAACGGACGTATATATAACATACGAGCATGTCTGCGACAACCTTAACTCTATTCCTTTGTGGATGGTCTTCTCTATCTGGTTGTGATCAACAGTTATCAAAAGGCGACTATTAGGTCCTGAGGCGCTTCTATTGCGATTTGTTTTATTATTCGGTCCATTATGATCTCATGGATCTCTGTTAAAGTTTGTTTCATCTCTGGCGTCACTTCTTCTTCAGTCAAAATGGTAAAATTTGGCACTGTATCACTTTCTGTACTAACCTCTAATTTACTATTACAATTGTTATTACTTGAATTATCAGCAGTATCGGATCCTACCCCTTGGTGTTCTTGTACGATTAGATTTGTAGTATTTGGGTCATCACCACCGTTGTTGCTGTCATTGTCATTGTCATTGTCATCTTCTTCATTATCATCATCACTATTATCATCGTCATTCTCTTCTTCATCCATATCTTCTGTATATAGATCACTCTTTTGGACCACTATCCCGCTATTACTAATCATAGATATATCTATTAACTTGTCATTGGTACTAGCTACAATTCCACGCAGTTCCTGGTCTCTAGCTTGTAGCCGTCTTTCATGCTCTTTTAATTGTTCTTGAACCGCATCATACGGCCCATTGGCACCATTACTTGTCGTACCGTACCCATATGGTTGGTTTCTTAACAATGCTTCTTCATCTGGATCGCTGGATGAAGAACCCCATGCAAACCCACAACAACATAAATTATTGGGACTACTAAACATAACACCCATATTCAAACGACCAGTATAAATATAAATATAAATATAAATATATATGTTAATGTGTTCTCGTTGTTACGCTTTAAATAAACTGCAAACTTCAGCACACTCTCTGATCAGCAAGAAACTGCTGTAATACAAATCCATGCATGCCCCAACACAACTCTTATCACACCATACAATAGTAACTCTTATCATCCCACTTATACGTTATTCTACTCCAATATTTGCAGGGAAACTTTTGTTAGTCAAAGAGGAAAATTGAAAAATTAAGCAATTGGCAAAATAAAAATTAAAAAATAAAAAATAAAAAATAAAAAAAAAAATAAAAAACCTGTCTATAAGGAAATTCCTCGAAAGAAAAGCTATCCCTCTTAATTCATACAACTTGTCATATAGTCTTGCTCAGCATTGCTAGACTCAATTTATCCTTACCCCATAGTAATAATAGAACAGAAAAAAATAAAAAAACGGTTTCTCTCTTTTCTCCTCCCATTGCATATTCTTTATCCCATTTTTTATATCCATCTATCTATACACATATTACACAAAAAATGAAACTTTTACATGTACAGAAACTTGTATTTTCTCAAACTCATGTCTATCAAAGACAACTCTTTGTGAGAAACTTTTCTACTATAAACAAAAGAGAAAGCTTCATGTCTTGGTTCCGATCCAGAAAGAAGGAGGAAGCTAGAGTTAGAAAGACAAAAGAAATTATTCAAGATATTGAATCTGGCAAAAGTATTGAAGACACCACGAACGAATCATCATCCTCTAAAATACTGAAATTAGATCTGACACCTGAAAATATCATCGGTAGAAGAAAAGAGGAAGAGATAGATTTAACGAATGATATACCTTGGAACAACTGGCTTACCAATCAGAAAGTTAAGACGCCTGAAGATTTAGATCATGTCATTAATCTATCGTGTAAGGAAATTTTAGGCGAAAATTTCAATATTAACGATCCGTTCCCTGATTTAAATATCAAATTTAAGTTTGTGAAAAGATTACAGGCTAAATCCGGCTATCCAATCTCTGATTATGAATTAACTATCTTAAGAACTCCAATGGAATTTAAAGATTATTATTTGGAGAATATCATATCTGGGAAATTACTTCAATTTAATGAAAAAGAACCAAATGCTATATACTTGACTCAAAAAAGTTTCACTCAACCAAATATTCGTGTTGTTGAAAGAATTAGTTCAAAGGTTCAAAAAGAAAAATTCAATAGTATTCTTCAAGAAGTCGAGAATTTAAAGAAAAGAGAAGCAAGGGATGAAATTCAAAGATTAAGATCACAAGAATAAATTGAAAAAAGAAAAAAAATTTATATGAATATATACATTAAATGAATAAATTACAATCAACCCATCTATCAAACAATAATAAGAAGTCTCAGATCCCTTTTTTCTTGATATGAACCATAAACTATGTTTAATTAGACCAGCTTTCATATTTTTTGATTAACCACACATCACACATCACACGCTTACATGAAGTATATGGTATATAAATTTAATTCCATCTTGTATATAACTCTTCAAATACACACACACATACATACATACAGACATATATGCATAATATTATGTGACATGTTGTACTACACCATTTGTATTACCTATTTAAGTAATTGTTTATTTACTTTTCCCCATTCTGAAAAAAGTGTCACAAATTCCCCAAATTGAATCACAAAATTTTAAAATATTATTAGTTTTATCTCCTATTGATATTCTCAACCATGTATAAAATAATTCCATACACAAATATTTTACTTCAGTTATAAAATATTACTTCTCAATTTTTTTTTCTCCGTAATAGTTAATAATAACTTTCTTTTCTTCTCCACTGACAAAATAATATCTATCCATCCATCTATCTAACTTCCCCAAGGAACTTTTTTTTTTTTATAAATGTATTTATCAACCAGTGTTTTATCCAGCTTACCATATTTTCTTTTACTTGTCAAGGGTAAAGCCATTAAAGATACTCCTAAGTTGAATTCTTTAGAAAACAACTCTCAGCAATTATGTCCAAATTCAATTCTAAATTATCCTATAGCTGATATCATTGATTCTCAGTGTTTACAGGATAACTTTGAATACTTACAAAATTGTGTCCTCTCTAATTTCAATGAAACATCGCAACTTTGTTCCTTTTGTGTCATTGTAAACCCATCCACTTTTGAAGATGAGTCTAACTGTGAATGTGTTAAGTGTGTCATAGATACTTTAAGTAACAACCATTGTCTTCAAAATATCTGTAGTGGAAAGCAAACTATCTCTTTGCAAGATGCAATTAAAGATTCGACACACTCTACAAAAAATAATTACAATGTGATTACTGATGATATCAGAGAAAATATCTTTGATAAGTATGAGAACACTTTAAAACAAAACAATCAGTTACAATACTTAACAGATGATTATTCTGGCACAACTTTTAGAAATTTCTTACCCTTTGAACAAAAAAAATTAATCCGACATTTATTGAATTCATGGATTGATACTGGTAAAAAACTTGGTAGAAATAGTAATAAAGATGATAATAAAGATAATAATAAAGTCTATGAGGATGTTGAGGATGATGTTGACGAAAATGATAATAAAGACTCTTTAAATTTAGAAGATTTGAAAAACAATTTACTAGATGAAAATTTGGAGAATGAAGCAATGATTAATAAAAAAAACAATCATAATACTCAGTTATATTTTCCTGGTTGGTTAAAAATGGGTAATAAAAACCCCAAGAAAAACACGAAAATAAAAGGCAAGAATAATGCAATCACTGACACCCAATGTAAGGTTAAAACTGAATTAATATCTGTTTTAATACCAACAACAACTACAAAGACTTTAATTTTAACAAAGGGATTGATTACTGAAACTGAAACCAAACATGAAATTGTCACAAAGACGGACCATGTAATCAAATATAAACCTAAAACACTCACTGAAACAAAATTAGAAAAAACAATTGAATGGAAAACTGACGTTAAAACTAAACAAAACACTGAATATGTTGAGAAATGGAAGACTAAGACTGAAGCAAAATTCAGAATTGTCACACTAACTGCAACTGATATTAAACTCAGCACAAAATTCAAGTATAAATATGCAACTATCACTGTCACTGATACAATGATTGTAGAAAGTTCCAAGACAATTACAGTTCCAAAAACTATTGTAACGAGTACTACTACTGAAACAAAACTGTCGGAAAAAATAATTACTGTCACAACGACTACAACAGGTGTGAGTACTTTGACAGAAAAAACAAAAAAACATATTGTAACTGCAACTAAGTTTTTAACCAAAACCAAAGTTATTACTAAGAGGAAGTGTAAAGTGACTAAAACAAAAACTTCAATTAAAAAAATTACCAAAACTTTTACTATAGAAAAGAATGGTGCTACTAAGAAAAAAAAGAATTGGTAGAATGTTATTCCAAACAGATAAGAGTACAACATTAAATAAACGTGATTTCACAACTGAGTCCAGTTCTTGTGTAAATTTAACTACTAGTTTAATTAGTCCTACATCTTTTAACAATAAGACATTTACATTAATCAGTATTGTTACACCACAGGTTACCGAACTGGAAATAATCAAAAATTCTGGTGCTTCAAGAACATTACCTTTTGAAAAATCTTTTGCAAAAACAGCGATAACAATATCTGTCTCATCATTTCTTCTTATTAGTTTAGCACTTTTGATTCCTGAGATGAATAATAAACATCTTGTAAATTTAACAAAGGGTAAAAACGCTAATATTACAACAGCTAACAAAAAAAAAAGAAACAAACTTAAGAAACGCACATTTTGATGAAATTATTGTTAATTTAGGTGTGGATTAAAATCTATTATTGGTTTTAGTTTTCATCATTCCTACTCCACTATTCTTACTTTCTATCTATCAAACCAATTATTTAGTTATTTAATTTTATATTTTATTTGTTTTAACTTTTCTGTTTCTTTTTTGCTTTTAAAACAACACCTTCTGATTTAAAAAAACCATTTGTTTCTCATATTCCTAAGATATGTGTATCTTCTTATCACACATCTGCTTTCTAAATAATTCTTTATATAATTACTTTGTCGGACTTTCTTTTAATTTGCGTCACTTAATCATCATCTGCTATAATAAAATAATAGCATTTTCTACATTTTAAAAACAGCCTTTTACAAAAGTGAAAAAAAAAATAGAACGAAATAAAGTCCAATACTGGACTTGATGTTTAATAATGAAGCAAAGACAAGCTTAGGGATCTTCCACTTTCTTATATTCAGAAGAAGATAAAAAGCCCTTTCTCAACTAGTTCAGAGATATGTTTAACCATTGAAAATCCAAATAAGAGGATAAACATTTAAAATGTTTCATTATTGGATAAAGTAATATATGAAATGTATGAATGTAACTTTAGTAAAGAGTTAGTGACTATTCTATCTCAACCATTCTTCTATGACTCCTTTAAACTCGTTATAATTCCCCAAATTAATAGCGATGGAAAAAACTTTGAAGTGTTTCAAGAGGGTAATCAAATAGAAGTAATTTGTTATAAATCAACTTTAATCTCCATTTTTAAAGAAAATCATAAGTTTATAGAAAAATATTTACCTGACTTGAATTTTAACACAATTGTTGGGAATACTACAAAAGTTAATTATATAGATTTTTACAATGTTACTGTAGGATTATTATTAACCACAGCAGAAAACAAAACTAATTTTAATCTACATAGTGATGTCTTTTTCATAATTTGGAATAATATAAAATATGAGGACGAAAAGTTTGAATTTTTATTAAAAGAAACTTTTATTATTCAACGACTACTTACCTGCTCTTTAAATAAGATCAATAAATCATCATCCCTTTACATATGGTACAGGAAACTGTTTATTTTGTGGCAACATATACATAATCAGCATTACAACAAAAATATTGAAAAATTAATATTCAATTCAAAAATATTTATTCAATCAGGTAAACAACATTTTGCAAATTATTACTGCTGGAACACTGCAAAATGGATATTTGATAATTTAAATAGTTTGACATTGAAACAGGCTTACTTCAATGATATCAAACTTTATTGTTTGCAAAATATTTCGGATTCCTCTTCTTGGGATTGCTTAAGTTACATGGTTTGCCAACATAAGTTAAGAAACAACCATCATAGAACTGATTTTGACAGATTAGCTAAACATTTACCAATTTTAGAGCAATTATCAACAAGGAATGTAGTATGTTTTCAGCCGAACCTTATTTCATTGACTCAGGAATTGATCTCTTATATCTCCAAATGTGAAATTAAAATGTGGCCTCCATATCTTTGTTTATTACGAATCTTAAAAGTTTATAATGTTGAACTTAATAATTTGCGACTTGAACTTATAGACAAGTGGACAAAAAGTATCAAAACCTTTGAATCGAAAAACGGACAAATCCAATTGTTACACAACTTCATTCCAATTGTTTCTTTACCTAAGGATAATAATAGTGATCTTAATAACGATTTTATAATGAAAGAAACATTGCTTCATTTAGGATACAAAAAAGTGTTTTTAAACAATTTGATTAATCATAAGTAGTATATAAATCAAAGTATCTCAAGAAAATATATATATATATTGTAACATACAACAGTATGTCAAATGCATAAACTTTCCTAAATATATTATACATACAGGTATACAGATGTACAAGTCATGAATTAATATACTATGATAAAAAAATGAAAAGAGTATAACAGAGACACAAAGCACACACGCAAAAAAATAAGGAGTCCACTGAATTATAATATTTAGTCTACCTCATCAACTTTCTTTATTTTTTAAATTTTTTTAAGTCTTATGATTTTGATTGATTTTGTAATTCATGTTTCTTGTAGGCTGGTATAGAAAATCTTTGTGTGAATTTTTGTCCCGGCAAGATTGGTGCAATCTCTAAGATACTTTTAATTTGTTCTTCCACATTATCTACACCATCTGGGATATTTTTATATATATAATAATCCAAATCTGAACCTGGTTTAACTTTTCTAAATAATTTAGGATACCACTCAACACCGTCTTCTACTCGTTTCTTAGCCAATCTTCTTTGATAATCTTCAATCTGGAATTTTTCTTCAGTAGCTACTTTATGATCACGTTTAGCTAGTGCATCTGTCACTTTTTTCCATAATCTTCTAGACTCATATTGTCCTTGTTCTTCTAAAGGACGTACTTTTGGTCTAACTGGATGACAAGTATGTGTGTCAAAAAGGATTTGATTCTTTGAGCTTAATTTATTACGTAAATCTTTATAATACATAACATCATTCCATTTCCCTGTGATTTCATATAAGGATTTTCCATTGATCTCACGAATTGTCCCCTGAACGGCATCATAGGTACCGCCAATAAATCCCTTTGTTTTGAATTCAATATTTGCTTCATATTTAGAAGACTTTATAATCATATGATCACCCAATTCGAATCTCATCTTACCGAAAAGAATACCTCTAGCATACATATTTGGCTGTGTCAAAGTGTATTTTTCTGGTTTTCCTGTAGTCTCATCAATAATGTCCAAAAAAGTTACCACCGTCAACCCTTCCATCATAGCAGCAGATGAATTTCCTAGGAATCTAGATTTAGGAATAACCACACCATCCACCCGAATATGAGACTCTGGGATCATATAAAAGTATGCAGATTCAGGTGGATGATGACTTGTTTGTTCAGCGATATAAAATGCCTGTTGTTTATTTGGTAAATCCCAATATGCAGTGAAATATTCACCCAAGATTGGATTTAACGGTTTCTTAACAGCCTTTGGAGCAATATGCCACCCAGACATATACCATTTCACGATCTGAAAAAATCTAGATAAAGGATCTGGTCCATTATGTGCATCTAATAAGATATCTGGGAATTGCAATTGATTTGTGATACGTTCTAACATGGACTTTTTCTCTAAAATAAAAGTTGGTAAGGTAATTCGAGATAAATCTGAACCGGGTCTTAATTGGGAGATGATATTGAGTAAAATACTCTGACCAGCATCATCATTTTCATCAATATCATCTGTGTTTATTTCTTCCTCTTGCTTTTCTGTTATATTTTCCACGGTAGTCCCCATGGTACGACTAATATTAGAAGCCGAATCAGATTTTGTATTTAAATTTGTGGAAGATGATTTAGAGATATCGGTTACTTTATTAGATGATGACTCACGAGTTGTTGACAAAGGTTTACTAACCAATTTAGATAAAGATGACATAATGTCACTGGATTTTAATTTGAATATATAGATATATGTGATCGAACCCTAGTAGACCAAACAATCAAATAGCAATCAAAAAAAAAAAAGAAAAGATTATAAAAAAACAATAACAGCAATAGTAACAACAACTAACCAAACAAACAAATGAATAACAAAAGATAAATTTGAGAAACGTGTAGCAATAAAGGGCTAGCTGTATAAAAAATTAAAACACCTACACTCTCACAAGTACTTAAAACAGGCTAGTATGGACATGACTATATGGAAGGAGTGTTTTATGCAATTATTATATCGGAAGGAATATTGTAGTCTTTTTCTATTTGCCTTTAAAAAGTTCCTAATCCATCTGTGCTTTTAGTTCGTTCTTAATTTTTTTTTTTTTGGCTTCATTTTGGTTTTTTACTTTTTCTTTTTTGTTCTCGCTTATCGGAAATACGAAACAAACCCGAAACGAGGTTAAATAAATAAGTAAATGAATGAAGTAGAGGAACTACAATTGTTTGGATCAACTTGGCTATATTGTAAATGTACACATGCCATAATATTATAATATTATCTACAGTCTGTAATATATATATATATGTATATATAAACATTATCATGCTTCTATTGTTTGTTTTCTTGACTTTTTCAACGTCTTGTTGTTACTTAAATCTTTAGACAAATCCATCTTTCTCTTCTTTGTTACACGGCTTTCACCTTCTTCAAATACATTATCTAGTAATTCTATTCCCTTAACATATCTAATAATCAGCTGGAATTTTTCAGTATCATTGTATTCTTCGTTAAAATTGTGACATAAATTATAAAATTCTGTACATGGCACATGGATATCAACTTTATATTTCTTTTTATCGTTATTATTCTTACCATTGACCACTTCGTTATTTTGCACCCCAATAGGTTTCAACACCTCTTCATCTACTTCAAACCCAATATACATTGTAGTAATAAAAATTTTATTAACATTGGTATATTGATCTTTGTTATCATCTGTTATTTTCACATATTTTTTGTCTAAATATGATTCCATTAAATGTGTACCATATTTATCAATAATCTCTTTAAACATAGAACTTGAATCGGCCTTTGAACTGGAAGCAGACTCTGAATTGGACATGGTATATAACGTTTCAATCGGTTTAATGAAGGGATGGACCAACTTAATACCAGGTAATTGTTCCAACTTAAGTACCAACAACCTAACTTTAGATTCGATAAGACCACTCCATTTCAAATGATGTTCATCATCATTAGAATTAGTCATTGCTGTTATAGTTAGATAATATTTATATTGCTGGAAAAATCTATGCTTAATAAAAAGATCTTTCCAATGTAATTTATTGGAAAATATATCGTTAGTGACTTGAACCCCCCTTCTAAATTCCTCTAAAATAATTTTCTTAGTAGATTCAGTGATATTATGTGTCGCACACATAGACGGATATGCAGGCGTTATAACAGGCATCCTATGCGATCTATCTTGTGCATATATCTTGGGATTCCAAACACGGACTTGCAAGGGGCCATCTTCAATTGGTTTTAAAAGAACAGGTTGTGGCCATTTCCAGTCTGAATAAATCTTAAAGAATCTGTTTAATATCACTGCACTGCACGCATTAGGATACAACTGACAGATTCTTGCCACTAACATGGCCCATGCGACACCACCTGGGAAACCGAAAATATTAGCATAGATTGCTCTTCTTTGAGCCCATAGTTTTATTGCTCTTAATGCAATCTTAAACACACTTGGTTTGGGCACCAATTCTAGGATTTCATCTGTGACACGAGTACCATTCAATGCCCTAAGATCCTTTTCATCAAGATTTCTCAATAGATTGTTATCCTTTAAGGTCAAAGATATTGGTACTTGTGGTATATCCAATTTAGCACAGATCAAATCAATTGATATGCCATTAAATTTCAATTTAAGAATAGGGACAAATGCATCAGGTACAGGAGCGATCTCTTCTAATTCTGGCCTTTCACGTAAAATAGAATCCATCACAGTGAAAAAATCATCTCTCGTCACATGCTTTGGTACAACCACCAAAGTATCTATATCACTACCTGGGCCATGAACACCAAGACGATATGAACCATATGTGAAAATTTTACCTCCTGCATCCTTCGACATACCATCGGACATATTTTTATTTCTTGAGACAGTGTAAACAAATTTTTCAGTTAAAGTTTGTAATAGTTTCAAAGTCTCAACACGTTTTTGTGTTTCTTCTGGGCTTTCAAAAGAATTTTCATTTTTTAATTCTGCTATTAGTTGGTCATTCAGCTTATTTTCTGCTGCTGTTGGACCTACTGTGGAGACTGGACCTGTGATACCATACACTTTTTGATAATTCATCACTCTTCCTTTATCGTTGGTTGTTTTTAATCAATTAGTAATATCTAGAAATAACAGTAAAAAGAAAAAAAGACTAAAAAAAAAAGATATGACCAATAATTTTTTTTATTTATATCGGTATTGTTGATGAACACCCAGTTGACACTTAATCATGTCTTACCTTTCTTTATGACTTATGAATAGTGATCAATAGTCCTTTAGTTCTTTCTTTCTTTCTATCTATCTTTCTTTATTTGTCTGCGAAACTAGGATCTACATAAATTATCCTTTTAGGTCTTGTAAAGAAAAAAATTATATATTTTTTAGTATTTTCTTCAGGTGTGTTAGGGTTTAAATAAAAATATAGATTTGCCCTATCCTTTTTTCCTTCTCCCTTTATCCTTTGCAATTTTTATGTGTGTTTGAAATATATAAAGGCTTAGCAAATAAAGAACTAAAAACGCGTGAATATCCTTTCATACGACGTAATAGAGGGAATAACCACGACATCAAAGTTCAATATTTTGGAAGTATAGACTTGATAATCACTTGGTACGGGATATATGGCTTCTTTCTTCTTCTCTCTTTATTTTCGTGGATTAAGAAGATTTGGAAACATTCCTGTAAAGTTCTATTAAACAGCAATAACAATGATAAAGTGATCATATATATATATATATATATATATATATATATGGATCCCCATACACGATCACTTGTATTGCTTACTGCTAATAGTAAGTTCCCCAAAAATTTTACACAACCTATAAAACTACAGCAAACACTTCAGCTCTAACCGTTAACCATGGATGAACATTTAATTTCTACAATTAATAAGCTACAAGACGCTTTGGCCCCATTAGGCGGTGGGTCTCAATCCCCAATTGATTTACCACAAATCACTGTTGTTGGATCCCAATCAAGTGGTAAGTCTTCTGTTTTGGAAAATATTGTCGGTAGAGACTTCTTACCTCGTGGTACTGGTATCGTTACTAGAAGGCCATTGATTTTACAATTAATCAATAGAAGGAAATCTAAACCACAGCAATCATCTCAAAATAATAATAAAGATCCTGTTAAGAAAAATAATGTTGACGAAGCTGAACATAAATTGAAAGATCTGAGTGTTGGATCTAACGAAAATGACAACCAAAAACAACAACAATCTGGTCAAAGTGAAGATAATAAAGAAGAATGGGGTGAATTTTTACATTTACCTGGTAAGAAATTCTACAATTTCGATGAAATTAGACAAGAAATCGTCAGGGAAACCGATAAAGTCACTGGTAATAATCTAGGTATATCGAGTGTTCCTATCAATCTAAGAATTTATTCACCTTATGTTTTAACTTTGACTTTAGTTGATTTACCAGGGTTAACTAAAGTCCCAGTTGGTGATCAACCACCTGACATTGAAAGACAGATCAAAGATATGCTATTAAAATACATTTCTAAACCAAATGCGATCATCTTATCTGTTAATGCTGCCAACACTGATTTGGCTAATAGTGATGGTTTGAAATTGGCACGTGAAGTCGACCCAGAGGGACTCAGAACCATTGGTGTATTAACTAAAGTAGATTTAATGGACGAAGGTACAGATGTTATCGATATCTTAGCAGGTAGAGTTATTCCACTACGTTATGGCTATATACCTGTAATTAATCGTGGTCAAAAGGATATTGAACAACGCAAAACTATTAGAGCTGCTTTACAAGATGAAAAGAAATTCTTTGAGACTCATCCATCGTATAGTTCCAAAGCACAATATTGTGGTACTCCATATCTAGCCAAAAAATTAAACTCGATTCTATTACACCATATTAGAAACACTCTACCTGATATCAGAGCCAAGGTCGAAGCCACATTGAAGATCTATCAAAATGAATTATCTTCATTAGGTCCAGAAACAGACATGGGATCAACCAGTTCGATTGTCCTTGGTATGATCACAGATTTCGCTAATGAATATAGTGGAATCCTTGACGGTGAAGCCAAAGAACTATCAAGCCAAGAATTATCAGGTGGTGCACGTATTTCATTCGTTTTTCATGAAGTGTTTAAGAATGGTATTAATTCTATTGATCCATTCGATCAAATCAAGGATGCCGATATCCGTACCATTATGTATAACAGTTCAGGTAGTGCACCATCATTATTTGTTGGCACTGATGCATTTGAGGTGTTAGTCAAACAACAGATCAGAAGATTTGAAGAACCATCGGTTAGATTAATCAATTTAGTGTTTGATGAATTGGTTAGAATGCTAAAACAGATCATTTCACAACCAAAATATTCGCGTTATCCAGCATTAAGAGAAGCCATTTCAAATGAATTTATCGAGTATTTGAAAAATGCAATGATTCCAACTAATCAATTTGTCTTAGATATCATTACATCTGAACAAACATATATCAACACTGCACACCCAGACTTATTGACAGGTTCAGAAGCTATGTCGATGGTCCAACAAAAATTGCATCCACAACAGCTACAGCAACAACAACAAATGCAACCACAACAGATTTATGTTGATGCAAAGACAGGGAAGCCATTACCTCCAAATAAACAACCACCACCACCATCGCAACCATCGATGGCTCCATTGACTCCAAATAATATATCTGCATCATCTAATGGTGTCAACAGTAATAATTCGGATAACAAAAATGGATTCTTTGGTGGATTCTTTTCATCCAAGAATAAGAAGAAGTTGGTATCATTGGAAGCACCCCCACCAGTCTTAAAGGCCACAGGACAAATGACCGAACGTGAGACTTTAGAGACTGAAGTTATCAAACTATTAATAACGAGTTATTTCAATATAGTTAAACGTACAGTAGCTGATTTGATTCCAAAGGCATTGATGCTAAAACTGATTGTTAAATCCAAGAATGATATTCAAAAAGTTTTATTAGAGAAACTTTATGGATCAGAGATCGATTTAGAGGAATTGACACGTGAAAATGATGCCACTATTCAACGTAGAAAAGAATGTAAGAGAATGGTTGAGATTTTAAGACATGCTAATGAAATTGTATCATCGGTATAAGCTAATGAAAAAAAGGGTAATAACAATACACATAGAAGATGTATCTTTTTTGTTTATTTGTTTGTTTTTATTATTATTTGTTTTTTCATTTTTTTAATTTTTGTTTATGTATATATGTTATTAGATAAATAATGTAAATGAATCATTTAGCTAATGTAAAAAATTATAAACATATCTAAACAATATTGCAATTTGTCCTAGTAACTAATTGTAGAAGAAGTACGATAGATGTACCTTTGTGCAAAGATTCTTCCCATACCACACTAAGAAAATCTAATTTACACCTAAAAAGAGAGAACATGCTCCCACCCCCCGCACAAACAGACACATCCCATAGATGCCAGTTGTCACAGTTTCTAGTACATAACTCTTTTATAGATTTTCTAACAAAAATGGTATCTCACTCATTCTCTCACCTACTCGTTCACTCACGCTCCTTACACACAGTTTCTGCCTTCAACAAATCCTTTTCCCCTTCTTCGCACAATTCCTTCGAGAAAATAGAAAAAAGTAAAAAAGTTAAAAAAAAAAACTGTGGTGGCAATTAAATGAATGAGAGGAAGGAAAAAAAAAACAAAAATAAGAAGCCATAGAGATCGGGAGTCGAGATAGAGGAAATGTGACACACATACATATATACGTGTAGTCACACACACACAATTAAGAGAAGCAGAAGAAGATAGAAAGGCAAAAACCCTTGCCTTCCTCCCTTTTTGTGTGTTATTGAATAATGTATCCTACACAATATACTGTTCTTTAAAAAAAAGTTGAAGTGCTGAGTATTAACTATAGTTATAACTTTTATTTTATTGTTCAACTATCGACCTTTGCCCATTCTTTCTATAACCACATATGAATAATAAGAATAATAGAACCAGTAGTGGTAATACTAGTACTTGTAGTGGTAATGAAATGTGTGTTTTTCATTTATTGATATATACTTTCTATAAATGTATGTGTATTAATATGTGTATATTGGAAACATAGATATATAAAACTAAATGTTACCATTCTATAAGTGGAGAATACATAAACTAGTTATCTATACTTTTAAACTACTTATTTTTTTTTTCTATTTGAAACTTCTCTAAGTAGAAGATAAACCACACAAGCCCATAAGACATTTGCATTTTAGCACCAAAAACAATAATAGAAGAAAGAAACACTGACCGGCATAACAACACAAGACAATGGCCACTAATATCACTTGGCATCCAAATCTATCATATGATGAACGCAAAGCATTGAGAAAACAGCACGGTTGTACAATCTGGTTGACAGGTCTGTCAGCAAGTGGTAAGTCTACAATTGCATGTGCCTTAGAGCAATTATTATTACAAAGGGGGCTGGCATCGTATAGATTAGACGGTGATAACATTAGATTCGGCTTAAATAAAGACTTAGGTTTCTCTGAAGAAGATCGTAACGAAAACATTAGACGGATCAGTGAAGTGTCTAAGTTGTTTGCAGATTCTTGTACTATCTGTTTAACAAGTTTTATATCGCCATATAGAGCGGACAGAGATAGGGCACGTGAGTTACACAAGGAATCTGGGTTACGGTTCATCGAAGTCTTCGTTGATGTGCCATTAGAAGTTGCTGAACAAAGAGATCCAAAGGGTCTTTATAAGAAGGCAAGAGAAGGAATTATAAAGGATTTCACTGGCATATCTGCACCATATGAGCCACCCTTATCGCCAGAATTGCATCTAAGAACTGATTTGAAATCTGTGGAAGAATGTGCAGAGATCATTCATCAATATTTGATCAATGAGAAATTAATATGAAGAAAAAAAAAAGGAAAAGAATGAGAGAGTAAAAATAAATATTATCAAGCATATACATACACGTATATATATATGTATACATATATCATTTTATTTTTTTAAAGAATTTAATCTTTGTTGTAACAATTCATCTTCATTATCCATTTCTCCAGTTGACATCAGAGTTTCCCCTTGCTGTGATGACATGGTATACTTATTCTTCGTTGCAATGCTAATATCATTCTTTAACTGTGCTTCATCGTTTTGATTTATTATATCATTATTCGGAACCATGGATTTATTCATCTTTGCAGAAATATCGACACCGATTTCGTCCATGATCTTTTCAATAATTTCATTTGCTTGTTGATCCTCATTCTCCAACAAATCAGTATCATCTTCACCTACATAATTCATGTCATCCATCGTTTCATCAATAATCTCTTGTTTTTGGTCCATTATATCGTTCTGTCTTTCAAAATCCATTATGATCCTATTCAAATTAGGCAAGTTAACACCTTGATTCATCTGATTTAAGACCCTCGAGGCATCAACCATAGACTTGATCATAGAATCGTTACTTTTGATAGTCTGTATCCGAAGTTCGATAGCCTGTAGTTGCAACTTCACGTTCTGAAACCGTGTTATATAGTTATTTGACCGAACCAAGTCCTTAGCCTGAATCCTAGCCGCATTCATTTGATTATTCTGTATGGACCGTTTAGTGTTGGTTTGCAAAACTTTCACCTGTTGTTGTAATTTGAGTATTTCTCTATCTAGTTCCCGTTGTGTACGTTGTAAGGACCTGAGGTTCTTTCTTAACCTTTCCTGTGGGGTCAACTGTTTACCAAAGAACCATTGAAACATCGTTGTACTCCTGTTACTTCTGTTCCCACTACTAACAATATTAAGAATCGTTTATTCTTAGTAAATAATACCTTGCTGTGTCAACGTACCTCCTACCCTAATATATGCACACCGACACACTGACAGCTCTATCTTACCTTGTCTGGTGGAGGATTGAATAAATCTGATAAACATAAACCATTGCTGCAAACACACTCGACTCTCTAAAAGCTCCTCAACCAACAAAACTAATCAACCCAATCCAGCTGCACAATAAAACGAATAAAGGAATGAAAGAAATAAAAAGACAAGAGCTAGAGACCCAGACATCCCCAAAAGCAGAGGAATTGCAATTCTGCCAAGGCTCTTTTGTTTTTGAGACAGCGTTTGTTGATCATACAAGACTGGCTTTCCTTTGCAGAGATTACATATACACATACCTGTATATACACCTATATGTATGTATGTATGCATGTGTGTGTATATGCATGTTTATATTATCCCCTTCCCCCCCGTCTCTTTCTAATCGATAGCAAAGGCAAGGTATATCCATAAAGAGAAACTATTTGTTTATTTGTTTATTGGTTTGTATATATATACGTATATGTATGTGTAATGAGAAACCTAGAAGTTGATAGATATATTCAAAGTCTGATGACTTGGGATAAAGATCCTGCAACTGGGGCCACTGATCTTTCGGAACGATCCAAAGAGTCAAAAAAAAAAATACAGAACAGGAAGGCTCAGAAAGCATTCAGATTAAGGAAAGAAGCTAAGATGATGGAATTGGAACGGAAACTGAATGAGTCTGAAATGATCCAATCACAGTTACACGAAGAGGTCAATAAACTGAAGAACGAAAACATTTTAATAAATAACGTATACCGTCGTCTGAATAACGTCCATCGAAAGTCACCGTCACTATCACCGTCCAACGACTCAAACTCGACCTCACCACCCAAATATGATGTGGTGTTTCCTACTATAGGTGAGTTTTATAACGCTTTAATAGATAACGATTCTAAACATACAAATAATCATGATCAAGTTTCTAATTTACAATATAATGACAAGGATGGTAATATACTATTAACTATTCCAGCTACATGGAAATATTTGCTGGATTTACACAAGAAAAGCTCACTGGCAGAAAATAATAATAATAGTAGTAGTAGTAATAGCAATAATGGTGCTTATAATAATACAGTAACCACTTCCACTAGTGGTGATGATGGCGATTGGGAAGAGAATGAAATGGATATTGATCTTATTATGGCCTCATTGCGTGGTCATGAAGAGTGCCATGGTCATGGACCAGCATATAAGAAAAGCTTAATTGACCAAGTGATTAAACATCACCATAGAAGATGAGAAATCAAGAATTGTTTTTGTTTTTTCCTTTGTTTTTATTCTTATTATTGTTCTTTTCGTTTTTTCCCTTTTAATGCTCGAGGGAAATGAAATAAAAAATAAAAATCAAAAAAAAAATAAATTCTACTGCATATTAAATGAAGAAGAAGGATTAAAAAAAGATTTCTTACTTTATCCCTCCCCCTTCACAATATATTCTATCGATAATCAATACTATTTAAACGATAGATATGGTTCATTATTTAATCGTGTACAAATAGATACCAAGCAATTCGTTTCTTCCCTTCTTTTATCTTTTATCTTTTATTTTTTTTTTCATTCTTTTTTTTTTGTTCACAATTGTTGACTAGCCATTGACAACAATGGATATATTAAAAGAATTGTTCCCGGATATAAAAAATCACGAATTGGAACAATATTTGAATAGTGCGGCAAATGATCTAGATTTATGTGTATCTATGATTCTCAGCGATCCTGGCAACTTAGGTCATAATGATAACGATAATGATGATGATAATAACGACGATGATACATTTGATATGGACAAAGAACAAACTCTTGCACTGTCTCATCAATTTGAAGAACTGAAATCAATGTTTCCCAAACTAGACCCAAAAATTATTGAATCTGTATTCCAGGATGAAAATGGAAAAATTTCAAATGTAATTACTCATCTTCTAAATTTGGAATATATAAACAATGAAACAACAACAGAGAACCCTGTTATTCCTGTATTGTTAGATAGTCAACACACTTTCAAACAAAGGAAGAAGAATAAAAATCAATGGCAAAACACTTATAATGATATTGACATATTGGCTGGTTTATTAAATTGGAAAAACGACCGATCTTTATTAATACAATTATATCATGAAAACCAATTTAGTGTAATAAAGACTCTGATACCGATTATACTAAAAGAAATCCACGCATCTCAATTACCTTCACCCACATCTTCTATCTCCATAGTGACTTCAAGGGGCAAGAGATTTAGTAGAGTACAAAATAATACAGGGTTTGCACACAATAGAAATATAAATGTAAATAAAAATAAAAATGAAAATGAAAATAAAAGCATTCTCAACAGCAATAGTAATAATAATAAGAAAAGTAGCAAGAATGAAGACGAAGATGAGAATCAAAATGAAAATTTATACATATCATACGAAGAATATCTTTCTTTAATTAAACAAGATAAACATTGCGATGGTATCAATCCCCAATTTATTTTAAAATTATTTGAATACTTCCAATCCAATGAATTAAAAACAAATATTCAGTATTGTCATAAGATATTACAATATATCTTAGATTATCCAAATGGGATCGCATTAACTTTCAACAAGTACATTAATGAGACAGCATGGAATTTAACATCAAACAAATCAAAGAGGAGTACTACTTCTACTAAGAGTAATAGTAGCATTTGCAATTCCATTGAAATAAAATCGACTTATAAGGATCCAAAAATTGACAACGTATTTGACACATATAAACTGGACTTCCATGGTTTTACGCCACGAGATGCAATAATTGTATTAAACAACGTGATGAACAAGTGGTGGGATGAAGAATTGAAATTGAGAGAACTAAATAATTACAATATGAAACAGCAAAGGGTAACTTGTCTTGAACCATTGATCTTGGTAACAGGACGCGGTATTCATTCTATCGGAGGAAAAAGTCCTGTTAGATTTCAAGTCAAACGATACTTACAATTGAATGGATACCTTTTCAATGAAAAACCAGCATATTTTGAAGTCTATGGTAAGCAAAAGAAGGAATACATAAAGAAATAATATGTATATACTAAAAAATAAAAACGAAAAAAAGTAAGAAAAAGAAGACACCAAATCACCTTGAAGTTTGGAATCATCACCCATACAATTTCTTTTTCGTTTTTTGCTTTGGTCTTCATTAGTCAGTACCAACATACCAAATGCTCAGATATCGTTAAAAGAATATTCCAATATAGTATAATGCAACGGTACTATTACCATGATATTTGTTTGTTTGTTTTTCGTGTTTGTTTTTTATTTTTTATTTTTCATTTTCTATTTTTTTTTTTTGTTTCCTCTAAAGCAAAAGAAAGAAAGAAATACAAATAGAAGCATACAACAAAGTAATAACACATAAGTAGGCGAGTAGCTTCAAATAAGAGAGTTTATGGGATATGGATAGTTAGCAGTTTTATGTTCCAAATCACTGTCAAGTATCTAGATAAAAACGACAAAAAAAAAGAAAATTAAATACAGTTAAGAAAGATTACTCCTCTATCATACAGACAGACAAATAGGTAATAATATAGACTAAGATGGATTACATGAATCTTGGGATTAAGTCCCGTAAGACTGGAATCTCTGTTAAGGATGATATCGACAAAGATGAATTTGACATGGAAAATATGGACGACTTCTTTAAAGACAGTGTATATGCTAAGTCTACTCCATCATCAACAGGGAAAAGATCATCTATTTTGTCTCCCTCAGCTAGAAATTATAGGCGATTGTCTACTACTAGATCTAATAATAACAGTAGCAATGGTAAACATAAAAATAAATTTGCTTATCTATCATCACCACATATTATGTCACCTTCAATAAATAGAACACCAATAAATAGAACAAACACTCTTTTTAATACTAGTATTCTACAATCCATTCAAGAGGAACAAAAGGATAGATTAACCAATAGAAATCATCTGTATTTAAATGCTAGGAAGAAACAAAAGTTAAATGATTTTAAAGATGATTCGAGTTTCAGATTATCCAATTATAAAACAACATACAACCTCGATATAACTCCCAGTATCACTACTATCAATATCACCAATGATAATCCTATAAAGAGTTATAATGATTTTCCGAATACCCCTTTGATTTCACCACAAGATATTCCTGATAATTACGATACAGTAGATGTATCAACACAACAACAATTGAATCAGACAAGGCGACACGTTCAAAATAATAATAAAAAGAATAATATTTCTTGGTTAGATTATAATTCAAATCCATACATAGAAATAAATGATGATAGGACAGAGGAACGAAAAGAAAAGAAGGAAGATGCATCTGTTTCTCTTCCGGATCTTACAAATAACGATGAATTAACATTGGATAATACATCATTAGCCACTTCAAATGATGCTATTCTAGAAAGCGAGATTTCTTCCTCTGAATCAAATATATCATCTGACGACGAGGATCAAAATAACAATAATGTACAGACAGAGTTAGAATATAATAATACTTTTGATGTTGACATTGATGCAACCTATATACCATCTTCACCAACAGGAACAAATAATTTCCATGAAACCAATATTGACCAGGAGTCTTCAAATACTACTACTTTAAGAAAATCGAATAGAATCAAAATCCCAACTTTAGATTATTGGAGGAATGAAAAAATTGTTTATAAAAGAAAAAATGATAATCCTTCTTTAGATATTGTTAAAATCATAACTTACGATGATAATAATCGCCCAATAAATTCACCACATGATAGTAATACCAATGAAACTAATTATCTTGATGATACTACTGAGTTTGAACTTGATGAAAATACAACCCCTGACATGTCAAAAGGACAGTATTCAAGAGAAAAAAAATATGAAATTACGTCGTGGCATGGTTAAAGATACTAGAAATGGGTCATGGTTAAGAGATGGCGAATTGAACGCAAACATTTTTACTTCCAAGCAATTGAATAATACTACTAACGAAACTGTCGCTTATGGACCTGGAATATATCAAATGGAAAAAGTTAAACAAAATGACACAGAAAAATATTCATTAGCAGTCACTTTCGATAAACATAAGGATCTTTTTGCCAGTGGAATGTTAAAGATTCCAATCAATGGTAAAAGAAATATGACAAGTTCTCAAAATGCCTTTATTACTTTTTATATGATTAGAGGTATCTTAGAAGTCACCTTAAACAAGCAGAGATTCATTGTAACATCAGGTTGTACTTTCCAAATCCCAGCTTTTAATAAGTATTCTTTCAATAACAAAGGTGGTAATGAAGTCCAAATGTTTTTTGTTCAAGTAATAGTTTCGGAAAATTTTGATCAACTTCCTCAAAATAAAAACTTAAAATATAACAGTAGTTCTTCCACCAGATCAATTAGACAATCATCATCCCTATCTATTAGTTCATCTGTCGAGCCATAAGATCTTTTTAAAAAATCATCTTTTCCATCCTTTACAGCTTGGGACAATTCTTATTTCTTTATTAGTTTTTTTATTTTTTTCTTTAGCATACAAAATAAAAAAAAAGTTTCTCGTGATTTTTAATTTGCACATATGAATATAAAATTATCATTACTTTTATAAATTTATGCATAAGAAATTTTCATATTATATATACATATATAATATACTTCATCCTTTAGGAGTATTATTATGCTTAACAATTTTTATTTTTAATTGCTAGCATTTTCCTTCATTTTATAACTATGAGCCAATTTAACCAAAGACGATAAAGAGCGTTTATCATCAGCAATTTTAATAATGAAGTCATCATTCAACAAATCTTTAGCTGATGCTCTGTATTGCGTCTCTACAACCAAACAACGGCTTAAAAATTTATAAAAAATATCACTTAACTTTTCTGGCTCTTTTAATTTTGGAGTTCCATTTGTAGCAATCAAATATAATGCCCTTAAGGGTGTTTCATTCAAATATGGAGGTTCACCTTCTATCATTTCTATTATCATAATACCTAATGACCATATGTCGACCTTTGGTCCATACTCTTTTCTAGAAACAATTTCTGGGGCCATCCAATAGGGAGTGCCTACCATTGTTGTTCTCTTCATATGAATATCGTTAATTTGGGCGCAAAATCCAAAATCTGTTAGTTTTATATCACCATCCATTGACAATAAAATATTGTCAGATTTAATATCTCTATGTAAAACACCTTGTGAATGCAGGAATTGTAAACCTTTTAATGTTTCCCTGCAGACAGCGCCCATTTGACCTTCTGATAGAATACAATATTGAATTATATCTGTCAATGAACCTCCTTCCATATACTCCATAATAATCCACAAATTCTTATCTACAATATAAGTATCAACAAAATTTACAATATTTTTGTGTCTATACTCTTTCATTGTCAAGATTTCATTGATAATTAGCTCTTTCTTAGGTTGCTTTTCTAAATTCATTTCTTTAATAGCAACACAATGGTTGGTATTTATTGGATGGGCGATATAAACACCACCAGAAGCACCTTGACCAATTTTTGATAAATTCACATAGTATTTCCTTGGATCATTCTTGTTACATATGGATGATAACTTATTTAAAAATTTGGTCTTTTTTTCAATATCAGACTGAGTGGGTAATCTTAACAGAACTGACTGTGGCTTATTACTTTTATCATTAAATGATTGTTGGGACTTAGGAACATTTATTTCTTGTTGTGTTTCTTGGTTAGGTTTGTTTATGTTCATTTTTGTCTGAGTCTCTAAAGGCATTTCCATATCAGTTGGAGGAAGGTCAGGTAGTAAAATAGATTCAGTTCCAGATATCTCATGCTCAACTCCCGTTGTTATGTTTTCATTCTTATTCATAGTTGGAATACCAGGAGCTTTTCTATGAGTACGTGCTAAGTTCACTTTTAAAGAATGATTACTTTCTTTTAAACTCGAAGACTCTTCAATGCTCAATATATCCATATTATAAGGCTGGAACATCTCAATTACTTTATCATCTCCATTTTGTTTTGTTACATCTTGGTAGAACTTGACAATATCAACCAACGTACTCATATCTCTTTCCTGTTCTTTTACGGTAATACCATTTGAAGTTAATAGTTGCTGCCACTCTGCAGGCAATCCTGTATATTCACCAGTAGTATGATCAAACCCAACATGATGGATATGTTTCATGTTATAGGGACTAGAAATATCGAGACTTTTTCTTAATGATAGTGTTTCTGGGCTTTTTCGTATACCTTGTATAAAGCTAGAAAACACATCCTTTACTATATTAGTAGATTTTTTTCTGCTATGGTTTTTTCTAGATGGAGTAGACATCTCATATGTTTTTTGAGGCGTGATACGGTTGGTAAGTGCTGCTTTACTTGTTACATTGGGGGTATATGTCTTGGGAAATGCATTGGCATGTGTGAGTACAGGTGATGTTTCTATTGCTGTTTTAGGAATGGTTCTGATGCCATTAATTGATGGTTTATATAAATATGAAGTATCAGTACTTCCTACATTAATATTTTTATTAAAAAATTGTCCCTTATTTGGTGTTTCAGTAGAAACAAATAAGCTGCTGCTTGTATCAGGTGTGATTGTTGTAGTTGTGACATTTCCTTGCTCTGATCTGGACATCCGTATTGTTGAGTTTGTATTATCCTCAGATATGGTTGCATGATCAAATATTTCAGTATCTCTTGCAGCTACAGAGGACTGCGTAAAAATAGAATTGAATCTGAATGGTGCTTGGAGACCACTACCATTGCTGATGCTTCTACTTTCATCACTCTTATGATCGCTATCTTTTATACTATCTGCAGCACTCTCAGATGATGAAAAATCACTCAATAATGAAGAGGAAGAAATTCTTGTGAAATGGACTGGATCATCAAGTGAAACCTGATTCAGATCATTATATTTTGGGGAATTTTGTAATGATTTGGAGGAATATGAATGCTTGATAGTTGTATATATTGGTGTTTTCTCTGGTACTTCAACCATAAACCTATCAGTTTCTATTTCATTTAAATGATTTATACGGGCTTGTTCTATCCAACTATTTTGATAATTCAAATTGTTCTCTGTGTTCATGATTCGACACTTTTTTTCAACAATTTTTTCCTATATTATGTTATTGAATAATTTTTTTCTTCTCTGGAAAACAGTCTCTAGGAAGAGAAAAAAACTTTGTCCACTTGTTCAAAAAGATATGTAGTAATTTATAGAAAGTATAAATAATGATAAGCTCGTGGGGTTTCCCTCTGTTACAACACTCCACGTTGTATCTATACTTGTTAAGTATTTATGAATAGTTCAATATAAAAAAATGGTGAGATTCCGACTGTTTTAAAACAAATTAGATTCGATGCAAAATAAAAAAGAAAAAATGAGAAAAAATGAGAACAAAAAGAAAAAATAAACCCTATGTTATATGCACTTCAAACCTAGCAAAAGTAAAAAAAACTACTATTCTGCCCTAGAGTATTTTTCAATTTTGAATAATTTTAAATGAAAAAATCATAAAACTCCATCTCTACGATCAAATCCAATTTCCTGTTGATTCAAATCAAAAAATGGCATAGCATTAATGTAATCATTAACAGCCAAGTATTATTATAATATTAGTATTAAAAATTATATTCCATTAAACTAAGCATATGTATCTGAATATACTGTTTGTCTTTATTATACTATTTTAAAGATGTAAGAAAAACAAAAAAACCAATTAACAATGTCAGTACAAACAATTTGTTCTACTTAACTCATATTGTTATGTTCTGACCTTTTCTTAACATTTTATTTTTTAAAAACTACATACCTTCATTCTTTTTATGATAACAAGAATGCACCAGCACCTTCATGTATAGCTTGTGTAATTCTCTGCTGCATTATTTCTTTAGAAGAATATTTAGGTAATTTCAAATAATTAGCACATGTCATAACACTTGGTAAATATTCATCTGGGGTAAGACCAGATTCCGCATGTTTCAAAACAACTGTCAATTTTGGTTTAAGTGCTTTAAATCCTCCAAGAGGTAACTTGGGTGAACCAGTAATAAATTGTAGGAATGCACGTCTTTCTTGGAGATTGAAACTCGACATAATGGATATTAAATTATGAATAGTTGCAGAATCCATGGTGTAACCATGATTGGCTGTAATGCAGGTGTACAAGGTTTCAGTCGACCAATCTTCCTCGACTCTACCAAATAATTCTACTAACTCTTCAGGTGTCAAAATAATTAAATTTGAGTAAGGAAAAACCTTTGAGAATCCTGAGATAAAAGATTTGATTTGATCTTTAACACCTATATCAATAATATAAGAGATAATAGATCTGATATATTGAGTAACATTTCCAACATGTACATTTAATTTTGAACCATTTTTAATTAACTCAATGTCTGAACCTGGTAAGACAAAAGTTAAACACATTTCTTCAATGACTTGTTTATTGTCTTTATGATTATAAATATACCTTAATGATTGGGTCAATGACTTATCCACTAATTTTAAGATGGAAAATCCATCTTCTATATTATTATATTCCACATATGATTTTCCTGCCGCAATCTGGTTAGCTAATCGAAAGAAAACACTATTAAATCGGAAATCCACAATCCTGTTATCAAGAAGAGATCTTGCAATAAAAGTCCCCAGGTAATCGAATAATTCAACAATTTTTTGTTTTTGAGAATCTGTCTCAGCTACTGGTTTTGGGTATAAAAGTCCTGTTACATAATCATTTCCTTCATCAAAATTAGAAGTTCTCCACAAATTTAGCTTTTTTTGGGCAAAGTCCTTGGAAATTGTAGAATAAAATTCTAAAGTAGGTCCTAACCCTGAACCTTCTTCATCTGTATATTGAAATTCTAGAACAGCGGCACTGTTACTATAATCATCCATTATTCTTAGTGCTGCTAATAACATATTCTCTCTCGAAATCAGAATTTTACTTCTTGAAAGACGTCCCAATTGTAATAATGGATCATCGCTACTCAACTGCTTTTCAGCAGTTAGTTTATCTTTCCACAACTGTATTAATCTACCATATCCAAAGGATGTACATTGTAAGAAAAACATTCTACTTTCAAATGGGAATAAGAATGAATATTCCTTAGTTAAGCGTAATGTCCATTCTGGTAAAACACCGCCCACAATGACTAATGGTTCATCCAGCTGTCTTGCTAATTTTGCGCTTAATTTAGAATTAACAAAATAATCATCATTTTGGAAACAAACTCTTAACACTCTCAAAACTTTCATAATATCTTCTGTAGCTTGATTTGTTTCAGAACCAAATGATTCAATATTATCATATATATTACACAAAGGATCTTCCTTTTCTTCATCTCCTTCTTCATTTTCCATATCATAATCTTCGTCTTCAGGGTTGCTTTTTGCTCCTAAGTCGACTATTTTAGTATTATCTTTTTCATATATTTTGAAATGAATATTCTGAATATCGTTCCATAAGTCTCTTACGTTCTTATCCTCTTTTTTGTATAAAATTTTAAATAGAGCACCAAAAATGGTATCCTTACTATCAATTTCCTCATCATTATAGTAGAATTTTAAGACAGATTCTTTAATTGATTTAGCATTAGAGAATGATTCGCCATTATTTTCTCCTGATCCCTCATCACTTGATGTAGGTATTATTAAACTAAATATTTTTGCTCTGACAGCTCTATCTTTAATGAATGTTTCTAAAACTTTAAACGAGGCAATACAATGTACTGATACCACAATTGTTGATAATGGTGTAAATGTTTTACTGTCACCGTCATAGTGTAAATGGATTTTGATTTGTTTGCCAAGAGATTCCATTCCTCTTTCTTCACCTTGAAGGCCTGAGTCAATAATGGAAAAAGATTCAACTCGAGTTAACGCAGATTGGAATATTTTAATGAGTTCTACCAAATTATCGCCAAATGCAGTCTTTACAGCACTCTGTAAGTTGGTAGTCCAATTAAGATTTAATTCAGATAATTTATTTGCTATAATGGTAGGTAATTGATTGGATACTAACTCAAATCCAGATAATACTGTATGCCTTTGAAAAATACAATCATTCACAGCAAGCAAGAATCGATATACGTCATCATAGGAGCCTGGATCAACATGCATTTCTTCTAGAGTCTTAACCATATTTTTTGTCATTTCATCTTCCTCATATGTAATTTCCCCTGATGAGTCTACCATTGACAAAATTAATTCTGCAGATTCAACTACAATATCTAACATTTCTCCACTAGTTAGTTTATTTAAGAATTTAAATTTCAACTTCCTGGGAAGAACTTCTTTTGGAATATCTCTGTCATCTAAATAAATATTATCTTCCTCTTCTTCTTCTTCTTCATGTTCTGTATTTTGATCCAATTCATCAGAATACTCACGGTATTCTCTATCTGAAAATTCAGGCTCTTGATTTGAAGAGACCTCATTCTTCTCTTGAAATTTTAAAACATCTTGATTGATACTCTTTATAGTGTCATAAATACCCTCTTTCTTGAAGGGAATTGTGAAAATACATAAAAAGTTTCTTTCTAATACTTTAACTATAGATAGTAATCCAATAATTAATACTCCAACTTCATAAGGATTAGATGTCCCATTTTCTAGGAAATTTTTAGATTGTGCCAAAGAGGCGCCCAACAACTTAATAAAATAATCTACCGAATATTTTGCTACGTCAGTATTCATATATGTGGCAATTCTGGTTAAACCAATTAAAACATTACGACGGGTACTAAAATTGATTGTGTTAATATAAATTTCACACAGCATTGGAATCAATTTTTCAAGTAAATGACTAATTTCTTTAACCTCTTTAAAATTACTGAAGAAATCTGTATCGTTATCACGGAAATTGGTATTTTTGACAGTCAAAAGTTGTTCTACTTCAGGAGGAAATAGTAAGACAAGAAATCTTGAGATCGAATTCAATAAATTCTTAGGAACGAACATGATAGTTTCATGTAAACTAGCATTTGAATTTTTTCCATACTGATATAAACACTTTTCCAACGTTATGGATAAATTAGGGGATTTCAATATTGTATGAGCAATCTTGGGGCAGTGACTGACAATTAGTGCTAGAATATCTAAACATTTCAGTTTCCCGTCTAATGCAGTGTCACTATTGGAAATCAATTCAATTAGGTGTTGGGTGATTTCTGTAGTAAATAATGATTCCAGCATATCTACATCCTTTATTCCACCACATATACCATATAGAGTATCAAGTAACCTTGAGACAATGGTTTGGTCAGTGCAATTAACAAAAATTGGTTTTAGAGTCAAAAATAAATCCTCAATTGTCTCGAAATCTGAGTTTTTGACAATGGCACATGCATTGGCTATAATTGCTACAGATTTTCTTTGAGCATGAATAGTAAAAAAATCAAAATATTGGATGTAGGAAGATAATTGTCCATTATGTAAAATATCTCTTCCACATAGTCTTGACAACAATTCCAAAGTTTCCAAGACTTGTTCCGCTAAATCAATGTAACTAATCTCAGTTAATTTGCTTTGTAAGAATTGAATGATATCCTTATCTACAGCAACAGACATGCTCTCAGGATGAACTTCAAAAATGTTGTACAAACATCTACAACATTGTAACTGTAATTCTAACTCATCTCTTAATTTAAATGATCCTAAAATATTAACTAAAGCATGTAAGAGTCTCTTTATGGGGAAAATCCTTTCAATAATAATTTGATTGACCATTAATAAATTCTCTGATAATTCAATAATGCTTTCCATGGCAAAATAAGGATCACTTTCTGCATTTTCCACATTATCTACTAATTTTGCCATTCTAGCACTTCTACTGTTTGCATCACTACGATTCCTTAGACCTGCATCACCCGCTGACCCCATCATCGATAATAATTCAGGTAGGACTTCAGATAAGTTCATTCTCCCATTTTCATCATGGACTTCATGAGTACCCGAACGATGTTCATTATTTCTCATATGTTGTCTTAAAGTGTTCATAAAATCACGAGAAGACATTCCGGGCCCAAAAAATTCATGTTCTTCTTCGTCAGTCTCATCTCTATCGATTATTTCATTAATATCCCTTTCATGTTCGGAATCCTGATCTTCATCACTACCATAATGATCCTCGTAAAGAAACTCATTTCCAGAATTGCTGTCCTGACTATCATCGTGAGAAATATTCCATTCAACCTCTGACTCATGGTGTGGGAAATCATTATCGCCACTGTCATGGGTCTCAAAATTATCTTGATTACCATGACTACTAGTCCATGATTCACACTCTTCGTGATTCATTTTTGACGGCTAGTATTTAAGTAAAGATATATGAATTAGTTGTCTATTTATGCTGATATAATTTCTTAATTCGGAATATATTTGCTTCTTAATAATTTTGTGTAGGTGTGCTTTGACTTATAAATTTAATATAATATATTACTATGTATTATTTTGTTCTTTTCTTCACCGCTCTTTCTTGCGTAATTTTTTTGTCTCATGATAAAAATAGACCAGAAAATGAAAAGGGAAAAGCATGACAAAGAGCAAATTTTATAGAGAGTGTGTCATAAAATAGAGAGAAGATAGATCAATAAAAGAAATATATAATAAAAGGTTGGGGATTGATATTGTTTAATGAATTAAAAAAAAAACAAGATTTTGGTGGCTATTATGTAGAATTAAAATACTAACAGATAATATATAAAGTTGTTTTATTTTTTCTGACTTCTTGAATGGTGTAAAAATCAATAAGAATGATTATTTCCAGTGCTATTAATAATAAATATTACTAATTCAATCTTATTAGATATATGAAAACTATTTTCATAAATTTTCTAAATTTAAAAAGGTTTCTACGTTATTTAAATGTAAGAAAATAAATATTAAAAGAATAATAAAATGGCATATTAAAATAGAGTATCCATAACTAATTCAGTATTGTCAAACAATTATTCTATTTAATATTGTATTTTTAGTCAATCTTTCTACCTGGCCCATTTACATTTAGGGAGTGGTTGATATAATGTTATGTTAAAAAGGAAATAAAGGATCAACGCTATACATTTTTTATTAATTCCATTGTTACTCTAATCAGTCTATCCTTTATTAGGTATCCATAGTTTATATATGTAAATGTTTTAATCGGTCCTTGTTTTTTATTAGATATATAGATACATAATATTATCAGTGATAATATAACCCGAATAATAGATCACGGTTATGGAGGTTTGAATATATTTTACTGATATATATCTATTTTTCTATAATATTTTATTCTAGTACAATGAATGCAATATTATATTATTACAAAAAAAAAAAAAAAGAAAAAATAAATTGGTGTTCAAGCACATATATATCCTGCCTCATTAATGGAAGTGCTTTACTTTTGTTAAAGTGTTGAAAATTGGTTTGTAATCCTTTTTTTTAAACGTTTGTCTTTGTTTTCTTACTGTTATTGAATAATCTACTCACCTAATACATAACATATATGTATATATATATAGGCATTTCATGTACCATATCGAAAAAATCATTCATTCCTGTTTTTTAAAAGTTTTGGCGATACTTGTATATTTCTCTTCTTTCTTTTCTGTACCATTTTCGTGTTCTTCATCATCTTCGTCTCCACTAGACTCTGCATCACTTCTAACATCTTCATAAACACTTTGTGTGGCCATTCTATAAACAATTCTAAAGATTAAAAACAGCCAATACAATTGAACTAATTGTAATGCGCCAATTAATGTGAAGACGATAGGTTGAGAAATCCAGCATTTATACTGTTGTGTAGCAAAATTTAATCTATAATCACCAACAGTTTTGAATTCAGTAAGGACAGACCAAAGAATCTTTATATTTATATAGTGGCGTGTATAGATCCAAACCGCGATAAATATAAAGAAAAATATTGGGGTAAACCAATAATTCAAATAATTGAAAATTTTACATAAAGCTAACAATAAATCTGATATGTCCATGGTAATATAAATGGGTAGTCCCATCTTTGTGAAATGGAAGACATATGACGACCATACTAACAAAAGTGTCACAATATGATGGTAGATCATTTCTTTGTGATCCTTTCTTGGTTTTTCCAATTGTAGCGCAAGGACACATGCTTGTTGAGCCCAGAATGCTGCTTGACCAAGATAAAATATTTTGAACCAGTATGGATTATTTAAGTCTGGATATGTTTCATACATTGGTTTTGTTTTGAAGAACCAGAGATCTGAATGATACATGATATAAAGACCGAAGGGACTGGATAAAGCATAGTATATGACGTAAAATGATTGTTCTTTAATTCTTTTTCTTTTATATGTGGCACCTAATATATCAGGTAATGGTTTAATAACAATATCTAGTATAAATTCTCTGAAAAATGTGAAAAATATCATATAATAGAACACAAAACAAAGGTCTTTGATACCTTTGCCATACACGTCTGTTGTACCTGGAACACGATAGGAGATTGCAACAAACATATGTAGGGGATTAGTTTCAGTCAAATTTCCCGATGTCAGATATGCAGAATATACAATTACTAAAACAATTAGTGGTGCAATCCATGGATGTCTATAGTTCATTTCACGAAAGGAGAGCCAGAATTTTTGAAGTAATTCTCTATCATTTTTAGTGATCTGAGATAATGTCTCCATTCTTCTCTGAGATGCATATCTTGATTGTCTTGTGCTGGGTAATCTTGAAACTGTGTCACCCAGGTCGATCCTCCCGACGGAAGATGCCCTTCTGGGTCTAGTTCTTGGTCTTTGCAGTAAATTTATGTTTGACATTTGATGGGAAACAGGTGCAAAAGTTATGAAGATATACAGTAGTATATATGTGTTTTCCTTTTTCTTTGTGTGTATACTTACTGATATATAGAAAATGGCAGATAAACGTGTTTTTATACTAACCGATTACACACTTAGATATATGCTTTCTATTCTATTCTATTTTATTTTGTTTTTTGATTTCTTGTGTATAAAGATAATAACGATTACATAAACAAGAAAGAGATCATTAGGCGATGGGACCAGGAAATATAGTTGTTAGAGGAAAAGTTTCATTTGCTTTCTCCTTACAAAAAATTTCATCTTTAAATTGTTATACCTTTGTTTGTTTTTTTTTGACAGAACAAAAAATTGGTGCCTGTTCCGTTCTGCTCCGTTTTCTTTTTTTTTTTTTTTATTTTCTTTTCTGCTTTATTTTAATGCATGTCATAAGTTTTACACAAAGTGTCAAAAAAAAAAAAAAGATAAGGTTGATAATATTAATGGCCGTAAATCTTTATTTACTTGTCTTTGAAAATTAATAGGTTTATCGAAGATAATTGACACATGTCCAGAAAAATCAGTGCTATACTTATAAAAACAACATATGGTGTTGTTAATATTATATTGATCTTAATACACCCAAAAATACATGAATATTATAAAAGATGGGAAACGACAGTAGTCAATTGCTACAATACGAAATAGATTAAGAATTACAATAGAGACTTCCATGTTTTTTTTTTGTTTTTTATCTTCATTTTTTCTCGTCATTCATTTCATTGTCTTCAAAACTGATTTCGGAGCTGGATTCTGAATCACTATTTGAATCCTTTTCTACATCACTTCTAATGTCAACATAGTTATTCATTGTGAGTATTCTGTAAAGTACTTTCAAAATTAAGAAAAACCAATACAATTGTACCAACTGTAATGCACCAATCAAGGTGAAAACAATAGGTAGCGATATCCAGCATTTGTACTGTTGTGTAGCAAAATTTAAGGTGTAATCACCCACGATTCTGAATTCAGTGAGAACAGACCAAAGAATCTTTATGTTAACATAGTGACGAAGATAAACCCAGGAGCAAACAAATATTGTGAATGCATATGGTGTCAATGGAGAATCTATATAATTAAGATCTTTTGATAAGGCAAACAATAAATCTGACACATCCATGGTAATATAAATGGGTAGTCCCATCTTTGTGAAATGGAAGACATATGACGACCATACTAACAAAAGTGTCACAATATGATGGTAGATCATTTCTTTGTGATCCTTTCTTGGTTTTTCCAATTGTAGCGCAAGGACACATGCTTGTTGAGCCCAGAATGCTGCTTGACCAAGATAAAATATTTTGAACCAGTATGGATTATTTAAGTCTGGATATGTTTCATACATTGGTTTTGTTTTGAAGAACCAGAGATCTGAATGATACATGATATAAAGACCGAAGGGGCTTGACAGAGAATAATATATTATATAGAAAGTCTGTTCCATTATTCTTTTGCTTTTATTTGTTGCACCTAGCCATATTGGGTAACGGTCTAATAACGATATCTAATAGAAATTCTCTGAAAAATGTGAAAAATATCATATAATAGAACACAAAACAAAGGTCTTTGATACCTTTGCCATACACGTCTGTTGTACCTGGAACACGATAGGAGATTGCAACAAACATATGTAGGGGATTAGTTTCAGTCAAATTTCCCGATGTCATATATGCAGAATATACAATTATTAATATGATTAAAGGTAAAATCCATGCATGTCTATAATTCATTTCAAGGAAGGAAAGCCAAAATTTTTGCGATACATTAGTATTTGAATCAGATAATTTATGCAAACGTTTACGTGATTCTGTTTTAGCTGCTCTTGTGGTATTCATGGTAACCAAACCTGGTATTGTGTCACCCATATTAATGTTTCCAACTGAACTAGTTCGCCTTGAGCGAGCAGAACCTTGTCGTACCAATAACCCACCGGTTGTTGTCCTTGTTTTAAAAGGATTTATTTTTGGCATATGCGTTATTGTTGTTAGAGATTGGTATGTTTGTGCTTGTTTATTTCTACTGATATTAATTATGATAATAATATGTATATATGAAATTATTAATTCGAAGTTTGAAATGTCAAAGATATGAAAATTGTTTAAACAATTATATATATAACTTCACATAAAATCACAAGCAACTTAGATGTAACATCTGATAAAGAAAGAAAGAGGAAAAGATAAAAGAAAAGACAAAGAAATCAAGATAACTGAAGTATACGATAAATAAACAGAGGCATGGTTTTAAAAAAGAAGAAAGAAAACAGCATTTATTCTCTTTTTATAAATTGAATAGAGTCATAATATAACATCTCTTGTTTCTTTTTTCGTGTCTTTTTTTTATTATTTCTTTTTATTTATTTATTCATCACGTAGGCTTACCATTAGTTAATGATAAAAGCATTCAAGTCTCTAGTAATGGGTGAACAAAACTTTGTTACATGCACACACACACACATACAGAGAGATAAATATGTATAATATACAATATAGCCCGTGACAATAGCAAACTACTGATGATTATGCAACATTCTTTCCTCGAGCCATTCTGAAATTCTGAAATGAGTAAAGCCTAATAAGATATTATGGATGTGGGGTATACTCATGTGAAAGATAAAAAAGAAAAAAAAAAAAAAGTGAAGTTCTTTTGCAAACGACACAATAATATATGAAAAAAAAGAAAGAAAGAAAGAAACAGAAAAAGAGACAAGAAACAAGAAACAAGAATCAAAGCAGAAATCTGGGTACTTTATAACATTACGTCATACATTCAGTCAAGGCTTATATTCCATTTCTTTGTTGTTGTATATTGTTCTGCAACAATGTAATTTATTCCTAGACAATAGCATCGTTTAATCTGTTTTTGTTTTATTTTATTTTATTTTGATTTTTCTGTTTCGTGGTGTTTTCTTTTTTTTCTTTTCTTTTTTTTCCATGTAAAGCTGGCTCGTTTCATTTTGATATATACGAAGAAAGCAGTAGTGTGTTTAGTTGTGTAAACAGGCAAATACAACTATGTTTGAGAAACATAGTTGTTTCTTATCAGTTGAGCAGCCAATATTCCTTCTTTTAAATCGTTGTAACAACAACAACAACATGTAGAATACAGAATGTAAGTGGGCAAATGTACACCCCATCTCATACTCAGAAAAGAATAGAGAGAGAAGTTAGAGAACAAAGTTTCGACACTTACCCAATATTTTTGTCTGGTAAACTCTTTCTCTCTCTTTCTACATATATATAATATATAATATATCATCCATGTTATTATATATACATGCATTGTAAAAATATCAAATTTTGCGTGCACATAGCAAATTATCAGAAACCAGTCTTTCTAACACCCAGACATCTTGATTCTTGTATGATAAAAAATGGGGTCAATCTAAAAAAAAAGAAACAAATCAAAGAAATCAAATGTAGGGAGAACAGAAGGAAAGAGAAGGATAGAGAATGTAATTTTCTATTAAGGTAAATGTTGGTTTAATATTATATTATTATATATATACTATCGAATAGATACACATTCAAGTAAATTTATCGTTATAAATTATTCATGTATATAATAAATACATATATATATATATTTGTTTTAAGATAAATAAAGTAAACTAACGATTAACTGAGTTGCCACCTAATTTCTACAAAACTAATCATTATCCAGACATGTCGCAAAAAATAAAATTAAATCAGGCTGTGCTAAAAGCAACTGATGCTACATTAACTGCAGACAATTGGCAAAGAATCATGAATGTATGTGATATAGTGAGGATGGACCCTGAAGATAATAGCAAAATCGTGATCCAATGTTTAGAGAAACGATTTGAACAAAAAGACGCAAATGTCATCTTAAGAACTATTTCCTTGACAATTGCCCTTGCAGAGAATTGTGGGTCTAGGTTGCAGCAAGAAATTAGTTCTAAACATTTTACAAACATCTTATACAGTTTAATAGAGAATCAACAGGTGCATATCACTTTGAAAAAAGCTTTGGCCAAGTGTGTTGAACAATTGGCAGGAAGTTTTAAAAATGATCCGTCTTTAAAATCAATGAACGATATTTATAGAAAGCTTTTAAAGCATCATAGTGAATTGTTAGGCAAATCTAATGAAAATAATTCTGCTTCCTATACTTTTGAGAAAAAGCAAACAAATAGAGTAGAAAACGAATTAAAAGAGGAAGATAAGGAGTTAGCAGAGGCCATAAGACTATCCTTACAAGAATATGAACTAGCCAAAAAGAAAAATGAATCTATATCTAAAAATATCGATAAAGACAACAGTACTATTGCCATCGATAATAACATGAACAATATAAATGCTCAAATAAGGCAAGAATCGATAAATAAAAAGTCACAATTAAGAAGAGTGAAAGCCATGTATGATTTGAATTCAAAAGAACCTGATGAATTATCTTTTCGCAAAGGTGATATAATTGTTGTATTAGAACAAGTTTATCGTGATTGGTGGCGTGGTAGTTTACATGGCAAGATTGGTATTTTCCCAATTAATTATGTAACGCCTTTAGAACAAAATGATATTGTTGAAAACACTATACATAATAAAGAAATGGAGACCAAAATACTCAATTCTAAAGATAAGATTGATCAATTAAATCTTAAATTACAAAATTCAAATGGCGATGTCTCTATACTAAGTGATGATTCTGTAAATTCATTATATGGGGAAGTAACACCAATGAGACCAGAGATAACAAAATTGATTGGGAAATATGCGGATGAAAGAGATAAATTAGCGTCTTTATATCAACTTTTAGCTAATGCAGAGGCCACATATAATGATATCATGAAGAGAACAACATCTGCATATGTAAATCCTATGTATAATCAACCACCAGTACTATCACAATCACAATTACAGTACAATCCTATAACTCAGCAACAACAATTCACTAATACTAATATTCCTCCACAACAATATCCTAATTTCCCTCCACAACATCTACCTCCATCTTATCAATGATATAGATATGCATACTGATATATAGATAGATAGATAGATAGATAGATAGATAGATAGATATATTGATAGATATATTAAATGACATATGGGATACTTTAAATATCTTTTATTAAGGTTTTTTTTTACATATATGCAAAAGTTATATAATAAAGGAATTATTCCCTATTCGAAAAAAAAAAAAAAAAAAGATCGCATAATGATTTATTTTGTATAACGTTAAAAGTTACATATATACATAAGATAAATAAGTAGAAAAGAAAGTAAGAGAGTAGAAAAACGCGTAGTCAATTTACAGTATAAGAGAAGGGCCAAAAAGAAAGTTACAAGCCAATTGTGGTCTATTAAGAAGCAATATTTATATTCAAAAGTCTGCTGAGAATTGACAAAAATTTTTCCAAACTTACTAATTATAAACACAAATATAAATATATTTACTTTCAAATAATAAATATATTGTTAATTCCTAGATCCTTCTTTTCGTTATTATTTTTTGTTTAATTGCTTATAATTACAAATATGTCTGAATTCAAAACGGTCATCCAAAATATTATTAATGATGCCTCCCCAGGTGAATTAGAACCCATTTTCAATGATTTATTGACCATTTCAGGGGTTAATGGAAAGGATACCATTCTTAATACCATCCGTGAATACAACAAAGAACGTGGGACTATTGTTCATTTGAATGACAATGGAAAACTCATCATATCTAATTATAATCAATTTCAAAATGAAGAAGAAGAAGATACTAAGGATATATTTATTGATTATAATAATAATGGGCAGATTGTTAAAATAGACCCAATAACTTTAAAAGGTACAATATTAGATAGTTCTGCAGAAACGAAATCTATTCCAATTGACACTGCTTTGAAACAATATGTTGAAAAGAATTTCCCAGGAACATATTCTATTGCCATGTATCCATATAATAATGAGGGTAAATACATTATTTATATTATTAGTGATAAATATAATGAATCAAATTTTTGGAATGGTCAATGGAGATCACACTATATAGTAGATATGGATAAGAATACTGTGGAAGAAGGGGAAATTAATGTTGATGTTCATTATTATGAAGATGGTAATGTCAGATTCCAATCAAATAAAAAATATACAAATGATTTAGATAGTGATCAGTCTATCGTTGATCTTATTGAAAAATGGGAGACAGATTTTACTAATGAATTATATAAACAGTTTGAAAACTTGAATCAAAAACAATTCAAAGGTTTAAGAAGAAAATTACCTGTGACTAGATCTAAAGTTAATTGGGGGAAAGCCATTGGCAATTATAGACTAGGAAAGGATGCAGCTTCTAGATAAAAATATAACATTATTTTATCTCTTAGCTGATTTGTACTTTTTATTTTATATTATTTTTACAAAAAAACACGTACTATATGAGTGGAATATCTAAGTTTTATATCTGCCGCCTTTATCTTTTTTTAATTGATGATTCATTGTTACTTTTGTTGTGATTTATTTACTTTGACTACAATTAATTAAAACAGCCATATTTATATCATTTAGATGCAAATTATCAAATAGTACAATTAAAATAATTTAAATAAGGTATATATTATGAAAAAAATTAGTAATGCTAACCCTACCATTTTCCAAACACTGTTCCCCATATTCATGGTCCTTGCTAGCCTTGATGCAGAGTCCTTGATATTACTTGCCATTATTGTAAAGGAATCATTTAACTGATTCAAAAGTGAATCATCATTAATTGCCTGTTGATTTATGTCTTCATTAATACCTCTGAAAGTTGCCAGTTTATTTGCCAGATTATTTAATCTTTCATCATTCTAATTTAATTGTTGAATAAAATAAAATATAATAGAATAGAGTAAAATAAGTAAATAAAAGCGATCGACCCTTCAAAAATAGTTAGTAATAAAGCTTTAAATGATATTAAAAGAGAGATGATGTATCTTCTTTCAAAACTCTAAATAAACATACATTTGATTCCATTTGGAAATATCTACTGTTTGACATTGTTGCTATAGTTTAAAGTGTATATTGTGTTTTTGGACGTGGGATAATAGATATCTGTATATATATATATGTGTGTGTGTATAATAACAAATACAAAAAAACACCTCTAATCTTTGCGTATCAATGCGTTTAAAAATGTATATTAAGATAGTTTTCCCTAAATATGTATTTATACGCTTTATCTAGTCAATATTTATATATGTATATGTGTTGCATTACTGTACAATACTTTTTGTTCCTTACTATATGTGTATGTTTTATTATATTCTTCCTCATCTGTGCTCTTTGATTTTTTTTCTTGAGAAACATAAGTGTAGTTTAGTTTGAAGAAGCGAAGTTATATGTTATCTTGTGCATTTTGTAACCTTTATACCCTTAAAGACTGAGTATGAACAGAATATGACAAGACAGTGGAGTACAAACGGTAACAAGAATTAAGAAGTCGAATAGAGTACTATATTACAAGCTGGTCTAGTTTACTAAAACACATAATTGTAAAACAGTCCTTTAATCCATTACTTACTATCATTTTTTAAGACCTGCTAATGTTGTATTATAGAAAGCATGTAATAAGATACCGAATATATACATATATATGCATATAGGTTTGTGTGTGTGTAGATATTTATAAGCAATTTGGGTTAGTCAGTCGTAAAAAGTTGTTCGCATTTCATTAAGATCCCTTAACGGTAACTAGGCGTGTTACCAGGTCCTAATACTCAATCGCAAATTATATCATCATTCACCCAGGAAAAAGAAAACATAATAAAACACATTACAATAATATAACTAGATAAACAAGTTATGTTATTATACAGTGGTTATAAATCTTTATAATCACTCAAATATGCAGTTGTACGATGTTTTAATCATCCATTGATTTGACGTAGCACAGCATAATACAAGGGCCTATCTCTATCCAGTTAAAATTATCGTGGCAATTCCTTCCTTCGTGAAGGAAAAGGGCATTAGTAAGGCCAGATAAGCAACTAAAACAAACATCATTCTTCAGGGTTTGCTTATACTGGGAATGAAAACTAATGCTTCCGCAGTGACAGGCTAAAAGAGGAGAAGACAGTACTGTAAAACAGCAACTATTTATACAACTGCGGTTTTCGCAATATAGTTTTTTTCTAGTTCAAAAAAAAAATACAAAAATGGGAAATGGAAAAAAATATATATATGTATATATAAATATACGTGGAATATAAGTTATATGAAAAAATAAGAGCTTGTGACTGTTTTAAAACATCCAGACATTTTCTTATTTTTTGACAGTAAATGCTTTTTTAGGGAAATTTACAAGAAAAAAAGCATGCATCGGAAAACTAGCATTTGCTAAAATTGGAATATTCTGACGATTTTCTTCCTTGTTCAGTAAAGCAAACTCTAATTAATTCCCTGGCATAAACACAATTGGATCATGTAATAGAGTCACTCTATTTTGGCAAGAAGGAAGTCGCCTGGGTGATTAGAGCAATTTCTTAACAAGACTGGGGTAGACTCCTTTCATTCCCAAAGGCCGTACACAACAAACTCATATGCTCTGTCTCTCTGTTTCCCTGTATATGTCTTTCTCTGTATGTCTCATTCTCCCTCTCCCCATTCTCCCCACTTCACTTCCCACCATTACACATTCAGTGTATTCTTACCTTGTTTATCCAACAAATGTTTCAAGTTGAATTCTTTGACACGGCAGCATCACTTTGCCAGAGTCGCTTGATTCTAACACTTCGCACAACTCCCAACGTTGTTCCCTATGGTCAGGCTTCTTAGTGTGTAATCCTAACAAACTTGGTACGATGGGACCATTAGACTCAGACTTGTTCTTCCATGGAAGGGACGGCAGAGAGTTTGGCTTTGACCCCTCTACAATCACCTATTAACTTATTCATTGTACTATCTAGGGTCACTATTGGTGAACTATTGATACATTTGGATATTGTTCTCAATATCTTGATTGTTATATACTATTTTTGCATAGGTATTTCAGGATGTAGTGCTTACTCTCTATATACCGAAACCCCTTCCAATAAGATAAGCAATCCAAAAATGTCCACTGATTCTATTGTTAAGACCTCTAACTGGAGATTAGTCGAAGTTGGTCGTGTTGTTCTTGTCAAGAACACTGGTAAATTAGCTACCATTGTTGAAATCATTGATCAAAAGAAGGTATGTTACAAGATGGAAGAACCCTATCTTTAATGTTAAATTAACTAAGGTTGGGATAAAAGAGGTGCGGGATAAACTAAAGATTGAACTTATATTTGATATAATGTTTATACATAAAGAAAAGGATAATGACAGTAAAGATAAAGATAATAATATTAATGTCAATATTAGAAAATATAACTGAAAGATGTTTCAGACTTTTTGAGAAACATGTAGATATAATATTAATTTTTTGATCGTATTTGTTTGTGTGTTCCAGGAGATACTCTGAGATTTATTTGTTAGTGCAATTTATAGGATCTTGAATATGACAGCACCAGTACTTTCAATTTGCCAAAAAAGAAAACTTTAATCCTCACTAGTGTTAGTTTATTAGTTTAGAATTGTTCTTGTTCTTTTTTACTAACAATGTAATATCATATTTGAAAAAAAAAAAGAAAGGGAGAGAGAAAATAACTCTGTTTTACTTTTTTTGTTCTTATTTATTTTATTTTATTTTATAACAGGTCTTAATCGATGGTCCAGAAACTGGTGTCCAAAGACAATCCATCCACTTAGGTCAAGTTGTCTTAACTCCATTAACCTTCGCTTTACCAAGAGGTGCTAGAACTGCCACTGTTGCTAGGAAGTTCGCTGCAGCCGGTATTGTTGAAAAGTGGAACCAATCTTCTTGGGCTAAGAAGATTGCTCAACGTGAAAGAAGAGCTGCTTTAACTGATTTCGAAAGATTCCAAGTCATGGTCTTAAGAAAGCAAAAGAGATACGCTGTCAAGAAGGCTTTAGCTAAGGCTTAAATTAGTTGAAACGGTATATTCTATATATAAAATTTTTTAAAATATATGTATAAAATTATAATCAATTCATTATTCACGTTATCGTCTTTATGAAACGTTCATAGGGGATGTTTGTGTACGTTGATTATGTAGACAGGTTATATATGGACACATGTGTATATATATGTGGTTATATACTGATAAATTACATGTTTCTCGCTGATTCAACTGACGTGTCCTTTCAATTGTGGTATATTCGATATGATTTCGGATTGGAGAATCAGTTGAAGGTTTCATGTGATAATATAAATGAAACAATACGCTGTGATAATTCTCTTTACATATAAAATAAAGTTAAAACAAAAAATAATAATAATAATAATAATGAACGTGAAGGAGATAAACAACCCGAAGGATATGAATTTATGTATTTAGGGGATCAATTCAGGTTTTATAACTACTAATACAAATAATTTTAGTTCAGAATATTTTATCATGCTTGAAAAGTTTTGTTCAGGAAACAATTCATTAATGATTGGAGGATACTCACCGCTATTACTTGCAATAAGATATATATTTTTAACATAAATTTTAGGACATTTTATACCTAAAACTTTATCGTTTAGTAGCATCCAGTCAACAAGTTCAGCATAATTGTGGACTGAATAGTCTTTCAAATAATACGCAAGAATATTTCGAGAGGTTTTAACCTCATTTAAATATGTATATGCTTTAGATGTCGTTAATCTACCTTCCACCGTTAGGTTTCCATTCAAGAGACATTCCTTGTATGGATGACGCAAATTTGGATTGCTACAAGATAAGTATATAGCATTGTTCATTAGTGATGGTGAAGATAAGATTTCTGGTATTTTAATATTTACTTTTTGACAAAATATGTTTTTTTGAATTGAATCTGCTTCTTCAGTTTTATTTTCTTCATGAGAAGCGGTACTGTTATGAGAATCATCATTGTCATCATTATGCACTTTAATAGTACGATTCTTTATTATAAAATCACTTTCTAAGTTATCATTTGTATCATAACTAACGTTCTTAGCACTTGAATCGGAACTGTACCTTTCCATCAATTCTTCACCTCTATGTGTCTTTATATAAATCGGTTTATCTGAGAGAACTTCGAAAACGACTTGATCCATGACTTTTGAATCAATTTTCTTTTTAAAAGATTGTAAATCTGGGTTAATCAGTTGTGAGGAATCTAATTTAACTAAATCTTCTAAGGATAATTCATCGTTCATGATCTTGCATTTCAATTTCAAATTTTTAATGTCTTTGGCATTTGAATAGATTATTCTAACTTTTTCAGAATACAACTTTTTATTAATCATAATTGGTTTTCCTTCATTGACAAAATCAAAAAGGAACTTTTCTAATGATTTTCCCATTTCCTGTGCCTTTTGTTCGACAGTGATATTTTCTGGTAAGTTATATTCATTATTTTGAATTGTCTCCGGTATTATATAATCTTTAAATAGGTTAATAAACATTTTAGAAGCATTTTCTCTTATTCTACTAAAAACGTTCTTTACTGGTGTTGAGTTATCAATAGATGATGCTGTTTTTGTATTCTTTATATTTGATTGTTTCTTATTACTGGTAAAGGAAATAGAATCTTTCTTTGTACCTGCTGTCCTTTTGTTTCTGTGTTTTCTCGTCTCTTCTTTCCCTTGCATTTGTTTTTGTTTCTGTTTTTTTTCTTCTTCTTCTTCTTCTTCAGTATCAAAATCATTTTCATAAATTTCATCCAAAATATCAAGATTATTTTCATTCTCATCTTCTTGTATAGCTGTATTACTTTGAACATTTTGATTTGTATCTTTAAGATCATTGTAAGATGTAATTAGTGTATTGTTAGTACTGGTAGTGTTAGTAGTTGTAGTAGTAGCAGTAATAGTAGTAGCAGCAGCAGAAGTGGTTATTGTATTGTTTTCATTATTGTTATTAGTATGATTAACTTTAAGAGATAGAAGATGTGGGTATCGTGTTGGATCACATTGATTACAAATATATTGGTTATCATCTAAGAAAAACTTCTCTATTGGTTGACTTTGATTTTTTAAAATACAATTAATATGTTGCCAAGTGTCACATCTATCACATTGAATCATATCACCAAATGGATCAGTCAATTCATCGTAGTTATCATCAGTAGTATTACAAACATTACAATACACAATATAACCTCTATCTATTTTAAACTTCTGGTTATTTTTATTTGATACAGTCAATAGTTCATTTTCTTCCTTTAATAAAGCTTCTATATATTTATTTTTCCCTTTATTCTTTCTTTTTGATACTCTTAAAGGCAAAGACATTATGATTATATTTTTAATAAAGTATGATTCACGAATATTTGATTTTGTTTTTGTTTTTGTTTTGTTGTTTTTCGTTTAGTTAATTGATTAAGTGTACTTCAATAAAATATATTTTTTGAATAGACTAGTGGTAATATGTAATAGTCTTTTACTATTTAATATTTATGCATGTTTTTAAACAACAGATTCTTTTTCTCTTGTACCATGTAGGTTTAATATCATAGCTCATATGATTGTTATATTAAAGGTTCTTCTTTTCTATCTATTTATCCATTCTTTTATTCATTTATAAATTTTCTATATTTTTCTTTCACAAAAGTAAAAAAATACTTTTAAATTCGAAGGGCAGTTCACTCTTTTTTTTAAATCTTCTCACCTCTGTCACTCCTGTTGTTAGGTTTGAGTAGATTTTTTTAATGTATATTTTTTCACAATTTTTTATTAAAGTAGGGTTTAACTTTTTTTCTTTTTATTTGTTTCCTTTTTTTGGTTTTTGGGAGGAGGGGGAGAAGAGAAGAAAAAGAAAAGAAAACAAAAGAAAACAAAAGAAAACAAAAGAAAACAAAATATTCTTTGTTGACAGCGCATTTTTTAGATGAGACACTTTGGGGAGTCTATTGTTTCCTTTTTTTCTTTTTCTTTTGTCCTGTTTCCTCTTTGGGCTGTTTACGCGGATTTATTTTAGTTTGTTTCTTTTTTGTTTTTTTTTTCTTTTTCCTTTGAAACATTTTTTTATTCTCATTCTTTTCTTTTTTTTTTCAATGTTCATTCATTTATTTATTTATATATACCTTTATAGTTTTGTTTTTATTTTGACTGTTAAGACAGAGATACCAACCGTTTCTTCCTTCTTTTACCTCTGTTTTTTTTCTTTTCTATCGAGGCTTAATATCCTTAGTAATATTTATCTAACTTCGAATATATACACGTTTTGCTTACTATCTTTTTTCACAACTACTGTTGGCTACATCTGTCCATTTCAACTTATTGGTGTTTAAAATACATCACAGCATAGTGAGGAGGAAACGTTATTATTTAAGAATACATCAGGCATTTTAAAAAATATATAATCTATTTTATCGATACCCTCAATTTTTTGGTTATTTTTTAATACAAGTTATTTCTTGTTGTAATTAAATTGTCCATTCTTTTTGTTGCTTTTATTTTTTTTAGTTATTCTGTACTTATTCCCCTGTTATTTCATACATATACTCATTGGATATACTCTGTAATAAACAAGAATTTTTTTAATACCACTTTATTTAATTCAGTTGTTTTTTTTTTGTTTTCCTCACATCATTTGTTATAGGAGTTGATCTTTTTTATCAATTTACTTATTTGATTTTTAATTTTTAATTTCTAATTTCCTCCATAATTCATTTAATATTCTAGCCTTTCACTTTGTTCTTCTTTTTTTCTGTTTTTTTTTTCTTCTTTGGCCTTTTGTCATTTTTTATTATCTTTGATTGTTACTTATTAATTAGCCTGAATTTTCTTTAGCTTTTCTTTAATTGATTTACTTAGTCATTTCATAGACAATGTCATCCTTAATTTATAGATGGTTTCTTTCACAAAAACCTTTGAATTCAGATGTGTCTGAATTAGAAACAAGTTTGAACATTAAAAAATCCATTCAATCTATCAAAAATTATCGTTGGACATGGAAAAGTATATGTCACTATGGTTTTATGGCATCAATTTTACTTTTTACTTTTATCACAAACCCTTTGCCCTGGATTATTAAATGCTCAATATATTCATTTTTAATACTTTTATTTCTAATTCCTTTGACAAGTCAGTTTTTTTTCAACGCTTTACCTATCTTCACTTGGTTATCACTTTATTTTACATCTTCTTATTTCTCACCAGATAAAAGACCACCCATTACTGTTAAAGTCTTACCTGCAATTGAAACCATATTATATGGTGATAATTTGTCAGATATTTTAGCCACATCAACAAATTCATTTTTAGATATATTAGCATGGATCCCATATGGTCTCTTTCATTTTGGTGCTCCATTTGTAGTTGCTGCAATTCTATTCATCTTTGGTCCACCAACTATCTTACAAGGTTACGCCTTTGCATTCGGTTATATGAACCTTTTTGGTGTCATTATTCAGAATTTTTTTCCTGCTGCACCACCATGGTATAAGATCCTTTATGGTTTACAGTCTGCACATTATGGTATGCATGGTTCACCAGGTGGATTGGCAAGAATCGATCAATTGTTACATATTAATCTTTATACTAATGGGTTTGAAAATTCTTCAGTCATCTTTGGTGCTTTTCCATCTTTACATTCTGGTTGTGCCACTATGGAAGCACTGTTTTTCTCCTATTGCTTCCCCTTCTTAAGACCATTATTTATTGGCTATGTTTGTTGGTTGTGGTGGTCAACAATGTATTTGACTCACCATTATTTTGTTGATTTGATGGCAGGTTCCGTTTTATCTTATGTGATTTTCCAATATACTAAATATACTCAATTGCCTTTAGTCGACACAAGTCTACTTTGTAGATGGTCCTATTCAACTATAGAAAAGTATGATATGGTAAGGGAGGATCCGTTAAGTTTTTTTGATAATGATGATATCGAAAATATTCCATTAGCATCATTGGATAATTCGCGAGTCCTCGATTTAAATGATAACAGTGTTTTAGAGTTTGATTTGGATGATCAAGATAGTGTGGCACCAACAAACATTTTTGATAGAAATTCATATACTTCACGATCATCTGCTACATCAAATATTTCCCTAGACGAAATTATTTTGCCACCAAGAGTTAATAGCAATAAGAGAATAGATTAAATTAATATAGATATATATATATATATATATATATATTTGTATTTATACTTTAAATATTTACACGATATTACATACATATACATTATATGTAAAAGGAGTACTTCTCCCTTTGTTGTTGTTGCTGTTGTTTTTGTGTTATTTGTCCTTTGTATGATTCATTTCTGGATTGAAAAACAGATATTTAAAGATCTAGTTTGGAAATATGTAGTCGAAGTAGACAAATATCGATATTCGTTGGTTACATTTTTTAACTCCCTTATTAACTTTGTTTTGAGGGAGAAAGGGGAGAAGAAGAAATATATAAGCAAAACCTTAGAGTGAGGAAAATTTATTAAAATGAATATAAAGAGAAGACAATCCTTTTATTACTTATATATTATTAGAACCAACTTTTTGTAATATGGAATTATAACTTTGGATTCTATCTAATGAGGAAGCTATATCAAGGTTTCTCTTTGTATTAATTTTCACTATAGATGAACGAATTAGACGTGGATCCTTTTTAAGTATTCTATTTATTTCAGATTGTACACCAACAGATGAATCAAATAACATAACGAATCTGTAACCACGATAGTATTTAGTTTGGTTTTTCTTTAAGACAGAAGAAAATTGCTCTATACCAATAGGAATAATTGATCTGATTAAACCTCTGTTAGAAAGAATAGTTTTACCAATAGAAGTTAATAATTCCTTAGCTTCTACAGGTCCTTGTAATGTATTTGTAACACGAACAATACCCATTAATTCATATAACATTTTATGTCTATATTGGCATGTATGTATGCAGTGCTATATCAATTTCCAAATTTTACAAATGTAATTGATTAAAAAAACAAACGAGGTGAAATAATAAGGTGTACGGTTTCGAAGCTAACAGCAAATTAATTTTATGATGTTAGAACACATAGAATAACGTTACCATAGGTTAGTGTAAGTCCAAAAAATCGCGAAATAATTAGTATGTTAATCGTTCTTATCGTTTTTTGTTCTCTTCTTCTTTTTTTTTCTATTAGTTCCGTCTCCCTCTTTTTTTTTCTATTAGTTCCGTCTCCCTCTTTTTTTTGTTACTAAATCTTTTTTCAATTGAAAATATAAAACATTTTTTATATCGCAAATTTATCATAAAAGAAAACCATTTCTAAGAACTTTTCGGATTTAGAAAATTCCTGTTTTTATCTCCTTTTTTTTTTTGAAAATGTTTTGAGGAGACATCCAGGTTAAAAATTAGGGTTATGTATAGATATTATTGCTGTTTTTGTTATTTTATCTTTTGATGTTTGTATGCAATGATATGAAGAAAGATAAAGGACAAAAATATACTGCCTTTTTTAGTATTAATTGTTTCTCTCTTTTTTTAGTAACAAAAAATACAGGAATAATTATTTCACCTGATCTAATTACTAGAATATTTTTGTAATTTAAAACATGTTTTAAGGGCTAACAAATGGTAAATTAAATGACATCCATAATATACACAGAGAGACTCATATTTGATAGTAAAATCAACTTGTTTGTAAAAATTTTATAGAGTATAGGAACATGGAACTGTAATGGTTTATGATTAAAAAAACTTTTAAATATAGAAAAATATTTTAGAAAAGCTGAATGATACATTATATTAAATTATTTTAATAGAATAAATCTACTAATTAGTCAAGATAAGAAAGTCCTTGAGGGGGGATTGAAACAATATATTAGTATTGATTGTTTTCTTCAACAAAACAAAAGTACAGGATAGGTTATATACCTATATATATATAAATATATATAGGTATAAGTAAGACTAAAACTAAACACAAACAATAATATGATTTAGGGATTATCAAAACTGGAAGCAGATTTATCTTGCATCTTGTAACTAGTAAAATTAGCCGCCGAGTAATATCTTTTTAAAGTGAACAAAAATGAACAGAAATAGTAACTTTTCCTTTATTGTAACCACTTTTTATTTTGTTCCCTTTGTTTACATAATTCCCAAAATGGAAGGGGTTCATTCATGTGTTTTATTTGATTAATAGCTTAAAGTGCAATGTCTGTTTTCTAATTTTAGACACAAAATTTTGCCCTATTCAAAATCAACATTCAAAAACAAATCTAAAAATACTGGCTAGAAGCCTTAAAAAAATCATTTGTTCAAATTACTGAGAACTACATAACAACTCAAGGGTACAATTACAGTAGACTCTACATATAACTAATTAAACATTTAAAAGTCAACTAATCATACAGGATGGAATAACAAACGTAATAACTTTTGTTCTATCCAAAATAGCTTGTTAAGATTCTTAAAAGAAAAAAGAAAAAAAAAAAGAAGAATAAAGTAACTTTATAGCAAGCTTTTCTTAATGGTGTAAACTCTTATAGCTGTAGACAAAAACAAACTCTTCAATCCCAAATTTCTCTTATCTTTGTCGCAAAATTGCTGCTATCATTACTGTTTTCTCTGGCATAATAAAAAACAATATGTGTTTTTTAAAAGTAATACGGTTACAAACCACATTTCCCATTCTTCTTTTTTACCCTCCCTGATTCTGTGTCTTTTCTTTTTAAAATGCAATAAAAGCAAAAATCATTATTTTGTCGTTGAGCACTCCATTTTGTGTCACTTCTTCAATATTACGGGAAAACACTGACATTAATTTTTTTTATTTTTAAAAAAAAGAAAGAGACACAAAATAATATTTAAAGGAATAGGTGTTTACTCTATACACATTTTCTTCCAAAAGGTACAAAGAAACCAGTCCAATAGCTCCTGTCACACCCAACCAATAAGTGAACATGTCCAACATCTATTAGAAAACAAAAGTGGAAGGGAAAAAGTAAATTAATTTTGAAAATATATAACATGTCAGAATGATCACAAAGAAAAAGATTGAAAAAAAAGAATTTCTCAGTTTGATTCTAAAATAATGAAATAATGGAGATAATAATACATAGCTTGATCTGTGAAGCTGATAGTGGAAATGTTAAAAGAACAATTGTTCTCCTTTATACTAAAAAAAGTGGTGGGCTACGACCTGTAGCTAAGAGACATACCCAAAAATCCAGTCTAGGAGAATTAGAAACTTTGACAGTGACCTTATAGAGGATTCCATTTCTTACATGAAAGAATCAACGAGAGTGGGTGGTTCATGTGAGTGCTAGGAATTCAACCAAAGGGACCCGTCTATTTACAGAAAAACTAAGTTGGAGGGACTGTGTTAGGATAGCGTATTCTAATGGCATAGTAGTTCTTGTATATCCAGTGGTGTTACCACATGTGGTAAAAAGATCCGTTAAGATGAGTGAATATCTCCCAAGGGATTAGGACACATTACTTTACAATACTAACAGACATACGATAATAATATTAATACTAATACTCAATAGCAGTCATGGCAAAAATGTTTTGTAGATGGGTGGATACAAGCCCTTATTATCCTGATATAATGAATACTGACAATATAGGTCATATATATATATATATATGCTGTGACATATATGCAACCAACAAGTGAGAATGATACTAGCAAGTGCAGACTTTTTATATATTTTATTACTAGAGAATTTTCGGAGATTTTTTTACCCTTTTATTGTTTAATTTTATTCAATTCCATTACTATTCCAAGAGAGTGAATACAATAGGATCTGTGGATTGCCATTATGCAAGTTCAAGACTATTGTTAACCCAAATTTAGGATTTGAGGAAGATATTTTTTATTAGTTGAATTTAGTTCTTGATTCCACTATTACTCATAAGGTGATAGTTTTACAGAGGCGCTTTTTTTTTACATGATTTCAGATTTTACAGTTGTAGTTGAATTTACAAGCCAAGAAATAGGAAAATGGTGTTTGAGATTTTTAATGGACAATTTTTCAGAGATAATAATTGACATAGGAATATTGGATTCTTGTTTGACTCGCGGCTCTCTTTGTCAGATGGAACTGGTGGTTCTATTCCTACCTGATCAAAATTTATTTTATTATTCGTAATAAAATATTGAACAAGTTGAAGATACTCCTAGGGCTTATAATTTGCACATCTTAATGGAACTGGTGGTTCTGTTCCTCTGGGTGGCATAACAAAAGTCAATTATATCTCGTAGTATTTTTTTTTTATGCTTCATGATCTAAGAGGCATACTTATGCTATAATGTATATCTGAATGATTGGTTGGTTAGTCAATGAACAACATCCTAAATCGTTTCCAATTCTCTCTCTTTTCATTTACCATCCCCTCCTCCATCTCTACTTTTTATTTTGATTTTTTTTCATCTCTATTTTTTTCTTCTATATCTCTCATATTATTAATTCTCTAGTCCCAGTTTATCTAAATAGTGCACTGCTAAAATAAAATAAAAAAAAAAATGTTATAATAAAAAACAGTTATAACAAAAATGAAAATAAAAAAAAGAAAAAAAATATAGCCCGCTAAAAAAAAGTATCTCTCACACCTCAGTAATTCAATCCAAATTTTCTACTTCCATCCATTATGGCTACTCCACATTATTAACGCTATTTTACTTTTTCAATCTCATTATTAACCTCACTTTTTCTGTATTATTATCATCTAGCAATTTTCTTTTCGCTACTTTTTTATGTCTCTTATTCCTCTTTCCTAATCCCACTAACAATACATCCATTTTCTAATGTGTTGTCCATTGTCCATTGTATATTAACCTAGAACCTTAATTCGCTATCGTGTGATTGCTTTAGTGTCTTTTTCTCATCTTAACTAAGAAACATACAAAGAAAAAAAAAATAAAGAGCGCTCTTTTTTTTTCCTACCCTCCAACTTTTGTCCAGTTCGTTTACCTAATGTATGTTTCCTCCTCGCCTCATGATCTTTTTACTTTGTGTGATACCCATTGTATATACAAGAGCTCCTAAATCAAAGGAATGCTCTATCTTAATACCGTTCTTTTCTAACTTATTTTTTTTGTAAATAGATGTAGTGTTTTGATGGCTGGCCCGAGTATCTCATGTTGATCCATCTCAACTGTTTAAGGACTCGATACTTCTGGGAAGTGGACTTGTTCTCTACAGGGCTCTGTTCAAGGCTCCTGATTCTACCAATGGTGGTGAGGGTAATGATCATCTTAGGCAAACAGTCGTAGGAACGTAAATCTTTTTTCGTATTGGGGCTGTTTTCACACAACTCTGCTCTTCTTTTATGCATTGTCATCAAAATTGTGTAAATTATCAACAAATTCTACTGGGTTACGACGTTCTCGATATCCTATTCCTGTGACTTCCCTGTAATGTTTTATGTTTTTTGTACTTTCTTTTATTTAGTTTGTTCCATCTTTGCGTTCTATAAACGTTGGTCATATTTATTTTTTGATTGCTTGTTGCGGGTACTATTCGACTCACTCAACTCCGGGCGTGCATCTTGATTTCATCATGATTAATTGCAATTATCATCTGTACCTTTAGTACCCGATATCCAGGTTTTTTCTTTCTGGGTGCTGTAATATTCTTTATAGCTATCCTTCTATATAGTTTATGTGTATATTATCTAAAGGAACAACATGTCTGTTGCTAGGATGGACAAAAGTCATAGGACTGTGGTATCTTAGTTATCACTGCTTCCTAACTGCCTAGTAGCTGAATGATCCGGTGAAAGGGGGAGGGGGGAAATGTTGCCCTCCAAATCCCCAATTGCCAATTTGCTAATAAAATATCGTTTCTATTATATATCTCTCTTCATCTAAACCTCACTATTTACATATATGTTCCATACTAAATCACAATTGTGCACTGGTGTATAAATAACT